TCTCCAACCTCAGTACTGATGTGGCTCGACGATGCTTAACTTCTCAAATCGGACGGGATGAGGTGCATTCATCGTGATATGGCCGTAGCCATTAAATACCTTAAAACTCTAATGATAAACAGCCAATCTGTCTTTAACCAGAATAGACAATTAACAATGTTGGACAAACTCATAATGGATTGTAAATGATACCTTACCACAAACAAAGTATTGAATACAGCAATTGTTTCGAAACTTTGAATTTTGCTGTATTACTCCTTAGTAAATTGATGCAGCTTTCTTTCCTGTTTCCTCACTCCTCTGCAAGATGATGAGAATTTTATCAATTTCTTTCCAATTCATAAATTGTCTGAGATATTATTTCAATTGTTAATTTTGGACGGGAAGCCTGCCAGGAATATGGCGACTATCCCGCTACAGTCTTTGACTGTATGAACAGTGAAGGCAACTAATCTATTGATTGTTGGTTCAGTAAGTTATTGTTTAGAAAAACTTGCAACGTGACCATATTTTTATCACCTTTGAATTTTATCTATTTAGAAAGGGAAACTTGTGGTTGATCAATAAACCTTCAAATTTCGAATTTGAGTCTTCAAATATATTGTATCGTATTGAACTTCGATGATTTACCAACAACCTTACCTGGTATTATGTAATTCCAATACAATGCAATGAATTTTGTTATCTTGCTTGATGATCATTGAATTGTGAAACCTGATTAATACACAATCTACAGAATTGTGAATTGGTATTTCCGTATCATTTCTCTAGTTAATTTTATTTTCTATTAATTGAAAAAAAGTTTAAAAGGTACCAATCTGCAAGTTCACAAATCCCCCATTCACAAACCATGGCTGGTAAGGAATGCGGCAATCATAGCTTCATCTTGGTTAACCTCAAAGGTCAGATTGACTCAAAAAAGTCGAGTTTATGTATTCCTACAGAAAAGATCCTGTAGAAGTACAGTCAATGGTTTTATCAAGAAAGCTTTCTGAGGTTTGTGATATTGGCTTTGAATGTGTGACAAGTGCGATTTAGGAAAGTTTGAACCCAACCACACACAAAACGTGATTTAGTCCCTTTTTGACCAGATCGGAATTCACAACGTGATTAAAATAAACTTAAAATTAGCAACACAACTATTTGCCTTCAGAATAAAAGAAAAAGAAACCAACAACAATTGAAACATGCTGCCTGCCAAAATATCAAAAAAGTCATCAAGGAAACCAAGAATTGCCATTCCACCCTGTGCCATGCTGATGGATCCAGACGGATGGGCAAGATTTGCAACCGATCTGACTGTAACTGCAACCATCGCACGTGGCAACAAGAAGGGAAGAGCGAACATGCTTGCTCAACTACAGATGAAACAAGCAATGGACAAATTGAAAATGAAACAGTTATTGGAAAGTACATTGGGATGTGCAGATATTGTGCTGGAAATCATGTCAAACTATAGTGATGAGGAATTCCTTGCTGAATTGATGAAGTATTTGATTAATTTTCCTGATTTGGTAAATAGAGAAGCTTGCTTGCAAATTCTCATGCACAGAAGAGTTTGGTGTTGTAACAATAATAGTCAATTAGAATTTTTACATGGTTGGTTGGAAAATGAGCCAATTATTCATGACACTGAATGTGTTGTGAGATTTTCAAAATATTCACTTAAATTCATGTCCACAATTGAAAAGTTTAGTACAGTTACCTTAAATGGTATCTCAATTACAAAGAGACAATTGGTTGACTTGATGAATGCAAGTACCAGTAAGATCCAACATTTAAAATTCAACAACTTTCGGCTCCTCAACCCAGAATCTCGATTCTCAAAAAGAATTTTTAGAATTACACCTTATTTGAAAAAGTTGACATTTGACTTTGAATTGCCATTCATTAGAACCTTGACAAATGAAGGGAAAGCTAAGGAAATTGATAACCCAATATTTACACTTGTCAATAATCTTGATTTGATTTCTTCCAATATTGAAGAATTATCATTCTCAAATATAATTTACGACAATAGTGATTTCTCACTTATTTCACATTTAGGTAACAAGTTGACTCGATTATTATTTACAACACCACCAAATAATTATGACATTTCCACCATTGCTCCCAATCTTGAATATTATGAGAGTCACAAGTTTCCAGACAGATCCATCACAATTCCAACTCTCTGTGTTTCACATCCAAGTCAAGAAAACCTCTTAAATCATTCAAGTGAAAAGGTCAGGAAATTGATCCTTCGTAACACTGTTAGTTCATGTAAAGAATTGAGATCCTTTTTGAATGATGTATTGGGGAAATGTTATCCTAATTGTGAAGAATTGATTATTCCAGAAACATTCTTGCAATCATTGTCCAAGGAAGATTTGAAGGGACCAGAAATTGTGTGTTCATTGAAGAGAATCATTGTTAAGCATTCTAGCTCCACGCAACCATCCAAATATGGTGCACTCAAGCTTGCTTTATCCTTTTTCTTTCCTTCAAATACAGTATTCCTATTCGAAACCATTCAAAAAGAGGATAATTTTGGAACCCTTCTTTCCAGTAACAGATCTATCAAAGTTGACTGCTATGAAGATGTGCTCTTCAAAAGAATTGAAAGCACCGAAAGACATTTCAAAGTATTGGACAACTCTCTCATTACCAAACAAATCAGAAAGATTAAGAAGAAATTCATTAAATGCATCATTTCTAATAATTTTTCAAAATTCCAACGCATTAATGAATCATTGGACATTTTGGAAGGATTGAAACGTAACAAACAACTCATGCTCCATACCATCCATCAAGCTATAGAAAATTATCATGACATATTTGACAATGATTCATTATTCATGTCAATTAGTGAAAAGTTTGACAAGTGCATGTCAATTCTTGAAGATGAATACATTAGTGAACTTGACTTTGCCCAATGCTACAATAAATTGGAACTTCTCTTCCACCAAATGATTAAGGTAATTGAGGAGAATGGCTATCCCACAAAAGTCCTCTTCAATGAACAATGGTTCAATGAGCAAATTGTTGAGATTTATGGTTTTCAATCGGATGAAGTTCAGGTCTATGAAGATTCACAAGAAGAAATGGAGCAGGCAAGTTATGATTTAATGCAAATGGATGAAGTAAATATTGACATGGAAGATGTTGTGTAGATGTGTCTATTCACTTTGCAATGTTGCTTTAGCATTGCGAATATTCAACATTTAATACAAATATATTTTCTTAAAGTATTGTGAAAATAAAAAAAGTTTATTGAATGGTAAGTTGTTTGTATACATGAATCAATTTGAATCTTGTAATGAAAATGTCTCTAAATAGAAAATAAAAGAATATTGTTAACATTTCTTAGTAAAAGGAAAAAGACTACAGCACCACAGGTTCCCAAGTTGTCTCCAACCTCAGTACTGATGTGGCTCGACGATGCTTAACTTCTCAAATCGGACGGGATGAGGTGCATTCATCGTGATATGGCCGTAGCCATTCACTACCTTAATACATTGACTATAAAGAATATTGCAAATCTAAGCAATGTTACACAGATTATAGAATTGACTTAGTTTTCGTATTAGATACTTTCAATAATCGTATTAATGTGGGGTGAAAGAAATAACATTTGAATGGAAGAATACTCAACAATTTTTATCTAATTTCGTTAATTATTGCATGAAAGAAATACTATGAAGGTCAACTGTTCCCACATTAACAAATGACATTGAAGGTCGACTGTTTGAATTTAAAAATGCTTATTCAATTTACAATTAAGACGGGAAGCCTGCCAGGAATATGGCGACAATCCCGCTGTTCATACAGTCAAAGAATCTTGTTGGTTCAGGTTTTGTTTGAAGAAATTGAAAAGGTTGATTAACCTCATATTTATTGAACATTTGTCATGTTAAATTGCTTGATGCAAATTTTGGTTTCTCTTATTCTGATCAATTCGAAATTGAAACTTCATCTATTTCAAAACAAATTAGTTTATTTATACTGAATTATTTACAAGTTGTAATTTACATCTTTTTCGATTTGGTAATCTTCTTATTTGTGGTGTTTGATTGTTGTTTAGCTCTCTTTTCAATTGAATTTTTCGAAGATCTTTTCACAGAAATTTGTTTACCATTTAAATTTGCATGGTGATAATCAATATTATTACGATGTCTAGTTCCACTTATAATATTTGAAGTATCAATAAAAGATAAATCAATTGGTTTAGATCTTGACCAAACTGTTTTTGTTGGAATTCTATCTTCGGAAGATGAAGAATTTGATGAAGTATTTTACTAAATGTTTTGTTGTGGAAATATCATCATCCTACAATTATCTATTTATTTCCATGGTGATTTCCACTAATTTTGTGATTCCAATTTTTGTAGGATTTTCCACTCATCACAAGAATTTGAATTTTTCTATTAATATTTTGATGAAGGAAATTTAATGAAAATCAAACAAAAGAAAATAACAAAACAACAATAAGAAAATGGTCTCAACAAGAAGAAATATGTTTAATTCCTCCAATAATACTTCACAATTTAATTCCGAAATTTCTCTGGATAATATTATTGGTGGTACAAGAAGAAGAAATTTAATTGATTACAAAACATTGAATTCTATTGGAAGTGAAACAAGTAAAACTTCCAAATCTCAATCACATAATACTTTAGAAATGAGAAACAAACAATTCAAAATGTGGTAATCTCCATTTAACTTTAAATTTTGTAAACCTAGGCAATCATTGTAAATAAACCCAAAATGTAAATATTCAATAATGTACAGTAGAATTTTTTCTTTATTTTCTACTGAATTTCTGATTCAATTCAGATCAACATAAATTTCAATGTAATTATGTCAATTCTGTGTTTTCTTCATGTTCATCTATATCAAAGAAGTCAAAAGCAGGATGCTTACTACTGTCTTGTTTTGTAATTTAAATATTTCGTTTGTTGCACATTACATTTATGAATGTAAGGAAATGAATGCATAAAAAGTAATTTTCAAATATTTGAATGCAAAATTTTTAAAAAGTCTTACAAAATTGTGATGGCTCGCCACGTTTACCGTCTCGGGAGGAATCGAACCTCCGTCAATGGATTCAAAGTCCACTATGCTACCATTACACCACGAGACGAGCACATAAATTATGAACAATCTAACTACATGAACGATTCTGCTTTTGATACGTATCCTGCAAATGAAGCTTGATGAAAATCACCAATTAAACTTGTTGTACATTGGATACATTCCACATTTCCCTTGTGGTCACAATAATGAATTTGTAATAAATAAATATAATAAATTAATAATATATTATGAATTATTAGGTAATAGAAAAATCTCTTCTCCCAAGAAGAATGATGAAGTAAATAGAGTGATTGCTCCAAGAAGTACAACTTCTCCATAAGGAAGAAATCTTGCTTCGGTAACTTGTTTGCCTGTAAATAATTTGAATAAAATCTTGTACTCTTTCTGTTATTAACAATATTCCAAGTATTGGTGTTTTCATCAAAGAGGAATGTTGCCATCAAGAGCAAGAAGAAGGAAATTGTCTATTTTCGTTCAAGAAACCTTCCTCATTGCGCACTTGTACATTGTTGAGTATCACAGTACTTCACAACATAACAATTACAACAACATCAGCATTCAACAAGAATATATCATCACAGAAAGAGAAAGAAAAATCCAATTTCAAGAGTTCTCAACAACAACAACAGATTGTCGTCCATACATCCTTTGCATAATTGATTGGAGGCATTTTTCAGCCAAGAATTTTCTTGTTATCATCAAAGGGACAAAATTTTCATTGTAAATAACGCTGCGTCATACGTAATTTGTTTGCAAAAAAATACAACAAGTTTCTGCAGGTACCATCAACCTTCTCATCACAATGTCTGCCGTAGAACAACAATCAACTCAACAACAAGAATCCACCAAGAAGACTGGTAAGGATAAGTACAAGTTTGAAGTCAATCAAGCTAAGCTTGCCCAACTCAAGAAGATGTCCAAGGATGTCGTCATTGCTGGTGGTATGCGTAGAAAGCACAAGGTTGTCAAAGCCAGTTCTCAAAATGAAAGTAAAATAAGAAACATTGTTAACAAGTGGAGAATGACCACCATTCCAGAAGTTATGGAAGTCTCAATGGTCATGGAAGACAACACCATCACCACATTGACTCAACCAAAGGTTGAAGCTGCTGTCCACTCCAACTCATTCGTCATTGCTGGTAAATACCAAAGAATGACCTATGAAGAATACTTCCCAACTATGCTCAAGCAATTGTCTAACAATTTGGATCCTAACCAATTACAACAACTCTTGGCCGGTTTGAGCCAAAAGGAAGAAAAGACAGCTGCTACTCAAGAAGAATTGCCAGTTGTTGAATCTTTCGAAACTGTCCAATAAATTATTTAAAAAATTTAAATTTTCAATCATTCCGATATTCTTTTCAACATGAAAGTTGGTTTAATGATATTAAGCCATGTTGGTGCCTCTTGATTAGCGACCAATATTAAATAAAAATTATTTTAAAAAAATATCAATATTTATTAACAATGATGAACAACAGCTGGTGCGAACTAAAGTAGCTTGGAACCTTGATATCGATTAGGAATAATGTTATTTTCATATTGAAGTTCATTATCGGAATGAAATTATTTAATTGGATTCCTTGGTGGGCGCCTTTAACAGTTGTTGGTACTTCTCCTACTATTTAAACTGCTTGCAACAATTCTTCGTTCTGTGTGGACTAGAAATAATAATTATGATTTACTTGTTGCAAAGGCTAAATTGAAATCAACAACAATAAACCTTTCCATTCTTTTCAATACGTACTGTTAATCATCATTAATTTGATGGAGAATCTCTAAAGATGAACTTGGAATGATTACAATAGTAAAATCAAAAAAATGTCATCATTAAAAGAAGGACATCTTTCCAACGATTCTTTACATCTCATCGTTACTAATTGTCAAGAACCAAAACATAATTCATTCAGAACTACACTACAAAAGAAAGAAGGTGATGAAGTTTTTAAATGCGAAATTGATGAAAGTACTGATCAACAAACTTACTCAGTGACTGCCCTGTTGTATTTACATAATGATGGAACATTTGATTATTCTTTGGATGGATATTCTGCTAATGATGAAATGGGTTCTACAATTACAAATTCATTCTTTGGGGTGTGGAATCTAGTGGACAATTCTCTAACTCTTACTCCCGTCTACAAACACAAATATCTGAGTGAAGGTTGGGAATTGATAGACAACAAATATATTGAAATGCATACAGTGAATACCAATAATTATGATGGCAATTCTATTTTGGCATGGAATCCAAGTAACTACACAGACACTATTACCTGTTTTTTATATAAGGATAAGAAAGAAGTTGCCACTTTCAAAAAGTTCAGTCAACCATAACTCTCAATATCCAAGTGCCTAAAAGTGGATTAACAAAACTGAAATCGCCCACCGTGGGGGTCGAACCCACGACCACAAGGTTAAGAGCCTTGCGCTCTACCGACTGAGCTAGACGGGCTACACATTACCTCAGAAAACTCTCAATAAAATTATTAAGACTTGATAATTATCAAGTAGTAAGTATTTTTCTTGTATAAAGTGAACTGAAAAACTAATTGAAATACTGTCTGAATAAAATATTGGAAACAAGAATAAAGTAGACAAATTAATCAACAACCAAAATATCCATTAATAAAACTAATTTATTGCACTTTCAAAATTGAAAACAATCTCTCACTATCAGCAATCATACTGCGACAAAGATGTTCCGCGAGGAGCAACATATGGTTTGGATGGTTCGATTGCTGTGTTATGGGCCATTCCTACCAGTTGTTCTTTTTTCGTTAATTCAATTTATTCAACTATAAGGTTTTATAATTGTTGCAAAGAACAATCACTGGCCATCAATTTTGGCAGCTTTTCTCAAATTGCAAAGAAAAGTTCATTCGCAACTACAGTAAGTTTTAAAGCAAAACAACTTAAAAAAAATTACAGTTTTCCCGCGCTTCTTATTGTGTTGCAACAGCCACTGTTTCAATTTTTTATTATTTACTTTATACATTTCATACAAATTAAATAATCGTAAAAAGTAGCAATAGAGTGAGAATGACTAGTATTTTGGAAGAATCAAGTAAATTGTTTAAGGAACGTAAATATGATGAATGTATTGAATTGATAAGAGATTATTATCCTTCCTTGAGCAGTCCTGAAGATTATAAGAATACAGCCTTGTTGTACATGACCAAGGGTTTATGTTCCTTTAATAAGGTTGCAATGAATGGAGGATGTTCTTCCGATGATCATGTGGATTATTTGCTTACTTCCATTGGCGATTTTCAACAAGTTGTGGATTACTTTGGTACTTACTGGGAAGAGTCCATGAAGGGAGAAGAATTTGAAACCTTGGTAGGAAAAACTGGTTTTATGGACGCTTTTATATGTAAAATTAAGGCTGGATACTTGATCGGAAAGGCCTTGTTGGAAGCTTATAATTTTAATAATGAAATTGATATTGGTAAAGGGATTCATGCCACTTCTCTCACTATTGACCATTTGAACAAGTTGAAGGAGGCTCAAGAGCACATCACCAAGGATAGAAAGGCTCCATTTGAGTTGATTGCCCAGTGTTATTTAATCAAGGGACAATGCCAAACAATCTGGGGTCTTTATCTTGAGGCTGGAGAATCTCTTAATACTTATTTAAAGATCTTGGAAGATGGAAATGATTTGAGTGAGGAAAAGAAACAATCTGGGTTAGCAATCGGATATCATCATATGGGTAATTTGAATTATCTTACAGGAAATAATGAAATTGCCATCCAATATTATTCCAAATCAATTGATAGATGCGAGAATTTAATGATGATTGACTTTAAACAACACCATGTTGATCATGTTATTGAATCACATTTAAAGAGAGCCAAGGTATTAGTAAGCTTTATTCTTGAACTCGCTGACCAATCAACTGTCGATGAGGAAAGAATTCATGAATGCTCTGAAATGGTTTGTGAGGATTATGAGTTTGTCATTAGAAATAGAAAGGAGAAGAACCATCTTTACAAGCTCAAATATTACAGATTCATTTTGAACATGATTGAAAAGCTTGGACACTACATATCTGAGGAAGACTTGGCACACTTTTATGAAAGAGCCTACTCTTTAATTAATGACTGCTTGGAATACTATGAGAACAATAGCAAATTATATCAAGATTTGGCCAAGTGTACCTCCAAGATTGAAGATGAAGACAATTTGGACACAGCTCTGGAACTTTATGACACAAGTATCAAACTAATGACTCTTAATAATCGTGAACTTTCTTTACCAATGAAAAAGTTTATTGCTCGTTCCCATTTCGAAAGGGGTGTAATTTATGTACAAAAGGAACAATTAGAAAAGGCTCTCCACGAATTTGATTTGTCGCTAAATTTCTCTCCAACCTTCCCAGATTCTCTCTATAATAGAGGTATTGTGAAAACTCATTTAGGACAATTAGAAAGTGCCAATGATGATTTTAAAAAGGCTACCAACTTCAACCACCAGGATTTGGAAGCATACAGACAGTGGTTTCTCAATCTCAGAAAGGCAGGCAGCAAGAAGGAAGCAGAAAAGATTGCTGAGCATGTCTTTGAAAAACTTTCCAATGATGAAACACCTCTCGATTTTTACCTTGCAAAGATTGAATCTGGAGAATTAGCAATTGAGCAATCCAAGATTAGAGAATTGTAAATTTTAAAATAATACGATATTTCTTTTTCTCTTTAGAGAACTTTCATTGTAATATGCATATTTTTAAATCAAAAAAATAGCTCGACTTGGTTCCTGATATTGTTAACCATGAAAAATACCATTTCCATGCAGACAATTGGAGTTCAACAAACAGTTGATTATGTTGCTCCAACAAAATTTGAAACTCTCCAACTCAACCTTCCCAACTCACATACAACAACAACAGATGTGAGGAGTATCCATTGTGGTGGTACGTTTTTTGTTGTGAGACCATGGTCATCAAATCGAAAATACTTTGCGGAGGAGCTCTATGTAAAGTTTACTACTCCATCACCTAGAGGATGCACACATTTACAATCCTTGCTAGGTTCTTCTTCATCATCTGATAGTAGTGAAAGCTCTGATACAAACCCATTTTATTTATTAGATTATCGATCTGCAATTGACAGGTTAGATTTCGTAAAATGTTATCAAATTGAGAATGTTTATTGTACACAGGCATACATTATATTACAAATGGAGAATAATTTGCTGTTGGGATTTGGTCACGATACAGAACATGCATTTTATTGCAAGAAATTTATGGATGATGGAATTAGAGAGATTACGTGTGGACCACTCTCTTTTCAAATTCTTGTTTGTGGAAATGATGGAATGGGTTATTATTTCAGAGTGGATGCTCCTACATTTTTAGAGGATGAAAAGTTCCATTTGGATTTCACTAAAAGAAAATATATCACGGCTGCAGTGAGTGGAAGATCAACATTTGTAGTTTATGAAAATGAGGATGGATCTCATCACATTTTGAGTCACGGCGACGATCAATTTCGTATACAGAGTGGTCAACCTTCTGAAGATAAATTCTCTGAATTGGAAACACCATTTGATGGAAGAAGAATCCATCAAATTAAATGTGGATATTTTCACACTTGTGTTTTATTAGAAGATGGAGATGTTTACACATGTGGATACAATGCATATGGACAATGTGGAGTCCCAGGCCCAGATCAAAATTTCATCAAAGTTATCTTTCCATCCTTTCCATTACAACCAACCAATGATCATTTTCCTGCTGTTTATGAAGGTAGTTCAACAAGTAATCACAAATTCCAACCCACACGAATTATTTGCTCATCAATTGCCACCTTATTCTGCAATAAGGATGGATTTATGATTATTGGTGATCCAGTAACTGCCTTTTCTCCAAAATATCAATTCTTTCCTTCTGTTGATTGTATCTATTATGCTTTTAATCAGAAGATGAAGAGTAGCCTTTATACCCAAACTGTTGAATGTGGTGGATGGCATGTTGTAATTTACAACAAGAAGGTTGTGGAAAGTAAAAGTATGATATACTTTTATGATAATTTGAAAAAGATAATTACTGAAACAAGTTTTTCAGATATTCAAATAAAATAGACTCCTTTCATCCTTACCACTTAGTATCTTTTATTTCAAAATGTTTGAGTTAAACAAATTCTCGAACAATGAACTTGAACTTAGTAGAATTTCGAAAAGACAGTAAAAAAAAATGGCATTCGAAGATTTAACCACAATCGTTTTGGATGTTGGTTCATTTCGTGTTAGAGCAGGAATTGCAGGAGATGATGAGCCAAAAATTAATATTCCAACTCTTGCATCTCGGAATCCAAAATTTAAATCTACAAAATCTACAAATTTGGAATCCAAATTGACGAATAATGAACAAGATGATGCTGATACTTATTTGAAAAGGGAATATTTAATTGGATCGGAAATAATTGATTATGAAATAATGAATAATGATGGGAAATTAGAAATCACAAGTCCATTTGGTGATGGAAAGGAAATTAATGTTGATGTAATGGAAAGGATTTGGAGATTTACATTTGAACAATTAAAAGTTGAGCCAGAGGAGTGTCCATTAGTGATGATTGAACATGCATTGACTGAAAAGAGAGTTAGAGAGACAAAGATGCAAATCATGTTTGAGTCATTTGGGATTCCAATGTATTATTCTGGATATGATTCAGTGATGAGTATGTATGCGAGTGGTAGAGTGACAGGAATTACAGTGAATATGGGATATGAGGAAACTCAAATTGTTCCAGTTTTTGAAGGATTTGCATTACCTCATGCAATAATGACAATGAATTTTGGAGGACGACAATTGACTGAATACTTAGCTCAAAAATTGAAATTGGATGGGCATAATTTAACTAATGATCAAGTGAGTCAATTGAAAGAGAAATTGTGTCGTGTAGCTGAGGATTATGATGAAGAATTGAGAACAATAGACAGTGCATCTTTTGAACTACCTGATGGAAATGTTATTCAAATTAAGAATGAACGATTGACATGTCCAGAAATTTACTTTAACCCACAAATTTTTCAATCCCAAGAAATTGGTCCAATACACCTTCAAACCTATTCTTCAATTCAGAAGTGTGACATTGATGGAAGAAGATTTTGGTACTCGAACATTCTCCTCACAGGAGCTAGCTCATGTTTCCCTAAAATGACAGAGAGATTAACCAAGGAAATGGTCTTCTTGTCACCTTCCTCAATGAAAGTCAAGGTGATTGGTGCACCAGAGAGAAATATTCAGGCATGGTTGGGAGGCTCTATATTGGGATCCATTTCCGCCTCTCAAACGATGTTCATCACACGAGAGGAGTATGAAGAAGTTGGTCCAGTTCTTGTTCATAGGAGGTGTTTCTAATTGTTGGTTAATTGAATATTTTACAAGAATTGCCATATCTAATTGTTAAAACATGATGTAATTCCATTATCACATTATGGAGAAAGAGTGTATTTTACATGTAATAGTAAAAAATCAAGAGGAACCTCGATAATGATTAAACACTGGAGCTGTCCTTAATAATATTTGTTGATACAATCATATGGAAAAAATAGTGGCTTCTGCATTTCCATTATTCCTCACCATAGAGGAGTATGAGGATTTCGGGTTGCTAGCCATAAATAGTGGTTTGGATTTCCTTATTGCCCTTTACATACCATAAATTGTCGTTTACTGATTTTTGCAACTTTGAATTCAATATTGAAACTTCCACATGACTGGTCTTCCAAATAAGTAAGCATCACCACAACAACATTAAGGATAATAAATCACAGGCCAATTAAGGAATAGTTGGTATTATTTATTGGTTCCAATAAGCGCAAGATCCACTCACAAAAAGGATTTGTGCTTATTGATTGGTTTGTGGTAAGGAAAATTGATCGGTTGGGAGGAAAGGAGGAATTGGTCATTATCATCAGAGGATGCAATGATTAAGAGAAGGTTTCATGTTAAGGTTTAAAGTAACTTCTCATGGACTGGACAGAACGTGATGATGTGAGTTTCTTTCTCTTCTTTTCACCTTCGAGAGCCAAATCATCCTGTGGTAAATTATTCACCACTCTCTGCACACAAGTCAATTGGTCAGTTAATTGTCTAGTCGATTTGTTATTCACAGTTCTTAAATTATCCATCTTATTCACTGTCATTTCATGTAAGGCAGCCTGAAATTCGAGCTTTCTCTGCGAATAACTCTTCTTAGAGATTGGGCTCAACATTGGAGCATCAACTTCGGATGCTGCTGAATCTGAAGATAATGATGGATTCTCCATAATTTGAATTTCAACGCTATGACTCATTGTTTTGATTTGTTTTTTTTGTGTTTTGATTTTAAAACCTCTTCAACAACAACCAATAACTGCTATTCTTCCACAATAACCTTTGTGATTCTTTAATCGCCACATTCGTGTTGATATCAGAATTATTAAGCGTGCCTTAATATGGACCAGATGAACATGCCCAACAGCAAATCTTAGTACAGTGTATTATATTCAGCATTGTGGTGATGACTGATGAACCTGATTCAAAACATGTTCAACCGTGGAGCTAAACAGCTAAAAAGTCTTGACTACTATCCGGAGTTTTGAAAGGCCTTAGGTCAAAGAGAAATGATTGTAAAAAGAGTAGGAAATCTGAAGTATGTATACAATCAATACATGTACTCTTTTTCAATCATCAACAATCTTCATCTAAGGACTGAAACATATTTAAATACTTGCTTCATTCTTCCTCGGTACATGTACGTTCGCATACAGCATTCCGAGCACCGACTCTTTAATGCTAAAACAAGTCTATTGGCAGGTTGTTGAGCTGTGTCAAATTGAAGAAACTCAGAGATTCATGAATGCAACGTGTTACTGAAGGAGATAAAGAAATTGCATCCACACTACAATTCTACATGAACCTTCTAAAACAAGTCAGAGCACCCAATATCTTACGACAACGCTTGTTGAACAACTCACCCCTTTAGCAATGATTTTCTCCAATTTACAACTGGATAGTGTCAGCATTCATCTACAAATATTTCAAAATAGGATACAGCTGCAAGCTCAATTAGTGCAGCCACAGATTCAAGATAACAGAAAGTTGAGTTTTGTTACCAATTTGTCTCTATTGGTCGTTTTCAATATCGTTGCCATCTTTGCTGCAGTAACATAAATTTAAATTGTTTCTATGCATTTCCAATAAGGAAAATTAGATTGGCTTCCAAATAGTCAAGTCATACCCAAGAACCTGCTTTGTATGTATCAAGGACAAACTAGGCAAGTATCAATACCGCGTGCAGAAATTAACTGAGCGCTCAATTCGTCCAATCTAATAACCCTTTCACCACTACTTTAGAATATTCAAGAAACAAAAAAAAAAGTCAACCCCCATCAGTATTGAGAAAGGATAACAATCTCTTTCGAACCATCCCTCTTTCTTCAATCCACGATAAAAAACATGTCAACCAGTGTTACCATAACCTCGAATCCAACAACAACATCTACAACCCAACAACCTATTCGAAAGCGTTCGACTGCTTCTCGAGATGGAAGTGGAGGTATCGAAGTGAATACATGTTGTGGCTCCGTCTCCATGTCCAATACCAAATGTCTGGTTGTAGTTGTTCTCCTTCTCAATATTATTGCATTCTGTGTACTGCTGGCTCTCTTAATTGATATTTATATTGGAAAAGTCAACCAAAACTTGGAATCCATCACCAAGAGAGGTGATGCTCTATTATATTCTGAAATTCTTTCTTGTAGTTCGAGGATGGCTGCTTCTTCCTCCAATGAGAATATTACCAAATTCTTCCTCGACAGATATGATGAATATCATCCAAAATATATGGCTCTGATGAATGAAATCATTAATTTGGTTCCTGCAAGTGCAGTTGGTCAAATTCAAAGTGAAACCAATGAGGCCAACAATATTACAAGGGATGAATCTGTTGTAATGGAGGAAGAGGCCATTAGTTTAGTAAAGGCAGGTGAAAAGGATGATGCATTGGAAATTTTAGATGGTTCTGAATATGCATCTGAAAAGGAGGATTATGATTCTGATTTAAAGGGATATACAGATTATATTCGTACTGAAGAATTGAAAAAGGATGCTCAGACCAATGATAGAACATTGGCTTGTTTGATTCTCATATGTTGTTTGATGGCATTAGTTTTACCTGTTGTGGTCATTTCACTGGTGGCCTCCTTCAGTAGAGAAAAGCAAGAACGTGCCAAATTGGAAAGAGCCAAAGCAATTGTTTTGAATGATACAATGGCAGATCCAAAACTTAAAGAGCTTTTCAAAAAGCATTGTGAGCAAGAGTTCAGTATGGAGAATTTCCTCCTCTTGGAAAGAATTGCTGAATACAAGAGTTTGTGTGAAAAGAGTTTTGACATTCAAGTATTCCTCTATGATTCTAGTTCTGATGAAGTCTCAACAAATTCTGGAAACACAACCAAGACAAGTGTTTCAACATCAACATCAAATTCTTATTCCAAGGATCCAAGCAAAAAGCCATCAGGCTACAATGAGAAGGATTTGGAATTGGTTGAAAAGCAAAAGAGAGATTTGGCCCAGAATGTCTTTGACCAATTCTTGAACATTAATGGTATCATGCCTGTCAATGTGAATAAGAAGATTGCTGATGATATTCTGCTTGAAATTCAAACAGCAAGCAATAGTTTCCAAAATTTAACTTCTCCAACTGATATGGAACTGGGTTCAATTGGTGCTAACACTATCCTCTTGTCAGATTCATTATTTGATGTTCTGGAGAATGAGGCTCAAATTGTAATGTTAGATACTCACACTAGGTTCAAACAATCACTTGCATTCCAAAAGAAAATGAAAATCGACAGCATTAAGCAAAAGATGAATAATAATAAGAAAAAGTAGATTTTTCCAATGATAGATATTTGGAAAGTAAATTACTGATTAGTGACAAGTAAGAATGTTAGAAAGTTATAGTGTGTTAATAAGCTCCAATCATAATCAACAATAATGGAAAGAAGAGGCAACAATAAAAAGTTGACAACCAACAACATTAAACCTTCATTCAAAAAAAACATGTCGAAGTCGCTTGTTGTTGTTGTTTCGTTCACAGCTGTTGTGTTACTCCTTGCATGCAGTGTATCTGTGATTACATGTTTGTATCCATCCCAAGTTGTTGATATCGAGAATTGGTATCTGACCCTTCCAATTGGTGATGTTAAAGACCCTACCGACATTTATCAACCAACATTAGCAACCTATTCCATTGATCCATACTTTGTTGTTGGACCAAATAATAATTCTATTCGTTTTCGTTCAGTCATTTTCAATGAAAGTGTTACAACTGTTGGTTCAAAATATCCAAGATCAGAACTTAGAGAAATGGACCCAATCAATCCAGCCAAAGTCAAGATTTCATGGAATAACACAGTTGGTGTCCATACCATGATTATTGACCAAGCCATCACTCACTTGCCAATCACAAGAGACAGAGTCATAGCAGGTCAAATCCACGATGATAATGAATTCATCTTTACCATCACATTATCTGGCACAACTCTTTACATTAATGCTGCCAATAAGGCAACTGCTAAGGTCATTACCAAAACCTATCAATTAGGTACAATCTTTAGACTCAAAATTGAAGCACTCAATGGTACTACCAATTTCTACTATAATGACATGTCCACTCCAATTTATACTCATCCATTGGTATTTAAGAATTCATACTTTAAGGCAGGTTGTTATGCTCAATCAAATTGTACTGTGGAAGGATCATTGTGTGGAGATTCAAATAATTATGCAGAAGTGTTGATTTACAATTTGACTACTACTCATGATTATTCATCATCACCATCGTACGTAAATAATTCATCATCCTCATCTAATGGAACAATAATTAATAATAATAATGGAACAATTAATTCCAATTCAACCAATAATAATGGTACAATAATTAATAATAATAATGGAACCACTCCGAATAATAACAACAATGGTACTATCAATAATAACAATGGAACAATCAATTCAAATTCTACAAATAATTCAACCAATAATAACAATGGAACAATAATTAATAATGGTACAACTCCCGATAGTAATAACAATAGCACTAATAATAATAATGGTACAATTATTGATAATGGAGGCTCATCCAATAATAATTCAACAAATACTCCAAAGGCTTCAACTTCTAATCGGGTTGTTGTGAATATGGCTACTAGTTCTTTCATTCCTCATCATTCATTTGCTAATATTCTGCTCCGATTCATCCTAATGCCAATACTAGTTTCCTACATTGTCTATTCGCTGGCTTTCCATGATAGTAGCATCTTTCCCACCAATTAATTAATTTAAAAATCATAATTATTTTTTAAAAATAAAATATTAATCAAAAAAGTGTGATATTATCTTACACTCTTAAATAATATTATATTGTAATGTATTGCTCTGAGTAGTAATCAAATAGAAAGAATAGGTGCTCCGAACCAGCCGATGAAATATCTCCTCTGAGAGCACTTCTACTCCTCCACAAGGACATTTGGCTAGCCAAATCACAAGTACCAAAGACAATTTCCAGCACAATTTCACATTTAGTGCATTCAGTCTCGGTAATAGACAATGTTTAGGAAAGAACTTTGCTCTCTTGGAAGCAACAATGATGTTACAAAAGTACGAACTCAAATTGTTAAATGATGAAAGTAAGGATCCATTGCACCAATAGACCTACTAATTTGAAAATTCAAAGTCAACTATTGCCTCTCAATGAAAAATGATAATTATCTTTTCCTTTTTAAAAACCACAATATTTAACGTTTTACTATTAGAATTCTTGACAATATTGTCAAGAATGTTAAAACTATCGGAATTATTCTAGTAACCATTGATCAGACCTACTGTTAAGGTAATGTTATAGTAAGGCATTTATGCAAGATTACTAGATGACTAGAATAATTCTTTTAGAACTTTGAATTTAATCTGGGGTGGATTTGAAAAATTAAATTTTATATTATACATTAAAAATAGGCTGTTTCATTTTCCAAGCCAGTGACTGTCTGAATATCACCACCTTCAGTCTTGTAGACAAGCATGAAACTCTTGAGAACATTTGGCCAAGTATCTCCAAAATTAGAATTGGTGACATGAATAGAACCAGTGTTGGCCAATTGTCTAGCTCTTTGAGTCAAATCTTGAGTTCCATAAGTAAAGCAAATAATCTTTTCTGGGGAGTGGACATAGCCAAGGTGCTTCTTTGATGACACATTAACATGTTGACCCTCTTGACATGTAACAAGATAATAATCACTTTCACTCTTCAAAACCATTGAGAAGGACTTTGGCCAACCAGGTAAACTATCTTCAAAGTTATGGTTATTGGCTCCAATATTAAAATTATTTCCACCACTTAAATCTTTTGAGTCCTCAGTTACATCCACAGGTCCATAAGCAGCTGCAAGAATGGACAGATTAGATGAATCAACTGGAGCAACAGGTTGAGTAGTTGGTTTTGATTGTGGTGGACCATTGACATTCACAACACATTCTTTTTGATACAAGTGATGATTAAGAATAATCTTGATACTATCATCGTGCCACATTGCTCCCTTTTCAGTAGTGGATGGACAAAATACTTGAGAATTTCCTGGTTCCTTAACACAAAAGAAGAGATTGAAATTGTCAAATCCTCTTGCCATTATACCAGTTGAAGTGTGATCACAACCAAAACAATGACCCAATTCGTGCATTGAAGCACCAATACCAGTAGCACAGTTGGCATAATAAGTTCCACGACCAGCACTGTCATCTCTCAAATGTGACTTATCGACAGAAGTGTCATTCATAAAGGAAGCTTGGATCTTATCAACAGAATTAGGATATGAGTACATATTGACATCAGCCCACATTGCCAAATATCCCCCACCCAAGGCGGCTCCCAATTTAGTCTTATTCAATACAGGATCATAATAATGTCCACTAGTTATACAATAATAAACAGTTTGTGGAGTGTGTTTTGAGCTATTGACCAATTGATTATGAATATGGCTATATGCAGCATTACCACCATCATTCATCCAATCATTACTCAAACTGGCAAATTCCTCTCTCGTATACTTTTCAGAGTAAACAACATCAATGAGTGGCATATTCTTGTGGTGAGGATCAACTTCTAATGGGAATGTTCTTCTACCGTCCTGAACCTTCTCAGCACAGAATGTTTGCATCATCAACAAGGCTACTTGCATTCTCTTAATAGCCTCACTTGAATCATTCTTTTCGTGTGGCATATTTCTGAAAGAACCATCATGATCCTTGCAAACAAACCAAATTCCCTTAACCTTTGAACCACTTCCTGAACCAGCTACATTGATCATATTCGGATCATAATTAACCTTAAAGTGCAAATCAGAGTCCTTTCCCGATTGACTCGAGAGGTGAATATTATTCTCTCCTTCCTCCAACAAGACGAGAGCCTTGAAAAAAGTTTCATAGATAGGGAATTGATATTGTGTTCTCTTTCCGGTCATGGCAGAGACACAACTCACAAATAAAACCTCACCGACATCACCCTTTGATGATGGACACTGACCAAATAACCTGATCAAGCTGTAGCCGAGAGAAGAACCACTCTCATGATTATGAACAATGATTTGAGGCATTATTTTTGTTAAGTTCATTTCTTTCCCGCCATTATTTACAAGGAGAGTAGTTCAATGGTTCGTAAACCTAACCATACCACAAGAATCTTGTAAATATTAGTATTGTACATTACTATTATAATAAATTAAAGTTGTATTAATATTTTGTCATGTCAACTAATAGTAGGAATGAATGGAGAGGCGAGAAGGTTTTTTATCGTTACCATCCTCATTTGAACTTGTATCAGAATTTGTACTCGATTCCTCCTCAAGGCAATAAGGTGTGTCTCTATAGAGTAAACTTGATTGATTCGGATAGGTTGGATGATAAGGTCCATATTTCACAGACCAAGTGTAAAAGTCAATAATTTCATGATCATTGACGTGATATTCAGCACAATTAGTCTTGAAACAGAGGAAAATTCTAAAGGCATGTTCAATGGCTGCACTAACAGATGGAGAATAGGTTTCGAACCAAACAGGGTCTCTTCTTTTTGCTCTTCCCCATGATTGATAATCATTGATGAGTATGTACTTTGTAACGGTATCATCCTTTTTAGAGTAACTATCATGAGAGGAACCCTCAGATGATCTATCCTCAAAGGTTGATTTCATCCAAACGATTGAAATATTGCTTTTGTAAATTATTTGATCTAGGTTTGGTTTAGAGTAGGCAATTTGATAGAAATTATCGTGTACAGGATGGAAACTCCCAATTGGAGTTTGTGATCCGGGTTCTACTGTAATAAATTCAATATAGCTTGGAACATGAATGCAAGGAGGCTCTTTTTCATAATGGAAATTAGTTTTAATATCGTTAAATGTGCAAATAAAGAAGTGTCTCTTTTCATAGGAATAGGTCAATAACCCATTATACACTGTTCTAGCTTTCTGAATACTATCATATATTTTCCTATTACAAGTGTTAACCAATTTTTCTGTTAACAATAAAACTTACTTTGGAGGATATCTGTTTGTTTTGATAAGTGCAATATTGAAATAATCAGAAGGTCTAGTATCCTCATCAAATACTAAATCTTTTGCCCATTTTTCTTCTGCAAGATGAGCATTTACTCCTTCTGGAGAATCATGGCTAGCAAGAATGTGCTTTGGATTTTTAGAGGTACATGCAAATTCAAACATTAGTAATCGAGCAAGTCCATGGACATGTTTTTGAATTTTTGCAAATGTATGAACTCTTGGATAGTGCAACAATTCGTTCTTAACTTTGCTATGGTGATATCCAGGCACAGAAACAGCAAATCCACGTTTGGCATACTTATAGAGTCTGTATTCATAGGTAGTAGATTGTCTATCGATATCCACCAAGTTGACACCATGAGCCAAGGATCTTCTACATCTATCAGTTGACCAAACAGTGTTTCCATCAAAACCAACAGAAGCAGAATCAATATCAAAAGAGAGCAACACTTCAGCAGGGGACTTGTAAATTCTCAATACTACTTGTATTGGTCTAGTTTTGTAACCGTAGAAAGTAACTGCATGCTTGGTTCTCATTATAATTACATCGTCATCCACCACCTCATGTACTTCTGTTGATTTTTTTTCAGAACTGCTTGTAAAATAAAGATAATTACTGTCACTGCCTGGACCCAAATCACGAACAAGTCTCTTTTTCAAATTTCCCTTAATAGTGTTGTAGATGTGCTCGATTTTTTCCTTTGCTTCTTCCTCGTCGACTGCATACAGAAACAAGTCAATGTCTGATTTTTGAAAACTGGAAGGAATATCAGGATCTGGAATATACTTTGCTTGACTCTTATCTATACTTTCTATTGGTTCTGGTGGAGAAATATTTGATTGTTTCGAAGTTTGATTAGCTTTCTTTCCACTAATATTGTGTTTTCGTTTCTCGTTTGCATCAGCAATTTTTTTCCTTATCCATTCAAGACCGCTAAATCTCTGCAAATGAGATCCTAAAACTCCACACCCATTTGAAATGGACGAAAATTGATGGTATTGACTTTGTACAACTGTGTTTGCTTTGTTGGTACTTGTTTTCCAATATTTGAAATCACTTTCATCCAAATCGAACGATAAGGTCTTCCTCTCCAAAATAGATGTTGTGCTATAATGCTCAGTCGAGGAAGCGGCTGGCATATATTCAGTCATGATAGTCGTCCTTTCAGTATCGTTTTCATCTCCTTTGAAAAGACAGCCCAAGACACCTCCACCAGCAGCAAAAATTCCATTCCAATCTAAACCTTCGAGAAGACCATGAGTAAAGTTGTACCAATTCTTCTTGAAAGTTTCCAAACTATTCACTAGTTTTGGTTTTTCAACATGTCTTGAATATTTCAACTTGTTTGACAAATCCAAAATCTTGGGACATTTCACATAGTCAATCTTGAATTTCTCTCCAGAGTGAATCTCATCCAACTTTTCGAAAACAGGTGATAGAGTCAAGTACATGTCATCTAGTAATGGGGAATCTCTATGTTTAACATAGAACTTTCTTAGCCAATCATCCCTTTCCTTCATTTGAATATTTTCGCTGGAGAGCAATTCGATTGGATATCTCAATCCATCCAAGTATTCATCTAGAAGCGTGTTCAAACCATAAAATTCTGCCTCCTTCTTGAATTGAAGTCTCTTTGCATCTGACATGGTAGCAGGAAAATGATTAAACTTTCTATTACAAATCAAATAGCTATAAATTAAAGAAAATAATTCTGGATTTCTGTCAATAAATAAGTACCCATCGAGACCAACTCGAAAATTTGGAGATTGAATATATTTGGTCACAATAAAGTCGTCATGTTGAGCCAAAACTCTGAATGGAATGATAAACTTTTGACCTGATACGTTCAACTTGACTACCAAATCTGCACTCTCAAAAAACTCGTCTTTCCTATTGTTATCAAGCAAAAAGTCCTGGTATTTTTTGGAAATTTCAGAACTCAATTGTTTGATAATTTGCTCCTTCTGTCTCGATTCTTCTTCAATCAGTTGCATATCCTTTTCAATAGATAGAATGGGTGGCTGTGATTTCATTGTAGCATTATTTTCACATTCCAAAACTTCAGAATTGTGATAGGTCCTCATTAGTAATTGAATATGATGTGAAAGTTTTTCAGTTTTGAAAAATTTTGACTCCTCCATAATACATTTCAACAAGTTTAAATTAAACTTTTCAATACCAAGACATTTCACCTTCCCTGCCATTCTCAAATGTTCCAAAACAAACTCAAAACCTATTGGATTTCTATCTATAAATTGAGTGTTAACACTCTCTTCAGTGCCATCATATAATTTCAATTGATCTTTCATGGATTGAAATAAATTGTCTCCTGCCTTTACATATAAAAAGCTGTCAGCATCACACATTGTGACTAGTCCCATCTCTTTGGTAAGTTCCTGTCTTATAGTTGAATCTTCATCGGTCAGTCGGTCACGATTTGAAATTTTGGTATCAACAGGAATCTTTCCAAAAGTAGCCTCTCCCATCAATGTTCCTCTGGTAGTATAGAATAATTTATCTTGAATTTTAATTACCACTACATAATTTTGCATACGTCCCACAACTTGACAAGTCTTATCTTCTGATGATGAAGCATTGATGAGAAGATTTTTGGTATTTTCTAATTGATCTCGGAGTGAAAGATTAGCATGAAATTGATCAATCAGAGCCTCATCCATTTGATGATGACCATGATCGTGCTCTGTACTTTGTGATGAGAGAACATTATTTAAATCCCTCTTCAGAGAAGATGAGGAAACTTCATGTTGACTCATTTTTCAATTTTTTGAAAAGAAGAATCAAACATTTTTAATTTAAAATTTCTTTGAAAAAGTTAACGTTAAAAAAACATTTCATTATTTTTCATTGGAGAAGATGTTGTTGTAGGAGACTTGGGATTGTTTTTGTTGGATTGTAGAGGTTTTATTATCGAACGTATGATAGCGTGGAAATGTGATGATGCAAATTTAAAAAAATGGACGAAAATACTAACAAACAAATTAATGATGATGAAGAGAGAATGGAAATAGGCAAAGTTTCTCTTGTTATTAATAATACGAAAGGAAATTCACCCTTCTCTGACGATGTAATTGGTGAAATTCTATCTTTTCATGATGATTTTATATTTGTAGTGATGAAATGTGCACTAGTTTCGAAACAGTGGCTGAATATAATTATGGAAAGGAGTAAATTGTCACTAACATGTAACCATAGTAAAATGAAGGGTAGATTTCTACCAAATATTGTAACTCTAGAATGGACATGTAGTAGATATCAAAAGTTTACATTTGATAGTGGAATATTTGGTACTATGAAACAATTAACCAAACTAAAAATTGGTGAAAATAATATTGGTGATCAGAACGCCAAATGTTTCATTGAAATGAAACAATTAACCAGTCTTGATGTTTATCACAACAATATTTCTAAGGAAGGAGCCAAGTTTATTGGTGAAATGACACAATTAACCTATCTCAATGTTAATACTAATAATGTTGGTGAACTGGGAGCCAAATATATCAGTAAGCTCAACCAATTAATCACACTCAATATTGGACTCAATTCTATTGGTGAACAAGGAGCCGAATATATTAGTGAAATGAAACAATTAACTGACCTAAATATTTATAGTTGTAACATTGGTAATCGAGGAGCCAATCATATAAGTAGAATGAAACAATTAATCTCACTTAATACTGGTCGTAATGGTCTTGACGATGAAGGAGTCAAATATATTAGTGAATTGAATCAATTAAATTTTCTTAATATTGCAGACAGTAATATTAGTGAAGAAGGTTTAAACTACATTAGTGGGATGAAACAAATAATTCATCTAGATATTAGTAACAACTTTATTGATGATGAAGGAGCCGAAATCATTAGTAGAATGAAACAATTAACACGACTTGACATTAGTAACAATAGCATAGGTGAAGAAGGCACCAAATATATCAGTGAAATGAAAAAATTGACATATCTTGATATTGGTGAATTTTAATATTTGTTTGCAAGGAATGGAATATCTTACTGAATTGAAACAATCAACCATGTGAATCATCTAATATTTGAATTTCTGTTGTTATTAGAGCGAGGAAACACACTAGGTACTTCCTCACGTATCAAAAATTTTGAAGGAGGGCAATAGCCAATGGCAATTGACCATATACAGGACAGCTTTTCAGAGTGCAAGGAAAAGCGTCGACTGCATAACTTTCCAACCTTCTTGATCATTGGAAAGTCCTTCAAGGTAAGTATGAAGATTTAAGAGAGGCAAAGTGGGAATATATTTGAAGGCATTTTAATCTACAATTTTGAAATAAAAATTATGGTAGTAATTTTTAATTAAAAAGCCATTCGATATCATTGGGCAAGTTATTTGCTCATCTTCAGTCTCAATCCAAAAATTATGATTAAGTATTGGATTAACATGATTAAGCAACTCAGAAAGAGTGTAAACAAATAATGAATCAAAAAGCTTATTTATTTTCTTTCCATCACATGATCATTAATTTACTAATAATTAACAATCAAAACACAAACATTCATAATGATCGCCATCATCATCAAATTAATATTTTACATTAAAGCTAGTAGACCGAGTTGATTCAACCGGTTGGGTATTAAACAAGGAGATTTGATCCTTGTCGTGATGTTTTCTCTCAACTGGTTGATCATCCGAAGGTTGACAAATTTCTCCCTTGATGGTTCTTCCTACTCCACTGAAGGGTTTGAAAGGATGTTGTTGTTGAGGTTCTGAAGAATCATTAGAAGAAGAGGAAGGAGGAGAGTGATGCTCCGGATCATCGAAAGGATGCCTATTCATATTCTCTCTTCAATAGATGATATATTTGTTTTATTAGAAATGATTATTATTGGAGGGAGAAGAGTTTGTAATTTAATAATTTGGGAAAATAGCTTGTTATGTTCAATAGATGAAATTTCAATTTACAAGAATGGTATGTTTCTTTAATTGTAATTCTCGTCAACATGCTATCTATTCGAAAGTGGTAAATATTAATTGTGCTTAGTACTCAATTTTAAAAGTGGTAACACCTTACCCCGCCGCGGGTATTAGTTCACTAATTACTTGTGAAATTCGTCAATATCTTTGTGATGGGGACCTTAAAAGAAAGGTTGTTAACTTTTGTATTGTGGTCTGTGGGTAAATTGACGAGACAGGTATGGACAGGTTGCCAAATTTACAACCAGCATGAAAGGATAATAGAAGAGGTTGAAACACTTAATTTTCATACCAACAGAAAAAAACAAATCCATTCGAAACATATTTCATCACTCTCTCGGATACTACTATGAAGATAACTGTACTAATGCTCTTGACAGTAATGGCCTTTTTGTTGATGGGTGTCAACAACTCGAGACAAGAAACCATCATTGTCGATCCACCAAGTAATGTGAACAGAACACAAATTTACATTACACAAAACTTTGCTGATGTGATTGATGCTGCAACTGCTGCCTATATTACTACATCCAAGGTATGTCCATCCATAATTCTATTAATTCACATCATTTAAATTATTATTGGAAACCTTTCGTCACCACACAGTGGACAACAAGTTTGGCAGATTATGGTGTGCCGTACAATGTACCAACTTGTGCTTCCTCTCCAGAATGGCCATCTACATTTGATTTCAAATCTGATGTAATGACAATGTGTTATGAGTTGGAAACTAATGATCCAGTAAGTATTTTATTCACATTTAAATGTGAAATACTTATCCATATTTATTCAATAGTGGGCTAATATTCACGAATTGGCAGGAACTTTGCTCTTAGAACAGGTCAATAACAAGTATAAGAGAAATATTCAACCACAATTCATCAAATTAAATACTACCAAATTAGCTTATTGGGAAACTCTCAAACAAGCTGCTAATTTTGGAGACTGTAATGTAATTATTGCTTCAAATAATTATGATTTGGTTAGAGCTTCTCAGGTTCACTTCCAATGCATGTATGGATCATCAGGTTATGGATATTTGAGAACTGGATTGGATTTGGGAACTGTCATTATTAATTCTGATAAGGATATTAACAATACTAATGTAACTGTTGGCACATTTACTGGAACAATTTATGATACCTATGTCACTAACAATTTCCAAGCTGCCAAAATCACTAGAAAGAATGCTGGTTGGGTGGATGTTTTCCAAATGGTTGTTGAAAACAAGATTCATATTATGGTAGCTGAAGCTACTGATTTGCGTAATTGGTTAAGCAAGAATCAATATCGATGCGCCAATTGCACAACCAAAATTATGGGCATTCCATTCTCATACAGTTCGTTTGTTACAAAGAATATTATCAAATCTGCAAGCTCCACAATTGTCATGAATTTGGCAGTTGTGCTGATCAGCTTGTTGGTTGGCCTTGTTTGTTTTTGAAATTAATTTTATCACAATAATTGGTAAATGCAAGTTTATCAGATAATTTATTCTCAATCATATACCATATCATAGTATCATAATAAACATTATAATAAATAATATTAAGGTTTATTTTCTTCTCTTAGTGTCAATAGACAATCAACAACCCAAGAATCGACAACTTTCACCCGTTCATCACTTGATTGTGATAGACTATCCTCTTCACTCGACGATACTACAGTTGATGATGAAGCAGAAGAGGAAACAGTTGTATAGCTGGAGAACATTGATGCATTCGATGAGGAACTGGCAATTGAATTCTTTCTGAGACGTTTTGTGTCTGGGAAATTATTGGAGGTTGGTCTCTTCTTATTCTCACTGTTCGGTAACAACCTTCTTCTAGCATTGATAAACCAATAGTTGATTCGTTTTTGACTTAGACCAGTTTGATTTTGAATTTGTATCTTTTCCTCTTCTGTTGGATATGGATTTTCTTTGTGGGAAAATAACCATTCTTTCATTATGGAAACAGCTTGTTTAGGGAGGTTTCTATTGGAGGTTGTTCGAAATGGATTGGCTTCTTCTTCTTCTTGTGGGTTTTCCATAACAATGGCTGAGTTTGAGGAGGATTCTTGGGCTTGTTTCTTGTTCTTTCTCCTAATAGAAGTATCGATCAGTGGTGCTTGAATAGTATGAACAGTAGAAGTGGATGTATTCGAAATAGAATTGCTTTGTACTCTTGAATTATTTACAATTAATGGCGTTCTAAAATCACAAGATGAAGAACCAACATTTGAAACTTGAAAAGTATTCTCAATAGAAGCAGAACAACCAACAGATGTTGGTTTTAATTTCTTGTTGGTTGACAAGTCCATATTTACAAATGTCAAATGATTAGGAATGCATGATTGAGTTGTTTTCTTTTGATTTGGTGGATTCTCATACATTGCATTATATTTTGAAGGTTGAAAGGTAGGAACTGGAGTTGTTGAGGAAGGAAACAAATTGGTTGGATTGACTTGATGAAAAACAAATGACGTTTTAATAGGAGGAGAAATGTTTCTCGATACATGAGTAATAGCTTGGGAATTATTCGAATGTGAAGGTGGAAACAATGGAACGAATGGTACAGGTTTTGGAGGACAACAATATTGTGTCAACGTTTGAATTGGAGGTAAACGAGTTGTGATTGCCTCGTTGTTGGTTGACAGGGTTGGCAGTTGATTGAAAGGGATGAGGTTTTGTGGCATTTCTTATTAGTGTCAAAATAGGTTGAACATAATCGTGTCAAATACGTTTTTTGGATGATTTACCAAAATGCAGTCAACGTCTGTTCTTAAATTGAATTGTTGATAAACGTGGTTATTATGCAAATCTTGTTCATTGTTGACGTCAATAGAAATGCCATTTGAAAAAGTATTTGTTTGGATTGATCTCTTTTAGAAAATTTCTAAAAATGTAACATGTAAGGATCAGTGTAATGTATCAAGCTTTTTGAGAGAATGCTCTGATGTAACTTCTCGTTCTATTTGTGACATCTGCCGTCTTGCCTTTAGTGCCTTTTCTAAATTGAGAGAAACCTGTGGTCCCCTCATTTTAATAATCTTATTCCAGACACCACTTGGTACTTTACCTCCAATATCAATAAATGATATTGTTGTCATTTTGGTTTGTTTCTCATTCAATTGTTCAATGAAAATGGCGCCGAAAAAGTATCCTCTGATGCATCCTTTCTTTACAGGTGTACTGGGCTCGTAGGATTTTCTGAGAACTGAATAATTTGTCATTTGATTGGTCACTTGATTTGGTTCTCTTCTGACACTGGTACAAGCATAGATTTCTCTATCATCGAGAGGCCACGGAGTCTTAACAACAGTGGATGAACAACTGATAGGGTAGGTCTTGATTTGATTTCCCAGGGAATCAAAAGTTGTACTCTCCTCAATAAATTCAATGAATTTTGTGTGAGTTACATTCGGTTCTGAGAATTTAGTTAATCTCGAATCAATGAATGCATAGAGAATTTCCTCTGGTAAATCATCCACAATGCAAACTTCCTTAACAATGCTCAATCCTCCTTTGGATTTACTCTTTAACTTGCCCTTGGATACGAGTTTTTCCTTACTGATATAACTGGTCACATTCTTTGAATCGTAAATTTCCTTCCAAATATCCATCTCCGAAAGAGTTTTGAAAAGGTTATAGTATTGATCAGTGATAATCTTTGAATCCTTTTCCAATAACAAGTTGGTGAGAGCTTCCTTCATTTCCACCTTTTTATGTTTTGTAGACATGTCGGAAGCAGTTGATTCAGTATCTACTTCGGAATCTGACAGATTTCCTGACCTAGAAGAATTGGCAGGACTATTACTCGATTGCTGAGCATTGGATTGTCTTCTTTCTCCAAAATAGATCAAATTATTGTCCAAAGTTTTCATAAACTCTTGTACATAGTCTTGACTCAATTGATTTGATTTGTTTGTCATTGGAATGGTAATTTCTTTTGAAACTAGTGAAAAGAGACAACCTGTGAAGAAGCTACTCGACAAGAATCTTGAAAAGTTGTCATTTCTCAATTCCATATGTACAATACGTCTACAATTATCAAAAAGGTCTATATCAATATCTGAATTTTCATCATACTTTTCAAATCTATTTATCACATCATTTCTAACATTATCTGTAAGGTTAAGTTGGTCTGATGACATATCCTCGAGGAATCTCTTGATGATTCCTGAAGCCTTGTGATATCTACTTCCTTTTTCATTGACAAAATCATCATAGGCAATAATAAAATCCAAACTACTCAAATTATGTTCAAATATCAAGAATTGTCTAAAGGCAGGCAAAATTGCCAACTCGTCCGTTAAACAAGCTTCAAAATTAATAGTATATTGTATGACAACATCTTCTATCAATCTCATCAATAAACTCTCCACTGTTTGATTAGCATTTGTTGGTGTATTCAGAATGGTATGAACATGATTATTATAGAGTGCCGTTTGCATTAGTGGAGAAGATGAAGAGGGTGAAATAGGAGAAGCGAGAGGAGAGGTTGAGTATTTCTTTCGAGAAGGTGATAGTGGAGAGGTTGGAGAAGTTGGTGTGGAAAGGGTGAGCGAGCTTGTACTCAGGGATTGTTGTTTCATTTTGTTTCTCTAGTTTCTAGTGAGGGAATGACGACAATAGACAACTCCAAAATAGTGTTGATGATACCTGTATTGTCAATTAGAACAATTGTGCAATGATAACAAGGTGAAACTTGTTTTCTTTAAATATTTAAAATATTGAATATTATTAAACACTTCTCTGATGAAGGTTTCGAATAATAACTGTCAATTGATGATGATGGTGTTAAAAAAACAACAACAACTGATGGTGGGTGGGTTAACAGTATATAATTGAATGTTTTTTGTACGAAGATAATTATGCCTGTTGGGATTGCGTTGTTGTTTTTGCAGATTTGAAACTGCTGATGTTTGAGACTATTTTGGTATTCGTACGCTGTGTTTGTCTCTGATTTTGTATATGGCATGTTATGACATGTATTGATAATTGGGCAATGAAGTAAATTTCATAAGGATTACCGAATGTTGTGTTAATAGAAAGTGAATCTAAGGCAAGGACAATAGAATCCATTGAATTGAATCCGACCCACTTCAAAATATTAACAATTTTATGAGCCATTTACTGTTCTTGTTTAAACATAATTTCTCTTCTCTAAAGATTCCTAATAAAATTAACTTCCCGATTATTCCTCATCATCAACCCATTTTCTTCAATATTGTTTTTTATCATCAACATTAAAAAATCCGCGCCATTATTACTACTCTTAATTTTTCATTTTGAAATTTTTTTAAGGTTTGACAATTTGAGTGAGGGATGAAACAAGTTGATCCTTATTACTTGTTTGAATCCAATGATAGATAGATTTTAGAAAAATCTAATGGTTGATTTGTTGAAATGTTCAACATATGCAAATGTTCTTTACTTGGGATGACATTTAACCTGAAACAATACTTTTTCTCATTTATTTCATCTACCAAAAATGATTATTAGCATTAAAAAGACCTTTTCCAATGCATACAGCAAACAACAAAATTGATTCTCTATTATTACATTACAACAGCAGCACATTTCATATTAATCTCAATACCTCATATTTGCTATGAACATTCCTGGTCAGCAACTACAGTTGTACTGCTTGCTGCCTTACAGCAGTGACTCAAGTCACATCAACCATCATCACAAAAAAAATAACTGAAACTTTGGACCAACCTCTCATCATCTCCAGGTCCATCACAACAACAAGAACATCAGTTTTTTTAGATTCGCGAAAGAGTTTTGACTTCTTACTGTGAGGTTTTTATAATTTAATAGCGGAAGAAGATTTTTGGAAGATGAGATCCTACAAAATTAGCGTTTTGTTGGGATTACTTTTATTATTATGCTTTGGTTTTTGTATGATTAACGGAGAGGCTTCCGTTGATTCAGTCGAAGCTTTGGAAGGTAATTTATTGGTAACTGATGATGATATTGCCTCCTCGAGAAGTGATGGTGCTGTAAATTTATATGCTCACCTTGATAGTGCTATTCTTGGAAAGGGTTTGCCAGCTCTGCAAAAGAAGTATAAGAAATCCATCAAGAAAAACAAGAAAAAGACCAAATCCTATGCTCCAGCCAATAAGAAATTCTTCAAGAAGACTAAATCCTCTTCAGTCACCAAGAAAAAGAAGACCAAGTCCTCTCCTTCATCAAAGAAGAAAAAGATCAAGTACTCTAAGAAGAATAAGACAACCAAGACTTCTTCTCCACCACAAGCAACAACAACAACTTCAACAACCACAACAACTAAAAAACTCACCTCCCTTCCACCTAAAGTTGCCGCAGTTGCCAAGCTCTCTCCTCGTCGTTGGAACATTTTAAAGAACATTTTTAGTATTTCAATGCTTGGTGGTCCAGCTTTCCATCCATTCAAGAATGAAATGATCTTTGTTTCATCTGCTTCTGGAGTTTATCAATTGTACAAGGTTGGTATCAATAGAAAGAAGGGAAAGATTACTGGTAAGCCAATTCGTCTCGTTCATACCAAGTCTAGATGTTCTGCTCCAAGATATCTCCACGATGGTTCAATTCTCTATTATCATGATCGTGGTGGTAATGAAAACTTCCAAATTGGTCTCATTACACCAAAGGGAAAGCACATTTGGTTGACCGAAGACTTGAAGGCCAAACATTTGATCAATCGTGTTACAAAGAACTATCTCTACTATCAATCCAATTCTCGTAACAAGAAATTCTTTGATTTGTACAGAAGACCAATGCCACTCGTTAATAAGGATGGCTCTCTCATCAAGGCTGAACGTCTCTACACTCCTGAAGTTGGTATTCCACGTGTTACATTGGTATCCTCTGATGAAACTCAACTTGTCATTGAACAAAAGTATAGCAACATTCACAATGAATTATTCTTGAAGGATTTGGTTGACGGTACATTGACTCCACTCACAAAATCACTTGTTCCCGGTATGGCAAAGGTTAGATGGTCTCCTCTTCGTTTCTTGAATCGTGGTCACACTAAAATGTTAATTTCTACTGATTACAAGTCTGATTTCAAGAGATTGGCTATTTTAGATTTTGAAGGAGATATCAAATCCAATCCAGCCAAATTTATTGCTTTGAAGGAAATGGAAACTCTCAAACATGATATTGTTGGTGTTATGGGTAATTCTCGTACCAAGTGGACTTATATTGAATTGAATCAAGATGGTTACAGCAAGTTGTATAAGGCCAAACTTGGTCCACAGGGATTCAAGACACCTCTTATTCCAGTTCCATTACCATTAGAAAATGGTGTAATTGTTCACGGTGATGCTCGTTCATTTGGTCACAGTTCTTCCATTACTCATGATGGTAATTTGATGGCTATTACCATGACCGATTCTGTTCGTCCAGTTAACATTTTCATGCTCGATCTCGATCCATACAATGTCAGATTCAATAAGAAGGCAAAGGAAGTTAAGAAATTGCAAGAGCAACAAAAGGAAAAGAAGGAAAATGATCCAACCACTTCAACTCTTGTCACCAAAGAAAAGTTCAAACATATTGCCATGTATTGGACTCTCCTCAATGATCGTCTTCCAGGTGCTCTCAAGGATTATGAAAACAAATTCTCCACTGAAAAATTGATTAGTGTAAGCAGCTTTGATGGTTTGATGATTCCATTCTTTGTATATTCCCCAGTTGGTGATGAACCAGAAGGTGGATGGCCAGCAATTATCAAACTTCACGGCGGTCCTGAAAGTCAAAGCAGACCAGTCTTTAGTCCATTGATTCAATTCTTGACACTCTCTGGATATGCTGTTGTTGTTCCAAATGTTAGAGGTTCAAAGGGATATGGCAGAAAGTATTTGGATGCTGACAATGTTGAAAAGAGAATGCACGCTGTTAAGGATGTTGCTGCTATTGCTACATTCTTGCAAAGATATAAGGGTATTAACGGAAACAAGTTATTCTTGGGTGGTGGTTCTTATGGTGGTTATCTCACTAACTTGTGTATGACTCAAATTCCACAATATTTTAAGGGTGGTATTTCTATTGTTGGTATGACTAACTTACTCACCTTCTACAAGAATACTGCTGAATTCAGAAGAAGGCAAAGATATGAAGAATATGGTAACTACCACACTCAAAAGGACTTCCTCAAGAGCATCTCACCAGTTACTTATATTGACAATGTTGTTGCACCAATGTTCATCATTCAAGGTAAGAATGACGAAAGAGTTCCTGCTGAAGAAGCTGAAAATTGGTATAACAAGCTCTTGCAAGAATCTAAGAAACCAGGCAAGTCACAACTCAAACACAGCAAGCTAGAGCTCTTTGCTGATGAAGGACACGGTTTCTCCAATAGAAACAATAGACTCAAGGCTTATCATGACTTGGTTGACTGGTTGAATTTAATCTTGAACGAACAACCTGAAGCTCCAAAACCAGCCGCTTCCACTGTTAGTAAATAAACATTCGTGTGAATTAGCTCTACAATTTCTTCAACATTACTTTGCATTGAAATGTTCTATTCCAAGAATTAGATTTAAAGAAAAAAATGCCTCAATCAACCTTACAAAATAATTCACCCGATAGACTTTCAAGGCCAGGCGGTTTTACTGATGAATTAAGAGGATGTCCACTCCCTCTATATCATGACCATCCTGGCTATGTTTCTGAAATGCTATTTGTCAGTGAGGAAGATTTGAAGCTATTATCTTGTACGGATATTCCAAATCCTTTTCAGTTAACATTCACTCCCAGAATTTATTGTTATTATGACTTGGTAAAACAAATGAGAAGAAAGCTAAACCCAGTTGTTGATATTCATTCTATATTCAACAATAGTAATGGGGAAAAGGAACACATGTTGGGATCAGGATTTATTGTTTCACCCCCATCTTCAAAAGAAGTCTACATTTTTACATGTTTCCACAATGTGAGTGGGTTCAGAAAGAATGGAATTTGGTACAATAACGAGTCAGTTTATGTATTATTGGATCCAGATAGGAGTCAGAGACCTAACTTTACAGTAGAGCATTATTGTAAGTGTGAAATTGTTGAAACTGGATCTGTTTTAGAAAATGAATTGTTAACAGATCATCCTCAAGAAGATTGGGCCCTACTCAAAACATCAACAGAGTTATTACTTGAAGAAGATCCAAATTTCTTTTTTATTCCATCCCCATCCAATGTTTCTGAATTACAATCAAAAGAAGAGAAAACATATAGCGTGTGCCTTCAATCCATTCCAAGTAGAGTTCAAGAATTAGATATGAACACACATCCTTGTAATGTGAATATCAATATGGAGACAATTTGTCAATATATAGAATTTGATGTGAAAAGTGCAAGCTTTGGCAGAGGGAGAGGAGGAGATGAAGGTGTGTCTTTTTATGATTCCGTATCTTTCAAAGGTAGCTCAGGAGGGGCTGTTACGACGTGTAATCAACATTATGAAGATTGGTCATTGTTTAAAGAAAAAATCGAGTTATCGAATAGAGTTGTTGGAATTCATATTGGTGCTGAGAATTTTGGAAAAGTCGATTGTTCAAACCATGTGAATAGATGTTGCAGTGTAAAAAATTGGTTCCAGTGCTATCTTTCGAAAGTGTACGACCCTCTGAGAGAACATTTCTCTCAAGCATTCCAAGAGTTGGTTGAGTCAGAAAGATACTTTTTTAATAAGAATTAGCAAGTAAGCACAATAAAAAAGATATTTTAAAGACAATTGATTATTAAAGCTCAGGGGCTGAATCACCTTAATGGTGAAACACTCTGGCAACTGCTTTGAAGAATGTATCTTATTGTTTCTTTGTTGGGGTTTCATTCTTGTTCATTCTATTTGATTCGAATAATGTTGAGCAAATTTACTATCAGAAACAGGTCTATTCCTCAAATGCCCCCAACATTTTGTTAATACGTAAATTGAGTGAGGTTTAGTTTCGAAACATTAATCATATTTTAAATTGATTTCTCGGATAATGACTTGAGGATTGATGGATAGTTTTATTGGATTCCTCAATCGTTTTCGAATCCAATGATATGAAAATTAATGTAGTAATTAATTAAATATTTAAATCTGATAATTCAATAAAAATAAAAAATGTCTTTACACACTCCACGCAGAAGCCAACGCAATATAAATAAACCAAAGATACGTTATAGTAGAAATTTTTTAGTTGATGAAGATAGCGATGAAAATGATGAACCACCTACAAGATGTAAAAAGGTCAAACCAAGCAATGACGATCATCATGAAACAGTTTCAAACAATTCCGAAATGTTGAGTACAACACACCACGATAGTAATAACAATAGTAGGGAGGCATCTACAACAGAATCCATAAATCTAGATCAAGATACCAACACTGACCACGAATTATTTGAGCCATTGGAACAACAATTAACAAAACCTGTTATTATGGAAAATGAAATGATGGAAACAACCATAACCTCGGAACAACAAAAACAAATGACAAGTGGAATCACAATCAGAAAACCTTCTGTTATGGAAAATCTGTTGGATAAACCTATTAATTATCGTTTGGAAATTATTTCACAATTACTAAGCTCTCTTCAAAATGATTATGAACAAGCTGAACAAAATGCTGTATCCATGTCAGATGTAATTAAAAGAGCCACATTTACAATTGAAGAATTGGATAAACTTGATAAGGAAAAATTAAATCAATTAAGAAAAGTGTTGCAAAACTCTGCCAATATTGCCACTGAAATATTGTTAGAAAGAAAATGATCATATTACATCATTGGAAGTGAATTGATTAACAGGAATTCTGAAACACAAGAACAGCTGTACAAAGTAGCACTCAATGCAAACTTTAATAATTTATGGTCTTTCAGATAGCAATTGATTAATATTGGGAATAATTAATGAGTAGACAGTGACTGATTCCAAATGGTTTTGAATGAGAATTCTTTTGATAGCGGCCATGAATTCTTTGAATATCTTTTGTCTTCTTTTCAAGTCTCATTAGCAAATAGCCATAGGCAAAATCACTCAATTTTCTCTACTTGCTATCACTACCACCAGCAATAAATAAGGTGATAGTAATATTTGAATTCATATTAATTACTCTTTTAAGGTGGTTCTAGAAAATCACTCATTTCCAACAGTGCACTACACCAGAGCATATTCCTTATCCGATCACTATTGAATATCAATTATATGATTTTAAATTGCTGATTCGGAGCTGAGAAATTAGAAATCAAAAAGCATTCAAAATCGAAAAAATCCTAATTTTAAATTCCTTCTTACTCAAAAAAATGCCTCAAAAACAACATCAAGGCGCCAACTACAACAACAACAATACAATAATGAGGAGTTGTTTGTCGAATCGGAGAGGAATTGTTTTACTTGCTTTTTTAGTGATGGTGTTCATGATGAGTACATCAGCAACAGTAGCAGCCATTCCTTCATCACCATCGGCAGCATCGGATGTTCTTCTTTATACAACACTGGAGGCTGAGTCACCAAATAATACAAATCCTAACGATCACAATACAATAGATCCATCATATAATTATCCTATTTGGATTCCTTGGGCTATTTGTGGAGTATTATTCTTTGTTATTTTCATCATTACTTCAATTGCTGTTTGTTTATTTCAAGATAGGAGAGAAAAGAGTTTTATTGCTTTGGTTACTTCAATTGTGGGAATTTCTCTGGTTGTATTTTCAATCTTTGTTGTTCCTGTTGATATCTTTAATGTTTCTCAAACTTTTGATCCAAAGGAAAATTCCCTCGTCATTAAGATTCTCTATTATAGTATTTATTTAATATTATTGATTTTTGGCTCTGTCATTATTCCATTTGCTTATTTCTGGTATGAAGAAGATCCAAAATTAGGAGAGAATGAAGATGATGATGACAAGTATTCTCTATCTTCAAAGAAACAACAACCATCAAGAGCAAGTGGATTGGGATGGAGATTGTTTCACACTATCAAATTTACACTCTTTACATTCATTGCAGGTATTTTGATTATCATTATGGGTCTTGTCATGTCTGCTATTAGTGGAACTGTTGCTGATAAGAATAGTGTTACTGATTGGTTGAAACAATTGGTAGATGTCGAACATTTTGGAGATAGAGCTATTAGATTCATTGTTGGTTGTTTGGCTGTTGTGGGTTGTTTTGGATTCAATATTTATACAGCCTATGGTCTCTCTGCTTTACCAATTGGATTAATGAAGAGAAAATATCTCACCTACAAGGATGAAAATGTTGTGGATAGAAGGGCTGATGAAGTTGATGAAGAAATTGACCTCCTTCAAAAGAAATATAGAATGAAGGGAACTTCCATGAATAGAGAAGATCAAAAGAAGTATGACAGACTCAGACAAGAAAAGACAGAACTCGAAAATACCTCAATTAGAATTGAAAGATCCAAGAAGAGTATCATTGCCAAGTTGGAACCATGCATGTATCCATTTAAATTATTGATTGGATTTGGTATTTTGGTGGTATGTATTAATTTTTATTGAATGTTTTTTTAATGATTTATTGAATTAATTGTTTTATATTGTAATCAAAACAGGTAATCATTTTCCTTCTAATTTCTCTACTCATCAACTTGATTTATAGAACTGTTACCAGCAAGTGTGGTATTGCTTGTGGATTTGTCACTGAAGAAAATTGTTATTTCAATCCTTTGGATTTATTGCTCACCTACAGTTCCATTATTTTCCCAATTGACTATATTATTTTAGCTTTAATTATTTGCTTATTTATTTGGGCAAGTATGGTTTCACTTTCAACTATTGGATTGAGATTCTTGTGTGTTAAATTATACAAGTTAAAGGTCAGATCAACTGTTCCACAAGGTTTATTAACTTCTGGAATTTTCCTCATGTTTATCATGTTGGCAACCTCCTTCATGTTACCAAGTTTTGCTCCAGTCTATACTACCTTTGGTTCACAAAAATATCAAGATTCAACTGGAGCTTGGAAGCAATGTGCATTGGCTGCCTTCAACTTTACAGAACATAGTAATAATTCTCACTCCTTATTTAATCATCCTGAAATTCCATCTCTATTTGGCGATTTGGATGGAAATTACACTAACGGAAATAACACTAACACCACAAGACCTTGTTACATGACAGAACTATCTCAGAATGTTAACAGCGTGACAATTGGTGTTCCTGTTTTCAGTATTATTTTCTACTTTGAAAATTGGTTATTTGTACTGTGCTTTATTATTGGGTTCATTGTTTCAATTTTCAAAAAGCCGGCATCATTTGAAGAAGCAGATACTTATGATCATGATGAGGAAATTATGAAACGACCACTCAGGGGAAGGTCCTACAAAGAGTATGCCACATCTTCAACACGATCAAGTATGTCTTTAAACTCTTACAATGCCATCAACTAACAAAATAATTTATTAAAAAAGATTCTTCTACAACTTTGGCTTAATACTATTTAATCTTCTAACTCGACTTATAACTCGATTTGATTACCTTACTAACTGATATTAAAATTTATTTATGCTTCCCCGTTGCAGCCTTAGTGTTTTTTTTTAAAAGTAATACCTTGTTTATTTAATTTGATTGTGTCACAATGGCAATGTCATCAAATTTCCAGATATTGTCATTCAAATCGACGTCGAATCCCATTTCCAACTTCTTTCCTGCACTGGCAACTTCCCACTTTTCTGGGCAAACCAGACGAAGCATCAAGAGTTTGAATAGCTCACTAACTTCATTTTCATTTCTAGTGGTAAAGTAAACAACGGTTGAATAAGTGCTACACACAATGTTCATCCTCTTTGTTCTCCACCTCTTTCTTTGATATTGGTAAATAGTTTCCAAGTCTAGGAGACGAACTGGAACAGTATGATGATCATCTGGGCCTTCTGATTCAATACCGAGTTGATTGAATTCATTCAACCCAATTGAATAGACCTCAACCTCTTGAGGTGACCTTTTGGATTTCTTTGTATAGACCAAGTGGCATTTTCCTACGTAAATATCGAGAATATTTGGATCGGAGAGAATTTCGGATCTGGTTGGTGGAATGATATCCATAGCATAACCCACAGCAGCATGACCATATTGATTATCACCCATTACATAGAAACTTCCATTCACATCCCTCAGATAGGATGTAAGGGAGTTGGAATAAATATCACAAATATTTGCATTAAATCTATGAATAATTTCTTTGAGAAGAGTAAAGTTTTCAACTGGACCTCCACTTCCAATTTCTCCATAATTATTTGAACCTGTAACGAAAACTTCGCCATTGGCTGTCAGCAACATGGTGTGATAGTCTCCGGCTTGTACTTTTACAATTCTGGATTTTGTAAACCTGCTTGTATCCAATTTAGTGAGCTCGTTAACAGTTGGAGGGAAGGAATTTCCAAGTTGGAAATCACTATTATCACCACACATATACACTTGATGGTCAAAAGTTAAAATTACTGTATGATCATAGCCACAAACAACTTGTTGGATTGGTCCAACTTGTTTTGATACTTTTGTGAGTTTGGTAATTTCTTGGTCAGGGCTTCCAATACCACATTGACCGAATCTATTACTTCCACAAGTGTACAGTGAGATATTGTCATGAGCCAAGAATAGAGTATGCTCGCCTCGAGAAATGATTTCCTTAATGTGTAAGAATTGAGCATCTGGAATTTCAGCCAAATCATTCCCAGGATGACCTAATTGTTGGCATGAATTTTCACCACATGACCAAATTCTACCTGACTGACTCAAAAAGAAGGTATTATCAAAACCTGCAGCAACAAAAACAATCTCATCTGTAATGTGAGCATAATTGTTGACAAAATCGTGCTTGCTAGTAATCTTTGAAGTGGTTGGAATTTGTGTGGCATGGGATTGGGTTGGTAAAAATCTGGTAATATCAATAGGGTGAATGACTGTAGTTTCAATACCTTCTGCAAAACTGGTAGCTGAGCCAAAGAATGAGGTATTATGAGATCTACCTGTGAGTGATGAAGAGGAAGAGGATGAAGATGATTTGCTCTCAATAGTTGCAGAGCTTCCAAAATTCTTTTGTTGGTTATTCATATTATTATTATTATTATTTGGAGGCAAAAATGGTGAAAGGTAGTTCAAATTTACAGAGCTCCTATAGTATGGAGCGTTTGGAAGTGATTCAGGTTGAGTTGTTACTGGAGTTTTTTCGGTTTCTCCAGGAGTAATAATGATATCGAGTGATGATGGTTCATCGTTGCTATTGTACAATTGGTTGGAAAAACTAGTATCATTGTTGGAAAAGCTACTATTGAGCCCTGATGGAGGATTATATAATTGTTGTCCGATGGAGGTTGGAACTCTATGGGCTGTTTCAATCAAGGATGATGAAACAGAGAATGAATTAGCTTGTTGGATATCATTGAATTCATCAAAATTATTTCTATTGGAAGGCACTGGGTTGACATTTTGTAAAATACAATCCTCATCATTGTTGAGGGAGAGATTGATTTCTGGAGCCTTTAAAAAGCAACTATTTTCTCGCTGGTTATAGGATTCAGCACTGATCATGCTAATATTCGATCGTTGTTTTGTGACAGACATACTAGAGAGATTGAGTCTGTCAATAGGTGCAGATTTTCCAATCTTGTACATCCTAGTTGACTTAGATAAAACAAATTGATCAACAGCAATATCATGCAATAAATTATATCTGTTATCTCCACAATAGAATACCTTGTAGTGATGGTATGGTCTAATGAGAGAACCACTTGGTAATCGTTTTCGTGAGTGGGCGTTAACTGGTGTTTGTGAAAGTCCTTTTGTCGTTTCCTCCGAAGAAACTGTCAGAAAATTATTCTGAGTAGTGGCACCATTCATAATGACATTATTGGTGTGAATATTTGTTGTTGATGGAGGAACATTAGAGGAGCAACTCATTCTATTCAACAAGTAATCAACACCATCCAATTGACCTGATGAACCTTGACCGGACAAGAAGGCATCCTCTTCATCCTGTTTTGGAGAGGAAGTGGGCGATGAATTGTGACTGTACGAAGACGACGCATTCGAACCTGTTCCAGCCTTTGTTTGTGGCGAAAGTGAATCGGATGATGTTCTATGAGTGAGTCCTGAAGGTTGACTAGCAGCCTTTGTTCGTAATCTTTGTGGTGGAACAAAATCGTCTCCTGCTGAAACACTCTCCTGTATACTAGCAAGTTTAAATATCTTGAACACCATGATCTTGTTGTTTTCTCTTTAAAAAAGGCCTAGTTTAGTTCTACTGGAGTAGTAGTTTTGAGTGGTTCTGGTTGTTGTTGTTGTTGTAGTTTTGACAACGTTTTTCCAAATCAGCGTGCAGAGTTTGTAGTTGTGCTGGTTGTTGTAGTTTTGTTTTTTTGAAAGGTTGAGAAAAAAAGGTGTTGGAGGCAATTTTTTAAAGTTTTGTCAAGTTTGAAAAAGCCTTGTGGTTCTTCAAAGTGTTTCGTCCAAAATCAGCACCGAGTTACCCCACTGGGTTGTTCTTTTCTACTTTTCTTCAAATAAAAGTAGAATGGAAGTAGAGAGCAAAATATTAATATTATACAATAGTCAGCTCACACTACTGATTAAAACTCTTTGCAATACAACAACAATACTATCTTTTGATGTCCAATGATTTTACTGTAAATTAAGTTTGCCGCCAGAAATTTGTTTGTTGGCTCACTTAAACTTGTATTTTACTAGATTTAGTGTTTTGTTGTCTACTGATACAATGATGAAGATGACACAATGAAAAAGGCACGATAATGGTAATTGGCCTTGCAGATGTTGGTTTGATTGGTGCGTTTTTTTCTCTTGTTCCTTCTCGAGTCAACCAAGAGTTTTAAAATTTGATTTTGCAATACAACAGCAACAATGCAACTTGTAATTTTACGACTCTTCGTTTTTTGGAATAATTTCTCCAAATGTGATGATTGAAAGAGAAGATGTTGAGTCGAATTGTTTATGGTTCAATGGTTTTGAATTGACTGTTTAGGAGTTTTAGTTGTGAAAAGGAATCGATAATTAACAAATTAAAAATGAATCAGTGATTGATAAGATTTTGACCAAAGGTTTATTATTCGAAACAAAAAAAGAGAAAATGATAAACTATTTCATAAGACTTCAAATTCAGCATTGGCACTAACAAACCATGACTGTCGGACGACTTCCTTTCTTCAATGTTTCAACTCAAAGCAATTGTATTCGAATCTCGTTAATTTTATACAAAATTGAAGTTATTTCTAACTCTACAATAGTGGCAATTGACTTTCTTTAAAAATACATCAAATTGCCAACAGAATCCATCATCATCAAACAAATATTGCAAGTGGAAATGCAGAAAACAGAAACAGAACGACGTCATATTATTCTTCTTGGTCGGAAGAATATCACTTAATATCTGCCATTAAGCATGCGCGTGAGGATTAATCTTATTGAAACCCTCCTTTTATTTATCAAGGTTTTTTATGTAGACGGCAGTTTGGCGCACAATACCTCAACATCTCTACAGTTGAAACGCACATTTTGAACGCATCTTACTTCAATTGTGCTTCTTCTAATTATTCATGCTATTATTTAACGTGCTTGTATTAAGAAACTACAGAAAAAACAAAAGGAAAAAGTGAGGGATAACTGATCAATTAATAATTAAGAGCGAAACAAGGGTATATTCGGAAGAAGAAAACAAACCTCAACACTAATTTCATGTGCAATTGTTATCAACAACATCAGAGTAAAACAATTCATAAAGATGAGTATAGAAATTAAAGTAAAACCCAAGATGAGTCATCAACAATCCAAACAGCATGATGAAATTGTCAATGATCATAAGGCTCACAATCAGAAGAATCATCATCAGAGACCTTCTGTTCTCTTGTCGTGGCACAATTTAGAGTTTAAAGTAAAGGTGGCTGCTAGTCAGGCTTCAAGAAGAATTGCACCATCAAGTTCGGAAGAGCAATTGAATGGAGAATCACAACAAGAAAATGCATCATCACAAAAATCTTGGAATCCTGTCAATTACTTTAAACAGAAAATAGCAAAGGTTGAGAAACAAGTATTGCAACCAATGACTGGTTTTGTAGAGCCAGGCACAGTTTTGGCAATAATGGGCCCTAGGTAAGTTTTTGCATCTTGTTTATTTACAGTTGAATGCGGTTCAAATTTTTCAATCTACAATTTGATTCAGTGGTTCTGGCAAGACAAGTTTTCTCAATTTGCTAGCTCAAAGAGTTAAACCAAGTGGAGGAACAATTAAAATCAATGGAGAAAATGTATCAAATCATATGAGCTCATTCATGGCATGCAGTGCATTTGTGGAGCAGGATGATGTCTTGATGGGTTCACTCACGGTCAGAGAAACATTGAGATATGCGGCCTTATTGAAAATGCCATCAAGTAAATATACAATGAGAGAAAAGATGGAACGAGTTGACCATTTGTTGAAAGAATTGGGATTGGAAAAGAGTGCAGATACAATTGTAGGAGTTCCCGGACTTTCGAAAGGTATTTCAGGAGGTGAAAGAAAAAGACTCAGCATTGCTGTGGAAATTATCAATGATCCAGCTGTATTATTTTTGGATGGTAAGTGGTTTTATCTTTATATGTAAATTAATCATTCTTTGAATTTGTTTTGATATTATTATCATTAGAGGTAACAACTGGATTGGATGCAAGAACAAGTTTAAATGTAATTCAAACAATTATGAAATTGGCAAGAAAGGGAACAACTATTGTATTAACAATTCACCAACCTCGTTCAGATATTTTCCAAATGTTTGATAGGCTTATTCTTCTTGCACAGGGAAGAATTGCTTATTTTGGAGATGGTCAGCATGTTTCACATTATTTTGAAAAACTTGGCTATCAATGTCCAGAAGACTACAATATTGCAGATTATTGTATCGATCTGATTAGTGAAAATCCGTCCTACACCAGTGATAATCCAAAGAAGAAACTAGACGAAGCAAGAAGAATTACCTCAATATTGGATCACTATGAAAAACACACTTCACAATCAATGAAGACGCCAAAATACGATTCAGAAAGTCAAACAGATTTCAAAGCTTTGAAACTCACTAGAAACAATGCCTTCTCACAATTTATCATTCTATGTCTGAGAGGGTTACTTAATACTGTAAGAAATAAGCAATTAACAACTGTGAAAGTTTTCCAACAAATAGTAATGGCATTACTGGTTGGTTTGATTTTTATTCGATTGGGACATACCCAAACAGATGTACAAAATAGAATTGGAGCATTATTTTTCATAATGGTAAGTTTTTGAACCCAATTTTAAATTATATTGATTTCATAATAGACCAATCAAATCATGTCTCCACTCTTTGGATCAGTTTCAAGTTTTCACAATGATAGACCTGTTTTATTCAGAGAAAGAGGGGCGAACCTTTACAATATTGGCAGTTTTTACTTTTCCAATCTGGTTGTTCAAATGCCTTTATCAATGTTTTTCCCAATATTCTTTGGATCAATGGTGTATTATTTAGTAGGTCTAAATGAAAATGTAGAACGATTCTTCATGTTTATACTCATACTGATAGTGGTAGCCATCTCTGCCAGTAGTATGGGTTCTCTGTTTGCAGTGCTGAGCCCATCGTTTGGTGTGGCCATGTCAGTCATTCCTCTCATCACAACCATGTTGATGCTCTTTGGAGGATTCTACAGAAATGTCTCAAATATTCCACCTTACTTTATTTGGATTTACTGGATATCGGTATACCACTTTGGGTTTGAGGCATTAGTTCACAATGAGTTAGTTGGAGCTGTCTTTGAATGCCCTACATCCTTCTGTGCCTCACCAACTGGAGAAGCAGTTATTGAGGTTTTGGAAATGAATGGTCCTCTCTCCAACATTTGGATCAACTTGGGTTTCATGTTGGCTGTGGCACTCATTTGTCAAATTATCAGTTTTATTGTGTTGGCACTTTTCGTCAAACCAAAACGATAAATAAATTTTTTATTAACACTATATTTATATTACATTATTTATACATGTAATTAATAAATTATTAAAGAGAAATTCTAAATTAATAAATGCTCATAAGATTGAACAAGATTCTCATCACAAATTAATTTTTTAAATTTTAAAAAAAATGTACTGCAGTAGTACCTCATCGCCAACTGCTGATACTACTCTGAATAATAACAACAACAGTTCAGTGGAAGACGAAAGCACTAAGAGACGATATTTCAGAGATATACCGATCGTTAAATTTCCAACAGATTATGTGCAACGGAATGATGTTTACATGTACACTGAAGATATATCCTACTTTTTGGGAGGTATAATTCCTGCTTCCGATATTGAAAGTTTATTTGAGGAATTTAGAAAAATTTGTCCCAAGAAGATTAAACACGAGCAACAAGAAGTTGTAACTTTTAAATATAAAAAGCAGAGTAAAAAGAGGAAGAAAAAGATATTTGATACTATAAAGGAACGAATGTTGACTTTTCAAGAAGGACATACAAAGTCAACACCAAGAAGTGTCATAGAGGCAACGAGGAATGCTGAAAGATTCTGTTTTTTGAATGCAGAACGAGTTCATTCAATGTTTTTAAATGCACTTGTGGAATCTGAATCGGATTTACCTGTTGCTTTCATCTTGTTGAGATCGATTTTGGACGAAAAGATAATCAAATCTCCATATAAATCATCAATAGGAATTCATGCAGATTATCCATCTATGGAGCAGAAACAAGAGGGAAAAATGGATATTGTCTTTCCTCCAGAATTTAAACGTTCGAAACATGCATTGTGGACTATTAGGAAAAAAAATACAAAGGAAATGGAATCGGAAAAGAAAAAGCCCTCAACAGAAGAAAAGAATTCCAAGTCTGCAACATCTTCAACATCCAAACCAGCTGAAGCACCATCGTCTTCTGGAAAATCGTCAGAAAAGGAGGAAAGGGAAGAATCTCTATTCCTTCCATTGGGTGGGCATGAAAGTTCCATAGACTCACCAAAAATTATAGAAAAAACGAGTAATAGCACCACTACCAATAATACTAAGAATATTTCTCAACCAATAATTCCAACATTTACTCACAGTTTAATATCAATAGGAAAATCAGTGAGAGTTTTATATTCAATGGATACTAGTAAGAATAATTCAATCAATTTAACGATATCAATTAAGGAATATGATGAAGCTATCAAGGCAACAGAGAAACAGACGAGAAACATCACTCTAACTGATAATAGAGTTAAGGAATTGTGGATTTTGGACTATGCATTTGGATTGAGCTATTCTGGAGGAATTGCGGGAATACCCTCGTCTCAGTACTTTAATTCTGGACTATCTGTGGTTTTGGATAAAAGTTTACAGCCAATGTTGGAACAGATAAGGACTAAAATCAATATCCCTTGCGTACCCTTCTCAGAGAGTATTCTCAAGAAGGATGTCAAATCTCCTCAACAATTGTCCAGACTATGTGAGGAAATGGTCACCGACTCATCAGATGCACCATCGACCAATACCACAAGTGCAAGCAGTACAATGACTGATAACACGACAGATAATTGTCCACCTGTAAATAATATTGAATCCTCTTCCTCCTTCATTATTCCACCAACAACTAGTATTATCCCTCCTGTAAATAAGAGTAAATCAAGCGAAGAACAACAACCTAAGACAAACTCTCAAGAGTTTACTAATCACTTCACACTTCCCGATGATGGCAAAATAGATTTGAATAAGTGTGATATTAGCATAACTTATGCTCCATGGGAAGAGGCATCTAGTCCAGTTGGTAGCAATAATGATGCATATTCTGATAGCCACTCTGTCTTTTTCGATGATGACGATCATGAATTATATATTAATAGGAAGAGAAAGAATATGGAAGACCCTTCGAGCAGCGATGAGGAGGAGGAGGATGAGAATGATGAAACGTCAAAGAAAGGAAAAATTAATGAGCCAGAAGAAGAGTTAGAACCTCATCATATTACTGTACTTAAACGATTATTACAGTTCCAGTTGATTCGAGAAGAAGATTACGATAACAAACTCAAATTTTTCCAAGCCATCAATGAATATAGATCAGGATCTCTTCAATCCCTCCAAAAAATCATCAATTCCGAAATGGAGAGCCTGAACAATTTTACAGAGTATGAAAACTTTATTTGTCCTCTGTCTAAGAAATTCATTTTGGATCCTGTTCTGGCTACAGATGGATTACTCTATGATAGAACGGCACTCTCTCAATGGATGATAACCTTCTCCTCTGTTTCATTGCTTGGTGGCTGTAGAGTGACATCCTTTACAAATATGCCATCTGCTGTTGAGGAAATTAATAGAATTCTCTCCAAAAAAATTGGACATTGTATTGAATTTATTGAGCAAATTGTCGAACAAAAAGTTTATTGCATTGATTTAATTCCTTTAATAGATCAAGTTGTATATTATGATTCTACCCTCAAACGGTATAGACGAAAATTGTTGGATTTTAAGGAAAAAATTATCTATCAAAATATTTCAACTATTGCAAATGGTCAGGATAGATATTTTGATTGTGGAAAGGAAATTTTAGAGTTGGAAACTGAAAAGAATGTAAGAATTCAATATTCAATATCCATGTTGGAGAAGAACCCAAACCCTGACTATTACACATACTTCTCCCATGTTATTTATGAGTGTTGCAACCGTTCTATCAATGAATTGAAACAGGTTCCAAATTTGTCAACACAAATTCTCAACAATATTCTGACTGTTCTATTTCTCAAAAGAGAGTTTAATCATCCTCAATTCTTTAGTTCTGTAAATATTGATCTTTTCACTCAACCGACAGCTAATCATTGGATGCACATGCTAATACTCCTCTCTCAAACTGAGGCAGAGATTCTTGCATCAAATCATCAGTAATTTATTATAAACATTTCTAATATGAACAATGACCAAGTGTATTAATATTTTCGGTAAAGTTAATAAGGATAAAATATGTTATTAATAAATATCTTATTGAACTGTATCTCTAAATTGTCATGATGATTTTAATTAAACACTTGAAGTCTGACAAGTTACCATATCATCTCAAAAAAAAATGTCATTCTCACTTCCAACAGAAAAACCAATCGTTCTCTCCTACTTTCAAAAATACGACAATAACAACTCTTCATCTATCGGATTAAAAGAACTAACTCAACTCTTATCCGATTTGGGTTTTAAAATTGAACAAAAAAATAGTGAAAACAATGAACGTTCTTGGCGGGAATTGAAAAAGAAGGAAGTTAAGGCAATCGCAACCTTGATCGATAGAGATTGCTCCAAGTCGATTTGTTTTGAAGAGTTTTATATTTGGTGGATTAAATTGAGTGGATCGGGATTTTCTACATTGACTAAGAAGGTTAAAATGTTGACTGCTGCTTATGATAGTTTTGTTGTATGTTGTTGTTATTTAATATTTAATATTTAATATATAATTATTTTATCATCACAAATATTAAATGTTGATAAAGAATTTCGATAAAGATAAAAGTGGATTTTTGGATTTCCCTGAAGAATTTGATCAATTCTATCAAGCCTATTTCCAAGATGCTGGTGATGCTACTCATTCTAAAGAACAAGTTGCTAAAGAACTTGACAAGGATGGAGATGGAAAAGTTTCATTCCAAGAATTGGTTCAAATTTTAGGAATTTTAAACTAAACTCCAACTATTAGAAACATTTCAATTATTTCATTATCAAATTATGTATTTTAAAATTTAAAACTCAATAATATCACATTTAAATTAAAATACTAAAATTTTTATTGATCTTTACCACCATCAAATGTCACCTGCCAAAAACATTATTAAAAAAAATGAGCATGTCAAATGGCCTGGGAGATCTAAACAACTCCCAATCCAATCTGATGAAACTGGCCACTCTCAACTCATCCTTCCAACAACAACAATCCATCGACCAAGACATGGGCACCTTTGAGAAGAAACTTGCCGCCGAAGCCGAAGCCTTCGAGAGAGCCTTGATCGAGGAAACCTCGCAACCTCTCCGTCGTGCACTCCAACGTTACGAATTCTATACGCGCCAAGAGGAACAACGTCAGGAGAGGAAGAGAGAGTTGGGTTCATTGGTGAAGAGAAAAGAGCGCGGTTTTCAGCAATATACTACTACTCAGCAACGGCTAGAGAAAAAATGTTCCACCTCGAATCATCACGATTACGATGCCTATTTGTGTTTGGGTCAAGGAGGACAGTTGGTAGAGAAGAATTATTATGGTCCCTTGTTGGTGTATAGTAGTAATAGTAGTGCTTCTAATAATTCATCATCGGATGGTCAGGATGAAGAGGAGAGTTTGATATTGAATAAGAAACACTCTGATCATCATCACCATCATGAAAAATCTGAAGAGACAATGGATGAACATCATTCGGATGATGATTTGATTCATGAAGCTATTTTGGAGGAACAAAAACACTTGATTGAAACTTTTACTGCCATGCAAAATGGTGAATTACCAACACCTTCTGGAGTTGCTTCTAAACCTGTCTATTTGGGTGAGGATGGTACCTTGTATAATTTGTATTATGAACCATTGCCAAAACAAGATTCAAGCATGTTGAGAGGTAGAGGAAAATTTTCACAAATTGCCTATGGATCAAGTGCAAAATCTTCTGAAGCTGAAATTGTGGAAGGTATCAATAAGGCTAAACAATTGAAGGATAAGAAGAATTTAACAAATGAAGAGGAATTAATTGTTAAAAAGTATGGTCAAGTTGTCAATGGTAGTGAAGAGTTGATTGACAAGTATGTTAGAAGAGGAAGAATGCTTGATCGTTATGAATATCAACATGATCCTGATTTGTACTTGTCAGCACCAGATCCTGAAAGTTTCACCTCCTTTGATGATTATGAAGAAGCTCTCTTAAACTGGACCAAACAAGTCGAATCCAAGTTGGGCTATTTGCAATTACCTCGTGTAATGGGCAGACATTATTTCCGTCCAGCCGAAAGATCTGAAAATAGTGCTGCAGCTGAAAATGCCATTGATCAACGTGCTAGTACTCATCTCCATGGCAGTAGACATATTTCTGAGAATCTTACAGCTATTGCATTGAAAGGTGGTTTTGATGATGACAGTTTAGATGGTCCTAACACTATTGGTCACGAAACTTGGGAAGCTCAACTCGTTCCTCTCGAACCAAAACCAGAGTTTTATGAAACTTTTAAAGAATATGAAATGGCAATGATTCGTTGGGCTATTGTAACTCTCGGATTACCATTCCTTCCTCCTCATGTTGCCCAATATCAAACTTTACTCGGTTTGAAATTAGTCAATGAACCAACCTTCCAAATTTCTGGTGTTCAAGTCTCCTCTCAAGACAATGAAGAAAAGGAAGATCTTGAAACTAATATCAATGATGATGATAGATTGGATGACGATAAGGTCTCAATTCGTTATGAGGTCAAGAATGAATGGGAAAATCTTAAACCAAATGTTAAACAAGAAATTACTAATGGTATTCAGCAAGTGGTCAATACCAAAATGGAAAATAAGAAAAAGTATAGATCCTATCACAAACCAGTACTTCCTATTATACATGGTACTTTGAAATCTGAAAGAAAGGCCGTTCAGCTCAAACTCGTAGCAGGTGAAAGAACCAAGCCAGAAAATGTCAGAAGTTGGATCGTTTACCAAAGACAAAAAAAGTCTCTCAGTTGTGTTCCAGCTCAACTTACTTTGACTTATTCTTCAGCCAACGCATCCGATATAGATCACCAAATTCCATTGAGAAGAAAGGATTTAACTCCTTTGGATATTCGTGCCTCTCAAGATTGTGAAGAGGTAGAAAGAGATGTCGTGAACTTTGACTCACCAGAGTACGATCTCGGTGAGATTGACTTTAATTTGCTTGCCAATAATCCAAATTACATGATGTTCCTTCAAATTGTACTTGCTAGAAAGGATAATGAAAAGAGATTTGACCACCTCAACAGTTGGTACTTCCCTAAGGAGGAACCTTTCTATTTGAGTGAAATGTTTAGTGGTTTGTGCTCTGTTCTTGATAAGGTTGAACATCCTTCACAAATGAAGGTATCTCACTTTGAAGGCATTTTCCAATCTTCTGTCTATTTGGACGATTTCCAAAAATTCTTGAACACTGACTTGAAACTTAGAATGAGTATGATGAAGAATGGTGTGGAAATTCCTGTTGAAACTTATGGTAAACTCATGTTCTGCTCCACAACCAAACAACACTTTAGTGCCATACTCAAATTTTTCCACAATTCCAACTCTCCTCTCACTCACGTAAAGGTTGCTCACTATGTCAAGGAATTCTTCAAGCAAGAAAATTCCAAGGACATTATTTCAGAGTACCTTCAAGATGATGATTATACTACCTTGCAATACATTGCTCGTGCTGTAACACTTTTCGATGAGGTACCAGTTCAATTGTACGAATACTCAGAATCAACAAGAAATGCTGTTATTAACATTGTCTTGTCTGATCAAGGTAAAAAGAAGGAAGATTCCACATTGAGAATGGTAGACAAGTTCCTTGTCAACTTGCTCATGTTGTACTATACTAACTGCATTACAGTTTCTCTTGTTGAGGAAGATAAGGCCTACCCACACGTATACCCATTCTTGGTTACTAAACTTGAAAAGTACATTGATGAAGTTAACAAGTATCTCAAGTGCAGCAAGTCCTTCCTTAAATCCCACATTTGGAAGATACTTGGATCTAGAACCAAATCTGTTACTGCACTTGGTAAATTTGTACTTTCCTTCTTATTCTTCTTGTCATGGAAGGATGATATCAAGAATGCTCTCAAATCAGAAGATACAGAGCTGCTCAATAATATTAGAAAGCTAGCCTCAAGTACCTTCAGTCACGTCCAAAATGCAACAGCCAGATTGTTCCCATTATTGAAGGAGTACGAAGACTTGTTGACTAAGGATTATAGAGATGGTAACAGGGTTTTGAGAGATTTGGACTTGGCAGAGACTAAATCTGCCAGACAAGCTGTAGTAGACTCTCGTCCTCCACTTGTTGCTTCCATGGTTCTTGAATTCTTGAATGAATCTCTTACTGTTAGAAAGGAAGAATTTGGTTCTCAACAAGATGCCTACTATCACATGATTGTTGGTCTTATTGAATCACGTGTTTTCACATTGGTTCTTGATGAAGTTCTTGCAACTGTCACCCAAAAGAGAGTTCACCAAGGTACCGTTATGGGATCCTTGTTTATTGCCAAGTTTGCTAAATTCCTTGTTTGCAATCAATTGGTTCCACAAGACAAGACCAGTGATAACAACCCTACCAAGTGGGGAGCTCTTAAAACAGCCTTCTCATTGAAGAGAAAGGAGGTTGTTGAAGTCAAACAGGCTCTCTATTCTGGTTCCAAGGTTGAAATCAATAGTGCCATTCTTCTCTCCATGTGGGACTTTATTGGAAAGCCTGACAGATTGAGAAAGACCTACAGACCTCGTTGTGCCATGTTGATTGCCTTCCGTCATCTTATCAAGGTACCTGAAATTTTCAACATGATGCCAAGGGATGCCTTTACCAACTTTTATACCAAATTATTGGAATTGTGTAAGGATGATGTAGATATGGAATTCAACAGAAATGCATGGAGATTATTCTATCAACTTATTAAATTCCATGGTGAAGATGTTATGAAAGATATTGTAAATCATAACATGTCCAGTTTCTTGAATCTCATTACCGTTCAAAAGTCCATCATTGCTACTAATGCCCTTCATTACTTTAACAAGATTTTCAACTTGCCAATCGAAAGAACCATCTCCAACAAGTTGAGCTCTTTTGCCACTCCAGATCTCCGTTGTGAAAAGGGATACAATGTTCCTCAAAAGACCAATGCTCAATACATCAAGACAGTCGATATGCTCATCAACTTTATTATCAATAAGAATATGGTGGAGGCTATCTTTTCCAATGCATACAACTTGTGGTCTAAGGACTTTAAGGGTTGGCCATTCCAAAGTTTAGCCACTCTCTTCTTCACAATCAACACTCACTCTGCATGCACTAAACTCCAACAAGCATTCCAAAAAGCTAATATTGGCAATACATTGGGTGTTGTTTGTAAAATGGTTTCTGCACCAGAGGACAGTGGTTATCATGACTATAAGAGAAGATTTAATCTTGATAAGGATGTCATGGATTGGAACATGAAACACAAACATTACTTGTATATTAAAGCAGATGAAAAGAAGTAGATTTCAACAACGTCAACACAAATATCTAGAAGATTTTATTTTCCTGCTCAATAAAAATTTAATGAACCATTGGCCTTTCTTAATTCTCCCAAACTCCAACAACCAGTAAGCAACTTGCTAACCGTAGAACCTCATATACTGTGCCACAAACAATTTGTTATCCTCCAAAAATCCGCAGGAACCGTAAACAGCTATCTTGAACATTCTAACTTGCCGTTTTTAGCCATGGTATTGTTTGATGAATTTTCAAATTTTCATAACAGCAGAAAAAAACCTCAAAAGACAGCACGCACCAAGGTTGTTGTCTTCTCTCATAGAATCAACAAGAACAAGAACATGATGCAACAACCTATTAGGAGTATGGTGATGAATAGCAGCCTCAAGATGAAGCTAGGACTTGTTTTAATTCTCTCCATCCTCTTCTTCTCATGTTCTCTTCATAACATGGTAACATGCTCAAATAGTAATCAGGATTTTAAAAACATGAATCATCAACCAATTATTGATAATATAATCGCGAATAGTGCTATTGAACAACAACAACAACATGAACAAATATCAACCAATAGCAGATCATTAATAGATTTAAAGGGATTATTGAAGAAAACTAAGGGACTTTTAAGACTTCCATCAAAGAAACACTTTCTCACAATAGATTTCAAGTTGCATTCAAGATCCAATGTCATTGTTAATTCAAATGCTAGTGATAAGAAGGAACCACTCTATAGAGGAAGAGCTTTATTGAACTATCAGGGAAGTAACAATAGATTGAGACTTGTTTCGACCTCTTCTTTGCTAAAAAAGACAATTTATTATGATTCAGACAAGATGTCATATACTGATCATGATTTGTCTGGAGAAAGAGAAGATGTAATTGTTCCAACAAGTGAAGTGCCATTCCACAAGTTTTTCCAAGCTTTACATGATGAAATGATGAGTGGAATTGCTCATTCCAATTATATTCCTGCAAAAGTTCCAATTTATGATGAAGCAATTGAGAGATTGTGTCCAAATTTTAGAAATTCAAGACATTTAGTTTATTTTGGAGAGCAATATTATGTTTTTTGTATTGGAAGGGAAAGTGTTTCACATAAGAATGAGGACGAAACACTCAATGCAAATCTTTTGCTTACCAAGTTTATTATAGCTCAGGAATTTATTGTGGAAATTTCAAATATTCACTCAAGTCTACTTCCATTAGATTTCAATCTCAGTAAAATGATTAGAGGAATTTTCACACAACAAAACGAAGAGGAAAACTTTAATTTGTTCGTGGAATCTCCAACCATTCAAGAAGAATTGAGAAAATTCGATTTGAAATACAGAAAGAAGAGTCAGTCAGGTTTGAAAGACTTATTCCCAAAGGAAAGAGCTATTTTCTCGGAGAGAAGTTATACTCCAGATCCAGATCCAACTCATTCCCACTTTTTCAGTTCTGTCAGCTGTAAGATTCCATATCTTCGTGGTAAATTATGTAAGGAAACTGACAGTTTGGTAGCTAAGGATGACAGGAAGATTTGTTTCTTTTTACATGGAGCTGGTCAATGGTATGTTTTTGTTCATTTCACATTCATGTTCTAATTAACATCATGTCAATTTCTATATTCTGTTTTTCAAAACTAAATTAGGCCATCTGATAAGGGAGAACCAACTAGAAAAGATTATACAGATTATTGGGGTCCAATGTCTGATTACACACCTCAATGCTCTGAAAGATGGTACATTAGAGAGGAAACCAAATACAGAGGATGGGACAATCGTGAACTTCAACAAAGTTTTTGTGATTTCCTCCTCTTGAAACATCTCCCACAACTGGCCAATAGCACTGCTGACAGAACTGTCAAGAATGCCATCATTTATGCTCATTCAATGGGTAATTTAATTCTTGCAGGAGCCATCAAGAATGGAATTTGTAATTTGGAAAAGGAAACCATCTCCTGGTACAATATTCAGGGACCAATGAAGGGAAGTAAGGCAGCTCACATGTTACAAGATTTGTGTGCCAATAGAGTTTCAGTGCTTACCCCTGGAATTGCCAAGACCATTGCTGCTAAGGGTGGTTACTGTCTCTCTAAGGAAAGTGAAACTCTATTCCCAACCTATGAATCCTTAAAGATTGATTATCCAGGAATTGATCAATTGGGTGAAATTGCTGCTCCATATATTAAGGGACACATGTGTGGTACGAGCCCATCTGGATTGAATACAATCTATGCTCCTGCTCTTTCATTCCTGAGTAATTTGGTCAAGTATGGAGAAGCAAATGATGGAATGGTTACAATTAGTTCATGTCGATTGGCTCCTTTGGAATCATTCACTTCAAATCACTATACTCAGAATTATATGGTTGAAGCAAATCATGCTGATGGTACATGTCAATCTGGTGATGCTTGGTTTGGTTCTGTAAAGCCATGTTCATATTATCTTTTGAAGAAATAAACTTATGTTTCAATTAGAAAAAAGACAATGAAATTTATCTAAATTGATTATCTGCGCTCAACAGGTGTGCAGTTGGATATTCTTCAGTATTCGTTACAAAGTTTACAAAATTATCTTCCGCCGGATTGTGGTTCGTGCGCACAATTTTTCCACCTCACCAATTCTTGCTGGGTACAGCAAGAAAACAAGGCGAATTGAAATAAATAGTGTTGTGAAATGATTTTCTTTTGAAAACATATCAAAAAAATCTATTCACACAATGGCTTCTAGCTCAATCAAGGCAATTTTCTTGCTTTCTCTCATTGTTGCTCTTCTTTTCGTTGATCAATCAGTCCAATCTTTGAGAAGTTATGATCTAGATCCAAAAGAAGTTGTTCTTCCATTCTACACAAAAGCTTTAACTGCCAACAATCAAACTGGCATCAATGGGCTCGCTCCATTACTCGACAAGATGTTAACCAAAAATTTCCAATCCATCAATGCAGAAGAAACCAAAAACAAGGCAACCATGATTGCAAGTATTCAATACTTTTGGAAATTAATCCCAAATCTCAAATGGGAAGGTATGTATTAATAATGTTGTTTACAATAATATTGAATTCAATATATTACAAAAAATTGAATATTAAAGTAAGAGAAATGCTTCAAGATAGGAATAGAGTAATTGTCAGATCACGTGCTAGTGGTAATCCAATTGGAAATTTCTTTGGAGTTCCATGTAATGGATCCAAAGCATTTGATATCATGACCATTGATATTCATACAGTTGAGAATAATCAAATTGAAACTATTTATCATGAAGAAGAATGGACTCTTGCCATTAAACAATTATCTGGAAAATAAATAGTACCATGATTGACTTCATCAATTAATGACATCTCTTTTTTTGACAATCAATGACCAACCATTGATAGTAGAATGCTTGTGGTGATAATGGCTCCATACCTTCCTGTAGTACAATAGCAAGCTTTGGTCTTTGAGAAATTAGTACTTCTAATAGGTCGAGTGTAGGCTCAGTTTGTAGATTTAGATATTCAAGTTGCGGCCAACAATTAATGTTTTCTAGTAAAAAATTGAAGAGACCTAAATCAGTGCTTTCAATAACTTTCAAGTTGGGAAATGATTCTGTGAGAAGAGGATACATTTCATGACTGCAACAATAATTAACCAGTTCAGTTACATTCGAGTTAGATCCAATCTTCTTGTCTTGTTTATCCAAAACTCTATCCAATATTACTTTCTTCAAATTGGCACATGATTGAATTAAATCGAATGTGCCTGAATTGATTTCAATCTCTTCTAAAGTATTGATATATAATTCTACAATCTTTTTGGATTTCTTTGAATCTAATTCTCCAAATTCTCCAAAGCTTTTTATATTTGGTGCAACAGCTTTCAAAGAGCTCAATAATTTTTCATATTGTTCATCATTAAAAGTATACCCAGAACCAATATCTATATATTCCAATTTTGGATTTGGATTTCCTCCAAAATAGACATCTTCGTCTTGCTCTTCGTATCCACCCTCATACCAAACTCGTTGTGCTCTAAAACTTTTCAATGTTAGGAAGTCTCCAAGTTTTTTCAATATGGCACCAGTAATACATGACACAGGTTCTAAATCTATTACTTCAATACTTGATTGTTTTTCTAAGAATTTTAACAGACCTTCATCTGTAATGTCTAATTCTATTTGAGTTGAGCCATCGTCACTAGCAATATCAAGTGTTTTCAATTTTGGACAGAATTTGCAAATTAATTCTAATTGATCGTCATCAACAGATGTAGAACTAATCAAATAGAAATGTTCCAGGTTAGGAAACAATCCAAGTATATCAAAAATACAGCAAGTATCATTAAAGTACTTGTCTACTCTTAATGTCTTTAGATTATAAAATATAGGTATGTAGGCAAAAGTTTCGTCAAATGCTTCCTTTCTATCCTCTGTAATGTTATCAATAATAGGTATACGAACACCTCCTTTTCCCCTTCCCAAACCACCCACTGTGTATTGGTATTCCTGATGTTCAATATTGAGGCACAATATCTCTATATCTTTCAATTTTGTTAGAATTTTGAAAAGTTTAGATCTGGTTAATGTCATTTCAATTTCCACAGCCTTCAATCCATAACCAATTGGTTCTGATTCAATAGTTTTGATAAATTTTTGACTCTCTAATGCCTCATAAATATGTCTTCCTCTATTTTCGTCTGGTAATTTGACACTAAGAGTTTCGACCTGAAGTGGAGTTGGGCTTTCTTTTCTTATATTCAATAATTCAAATACAGATTCATCATCAAAATCTAATTTGAAAGAGCTTGACAACTCTTCAATTGATCCATTTCTTTTAGCTATTTCTGTTAGAATCTCTGTAATTGGCTCCACATTCGGCTCTCCCACCCAAAGCTTTTCCATTTGTCTTTTTCCAACACTTATCATATTAATTTACCCATGAAAACAAACCTCAATGCATTCACAATTGACCATTCTTTGATTTTTACATTTCTGGAATACTTTTTTGGATGCTCTTTCACATAATACTTGCAAATAACTTTTTTAATATATTCCATTGTCCATTCATAGGTATCTTTGCAAGTCATTGCCAACATTAACACTCCTCCAGTGGATAAATATTGAAAAATCACAGTCCATTCATCCCGAGTCAAATCAGAGAAGGAATATGTATTTACTTGATCGGATGTTGATGATAATTTAATCTTTTTGTGATCGGCATTATCATTTTGATCTTTGTCAACTGAGTCAAGCGCTTGATTGCTTCGTTTCATTTTTTATTATTTAACCTTTTCAAATGTGGATCACAACGTTGCATTCGATATGTTTTTCTATTTTGTAAAACCACTGAAAAAGAGGGATTTTCATCAGATATAGCAGTTTGTTAAATGAAATGATTCCAAAATCTTGTCAATTTGCGAAATAACGATAAATAAACCTTAATTTACAGAAATGAATGGCTACGGCCATATCACGATGAATGCACCTCATCCCGTCCGATTTGAGAAGTTAAGCATCGTCGAGCCACATCAGTACTGAGGTTGGAGACAACTTGGGAACCTGTGGTGCTGTAGTCTTTTTACCTTATTAATTTCTTCAGGTTGCAACTGTCAATTTCTGAATTAATTTATTATTATTGTTATTTCAGATATCATCCCAGCAGTTGTTCTGACCGATTCATGTTCATCCACTCACTTGAAATTTTGTACGTTATGATTGGAATGTGAGTTTAATTCAATATTGTATATTCAACGTTCAATTATTTTCCATCCAGTATTACCGATAATTTATTGAATTTTAATCAAGGAAAAAAAAGCGGTTAAAACTGCGGGTATTATCTCAATCAATATTAAGACCTATAAAGAGATATTTGAAAGAATTGTAGCCCTACATGTCTAGTTTATGGGGTAAAAAATTGAAAATTGTAACATTAGTTGTATTAATAAAAATTGATATCTTACTGATGCGTCGACCGGGAATTGAACCCGGGTCACGGCGATGGCAACGCCGTATTCTACCACTAAACCATCGACGCTTCATATTCATAATATTTGTAATTCAGACATGAAAATTAACTACTGATGTCTGTCCAGACAAACACTCTAATAATTATTGTAATTGATTTTGAATGTTAAAAAATGTCAAAACATCAAATAATGATTAGTGTCACTTTGGCATGCTTGTTATTGGTGACGACCGTTGCTTCTAAAGTAATAACACCATCATCACGATTAATTTCTGTAACAACTCCTTCCGATAGAGCAGCCATTTCTGTAAATAGTTTTATTGACAAATTCCTTGATCCGAAATCGAATTATTTATTCGATACTTTTACCAATTCATCAAAAACTGTTTCACCTTTAACAGGTTATTGGACTTTCGCCCAAGGATTTCACTCCATTATTGATAATGCCTTTAGAATTTCACAACAAAAACAGAGTTTATTGGATAAACCATTTTCCTATTATGTCCAATTGATTTCACAATTATACAGTGGACAAGATAAGATTGGATGGGATAGACCCTATGTGGATGACATGAATTGGATGGGAATTACATTGTTTTGGGCTTTTAAAGTTACAGGAAATCAAACTTATTTGGATAAATGTCTGTATCTGTATCAGATTATTGAAGGAAATTGGGACGAAACTTGTTGTGGATCTGTAAAGGGAGGAATTTGGTGGGATTATTCTCATTCACAGAAGGCTACTGCTTCCAATGCAGGTCCTGCAATTTTAGCTTCACTTTTATATCAAGAAATTGGAAATCTAAATTATTTGAGTTTCTCATTGAAAGTTTTCAATTTTTGGAATAATTTAATGGTAGATAAAAAGACAAGTGCTGTATGTGATCATATTTCAGCAAAGGGAGATATTGAATGCTCTTGGAGATTTACCTACAATGAAGGATTAATGATTGGAGCTGCCACCAATCTCTACAAAATTACAAATAATCAAACCTATCTCAATATTGCTTCTAATATTGCCAATTTTATGATTAGCAATGAAGTAACATTCTCAAAGATTGGAGGAACTGTTCTCTTCGATGGTACCAATTGTGTTGGAGATTGTGTTCAATTTAAGGGAATTGCATTCAGATATTTACAATTTCTCTTCAATAATTTGAATGATAATTATCCAATCAAATCTAAAATTCAACAAGTTTTGAATTCTAGTGTGGAAAGTATTTGGGAATTGGCCAGAAATCCTAACCTTGAATTATTTGGAGTCAATTGGGCAGGTCCTTCTCCATCCAATACTTTACAATATTATGAAGCTCAAGTGAATAGTGTTGTAATGACTCTTTCACTTGCTGTTTCACAACAATTGAAATAATAAAACATCACTTGTCAATAAATTTAAATATTAATAAATTTAAACCACATTCAAAGGAATGCAGAATGAACAACATTTTCTTATAGCGAGAATATCAATGATATATATAAGAAACATAACGGCAACCCAAACCAAAAACAAACACTGTTCCAACAAATCTGTTTCTGTTCTAAATATATTCTTTTATTTTTAATTACCTCAAATAATGACACCGCCAGTGAGCTTTCTATCTGTATAGTGATGTGGCTCGATACTGATAATGCTTAACTTTTTAAATTGTGGCTTCCAAATGTTTTAACTTACGGCTGTTGGTTTATCATAGCAGGAGTATCTTCTGTTCCTGATGATGAGACATTAGCTTCATTGAGAAGTTAATTTGTTTGTAGAGACATTTCTTTGTGTTGTTTATTAGCCGCCTTGATGAAAGTAAGTGTTTAAGTTTATTTCAATTTCTTTTTACATTTCTTAATCATCTTCTTGGTTGGTTTATCTTGTGGAAATTTAGAGAGATGATCCTGGAATATTGTAAGAGCTTGTTCATAGTCTTTCTTTGCAACTAGTTCAATTCCTTGATTGTAAATTGCCCATTCTTTTTTCTTCTTCTCCATTTCGTCCAATTCGTACATCCATTCTATATTTCCAAAAGTTTAGTTTCAAACTATAATCAAAATACATACCATCCATTTGAACTTTCAATTGATTTCCCATTTCAAACAGGTCACATTCCTTCGATTTAATCTTATCAGAAAGTGAGAAGAAGGAATCGGTATCTTTCACCAGCTCCTTTTCACATACAAATCTAAACTCAAAGCTTTGAGCATTTTCCTTATAAACGCTCTCACTCACTAAATTTGGAATATTCAATTTGATCGCTTGTTGAATCATTCTATCAAGATTTGCATTGTAATTTCCAAAAATTGTAAAGTTTTTCATCTTTTCAGTTCCAATATTTCCAACTGAACATTTTTCAGTCAACATTGAAAATCTCAAATTGACCTTGCTATTAATCTTCTTTGTTCTTTCAATTAATTGTCTTGTTTGATCGGCTGCCTTCTTTGAATGATCTTTACAATCAAAACTGGAATTCCATGAAAATGTAATACATTGATTTTCAATATTACCCATGAAAGATCCGCTCTTATTGGACCAAGATTGGAGCGTGGTGAATAATTCGGTAAGAGTATTCGAAACATCGTTCAAATTTCCAAATAATTCATTCAAATTCTCAATATACAATCTCATAAAGGTAATATCCTTATTGATTAGTCCTAACCTAAACATATTCGAATCTGTCTTAATGAAGAGAATCTTTCAGATTGTCGAGCCATTGAAGAGAATGATCTTCTCGACTCATATATTGAATTGATCTTAACTAATTTGTTAATTGGTTCAATATTTTGATTTTTGGTTTCTCCCTCAATGGAAGCTAACAAGTGAGCTGGAATGAAGGATCTGTATTCGTTGATTCGTTTGGTCATTGATAAGAAGTGAGCTTGTAATTGGGATACTTCAGAAAATCTGGAAGGTTCTACATGGAGTGAATCCAATTCCATATTCGAAACCATTTCGAATAGTGCGATTAAATTGTAAAATGGATGAGTAATTTTTATAGAACTGAACATTCCCAATCCAGAACCAAGCAGAAGAATCACTAAATTTCCAATCAATGCACAAATAATGGCAATTATCATGTTTCCAATATAATTCCATTGAGGAACTGAAAAGACAATCACCCTTAATATTCTTCAATCAGAAATCTTATTAGAAACCAAGTGAACTTACCAATCTATATTAGAGGAGGTACATAATCTGAAAATTGCATTTCTTCTCGTTGCAGAATTAACCCCCAACATGACATTACAAGAAATATTCATAATTCCAGGATAGAGTTGACTAATTTCATTGTAAACATGTTTAACTTCTGTATTATTAATTGTGTTGATTGTGTCCAAATTTGCAGTTTCTACATCCCCTACGGGTGGTGGAGGGAAATTAGCTAATTTTTCATTAAACAATCTTTTCCAATTTAGGTAAATACTTACTTGCAACAATTTTCTTCTCAACTTGACCTTCCAAAATAAAAGCAATTGCACCATCAATCGAATCAGTCGATTCTTTCAGAAACCACGAAAAGGTTGTCGTACTGAAATCCAAATAATGAATCCAATCAAAAACTCGAGTTGAATTTTCCAACCTGAACGAATTGACCAATGAAATTAAAATCACTGGAACTCCAGGACTACTGAATGTTTCGCTAAAGATTGGAGTATCTGGATATTTAGCAGCAATTTTCTTGACTTGTCCTGTTTCAAAAGTTGGAACTTGACTTAGTAAAATTGGACAAACGACAGAACTAGCTCCAAAATCACAAATATAATAAGTGTCAAAAATTGGTCGAGTTGTAATGAGGATGAATGGTCTGACATTCTCTTTGGGTGTAACAAACCCATTTCCATATCCCTCAAAATTATAGAGTTTTACAGCTTCAACAATTGGATGAAGTTTCGTCTCACTTTTTACGAATTGCAATAAATCCAAATTTAACTGATCGTAATCAGAAGTATTCTGACTGACATGTATTTTCATTTGGTTTTTGGAAGTTTCTGATGAGATGACCAATTCAGACAATGTATTATTAACCTGTTGCACGAGAAATGCAAATTGATGTTCAGTCAATTGTGTTGCCATCACTTCAACTGTCGAGGCAAAACTTGTTAACCAAATGATGGACGTTACCAATAGAGTAGCCAAAATCATCATGGATACCATCAAGACAAGGCATATTTTAATACTAATGATGGGTTTTCTTGTCAGAGATGATGCTTCCTCTCGAAGTAAGAGGTCTGTATCTTGTGAGGTTGGTTGTATTGACATTTTTTTGTGTTTTGATGCCAAAATCTCTACGATTAGTGAGGTAAGGGTAGCACAGATCTTGATTCTTCCATGCCATTTCCAATTTAAACTCCCATCAAAGATTGTCAATGAAATTTACAATAAAATTAAAGATGACAGAATCAATTGGATGGACGAGATTTTTTAAGTATGAAAGGTATTGAATAAGTGAGCGATAACAGTGACTAAATATGACCATCTATTTCGATTTTGGTACCTCAATTCATATTACTAATTTGCTGAGGTGCAATTAAATTTGGTATTATTTAATTAAATAATTTGAAATTCCTTTTCAATGGTTGATTGAGTGGCTACTCTAAATTCTAATGGTCCATTGTAGAGTGATAATCTGTCTGTGTCCCAATCGAAAAATGCAGGTCCACAATTATCTCCATAACTGTTTAGTTCAATAATCTTTACAATTTCCTTTTCTAGATCAATGACTACAAAGTCAATACAACAATCATCGAGAGGTATCTTGTGTTTGACCTTTTCAAAATAATTCAAGATAATTCTCTTCATGGATTGATATTCTTCTATTGGAACATTTGGAAAGAAAGATGAACTGAAATATTGAGTCATGGCTGTCATTTTCTTGTTTCTGATAAAAGTTCTGACTTCTCTCCAAATAGGAATGTCAATCCACTCCCTTTGTTCATAAAATATGATTGTACATGATTCATTTCTAATATATTCTTATCAATTACTTACCTGATCACAATTTGAATGGGCATTGATTCATTACTTTGATGTTGAACTGCATCACTTCCCAATGAAACTGATAAATCAACATGAGATCTATAACTAATAGTCATTAATTTGATAAAATCCTCTCCTGATTTGACTTTCATACATTTCTGAGCACATATTTGAGTTATGGCCGATTGATACTTTTCATGTTTGAGTGAAAGTCGATCTCCACTTGAATCTACCTCCAAGGAATATAGCTCACTCCATTGTTTGACCATCTCCTCTACCATGGCATCATATTGATTGACTTTGAAAGCAGCATCCTTTGGAGAACGATGTGAAAGTTTAACAAAGGCTTCTCTATTTGGAAATTCACTCATCACTTGATTGATTCTGTTGGCTAATCCTTTCAAAATTTCTTCCTCTTCACTCTGTGTTTGTGATCCAAAGAACCATCTTTCGTATTCCTTTACAATGGCTTGAGCTTCTCCATAAGAAATTGAAAGAAAACGTGTTTTGAAAGTTTCCTCACCCAACTTGTCCATCCAAGTATTGCAATCAGTGAGATCGACATATAAAGTCAAACTAGCATTAATTAATTGCTTCTCTGGGATTATTTTGAACCATTCCAAATCATTTTCCTTAATTTCCAATGTAGATCCATCTTGCAAACATGGGAAATCTGATAATTTCTTCAACAACTCGAATACAGCATCTCTTAATAGGTAATGATATGAAAAACAGAATAATAAAGTGATTGGAAGAAATTGTTCTACTTGGAAGAGAAGGAATTTCTTCAATGAGCATAAATCTAAATGTCTAATTCTGAAAACTTCATTGAAAAACTTGAAGAGATTTACAACTCTTGTCAATTTCTCCAATTGATTGTTATCAGATTGACAATAATAAATTTCCAAGCATTCTTCCATAATTTTGTGAAATAAAAGTGGTTTTTCAATCCTATTACATCTGGATATACGGAAAATATGCTTAAATTCACTTTCTCCTTCATAAATATTAAATAAATCTTGCAATATTTCAATTAAACTATTTTCATCATGATTCGAATTTTCAATCTTTTCAATTACTTGTTCCAAATTATCCAAACAATTTCCTAACTTGCTTTCGATCTTCCATCTTCTTTCAATAGGTATCTTTCTCATAATACTTTCATTCTTCATCTCAATTTCATCTTCAGCAAGATTCGAATCGTCATCATTACTAGTGAGTGATGGAAATAATTCAAAATCTGAATTTTCATTCCGATGATCCAAATCTTGTTGATCATTTATCAATTTACGAAAATCATCAATTAATTCACTCCAAAATTGTGAATCTTCCGATACTTGTTTTCCCAACTTTTCATTCAATGCTTGTTTACAATCTTGTGCAAGATTTGTAATTTTGTAATTGTTATTGCCATCATCATCGTCAGCATCTTTATCAGTGGAGAGAAGAAATACTTTTGAAAAGAGAGAGCACATTAAACTCTGAGAATTAGGACTCATACGCAAATAGTCCAATACGGTGAGTAGATTTTCAGACATTTTTATTTTGTGCTTCAAATTCGAAAATGAAGTTGGAAAATTGAGATGCACTTGAAGGATCAATATTTTATGAAAGGAATATTAAGACTATACATTGAATATTTAAAGTATTTAAAATTAAATATTGTTAAATTATTAAATTGTAAAATTGTAAAGAGTTTAAAAAAAAATGAACAAGTACAAATCGATTCTTTCCTCCTCATCAACATTAAGCAATTCCACACCAATGATGATGATGACGAAACACCTCCCGAGAGCCACATTATTTTCCCTGAAAAAATCTTCTCCGAATCATGAAGAATTAAATTTCGGAATTTCAATGATGATGATGAAGAAGAATACAAGACGATGCTTTTCCTCCTCATTAAACAATCAAAAAGAAACAAAATCCAATAGTGATGATGATTATAAAATTCAATATGAAAAATACACTAAAGATTTAGCCCAACGAGTGGTTGATATTTTCCATGCACAAAAGAGTTGTCAATTAACAAGTTTTGGAGGATCGGAGAGTACTAGTGTTGAACATTTGAAAACTTCAATCATTCCGATGGCTATTGTTAAAAAGACAGTCTCTGATATTTATTTATCGGAATTTAAGAAGAAACCAAAGAAGGAACAAGAAGAACATTTGGAAGGAATTAAATATTATGAGGATATTTCAGGATTTGAAGATGATGGATATAATCTTAAACATTTTGATATTTATATTTGCATGCCTGATGGAAGTGATCATCTTGTTAATATTTCCAATGCTCCAGAGCCATTGCAAATCAGAAGAAAATTACTCCCAACAGAGACAGCCATTGTCAGTATTGCAACTGGTCACAGCGATCAGATTATGAGCTCACTATTCCAGAGAGTGGGTAGAATGCCTCCACGTGCCACAATTTCTGCCACTCTTGAAACTATTCCAAAAGAGTCTGAGGGATTTCATCAAATTTGGACTGAACAATTTAGAATGCATCCAAATGTTTCGATTCAAATGAAGAAGAATAGTGCCAATATTTTCAGAGTGAGAGTTGTCAAGAGTGCCTTCTTTTTGGATGAAGGATCAGCCATGAAAGAAATTCAAGATATGGATCATTTGAGTAGGGAAGTTATTCCAGATTCACTTTCTGCATCAGCCAATATCAAATCAATTATTAGAAGATTGAATGGAAATCCAGAGAGAGTTGCAGCCATTTTGGAGAAGGGTTTTGGAATTCATTTGAGTGACTTTTTCGTTTATGAACTCAATTCATATTGCATGAGAATTATGGGCAGAGATGTGAGCTATGGCAATGGAAAGAAGGAACCATCACAATTTTCAACCTATGAATTGGACCATGGTTATAAAATTTCAACCGAGGCCATGTTTAATCAATACCTTACCAAATTCCATAATGCATAAATTATTAATTGATTTTGAAACTACAAGAAACGTTTTATTATTAATTATGCATAAAAATGTTTTATTTATTATTTCAAGAAACTGTTGCAAATTGCAGGAAAGGATGAACGTTACCAAAGGAAAGGAACAGCTAAAGAACAATAACAAATACAAATTTAAATATTTTTGTTTTTATAAAAGAGAGAATTTAGAATCTCAATGGGGAGAAGAATTCCTTCATAGCCTTACCACCCTTCAAGTACTTAGCTTCAAACTTCTTCTTGATGGCCTTCTTGGCTTCCTTCTTTTGTGTAGCATCTTCAGAGGTCTTATCAGCAATCAAACCCTTGAAATCCATGTCCAAAGTGTGTCTAGTTGGCATCATATGTTGGTAGTTGACAGACTTGATGAAAACAGTGAGCTTGCTTCTTCTCTTCATGGCAGTCAATGACATAGACTTGGTGACGGACTTTGGATATTGGTCAATACCGACAACAACAGCGTGTGGGAAGGACTTATCGTTGGCAGCATCATCGAAGTTCTTGGCAATAACAGCCTTTCTGCCGGCATATCTACCTTGCAAGATGATGACGATTTTACCTGGCTTCAAAAACTTGGTTTGTTGGACTTCCTTTGCCATTTCGTGTTTTGGATTTTTTTTTCGAACAAATTTTTAGTTAACTAGCGATCCCCAACTTTACAACAAAGATAAAAATGAGCCATTTTTAACTCAATGCAAGGAAAACAACAAAACAAGCACCATGAAGTGACTTTGCTTCTTCTCCACCAACATTCCGAGAAGGTTTGACTCACCATAACATCTTCATCTTAACAAGTCTCTCACTACCAATAGGTCTTCTTGTTGTTCTTGTTCATCTAATATTGATTGAAGGCAAAGAAAGAAAAAAATGTTCAACCCTGGAAATCTTGGAAAATTCCTTCACTTGTTTGGATCAACTAGAATTGGAAAAATTGGTGATAAACTCTCTCTTCTTAAAGGACAAGGTGAAGCTGGTGGTTTGGTTCGTGTTACTATGAGTGGACTCGGAAAGATTGAAAAACTCGAACTTGACGACAAGCTCTCCGGAAAGAGTTTGGAAACAATTGAAGACCTTGTTGTGAGTGCTTGCAACTCTGCAAAGGAAGATTTGGAAAGAAAGACCAATGAAGAAATGATGAATTTGAGATCTGACCCAGAACTCCTTGCCGTCTTTGCTAGAATGTTCAACAAGGGACCAAATGAAACTAATTAAATTATTATTAACTTTGAAAGTCATCATTGTCATGCTCTCCGAGATTTTAGGATAATTCTCTCTCATACTCAACAACAACAATAATAGTACTCTACTCGTTGTGGATTTTCTACATTAATCAGCATTATTATTCAAATAATTAATTTGGATGTAATTTAATAAAACAACAAAAACTTTAAAATTCATTTGTTTTTATTGAATATAAATAAACATAATATTAAAAGTTTTTTCTCCCTTCCGATTCAAATCATTGAATACTAGTATTATATTATATAGGATGTATTCTTATACTCCCAAATTGTTAATTAATTAACCAAACACCGAATGACTAAGAACAAGTGCAAAATCGACTTCTTTAAAGCACATCTTCTCCTAGATGAATATTCACTTCATCATTATCGATGAAGTATCACCACCATCAAAATTTGTCTCTAATATTTTCACATTGTAAGCAATATTCTCTTTGGTTGGCTAGAAATATTCTTCAACCCTTTAAAACTGCAAACACTTTGTTGAGGAAGAGAACAACAAAATCAAAAAAAATGTTTCCTCTTCCACTTCTCTATTCATAATAGAATTTGTTCATTAGCACAAAGTTGTATGTATTGTACTGTTTCGACGGGATGAAGGCTGGTTGCGCGAAGGTACTTGGTTGATGTTGCTCTCTTGGTTGAATGGTTATCAAAGGCTTGATATTGTTCTGTTATTGCTGGTTCTTTCAATGATGATCAACGTTTAAATGACGAGTCTGAAGATAATGCGAGGACAAAAAAACATTTGGCTTTTATATCTGATTATGAACCAAACAGACAATGTCTAGTTGATGATGGTTATTTGATTAGAGTGTGCTCTACTCGATATCTTTAACAATCAGTCCATCCCGTCAAGAATTTCTCGAATACTAACTACATATTTTAGAATTGAACCTTTTTGAAAAGGTAAATAGTTCTTGCTTGAGAGGGATGGTGTGTTCAGAATACTTGTTTTGAATATCAAGTTTCGGCTTGTTTGAATTTTAATGATGATTAAACAATTGATGAGGCATTTATCCGACGCCCAAATAACTGGAGACAAACCTTTTGCTACCTTAACTTTCTGATGATTCAACAATTCAAAGCTTGTTGTTTGGACTTTTGTTCTGAATAGCCATCCCTGACAATATGTTTACTTACCATTTACTGTTTTTTAATTTAATATTTAACAATTTTAGAATAAAGAAAATGAGTTGAAATGTAAATTTATATTGCTGTTATGTGTCTTAAAATCATTAATCTTGTGTTATTCAAACACTTAGAAATGTACTATTTACATCTTATTGCAGGGGAACAATTCAATTTACTAATTGGTTATTCTTCTTGACCTTACTCAAAGTGCATTTCAAAATGAAATCAGTATCATTTCGCAAAGATTCATCGACAAATTCAATAGCATCCTCACATTGATGAATTGCCTCCCAAACCACATCTCTATCTTTTTTCAGTTCACCCCCTACATATCTCAATGCCATTCCATCTTGTTTTACAGCTACTAAGGCCAGCTCCTTATCATTCTGGAGAACATATCGAGCATATCGAATCATTGAACCATTTTGTTTAACTCCTTCCATGAACACTTCCTTGTCTTCCAACATGTCTCTGAAGAGAAATCCCAAAGTGAGTGGATTTTTCCTTACCAATTTCAATACAATTTCTCTATCTTGTAAAATGTGATCCTTTCTATCTTCACGAATGCTCCCATTATAAGGAATACACCCCAAAGCATTGATATTCAAATCAATGGCTTCCTCAAGGAATGAATAATCTTTGATAAGTTCAGGATCAGCAGACGAAATTGAGTAATAATCCAACCTCATTGCTGTCAACATGATTTGTGCATCAGCTTTAAATTCCTGTCCAATGTAAAAACAGGATCCACGTACTTGACTAACCAGTTCCAGAATGAACTCCCTATTTTTCATCAATTCTTCATCAACCCTCAATAATGATTCAGGTTGAATTTTAGCCACTAAAAATATTACACTCTTATTCTTTTTCAAATCCTCATTCAAATATTCGATAGCATCCAATGATTCATTCAGAGCAGTCAGTGCCAATTCCAAATCATTTTTCAATTCTCCCCATGCATATTGAATGCAGAGTGGATTGGCACAAATGGCCTTCTTCATAAATTCCTTGTCAGATCGAATGGACATGTCCTCATCGAGTAGACATTCAGGATCTTTTGATATTTTTGAAAGTAGCAACTCTTCTTCATATAGTGAATCATATCCTGATTGACCATATGCTACTTTCAATACTTCATCATCATCTTCAAATTCTTTAGCATATTCAATTGCATTTCCATTCTGTTTCACTGCTTCCAACACAATTTCCTTATCAATAAATTCGGCAAATTCCAAAGCAAATCCATTTTGTTTGACAGCTGCCAAAACGACTTGTTTATCCTCTTTGAGTGTGAAATGAACAAATTCCAAAGCATACCCATTTCTCTCTACAATTTTCATTACAAATTCCTTATCAATATTCAATGGAGTAATTCTCAAATATTCCAAACTATGTCCAAGAGCAATATCCACAATTTCTTTATCAGATTTAAATGCATTATCACAATAAACAAACGAATTCGGACTATTCCTAATAGCAGTCAATACAATTTCTCGATCCATTCTCAATTCCTCACTCAAATGTTTCAACAAATTTCCATTTCTCTGCAGGGCGAATAATAAAACTCTCCTATTTGACTTGACATCTTCTGATATGAAAATCCTCTCAGGATCCATAAATCTAATAGCAGCCATATATAATTCCGGATCATTTCCAATCATGGCTGCTAATTCAGGTGAATGTTCAACACATTTCAAAATATTCCTCTCGTGTGTGAATTTTTGTGCAAGTAATTGATGAAGATCGTGATGGGAACAATACGATAAAGGTGAATCATCACTCAAAATAATATTAACCCTGACTTGATGGTCGTGTGATTCAGCTTGTTGTTGAGACATTTTTTTTATGGAAACTATAAGAATTGTAATCTTCTGGATTTTTTCATCACCAACAGGTTTGCTCCAGTTTCTTATATGAAAGTCGTTCTCTTGTTTGTTGTTTTAACATTCTCAAAACAACTGTTAAGAATATGCGGCTTAATTTTCTCAATGTGAGGATTTTTTGAGTGTGGTTTTGTGTGGCGAATTAAAGTGGTGTCAAGGAACATTTTTGGAAAGGAGGGTGAGCTTGGAGTATTTTAGGAAAGGTGTCGAGTTCAATATGGAAGAAATTAACATTAAAATTCAAGTTAATTTACAATTTATTTACATTATTCCAGAATTGAGAGTGAGATTATCATTTTAGTATTAGGATCTCTCTTCAAGTCGTACTTGTTCATTTCAATCATTCCAAGATCGTATCCCTTCATACTACTCAAATCTTTAACAATTTGATCAGTTCCGAAATATGGATGGCTCACAACAGAATTATCAGTAAATCCATGTCCAAGAGTAATACACTCAACTCCATTAATTGAAACAACATGTCCTTGATCAACTACCAAATTATAGACATAATCACAGGCAACATCTTGAGGTGATTTGATATCGATTGGGAATTTCCATTCACCCTTAACTCTTACAGGGTGATATGGGGTAATGTACATTCCATTCATTTCACACAATTTGACAATAGGGGAAGGAGTCTTGCTCTTCAAGACGCATAAAATAGTGGCATATGAATCACCATTCATGTTCTTAACTCTGTCTCCTTTCTTAATTTCAGAAACCTTCTTGACAGAGTTGTCATACATTGTGATTAATGAATTACCATCGAAGCAAGAACCACCTGCATTGTAGTATGAGCTCATGTTTGTTGGGGTGTTATAGCTGCCACCACCATAGGAATAGACATTTGATGGTTTTGGAGGAGGAAGTTTACAAAAGATGTCATCTGCAACAGATTGCAAAGCTTCAAACAAGCTTCCACCAAAGATTTGAACACTTGGGTCTTTGAAATTGTGGCATTGTTGCATCCAGTTAGCACGAAGGAGAGAAGGCAAATAGTGATAACCCCACTTATTCATGAACTCTTGTTTGGAGAAGGCAATAGATACTTGACCTTCGTTTGTATTGTCACTCTTAATATCTCTAACTAGAGCACTGACACGTTCATCTGTAAAGGATGGTAATTTGGCAATAGTTTGCAAGAAGGATTCTAATTGATGTTTGCATTCCTTACTACTGTCATCTCTGCTACTGTTACCATTTCTGTAGGTTTGAATACATTTTTCAACACATTCAATGAACATTAATCTTGTCAAGTTGGCATCCATATCAGTAGCTTGTTCTGAGGAGAGTGATTGATTAACAGGTTCAACTTTTTCAATAGAATGGTGATTGTAAGTGAGATCAACCTTAATGGCAGGCAAATTATTGGCATGCATATCGACATCAATAATATAATCTCTTGATTGTTGGAATTGAACTCCTCCCATTGAAATTGTGAATTGTTTTTCATTGGTACTGTTATTTCCATTTTGACTGGAACCGTAAACGTGTGAAATCTTGGCACCGTTCATTGAGGAAATGACCAACTCGGCTCTTCTAACAGCAGTACATAAAATATTACTCATCATGTTAACAAATGTTGTTCCAACCATGGAACAATCAGGAATATAAGAGTAAGCTCCACTTCCATTCATTGCAATATCTTTCAATAAGGCACTATCCAAACTGTATCCAAATCCAAAGCTGTGAATTGTGGAATTCAATGGATGTTCCTTAATGTACTTTTCAAGAGTTGGGACAATACCTCTTGGAGGATTAATGTTAGGTTCACCATCTGTGAATAGAATCAAACAAGTATTGGTCTTTGCACAGAGAGGATTATTAAGACTGGATTCCATTCCCAATCTCAAACCATCCCATACATTGGTAGATCCTTCAGGTCCTAAATGTTCCAACTTTTCAATGGCCTTCTTCTTACCAACTGCATCCATTTTAGTGAGAGGAAGTTCCATTCTTGCAGAATCACTGAATGGAATGAGAGAAATTTGATCCTTTTCATTCATTAATTCAATAAGAGTTCTAACAGAGTGCTTGACCAAATCCAATCTTGAAAATCCAGTATTTTCATTGGAAGAACTCAAATCTTCAGCACTAGATCCCATACTTCCACTCACATCGAGAATGCATACCAAATTACATGGTTGACGTTGACCTCCAGTAGGTGGTGATACCTTAACATGAATTCTTCTCTTTGATTCACTCACTTGCTTTGAAACAATTGTCAAATTCAAAGAATGATCTTCAATATCTTGCTCAACCAATGGTGTGACTCTATTCACAACAATAGGAGTATTTCCATGAACCAATTGTTCAATAGTATTTCTCAAAGCAATATTCGATACCAACAACTCCTTGCTCATGGCTTCTCTTGTCAATGGTGAAGTAGCATGAATAGTCAACCAATGTTCAATTGCTTCTCTTTCATAGGTTTGACCATCGGTACCAATAACAGGATCTTTCATAATTTCCTGTGTGATTGGACAATAAAATTCATTTGGATAATTTCTTTGAGTTGATGATGATGACATGATCAGCTGATGTATATTATTATATGTACAATAGTATGTCTTGGTGTTGTTCTTTTTTTCTTATTGAAAAAGTTCTTCTCAGATTTTAAGAGTTCCTTTTAAAGGCCATTGCTAAATTACTATCGGAGAGTTGAGAATTTGATTGATCTTCAATTTGTAAATTGTTCTCTCTTCATTGAAAGCGCTGTGAACTTTGATAATTATCAACAAATTCTCTTCTCTGTCTTCTCATCATCAAATGATAATTCTAAATTTATGCAAATTCTCGGCGGGTAATGAGAAGAAGAAGTAAATGAAGTAAATGTGTTATTTTGTATATATACAAAAGGTATTCTCTCTCATATGGATGTGTTTTTAATTGGTAATATTAAAGTTGCTGATTCGATCGAATGAAAAGCGCTGCAAGTCTTTAATTTTTATTTAATAATTAATAAACAGTAATATTTAAATATTGATGATGTTTGTTGCTCTGTTCTTATTAATCGTTTGAATAATTCTTCCTGAATCAAATCATTGGACTTTTTCAGAGCATTTTGTAATTCTTGTAATTGTTTAACACTCGAAAGGGATGAAATTTCATCTGCTGAAATGGTTGCTCTCTTTACAAGATCAGATTTCAATTGATTATTCTTTGAATTTTCCATTTCTAATAGGTTACATTGATTCTTGAATGAGGTAAGCAACATTGTTATCATTTCAAATCTTTCATTCATTGGTGTTTGCATCAATTTGTTTTTCATTTCTGTATTAATTTCTGGTGCCTCAATGCCCTGGTTGTAATATTCCAAGTTTCGTTTGTGTAGTTTCTTATAACCTTCTTTAGTTTCCTCGGTAGCTACCTTCCACATATTGGCCAATTCTCTTTGGATTTCCTTTTCGGAATAGGTCTCACCAAGACGAGCCCTAACTTTTGCTCTGTTATCTAAATTTCAGTTTACCAAAATTAATTCAGAGTTTGAATTAATAAACTGCTTACCATTACAAAAGAGAATATATGAAGAACAGGGTTTTTTCATATTCATGAACATCTCAAGTTGTTTTTTTTTTGATTTTGTAAATTATCTATAAATAGTCTCCACCCGAACTGTGGAGGAAATAACAAAAGGATTTAAATTCAAGATCATTAATTTTTGACAAGAATTAGTTTGTATTAATTATTGAAATTCAAAGTATCAAAGAAGGATTTCACTTGATTTTCCATATCTTGAATGTACTTTTCCTGTTCTTCCTCTTTGCCAATGAACCAACTTTGATAACAAGTCAAACACATGGCAAACGAAACTGCATTGAAATATTTCCTCCGTTCTTGATATCCTTTCCAGAAGGTTTCTGGATTCATATTTAGAGAAGGAAGAAGGTGTTTGTTCATTGATTCAATCATGAATTCTCGTTCTTCATCGTTGGTTGCATAATTATAAAGCATTTCTGAAATATCTTCATCAATGATTGAGAAGGAAGACCATTCCCAGTCAATTATGCCAGTAATGACTTTTGTTTGAGGATCTACAAGTGTATTATTTGGAGTAATATCAATATGGCAAATTGACATTAAATTATACGGAAACTCTATTGTTGTTTCTAACATGTTCAATAAATCGTTGGAATTTAGTAACAAAGTAAGATAAGGAACCATTCTTGATAATTTTCATATCTTCCAATCGAAAATCAATTAAGGAAATGATGTAATCATTGAAAGAACGGAATGGACCTTTTAAGGTATCACAATTAGGACCAATGAGGGCAAGTACTTGACCATTTTTCATTTCAATACCTTGATAACATCCAAATAAGGGATTTGGCCCAGCTTGATCGTTATCACAAGTTCTTGTGAGGAATTTTAAATCACTCAATTTGGATCTTTCCTTAACTATTTGATTCAAGTAATGTTTTCTTTCGTCAGTGGTCATGTCACCATAAATTGTGTTCAATGTTATTCCTTCACACTTTGACATGAAAATGTATTCGTTTCCAATTAAATCACCTTCACAATCGTATCCATAAATGGTTGGCACTGGAAAATCTTTAACATTCTCACTAAGGAATTGGATCACCAACACTTCATTGAGAGTTTTCAATCTTTTCCAATTTGGGGGCAAAATTTTTACAATGCTCTTCAATTCCTTATCATTTAATTTAATGGTCAAACAATAGACAGCATTGACAACTCCATTATCAATTTGTTGCACATCTATTGCTAATACACAAGTATCCGCATTGGTGCCATATTCGAAACCAATTCTTTCAGAAAGATCTCTTCGAAAGTCAGCACATTCCACCGCCGATTTGTTAATAATCTTGAATGCCTTTTCATTATCCAATTGAATATCATAACGAGTGGATTCTCTCATTTTTTCTAGTGAATGAATTTCAACTTTGAATATTAACCACTTCAAATATTAAAATCTTCATTTCAAACTCGAAATTGAAATCAAAAACCTTAATATTTCTGAAGCAATTATCTTTCCAATTCGATTCCAGAGAGTTATTAAAGGTGTTATGCTCAATCATTGATCATACACTTTGGTAACACTATAAAATTCGAGTAATTGAGATGTTTTCTATTCCCTTACAACGACTTCTTCTATTTTTAAAGGTCATTACATAAAAATTCAGATGATGAACTCTGTAAAACAACGCCAAGATAAAAACCCGCCAAAATTTTTAGCCTAGAACTATAAATTTCAAAAAAACAAATCAAATTATAGAAATGATTAGCAACACTGTTAATAACAGCAACAATAACGCACCTAATGCTTCCGAACCAATTGAAATTAAATTAAATTATTTGATGAAGAAGCATGATGATGATCAAATTATTGAACAAAGTTTGCCTTCCTTCTCTCCTTTGGAAAATCTTCAAGATTTGAAAGATTATATTGCAAATCAATTTAATTCAAATTTGATGAATGATGATGAAGAACCAAAATCTGTCAAGATTGTTAAAGTTAAGGATTTCAAGGCAAAATCTGGTAAAAAGTTTAGAGCCCTTCATACTGATGAAGATTGGACCAATTCTATCAATTCCATTCTTCAACATCGTCTTGATTCCTCTACCACAACTTCTGTTGAACCATTCATTGTTGATTTCAAGATTAGAATGAAAAAGTCCAAGAAGGATAAAGTTTCTAATGATAAGAGTGAAAGAAAAGCTGAAAGAGAGCTCAAGAAACAAGAACGTCAAGAAAAACGTCGTTTCCAAAAGGAAGAATCTCAAAAGGTTCATGCTGATGATTTAATTCTCGTAGATGAAAGTACTGGAATTGCATCCAAGATGAATCCAGAAATTAGTAGAATTATCATTGATGGTAATAATCTCTTCTTCCAAACCAATACTTTGAGAGGTTTAATTCTCAAGAGTAAGAAGAAACACCAAGTTGAAGAATTACTTGTCCACATGGCTAAAAAGTATTCTCAATTCTCTGAAACAACTTTCAATCAAAAATTGAATTTAATGCATGTTGTTTTTGATGCTTCAAGCAATCAAGTTAATGGTACTTCCAATGATGGAACATTTGTTGTTTCATCTGCCAAGAAGGAAGGATTCACCATTGCTGATGATATGCTTGTTGAATTGGCAAATCGACAAAATATTGCTGGCACTTTGGATTCTTGTCTATTTGTTACATCTGACAGAGGATTGAGAGAACGTTTGAAGTCCATTGGAGCTAAATGTATCAAGTCTGGAAGATGGATGGCATTTGCTCATGCTCATCTTTGTCCAAATGCAGCCACCACTTCAATTGATGAATGGACTGCTCAATTATGGAGTCAAGTTACTAATGAAAGTAACTAAATTAAGATACCACTCAAAGATTACTCTTAATAAAAGAAGTCTTTTCTTAAATTATGATGCAAATTAATGAAATGTTCATAAAGGACAGTGGTGTAATAGTTTACAAAATATTGAGAAATGAAATTAAAAAAGGAAACTTTCTAAATTCTGATAAATTATTATGCAAATTGATGGATTTTATTATCATTTTCATCAATAATAAGGTGATTTACAATCCAATATCACAAACTTCTTTTCACAAACCTCATTATTCCCTAACCAAACCTACTTGTCAATTATAAACAAACAACTGTCACTTTTCAAACATTAAAATCAACACAAAAAAAATGGGCAACAAACTCTCCCAAGCTGAAAAGCTCATCAAATCTGGTCAAAATTGCGACCTCGACTTGGATGAAAAGGAAATCAACAACAAGGAATTAGCACAACTTTCCGATCTTCTCAGAAATAACAATACTTGTTATGCTCTCCATTTGAAGGCAAATAATTTTGATGAGAAGGGATTGGAAGCACTTGGAGAGGCGTTGCAGACTAATAGATTTTTGAAAAGATTGTATTTGAATAATAATAGAATTGGTGATGTAGGTTTACAACAATATTAAATAGTATTTAATATTTAAATGATGATCAATGTTAATTAATATATTTAATTAAAATAATGATAATAATAATAATAATGGATGATATTCACTTTAGGTTGGATGTAAACATTTAGCTGATGCAATTAAACGTGTGACAGCTCTTGGTATGATTGACATGTCAATGTCTGGTATTGGAACACAAGGAGCTAAATTCTTGGGAGTTTCTCTCGTTCTTAACAATTCCATTCACACAATTTACTTGACTGATAACACAATTGGTGCTGAAGGAACCAAAGCTTTGGCTGAAGGTTTGAAGGACAATAAGAAACTCAAAGTTTTGGACATTTCAAGAAATGATATTGGAAATGATGGAGCTGTTGCTTTGGCAGAAATGTTAAAAGTCAATTCAGTGTTGGAACAATTGTATATTGTCAAGAATAATATTGGCACAACTGGATCCATTGCTTTGGCTGAAGCTTTGGTTGTAAATAAGGGAATGAGAAGTTTGAATATGGATTTTAATCCGATTGGTGATGATGGTGCAACTCCTTTCATGAAGGTTCTTCGTGAAAATGACAAGATTGAAAAGATTGAATTTGATGATAAGAGTATTTCTGAAGATTGGAAGAATGAATTTAGAATGAGATTACAAAGAAAGCAAGAAGTTCGTTAATTATTTCTACTTTGTAATGACTATTGCGTGTTAATTGAATTATTGAACTATTTTGATGTTGTATTACCATAAATACACAACAAATTTGCAAATCTAATTTGGATGTTAGTGTGTTGTCAAGTTGAAATCATACCACTAAGTTGTTGTTTCATAATTGTTTTTTGAATTGAGAAATTAAGATTTACTTGTTTACAACAAATTCATCATCACCAAAAGTCACAATTATCTTGGCCTGTTGGTTAGTGAATGAGTCAGTTAGAAAATATGTAGATTCTGGAAATATTTTAGTAACATCTTCCAGAGATTTGCAATTAGAAAGTTGTTGTTTAGCTGTTTTCATTTCCATTTTGGTTACAACTTTGTTAAAAAGTAGTGTTACTATACTATCATCACAATTCTTTAAATTGACAATTTTTGGAAGGGAAAGGTTGAACATTGCATGATAAATAGGTTTTCCATAATAAACTTTTAGAGAAGTCCAATTCAATACCATAAAAGGTAATTTGAAGAAATTTTCACCCAATGTTGACAATATCTCTTGATTTGTTAATTGCAAATATTTTTCCAATTTAGATATCATCTTCCAACCAAAATATATTACAATAGCTGATGGATGTTGAAATGGTAAACCATTTTTGTCAATTAGAGTATTCCATTCTATTATGTCTTTATCAACTTCGTCTTGATATAAAAGTTTAGTTTTTGAGATGGTACCATCAGGATACTGAATAGTTGTCACACACATTCTATCAGCCCCTTTCTTATTCTTTGTTTTTTGGTAGATGTAATGAATTCCATCTTCACTAGTATCACCATTTAATGCAATTACTTTTGTTTCAACATTAAACTCCTCTAATAAAATAACAGATTCTTTCCATAACAATGATTCTAGCAATGCATTTGTTGGTACCATATTTGAGAAATATTCTTTAAACAAAATATTATTATTCCCCAATATTCTATGAGCATGGCATTTGGCTACTTCAAAACTTGCATTAAACTGTTCAAACTCAAGCCCATGGAGATTTTGAACACCCTTATTCCGAATACAACTACTTAACTTGTCAATAAAATCGCTAAAAACAGTATCTCTTGTTGGAATGGAAATATCGAGTGGTAAATTTGGTTGTACGACTATAAAATCAGTATCTACAGTATCCAAAGTAATACATCCATTTACTTCTAAAGATTCAATTGAAAACTTTTGCAACATAATATTTCTTCTAACTCTTCTGTTAATTAAGTGATAAGAAAAAATGGAATCAACTATTTCTGAATATTCATAGAATCAAGGATTACCTCTTTCAATGTTATTAAATATGGATTGCCAGTTAGATCCAGAGAAAGCCATTGCGTTTAACATGTATTCTATTAATCTTGGAACACCACAACATCTATTTAAACACTTTGATAATTCTGGATGTGTCAATAAATTTGAATAACTCAATCCCAAGTTTGTAGCTTGTTTTGTACATCTTATTAAGTAGTTACGTAGAAATTGTAAAATATCTACCATAGACATACGTAGTCTAATAGGTTGGATATGGAGAATTGGATGAGTTGATTGTTTAATAGCTCTATTAATAGGTGTAAATGATAATCCAGAAAATATTGGAACAAAGAGTATATCTGTTAGACATTTAGTACAAACCTCTCCAAAAGTATTAATTGTCACATCTAAACCAGATCTAATTGTGTCGTCCACAACTTCTTCCAAATACTTATACTCATTCTCATTCAATTTTTGAAATTCATCAATAACCACAACAATTGTAATCTTTGAAGAGGCAAAATATTCATCTTTAAGCCAAGAACAAAAATTAGCAACACTATCCAAGACCCAGTCGTTTTCATTAAATTCAGATTGCAAGTAATAAGTGGAAAATAAATAACACAATCTAATAGCAAAAAATCTATTTGCATAATTTGGAGTCTTAATGTAATCACTTTTGTATCTACCATAACCCATTCCATTTCTTCCCATTGGCAAGTACAATTCAATTCTGATATCTAAATATTCTTGTAAACTCTTATCTTCACAAACTTGTTTTGCACAATTAATTACTTCCATTGCATTTCTAGTTTTTCCTGTACCTGGTGAAGTTGCAAATACAATGATTGGTACTTGGGTTTTATCAAGAGTGGATTGTAATGTATTATTTGAAAATCTTGTAAGTAAAGTCTTTGATATAGTTTTTCCTAATTCTTCTACTCCAATAAATTCCATAAAAGTACTGGCATTATTGAGAGCAGATATCTGTTGTATTCTGCCTTTGTTGATATCAATAATTGATTTTTTCTCTTTTAAATTACCAGAAATTAATAAACCACCAATCCATAATATAACAACCATAATACTATTTTGATCAACATTTGGGAACTTTTGGGATATGGTGGTAATTGCTTCGGATAGGTTGATAGGTTGGTTTCTAATAATACTACCAATACTTTCACCACAGAAATCACCTTCACAAAATAAACCTGAAACCTCCTTGCTCAAACCAACACCACCCTTATTTCTCTCAGTACATAACAAATAAAAAACTTCATCCTTTGTCCAATCCAAGTACGGTGTATCCAATAGTTTTTTAATATAATCATCCGAATGTTTTATGATACCACTTTCAACCTTTGCCTTTTTGTTATAATCTTCCGATGCATTAATTTTTCTTTTTTTATCTTTTTCATCCAACAACTCCTGTGTAATAATATTAATATCCGACCGTTCTTTGTTGATTAGGTTTTCAATATCTTCAGACAAAGTTTCGATCATGTGTTTTTCCTCCATCCTATTTTTTAAATTTTTGTTTTTTTAATTTTTAAAAATTGGTTAAAGTTTTCAACCTGTTCTTGTTTCTGACCTCATTGTTTGAATTTTAGAAGATCAGGCGAAAACACTTCTGGTGAGAGATTCTTCTTCTGAACGATCCTATACATTACTAATCGTTTCATTGTTCTTGAATTGAATATATTTCTCGGAATCAGTGAACTGGCATTAATAGAGGAGGTTGTGTTTCAATTTCTCATTACTTGTCTGACTTGTTTCTTTGAAACCACTCTGTGTAACACACCATCAAGCAGATTAAATTAAAATTTTGAAAATTTAAATTTTATAAAACCTAAAACGAGTTGTGTGAAATCTTATTCTTCCTTATTGGTATTCGACAACTTTTCTTTTGACTTTTCCTTAAGTTTCATCATGTTGGATTTTCTTTCTCCGGTAATCTTGTGTAATTTCTTTCTTCTCCACAAAATCTTGAATTCATTTCCGAACCATTCAGAACATCCTCCTCTATAGTTCAAAGTGTTTTGGAATCCCATTTCTTGCAAAATCATACAAGCAGCTTCACTTTCAGCAGGAGAATCACTGTAACAAATAATATTGGAATAAGCTTCTGGTAATGGTGCACCATATCTCTTGTTAAAAGCTTCAGCCTTCAATCCGACAGCACCTTCTTTAATATCAGTGAAAGGAATGTTGACTGCTCCTGGTATCATATAGTCCAAAGCACGGAAAGCAGAACGAACGTCTACTACCATATAATTGTAAACATCCTTAGGTTTTTTCAACAATTCTTCCAATTCAGCCTTGGTAATAACTGGTGAAATTCTATCGGCAAGTTGTGGAACCATATCAAAAACACATGGTATATCGGCAATCTTCTTTCCTTGAACTGAGTTTTTAAAGTATTGTGGTTCTCTTTCATCTTCCCACAAAAGATCGTATTCTCTTCTATATGTACGTTTGTTGGCTTCTTCTTGTGCGGCACGTTGAGATTCATCAAGGTCTACATCAATAGCAACATCTTCAGTGAGTTGGTTATATTGTTTTAATTTGTTCAAAATACGTTCGGTAACTTGATCTTCAGTAAAAGTCTTTCCACTCAAAACTGGTACATCGACAGGTTCGGATGATGTTGTAGCAGTTTTATCCAAAATTCTAATATTTGTATAATAATTATTGAAAGAACAAATTGATGATGGCAAGAAATTCTTCTTTGCTGTTAATGTTACTAAACGTCTCATCATGATGAAAATTTTTTAATATTTTTTTCTGATGCAAAAAAAATTTTATTTTTAATTGAATTATTAATTTTCTCTTTTCAAAACCATCACTGCTACGAGAAGTGTAAAGATAATTCTTATAAAACTCGATTATGAGAATGAATAGAATGCATTGATCCAACTCATTACATTGAAAAAAAAGAGGTGAAAAACTTTATTAATTACCATCAATTATAAAATTTACGATTATGAGAATGAATAGAATGCATTGATCCAACTCATTACATTGAAAAAAAAGAGGTGAAAAAGCTTATCAATTACCATCAATTATAAAATTTACGATTCCGCGCCTAAAAAACACAACAAAAAAGAAATGAGAAACATCCTCAATCATCATACTTTTGAAGAGAATACAGTGCCACGACCACACGATCAGACAAAGAAAGCCCTAGATCCCTTTCTGAGGGAGGCAATGGAAGCACTCTCTATAAATTTACAAACTTTTATGAAGTATACTGATTTTCATGAGAGTAAGGAGGGAAGATCGTTAATATTTGGTGTCTCGGCTCCAACAATTAGTTTTAGTTGCTCGACGAATAATAGTGTTTCCATGTCTACTTCCATGATGAGGCAATCAATTATTGGAACTAGTTTGTTGCAATTTGATCCTGATTGTGTTGAGGAAGAAGAAATTATTCTCACTGAATCGGAATACAAACAATTGGAGGAAATTTACTTTAATCCCCTCAAGTACTTGGCAGAAACTCTGAAGATTTTGAATGAAAACAAGCCAACACAAATTGAAGAGGATAAGTATGGTCTTGAGGAACTTCATTATGATGATGAATTGGATCAAGATTCTAGTATTATAACAATTCAGAAGGAAACACCAGAACAAGCTCCTCCACCAGCCAAACCATTAATAATTAGAGGAAGAGCTAAAAGAAAATTTTACTAGTAATTGAAATTGTCATGAATTTAAATTGCCTGTTTTATTTTGAAATGCAACAGTAATGTCAGTTCATTGTTATTGGTTCTAATATTTGAGGAGTAAAATTAACTCTCCAAAGACAAGTAATATATGAGCAGTGAGGAATGAATAATAGAGTTCTAACGAAAAGTTATTTGAAAGAATGATCCATTTATCATCATTTGAATTTTATTATTCCACATTCCAACGAACTAATAAAACCATTGAATCAACTCCTTACCTTAATGTTTAAATCAACCGGTCATCACGTCAATTAATATTCGAATTATTTAATGTTCAATTAAAAATGAGAGTACTCTTAAAGTTCAGAACCACTGCCAGATTATTCAACTCTTCCAAATCAACAACAAACACCTCGCCAGTTACCTCTGCTGTAGCTTCCGAAACCAAGTTTGAACCAATTTGTGCACAAAAAGGACCGTACGTTGTTACTTTGGAGGAAGGAAAGAAATATGGTTGGTGTACATGTGGACTCTCTGAGAAACAACCATTTTGTGATGGAAAGTAAGTTTGTGATAAATATTATCGGAACATCGGAATTGATTCTTGAAAATTTTGATAACATAGACATAAAGGAACTGGAATGAAGGTATGTTTAAATTATTTAACAATTTCAATTAATTGAGGTGTCATCTTTAATTAGTCCCTTAAATTTGAAGCTACACCAGAGTTGTGTGATAAGGAAGTTTATCTTTGTGGATGTAAACAATCCAAAAATCCACCATTCTGCGATGGTAGTCATTCCAATTTGTCCGAATAAATTGTTTCAATTTGTAATTCAATTCTATTTGAAAATCCATTGTAAACTCGAAATATCATTGCAAATAATCTTATGGAAATATTTCAAATAAAAGAGTCTTCAATCTAATCTTGATACCAAAATACGACTGAAAATCTTTCTGCATGATCTGGATGATTTTTCTTCTGTATTTCATTTCTAATTCCATGCACATATTTATATCTGATATCATCAGCCAGAATAACTAAAGATCCATTTGGTAGTAAAACTCTAAACTCATCTGGACATTCCTGCACTTGTTCAATTGTAAAATTGGAAGGAGGATCAATCATGAAACTCATTGTAGCATCATTTCCGAAAGATAACATTCCAATTGTTGGACCCAATCCTCTACTATCAATATGAAGAGGACATCCACTTTTTTCAATATCTTGATAATGATTAATTTGAATAGTATTCGGAACAATGTTTGGATAGTCTGAATTCTCCAAACTGGACAGGGACATTACTGATGGACAAGGTCTCTTTCTCTTGTAGAAGAATGGTTTCAATGTTTGAATGTAGGCGAAGAGAGTTGGAAAGTACAAATCGGCACACTTTTCAACTTGACTCTCCGAGTGTACATTAAAGATGGATCGTTTTAATTGTGGATTGGCAAGGAAGGGTTCATGTTTTTGCAAGTTTTTCAATTCATTCCAAATGGTTTGAGAGTCTTTTGGAGAGATGAAAGTAGGATGATAGAGTGCTGTTGGTGGTGTTTGTTCTAAATCGGATTTTAATATTTGAACAGCAGGATTATTGGCAAGAAGAGGAGCAATAAAGTTGGTTGACGAAGCTGCTGATGTTTGCTTATTAATGAGTCCTTTGAGAAAATTCATTTTTTTGAATTGTTAATCTTGGGCAATTGGATGAAAAGAACATAAGTAGGCAATTTGAAAATATCCCTTCCAAAATCGCTGGAGACTTTTTGTCCACTTTTCACCATCAGAATTTTTTCCACCGGCTAGCTGGCAAAGTGGGAGGACAGCTTCCATTTCAACTTCTAATTCGATCATCACAACAATAAAAAATATTCGTGATGGTGGTAGTAAGCAAGAAAACAATTTAGAGCAATAACTTATTATTACTTCATGAAAACAAAAACTAACAATAAATTGCTTTATCACAACATCATTGGATAATATTGAGTTTTTTTCTTCTGTTTATTGTTCAAGTTTGCTATTGAAAAAGGTTTGTAGCTGGTGGACAAGCGTAAGACTGGGGCATCGAAATAGAAAGTAAATTAGAAGCCGTCCTCTCACTTTGCAAGCTCGGGGCTGGAAAAAAATCAAGCGAAAATTTTATCGTTTTTCGTCACAAAAATGAAGCTTGAAAATGGAAGGGATATTTGAAAACCATCTTGGTTGTGTTGACATGAAGTTTATGTTAAATATCAACAGTATTCAAAGTCCGCATTGGATTAAAAAGAAGTTAAAATGTAAATTTTGAATTTTTGAATTTATATGGTGTGTTTTAATTTATTTAATAGCCTAATTCAGCCAACTTCTTGACAACAGTTTGGAATTCAGTGTTACCACTCAATTGTTCAGTAGCTTCACTCTTGAGATTTTGCAAAGTCTTGACTTCAGCAACGTAAGCTTGATTTTGTTGCTTTCTTTGTTCTTCGTATTTAACAACAACATCGTGATACTTCCAACCCATTCTCTTCAACAAGTCACCGACTCTAGTAACAGGTGAGCTTGGCTTCAAGATGGTAACAGCGAGAGCAGATGGACAGACGAATCTCTTAACTTGGTTGTATTGAGCTGGGACACCGTCGAAGAGTTCCAATCTAGCCAAAGCTTGTCTACCCTTTTCAGTCTTTCTGGAGACCATAGCTCTGATGATCTTGTAGAGATGTTGAGATGGAGCTCTGTGATGGAATGGACCCTTTCTTGGATTGGTGTTCATTCTCTTTCTCAAGTATGATTCGTAAGCTTCCTTGTTTCTCTTCATCTTACCTTGGATAAGGAGTTCTTCACATCTGACGACGACGACCTTCTTTCCGCTCAAAGCTTCCTTGGCAACGTGGGCAGCGAGACGACCCAAGATGTGACCCTTACCATCGAGAACAACAGTACGATTGAATGTAGACATCTTTAATGAATAATGATAATAACAATAATTGTTGTGAAGAGATTCAAATAGTACATCATCACAATAGGGGAAGTAAGTATGAGGTGAGTTTGACAGAATAAAATGCTACGTACTTTTTGCGATTTTTTTTTCGAACAAGTTTTATAAAATATAGTGGGGTTGGAGTTTTACAATGAAAACATTTGTGAGCCAAAATTTGCTTGCCAAAAAAACTCTCTTCGGCAAACAAGAAAGAAGAGGCTCCTATGCAATAATAACAATTAGCTAATGTTGGACCAGAGGATATTGTAGGAATTATCAAACATGGGAAGTATGATCAACAACAAAGTATCATTTCATCAATCTTGCATAGTGATGAGAGAAAATTAATATTCATGTGTTTTGATCATCAAACAAGAGCCATACATGGCACGGAAATCTATTGAATATAATTTTTGGATAAATTAACAGGAACACAAATACAAAACAATTAGGTATTGCCATCATCATGGAGTTCTTCCTGGTCATTTGTGAATTATTCATAGAGCTGCAACATCCGTGTCTTCTGAAAATTTTCTATTTTCAAAATCATTCTTGAATTTGAAAGTTCTTGTGAATGATGAAAAACTCTTCATTCCTTAGAAATAGGCACATTTCACCTTAAACAATGATATTGACCAATAAGAGTGGTAATGTTGATTGTTAGGATACTTTGCTTCTCACATATTCATAATAATAGACAAACCATTGGTTGTTTTCATTGACATGTGGTAATCTTCAATCCTATGACGAAGCAACCTCCTCAACACTCGACACTGGATAAGAAGCTCTCTATAGCTTAATGAAAAGAGAAGGTATTGGTGTTGATAGAATAGCATAAGAATGTCATGACGCATTGGGTAGAGAAACTCAATTACCTAGATTACTTTATCAAGCACAAATTTTGCGACATTTGATTTCAGTGTGCAGCCCCGCTAGCTCAGTCGGTAGAGCGTTGGACTTTTAATCCAACGGTCGTGGGTTCGAGCCCCACGTGGGGCGGTTGCTTTTAGCTTTTTCAAAACTCCGATTGTAAAGATTTTTTAAAAGAGGAGACATCTTTGCTGGATGAGTTTCGATATTGCATCAGGATCCACAAAAAGAATAAGAAAAAAATGATTGAATTGATTCTATCTGCTTGCATTGGTGCTGTGTTATGTTTGGCTTTTGTTTATTTTAAACAGTATAACAGGACTGACAATGTAAAAGAGTTCAACAACATTCAAAAGTACTCTTTATACACTCCTAAGCACTACAAAGTTGAACTAGATCAAGATTCCATTCAATTAATGAAAGATAACTCCTTTGGCATTCTCCTCACCTGGAAAGGATCTGAATTACACACTTCTCATGTTCCCTTCTTGGTAGACGAAACGAATCCAAACTCTCTCAAGTTGCATTTCCATTTAGCCAAGCAAAATCCTCATTGCATGGCTTTGGAAGAATTTGCTAAAAAATCCTCAACTTCTAATGGATGGAATTGCAAGGTTATCTTTGTGGGACCACATTTCTATATTTCACCAAAATGGTTTTTGGGAGGATTGGAAGGTCAAAAGAAGAAAGTCCCAACTTGGAATTTCACAGCAGTTCATGCCCATTGTGATTCATGCCAAGTTTATGATTCACCAGATGAAAAGCATAAGATTGTTAGTGATTTGACAGTTTTCAATGAGGATTGGTTGATGGAGCATTTCAGAAATCCAGTGAAGGAATTGGACGATTACAAGTATGATTTCTCAAAGACTGATGAGAAATATGCTGAACAAAAATTGAAGGCAATTGTTGGATTCACACTGATTGTTAAGGAATTGAAGGGAAAGTTCAAACTCTCTCAAAACTTATCAAAGGAAGAGAGAATTTCAATTATTGATGGATTGAATAGACAAGGATATGATCTTGCAATTGATACTGGAGTACATATGAAAAGAACAATCACAGTTGCATCTAAATTTAATAATCTTGACAGAATAAATTATATTAGATAATGAATTGCAAGATAAGGAAAGATGGAAATATGGTTATGAAAGAGTCCTTGATTGCTCTTTAGAGTTATTATTATTCAAAAACATATGTGCCACCACTTTAGTTTAACAAAAGAAAATGCTCAATCATCTACCGGATGAAGTTCTTCATCTTATTGGTCAATTTATCATCAGTACAGACCAAGACCTTCTGGAATCCCTCTACGAAAGACAAATACAACCCTCTTCCTCAACTCTTGCACAATTTCCCTTCCGATCTATTGTCAAGCACTCTATCACAGCTTGCCATTACTACTTTTTTCTTCTCGGAATGTTGAACAAGGAGTTTCATCATCGAGTCAACAATAATCCATACTTTTGGAAGAGGAACTTATTCTATTTGGATCAATTAACTAGAGTTAATCAGATTGGACATTTCTCAGCAGACAATGATGAGGATTTATATGAGGAGGAATATGATGAAGAAACGGATGAAATTATTCAAGTATTGGTTAGGGAGAGAGAACCAGCTAGAGTTATTAATTATAAACAAATTAGAGAAATGATGGAGAAGTGTGAATTGAGCAGAGTGTTTTTAAAAGTGGAAAACAAATTGATTCAAACAATGGTGGATGAATTTTCAAATTCTTATCATGTTAGGGAGTTGATAATTGATTGTAGGAATGTGGATATGTTTTCAGTGTTTGATTTAATTGTTCATCATTGTCCTTTCATTGTGAAGGTGAGAATTTTGGTGGAGACATTAAGAACTGATTGCGTTGTGAAACGAATTTATCAGCAAGACTCTTTAAAAGTTAAATGTCCACTGAAACAATTGAGAATTATAAATCCACAAACGAATAATTTAACTGATTCTACTAGGAGAGTATTTGATCAGTTGATGGAAAATTATCTTCCCGAAATGAGTGATATTGAGGAAATTGCACTACCATTTTGGACACCATCCATACTCGATTCTATATCTTTGAATTGTAGACATGTGAAAAAGTTAATTCTATTAGGAGAGTTGGCTCCAGGTGAATACAACCAAAGTTTTGAGAATATTTGTAACAATATAGAGGCATTGGAATCTTTTATAATTTCCAAATCTGTAGTGAGGGGATTTTATGTGGATATTGGACAAGCTCATTTCATGAGAATTCTAACCAAATTTTCAAAAACCTTGAAAGAGTTTGTGATGGGAACCAATCTCTCAAGATTTTCATCACCTCGTCCTGAAGAATCTGTTCAATTTGAAGAGGAATTGGCTGCAAACCTACCAACACAATTGGAAACACTCATCATTGAAAATATTCCAGATCACTATTATAATTCCAGCACTCCTCTTGCATTTATTAACATTCTTACTAGTTTATTCAATAGGAATCAGACCAATAATTTTCAATTCCATTTCAAGAATTTAATAATTGATTTGAATAATTTTCATTTGGATAATTTTAATTCCATCTCTATGAGACATGTTCAAAATTTATATTTGAGATTATCCAACAGTGAGGAAATTTTTTTGTATTTATCAAAGAGAGAATATGCTTCAAACATTAAAACTCTGACACTGGATTTGTTTCTCTCCACTATAAGTGAAGCATCAAACATGTTGAGACAACCATTCTTCTCTAATGTAGAAAATTTGATACTTGTTAATTATGGAAATTCCTTGACTGATTTGACACCCCTGTCTATTATTCCAAATATAAGGAGTTTGAAATTAATGTCATATTTAAATCAACCTTATGAATCACTCTACAGTGAAGATATACCTATGAGGAACACATTATCTAATCCAGGAACTTGTTTCATGTTCAACACTTCACCATCTTTGGAAGAGATTGGGGTATCAATTGATGAAGATTTGGATTTATTTGAGTTGGATATATTTACAAATATCAAATCCATGACAATTGATTCACAGTACTTTTATTCAGATATTTTGAGAGTTTTGTCTCCTCTGACAAGAAAATTTTCCAAATTGGAAAGTTTTGATATTTCTATTCACTCTGATTTGATAATTGATTGCACTGTTTCAGAAAAATTGAGAATTATGAAGAATATCAAGTATGCAAGTTTATCTATTGAAGGTGATGAAGATTGCAATAATGGATTGGAATTGTTAATTTTATTTTATATTATCACATTTGGAGCATTTGTTTCGGATTTCAAATGTCACTCGTTGAAAGAACCTAGTGAGGATATTATTTCAATATTTGATGATATATTTTACAAATTCATCTCAGAGGACGATCATTCAATGCATGAAGAAATTAACCAATCTTTTACAAGACAAATAATTGAACGTTTGAATTTTAGAAATTCATCTGATTCAATGGAGGAAGAAGAATAAGACTGAACAATACAAAAAACATTAAGCAAGTGATGAGAAAAATTGTGATACATATTTATCTAATATACACATCCAATTCTTGGATCTTCTCATTTGGTTTGAAGTCAAACTTGTTAAATATATTCTTATCATTACACAAGTTGGCTACTTCAGTGCTACCACCTGGGAAGTTGGTACCAATCAAACAATAGTCATTTCCAACTAAATTACATCCAGCTGTTTCCTTGTGGAAGATTACTCTATTGGACAAATCATTAGTTAATCCACTACAGACACCAACCTTACTAATAGTAAGAGAAGCAATATTGAAAGTTGCGTATTTACCCTTTCCGTTTGTTATCATGATTATAGAGCTAATTTCCTTCAATCCTACCCATCTTTCAATATTGACAGATTCTCCCTTAAAGCTCAATGGTAAAACTATATTTTCGCTATTGATCGGTTCAAATTTACTACTTCTAGAGGAGACTAAAGTCCAACCTCCTCTCAAAGTGGTCATATCACAATAGGCAATGAATCTATCTGTCTTGTTTTTGATCCAATACTTGCCTGATTTGAGGCCAGCAACAGTTGCATTGTACAATCTACAAGATCTCAAACCTTCTCCAACAGTGTAAGCTCCATCTACGACTCTCAATCCAATATCATATTCTCTTTCGGAAACTTCTCCTGTACTTGATTTTTCTTCATCATCACTATCTGTTTGACCTTCTGTATTAACAGTTGGTACAAATTGTGTATTGGATGGTGCTGAAGTTGTTGTAGAAGCAATCTTAATATTATTGGATGCTGAGGAAGCAGTCTTCATTGATGATGATACTTGACTCAAACCAGGTTCCTTCTTACATAAAACACTCAATGAATCAACTTGCATCTGCAATGTTTTATCCAATCTTTTATATTCCTTCAAGTTGGCTTCAAAATTCATAGTTTGTTCTCTCAATTCATCCTTCTTGTAGGAAAACGCTCCCGATCTTCCCATCTCATCAAAGGCTCTCATTAAGATGTTACTCTCCTCTGCGCTTCTCTTAACATCTGATAATTCTTGTTGTTTTTGTTGAAGGAGATCACAAGGAGTGAGTGCGATGGTCAAAAGAGTGTGAAGTACCAACACGATGGACAAAGCCAACAAGGCCCTATGCAGTGGTTTCATTTTTTTCTTAGAGATGATATTAAAATAGGTGAGCAGTAATAGAATTCCTTTTAAAGATAAATCATTACTTAATATATTAAGGTCACGATTCGGTCAATTGTCCAAGGCAACCTTTTTATTTCGAATATCAACCATCTGACATTCTATTTTATAGCAAGTGTTTATTTGCAATTTTGAGGAAAAAGTCCCTTCTTTTTTTTATCACGAGGATATCTCATAATTCTGGAAGGACGAGGTTCAATGAAGGATCCAAGCACATGTATAATTTGAAGTTTTTTCAACAATTTACTGTTGGGGAGGGAAATACGTTGTTGATTAATTTCGAAATCTTCGTCATGAACAGCTTCATTTTCGAAAGACGAAACAAAAATAATAAAGATAAAGAGAAGGGAAAGGAAAGAGATTGTGATTAGTTTCATGAATCTAAACGGATTTTTTCTTTTCGTGTTGGTATCATTTGGAGTGTGCATTGAGTCAAGACAAATTTGGACTCCAAAATAAGATTATTCCCTTAAATGTAAGTTTGAGCTTTACAATTTGGCTCTATATTGAGCTTTTCCACAACTTTGAATGTTCTGAACTGTTGGTCATTCTTTCCAATGCAATTTGCATATTCAAGATCCTCCAGCCAAACTCGTTTGTTGATACAGAATTATTGGAACAATTTTTGAATATGCAACGTGATGGAGTTGACGAAAAGTTTATTGAAATATATGATAGTAGTATGAACTGGTTTGTAAACTTTTTCAAAAAAAAAATGTCATCACTTGATAGCTCTTCCTCCCTTTCGGAAAGAAAATTGAACAAACAAGAAGACTGCTCTAAAATTATTCTCTTTGATTTTGTGTGCAATAGTCAATCAAGTTTACATTCCGATAAAGCTCGAAATGATCATCACCAATTATTATCACTCCTAAAGAAGAAGATTAGCACGCCTAAAGGCGTGAGCTTTCCACTCGCTACCTATTCATCAATTGATGCTGTTCAAAGTTTGCCAACTGATTTCTTTTCCTATGAAGTTAAAATTCTCTACAAGTACAATGCCATTCTTTTGGGTGGGAATAACAAGACATTCTATTTATTAGATATTGATACTAGAAAAGTGAAACAGATTATTGCTGTGGAGGGATTGAGAGGGAATTGTTTTCATGTGGAGGAGTGTGCTATTGATGGACAGGATTATATTTATGTGACTAGTTGTAATTTAATCAAATATAATTTGACCATGTTGATTCAGGGTAAATCATCTCACGAGTGCTTGGTGTGGAGGTCGGATTATCAATTACCTAATTCGTGGGGAGTGGCAAATTTCAAGAATGATGTGTATGTGTGTGATTTTGAGAAGGGATTATTGAGATTTGAGAAGAGTAACGGCAAGTTCATTTCTTTAAATCGTGGAAATGGTATGTATGGTGTTGCCTTCACTCCAGAAGATGAAATGATATTGAGTCATGCAGATCATTTTGAGCAACGATTGGAAATTCATACTATGAATCAGAATGGAGAGTGGATTTTAAGAAATGTCAAGAAAAATTCAGAAACGAACATCTTTATGGATCCATATAGTATTTTCTATGAACCCATTACACAATACATTTATGTGAGCGATTGTACAAATGGAAAGATTGTCGTTTTAGATAAATTATCACTCAATGTGGTGAAAAATATTGAGGGTTTGAGTATGAATTATGCAATTGGTGTAGATAAAAGGAATGGAAACTTGTATGTTTGTACTGGAAATGGTGGAACATTACATTGGATACATTAATAGAAAGAAAACTGGACTGTCATAGAACTCGTTCAAATGTTAAATTATTACTTGTAATATCTTATATGATGTATAGTGTCAAGATGTGAGATTGTTGGATTAATACTATTGAACTATTTTCAGTGGTGGCAAGGCAGTTTGCAAGTTCCAAACGTGCTTTCCTTCTTAATAGAGTACAGCTAAGGACATTATAATGTATATAGTTGTTAAGGATGAAATAACATCATTCCATCCATCACATTTTACAATACTGTCTTTCACATCCTGAATAAATACATCAATTTTTCATTCAAAATTAAAACAAAAAAAATTATTAATCAATGAATTCAGAATCAACTTTAAGAATGTATGACAGCAATACAGGCACTTATCATTCACAACAAGAACCTTATTTAAAGAAGAAACCCAACTATCTTTATCAATATTTCAATTATTACTCAACTAATATTATGCCACAACTAAAATTTGATGGTTCACATCTTTGCCATCCAAATAGATGTTGTAAATGTGCATTTGTTGAATATTTAAATTATGGTATGGGGAAGGCACAATTGTTATGGAATCCAATAAGAAAATTCCATCAATTATTATTCCATCTACCACTTTACCTTTTGCCATTTATAGGTCTGTTACAGACTTATAAAATCCCAAACATTGGCAATGTAGAATTACTTGACAATAGGTTGTTTAAGGACATATTATTTCTCCATTTTGATAATAACTACCAGTTTTGGGAATTGAAAGTGGTTTTTTGTTGTTTAATCCTAATGCAAAAAATCATTCTTCAACCAAGCCACATTCTTCACATTACATCAATTCTGATTGAGGGTCCAAATAACTTTTCCAAATTCATAATATTTTCCCAAGAATAATTATTCTTGTTCAAACTGACTTCGAAGTCCACAGTTAAATCAATGAATATCAATTCATGATCAACTCTACCAAAGTTAATTACTTACATTAATTCCAAGGATTTTTGAAAAATAAAATTTGAATTTGATAATAATTTATTATATAGATTAGAATAACAAAATGGAAATTAATTTAGAAGTAAACTTCTTTTATTTTGAAAGAGATTTTCATGACCTCTTACTTGGAATTTCTCCATTTATTTACATTCAAACCAACATTAAAAAGATTCAAAGCTAAACCTCTGTAAATTGGTGGAACGAGAAGAAAATTGAAAAATGTGGAGAATGGTTGGATTTTCAAGTTATTCATGTGATATTCCTTGTATTCTGAAGTGAGTCGTGACTTGATTGTTGTTGCCCATGCATTAATTCTTTCACCAATTGATTGATTGAGTAGTGACTTGTCAAATATGAAATCTAATGTTGTGGAACTAATGAAATAGACGCCTGTCATTAGAAGTGCATAGCTTGATTGTTCGATGAGTACTCGTTTGGCACTCCAGACCAAACGTTGTGGAGAAAATTTGGTCAACCATTGCAAGTTGATTGTATGTGGCGAGTATTGAACTATTGAGTTGGTAATTCCCCTTGTCAACCCATTATTTGATAAGAGAAGTTGATTATTTGTTGATTTTCTAAAGAATGGTGATGGAACCTTATCAATATGAATCTTTGGAAGTGGCAGTGAGTTGCCTTTGACATTTGGCACAATCTTATCCAAAGCTCTAAACCAATAATGAAGAGTTGGTCCCAACACACATACTCCATATATAAAAGACTTTACAGAACGACTATAATCATGTTGATATTGACCCTTCTCTGTTGAATTATTTTGCAAATAATTTGCATGTTGAATAAAAGCATCACTGACAGTATAACATGTGGCAGCTGTTAACCCCTTTGTTATGAGTGGTCTTTTAATGAGGTTTTGAGAATACAAAGACCATCCCTTACTAAACACATTGTGAAACATTTAGTTTTCCAATTCGAATTTATCAGAATTAATCAAACTCTCAAAGTCAGCCCACTGAGTTGTTGTTTTCTTGTTTTTTTCTAGTTGAATTTGTGTCGAGTCTAGTGAAAGGAAATGGTATTTAAGAGAGTACGGAGAACGGACAAGGTACGTAAATACGTTCTTGAATTTTACTTTCTGCGTGTCCATAGCTGCTTTTCACTGTTATGGCTTCCTATCCTTTTTTGAAAAATGCGAGGAAGTGGAATCTGCACAGTACTCAAGTGAGCGTATTATTAATAGAATGCGCCATCATTGAGGAAGTTTACGAATTGAGGAGGGTGTACAATTATGAAATGGTGATTGGAAATTTCTAACATGTGTTTACGCCACTTATTGAAAGTCAACAGTCAAAGTGAATTATTGTTTATTTGCTGATGATGATGGTGCAACACTACCCGATCTACAGTACGATCCAAAATTGAAAATGAGCATGAATGATAAAGCCAATAGATCAGCAACCTTGTTAGGTTTGCAGTCTGGATCACTGGTCATGATTAAAATTCGGGAAATGAGTGCAGAATATTCCATTGAGGCTCCCATTATGTTAAAATGAGTAGAATTGGTCTGAGTACTTCCATCTTGGAATGACAAATCAGATACTGGAACACACTTAATTTCTTGCAAGTAGACAGAGAGGAGAGACATACAAAGTGATCCCATCATGGTCTTATCTTTGGCAGTCACCAATGAATGAATAAATTGGTGAGCTAGCTCCCTATCGTCCAATCTATCGAGAACATATCTTGTAAAACCTAACTTCTTCTCTAAATATTGGGCAATTATTGGTCTTCTCTTGCAATAGTCTTCATCTGATTCGAATTGTTTTGGTTTGGTAGCCAAGGATTCAGAAGAAGAGGAAGAAGTAGCACCTCCTTGGCTAGTGGTTGGTGCAAACTGAGGAACACCCATCATTTGAGGATATGAATAGTAATCGTATGATTGAAATACAGGAGGTGCAAAGTAAACTGAAGGTGTATATGCTTGAGGAGTGCCACTAGTACTCTCTTCCTCTTGAAAATATGAATTCATATCTGGAGAAATATTCTCAGCCTTTCTCTTCTTATTCCTCTTCTTACTTGAATCAATGTCTACTGAGAGAGCAGAATCACTGGAAAGCCTTGTAGTTTGCTCCACTCTTTTTGGAGGCGAAGTTTTCACACTTTGAGAATTTGGTGAAGGCTTTTTGGTGGCTGCTGATGAGGAAGAAGCAGAAACAGGTGTTGGAGGAGGTGATCTTCTTACTGGTTGCTTGCTTGTTTTGATTGGTTGTTGAGTTGTCTTTTCAATTGAACTATTACCATTATTCACTAATTGAATTAATGTTGATCCAGCACTGTTTGAACTAATTGTGGCTACTCTTGCATTATTTGTATTACTAGTATTATTGGTAGTAGCAGCAGTATTATGAGAACTAGTTATAGTACCATTTGATAGAGTAGTATTGGTGCAATTCTCCATTCCGCCACTTCCTTGAAGGAGGCTAGTGAATGATGTTGTAGATGAGGCAATAGTGGTAGAATTACTTGCACCACTACTTGAACTCGCATTGGATGATCGTTGAATAGTAGCATTGCTATTGGTGCTGTTTGGAGGATAAGTCAAAAGTTTAGTATATTGTTTAGGCTTGGCATCATTTGAGCTGAGTGCTGTAGTTGTTGAAGGGAATGGAAGCATGTTGCTTTTTTTCAATTTGAAAAATTCAATAGTGTGAAAAGGCTAACTATATGAATGTCGTAGGCTGGTTGTTTCAAGGCTAAAGTTCAACAGTCTAGCCTTTGATAATCACATTTCACAAACAATCATTCAGTCTAAAATAGTCCAAATTGGGAAGTATTGAATTAGATACAAGAATGAATAGGGAGATTTTCCAAATTGGTTGCAATGATGATGATGTTTCTTCTTCATACACTCAGTTTGTTCAGCTATTCGAAACAAAATGGTAGAACATCCACAAGTAGTAGAATTCAGTTTTGATGGAATAAGATACCTCATCAAGGACCATGAGAAAGTCAAAAGCCTTTTCAATGAATACTTGAATGGAACCAACACTTCACAAACTCACAAACGCCAACTCGTCAAACAATTCACCACAGAAATTGTCAAGCATGCTTCAAGTGAGGAAAGATATCTCTATCCAATCCTTTTAGAAAAGATGGGAAATGAACAAGCCAAACTCTTGTACAATAAGAATTTGCTAGATGATTTGATTACAAAGGAAATGTTACGTTTCTTCGAGACGAGTGTAATTCGTAATGACTTTGATTGGCACGTGTTTGATAAGGCTGTTAGGAAATTCATCGAGATGGAACTTCATCACATTGAAGAGGAGGAAAAGGATGTTTTTCCGATTATTAGACAATCACTTAATGAGGAAGAATTAGCAACACTAGAAGATGCAATTAAATGGGCAAAAGATCACGGGCCAACTCACCCTCATCCGATGGAGAGTATGACAAATCCACAAGCTGCAATAACTCATCCAGTTACAGGACGTTTGGATCGCTTACGTGATGAGAGAGAACAAAATGCAATGAAGGATTAAATCTGTACATTTTTTTATATTTTTTTCTAATTTTTCAATTCATCAAAAATCTCACACCAAAATCTTTCATTAAGCAAGTCGAAAACAAGAACCAACAACCTGAAGAAGAATAACATTTGAGTTGTCTTTATTGGAGTGATGATGCACTTTGGCAATGCTTGAAAATCGATTTTCATTAAACAGAATCCTCAATCAAAATCAATATATAATGTCTACTAATAAGTTTTTAAAAAGAGCACTTACGAACAAATATTTCATCCAACAAAACACAAGATAAAAACAATAACAACAACATTGCAAATTTTCTTCTTTACTAGACCGGAATATCATCCTCTCCTCTGTGACTACCTATAAGTGGTAGAAAAAGTAATCAACAAGAACGAGATCAAATTCTATTGCTGATTAAAAAATGTATCAAAATGGCTCTAATCAACCCAGTCCAACAACCAACAATAATAATATGGGTTTTCGGCAGCCACGAAATATGAATAACACTAGCAGCAATAGCAATAATCAGTATATTGGTGATATACCATATGGAATGACGGAACAAATGATGATGATGCAACAACAACAACAACAAAATAATCAATTACCTCCCTCACAACAACAACACTATTCACCGAGAAGTCCCTCATCTCCAATTCTCTATGTTCATCATTCACAACAAGTACAATCACCACCACCACAACAGCAATTATATAATAATATGGCAATGCAACAAGGTTCATTCATGGGTAGTGGAGGAGGAATTGTATATAACCAACCTCATCCATCACAACAACAAACTAATAATTACATTGATGATGGAAATTTATCGGCAACAGGAAGTGTTGGTTCAATGAGAATGGCTCCTAGTATAGGTATTCGTCCATCATCTAATACTTCATCTTATTATGCGGAATTGCAAATGGAATCACAAGCCCTTTCTCAACAATTTGAAAAACTCAAAGATCAACGAGTAAGTTTTTAATAATAATAATAGGAAATTAAATTGAATATATTTAAATATTTAGAATCAAGTGAGAAATGAATTGGGACATTTGGAGGAATTAATTTTCAAATATCAAGAAAGAAAGAGCATGATGGAAGATAAGGAAAGGAGATTGGATAAACTACAACAAACAATACGACAGAAATGTAGGTTTTTGTTCATGATTTGAAATTATTCATACAATTCATGATCTGGTAAATTTGAAAATTAATCAATGAATTCCGATATAATTTCATATTGTATTATCATATTATCATGATTGAAAAACAATTTTAGTGAAAGGTGTACAGGAAAAGATTTTCAAACTAGATGAGAAAACTAACAAGGGTGAAGAAATCAAGTACAAGGCTCAATTTAATGGAAAGATTAATAATAATAATGGAAGAGGGGATGAAACAAATAATAATCAGGGATCATCCCCTGCAACAATACCCGAGGAGGAAATTACTAACAACTTGACTAACAATAATCAAATTTTGGAATCAATTACCATTTCAGATGTTCAATCTGAAGATGATAATGAATCACAAAATTTAGATGATATCATTAACGAGGATATAGACGATGATGCTTGGAGTATACGAGTGGAGGAAGTGATTTGACTAGTGTTTCTAGAGTTTCACTTCCAGCCAACATTTATCATCAAATGAGTAATAATAATAGAACTCAAATTAGTCACAATGTTTACCGACCTCAATTATCAACTAGGAATAAGCACAGAGCTTTTCAACATCACACCTTGGACGATGTCGTTTTCAGTACTCAATTTAGAACTCGTTCAGCATCATTTAATTTTCAACAATCTACTTCTGGCCAAATGACACCCAGAACCTATAGAAAGAAGGTTTTGAAAGAATTGGCTGACTCTGATACACCCTTTGATCTTTCTGAATGTACATTAAGAGGACATACCAAGAGTATTACATCCCTACACATGATTGGCTCTCGATTTGTCATTTCAGGATCAGCTGACTGCAGTGTACGTGTCTGGGATTTACAATCAAAGAAGTGTCTTCAAACTCTTTTCGGTCACTCTGGTTGGGTTCGTTCAGTAACCTCCGATTTTGTTGATGTAACAGAAGGTGAGGAATACGAAAGACTCATTGACGATTTAAAGTTTGTAGTGAGTGGCTCTGGAGATGGTACAATCAGATTGTGGGATGTGAGTAATCCAGACCTTGAAGAAAAATGTCTGAGAATTCTGAAAGGACATGAAGGAGGTGTCACCTGTGTGAAGAGTGATATCAATGGTGTTATCATCAGTGGTAGTGTTGATAAGACTGTCAAAGTTTGGGATAAGAATCAGAGTGAATGTGTACAGACTCTAATTGGACATGAAAGATATGTCAAGACACTCCAATTCAAATCTCAATTCCTAGTGACAGGAGGTGGTGATAAGTGTATGCGTTTGTGGGATTTGCGTTCAGGAAAATGTAATAAGAGAATTAACACTCACGATGCAATTAATGTATTGCAATTTACCGATGATAGAATTATTGTTGGTTGCCAGAGTGGACAAATCTTGGACTATGATCTTAAAGCTGGAAAACTTTTGGATTCTCTTGCAAGTCATGGAGGCCCAATATCTGGATTGAAATTCCTTGGGTCAAGGCTCATATTTTCATCAACTGTACCAATAACTTCAGCATTTAAGAATGGTACAAATGAAACTGCTGCATACTCCTCAACAAGAAATTCAACAAGCAAGATGAATGGTAGATCATTCCTCTGCCTTAATCCGATTGAATATAATTTGGAAACAAAGAAAACAACGAGAGAATTTTTTGGACACATAGGTTCTGTAAATAGTTTAGATTTCAGTTCCACAAAATTGGTGACAGGTTCAACGGACCACACCATTAAATCATGGACACTGTAAAGACAGGGAATTTTAAGTCAAAATAAAATTTAATAGGACACTTGTATTACTAAAATGATTACAAACACAATTGAGTACAAGAGTGATGGATTGTGGTGAGTGGAGAGTGGACTTGCATTTTCTGTATCATTGTTCTTTCTCAATAATTCCAAATCAGATTCATTGAAAACCTTCAACTTAACAATTTGATCAATCCATCCTTTGAAATATGGAACTGATGTGTAGACTCCTCTATTTCTAATAGCATTTCTTGAACATGCAAGTCCTTTTAATTAAAATATTAGCATTTTCAATAAAATTAAGAGTTGTACATAAATATTAACACCAATTCAATGTAAAAAAACTCACCATAAGAAACTAATCCAGCTATGGAATAACAATAAAATTCTTCAGATTCTTCACACGAACCCTTATTCTGAAACAAGGCACTTCCAGAGTCACCACTGCAAGCATCAGAGCCATCCTTACCTGCACATATTTGCCCTCGGTTCCTTGATATAGAGAGTCCAATATTTCCACAAGCACGCTCATTCAAGAGTGGAAAATTAGCTTCTTTCAGTAAATAGGTCGATTTCTTATCGTTTGGATCACTGCCCCAACCAGCAAGTGTTAAATCAGTTCCTTCTTCGGGATTATCATCTGGAATTTCAATGGGTCTTATGCTTGTTGAAAATTCAACAGCATCTTTCAGCTCAATTAGAGCAATGTCATTCACAACCTCACTCGAATCATACAATGGATGTGGAATGAGCTGATTGACCTTCTTTCTAATACATCCATTTCGTTTCACATTCATTCTACTACTACACTTTCTAAGATTTGAATTTCCCAACACAACACTCAAAGTACTCGCATCTAATTTCCCACCATTATCATCAAAGCAACAGTGACTAGCAGTGACCAACCATCGATGGTCAATCAATGAAGCACCACACAAATGATAGGAATCTCCTTCAATGGTCACTTGAAGAGAGGCTGCATGTGGAAATTGGTGATCATCAGAAACAATTTCACCTCCCATTATTTTAGAATTCCTTAGACGATACAATTTATCAAGTAGTTGACCATATGGATTATTATTGGAAATTGTCAACTTGTCCACTACATGATTCTTTGTTTTAATGGAAACTTCATTCGTTATTGTTGCTGTTGCTGTTGATTCAATATTGTTGAGGGTTGAAAATGCTTTTGAGTTTGTAATGAATATTGGTTCTGGATTGTCGAGTAGAATTTGAAAAGATAATAACGAAACCACCACCAGTAAAAGGAGTGATAGAACAATGCATGATGTAACCAACAATGCACAAATCTTGTAATTTTTTGTCATGGTTAATTGTTATACTCAAATGATAGTTTCCAAGTCAATTGAGTTTTGTTATCTTTCAGAAAAGGAAACTGTTAAAATTTGGAAATTGAGTAAAACAGTTTGAGGTCAGCAAGATAATTTACTCAACCTTTATTCAATGTAGAAATTGTACAATTTAAACCTTATTTTCCTCAACTGATGTTTGTTCCGAAAATTGTGTGTTAATAGTGTCGGCTTTTGGTGGTTCTTCCACTATAGTAACTTCCACAGGTTTAGTAGTATTATCGGATGATGTATTAATAACTTGTTGAACTTCTTGTTGTTGTTTGATGGATTGTTCTAATTGTTCCTTCTTCAAATCTTGTTGTTTTTGATAATTAACAAACATGCCTTCAAACAATTCTCTTGGCTTGTAGAATGCTCCAACAAAGATCTTTGGATAGACAACAGCAGAGACAAAAGCAGCAGCCAAAGCATAATTTCTAATGGCGGCTTTTGGTTGGAGATTGAATGGAATAGCTAAGAGAGCAAGTCCAGGAATGACAAATTGTGGATTAGAATCCTTCCACTTGAGAGTTGATTCTATTGTTGCTGTTGTTGTTGTTATTATTATATTAAAATTCAATCAAAATAATTATTCATCATCATATTCATATTATTAATTCCAATATTATTAAAAGCAATCATTTTGATCGTAATATTAATCATATCATCATAGCAAATATATCATCGTCATTAAATATATATTTAAATTCATCATCATCATATTGCGCAATAAGAAAAATTCCGGCACAACAACAATATTCAAACTTACATTCAGTAGTTTTAACAGTATTATCCTTTGTTTCAGTGACGAATTTAGAAGTGGCATCAATTGTAGAGGTAGTCTTCTTAACAGTACAATCCTTCAAAACTAACAGGCTGTGGAAGAATCGTCTGACTGGAGCCCATTCTCCTTCCCAGACAACAACACGTTCAATGCGGGTTTCTTGTTGCTTGTTTTCACTCATTTTTATTGTTCTTGTTGATGATATGGAATTATTTTATATCCTTATTTAAACAGGTATGATGCAGGGAAGGAGACGATTTTGAGAAAGGATGATCAGCATTTTCATCTTGATTGTGTTAGCCTGAAGGTAAATGGTAGCTTAACAGAATGCTACTGCTAACTTGGGTAGTTTGAAAAAAGTTAGCGCCAATAGTTTTCGTTTTTTAAAAAATTAAAAAACATACAAATATTCAACCCTTCACCTCACTAATTCCGAACTAGCAGTGGATAAAAGAGTGTTAGAAAATGGGTATGGTTATGAAGGTACAGAGGAAGGGCTGATATTTAAAGGAATATAACTAAAGGAAAAGGAGGATTTTATGAAAAACTTGTTCAAGATAAGAAAACACTTTATCATTTGAGAAAAAGAACATATTATCTATTATCCTTCATTTACAAATAATTTGACAATGTTCATAACTCTCTGGAGCAATGTTTCTACTGACATTGGTTGTATCAAATGAACTTGATTACAGAGCAAATCAACAAAATTGTCGAACAGTTATGGGAAGAAAATTGGTCAGTTCAACCATTGAGTTAGAAGATCAATTCCTTGGTAAATTGCAACAACATTGTTATTTTCATAACCATCAACTTCTAAATGTGGAGCTTAGTTGTCAAAACATAGCCCTCACTATGTGTTCTGACATTCGAACAAAAAACCAGATCACTGAGGATACTAGAGGTTCGTTTCTGTGAACTGGTTTTCAACTCTGAACATCAAAAAGCTTTAAATCTCAACCTGCCAACCATCAAAATGAACACAATCAAAAAAAAACAATATGAAAATTAGCCAATTATTGTGCTGTATTGCTCTCGTTCTTGGATACTTATTCATCCAAGTTCACTCACAAGCAACCTTTGATATCAAGGGTAAGGTCATCCCAACCAACAAGTTCTGTAAGAGAAGGATTGATATCTCCAAAGATGACTCTGCCAAGACTGTTAAATTCTCAACCACCTCCCTCTGTGCTGCTGATAGAAAGAATGGAACAGCTATTGGAGCTTTCTCTTCAATGGATTATGTTGCTTCCATTGTTCGTTTCCCAATTATTGGAATGAAAGCCAAGACAACTGTCAAGGTTGTAACACCAATTACAAAGGTTGAACGTGACTTGTCCATTGTTGTTGGATCTGCTTTTGGCATTGACAGAATTATTGAATATCAAGAAGTTAATGGTCTTGAAGGTTATCAACCTGGCAATGATACAATTGTTAAACTTTACAATTTACGTGAACAAAATTGGAAGGTTTTAGATCTCTCCAAGAAGCTTGTTGAAGGAACCAATGATACTTTTATTTATCAAGCTCTTGTTGAAGCTAACGTTACTGGATGTTGTACTGTTAGAATGAGTGCTGTCATTTCATCTGCACCAATTCAATTCACATCACCAAAGGTTGCTGCTCGTACTGGTGTTACTCAAATCTTGAGTCCATCTTCTTTGAAGGTTACCTTTGAATTGTTAAATATTCAATATTCTCAATCATCTGGCTCTTATATTGCTTTGGGAACTGTGGTTGCTTTCCGTGGTTCTAGACGTGATAAGGTTTCAACTGATAATGATGCATTTGCACCATCAAGTGGTAATTCTAGACAATCAACCAATTATGAAAAGCCAGATGATGCTAGTGATGATCAAGCTGTTACTCAATTTGATAATGATTTGAGTACTCAATTAGATGGTAATCAAGCAAGTCTTCCAAAGCCATTCTTCAGTTTCCAAAAGTTTATTTCCAAGTACTCTTCTAGCTCTCCAACTGTTGTCACTCGTGGAAAGTTGATTTACACTCCAATGAACACCATTGAAGTATTGAACTCTGATGAACAATTTATTAAGGATTCAATTGAAACTTCTGGAACAGTTGTTGCTCGTTTCTGGGTTTCATTGACTGAAAGAGTTGAGAATGCTGTTTGGGATCCTTCCAGTGGCAGTCAAGAAAATGCTGATTATTTGACCACCAGTGGTGCTAACTCTCAATCTTTGATCAGTTTCTTGGTTGTTTTGCTTTCATTTATTATATGTAACTTGTTGTAAATTAATAAACAATATTGTGTGAGACAAATTAATTAATTGGTTTCTCTTTCAGAATTTCGGATTCACAGTTCTTTCCAACATACAGGGAGGGATTTTTCTTGTTCATTACAAATCAAGTCAGATCCAGGAGCAGCCAAAGGTTCAGTATTTAATTTCTGAATTCAACAGTAAGTTTGACATACCTGTTCCATCAGTTACAATAGAAACAAATCGGCAATCAAGTGGGTTAGTATTAGGAAAGAATAGTTGGATTGGAAGTAAAATAAAAAATGTCATTGCTGATAATTGAACAGCAATGCAGTAATGTTTTGCATTGCACTGGAGTGTAAAATTGCCTATGCCTATATCTGTTGGATTAGGAGTCCAGGTAATTGCTGTGGAAGTATACTGAGATAGAGCTTGATGAGTTGCTGTGTCACGATTTAATTGTCTGATATTGTTATTGAAATTGATATTTTGAGGGAAAAGTGAATTGATAGAACCATTCATAGGTGTTATTGGCATTCCTATCATTGAATAATTGCTACTTCCAAATTGAAAATTGAACATGACTGTTGTTGGTATAGTTTGTGAGGATGATATTGAGCTGGAAGTGTTTGGTGGATTGGCGGATTCATTTCCTTTCTTCTTCTTTTGATCATTTTCCCAAACAATAATTAATTCGTGTTCTTTTCGTTTCTTCTCATTCTTCTTTCGTTCTTTTTCTAGTATTTCTTGCTCCTTTCTTTGCTTTTTCTGTGCTATTCGTTCCTTTTCTATTCTACTCTTATCGAGCAGTCTAGAAAAAACGAATTGAGGAGTCAAGTTTGGGTTTAATTGGTAATCGAGTAAAAATTTCTGTAAATCCCGTAAATTTTCTTTGGCATTTTTCATCAATTTCAATTGATATGTCTGTATTTCTTGGGTTGTAAATTTCTTTTGCATACTTGATTTGTAGGAGGTAGATATTGTTATACAGGAGTCTAAGGTATTACTGAACTTCTTTAGTTTTGATCTAATGTGTGATACTTGAGTATTACTAAGAGTGAATGAAAATTCAAACTTTTTCTGGTAGAAATTTTTGATGAAAGAGTTAACAGAAGAACACAGATCACAATCACAATCAAACTCTGAGGGTTGTGAGAAGCAAATTGTTAGCGCTTTTCTATCATTGATGCACTTTTCTAAATACTCTATACTTGTTTTCATTAATCTTACCCAATTTTGTAAAGCACCATTTGTACAAAGAGACTGAAAATTATTTCTTACAAAGTAAGTGTCCAATATTTTAACAATGGTAAATATAACTTCATCCTTATCCATCATTAATTCCCAAACCTCAATTAATTTGCTAATAGATTCATACTCTTTTGTATCAAATAAATTTGAAAAAATTGTTTCATGCTCCTCCTGTGTTTTCAATAATTTGTTTTCAATAATATATTTCCTAAATCCAGAATAGAAAAGTTGAACATCTTTGTTTTCAACATCTTGCTTATAATTTTCAAAATATGTAGATGGCTTTAAATTTGAAAACAGTACAGAGGGCTCAAATGTACTGTAACCATAATCTTGAATGAGCTGTAAGGATTTTGGGTAATCATTTTTCAGGTAGATGGGTATGAGACACTGTGCAAACTCTCTTGTCAAGAATATATCACAAATAAAGAGACTATAATATGGGTCAGATTTCGTAGCATTCGATTCTATTATCGATCTAAAAGCCGGTAAAAAGAGTTCTGAATCGAATTATAAAGGGGGAAGATTCAACACAACTTACCCTTATCGAAAGAATATACTACATCTCTCTGCTTTTCACAAAATCTATAAATTTTTTCCATGCAATCAAAGGACTGAATTACAGGACTAGCTCTTTCGACAATAATTCTCATATCTTCCAAATTGAAATATTTCTCAAAAATATTTAAATAATATGATAAATGATAAGTTTCCTTCTTCTTCAATATATCTACAACAAATGAAGCGTAAATATCTCTGAAAGTAGCAAACCCAAACTTATGCAATAATTTCTCAAATATTACCGATGAAATATTTTGGAAATTACACTTTTTAAGAAGAAAATCTTCAGCTAGCTCTTTGCTATCCAGCTCTATCAATACATCCAACATCTTCTCATGTTTTGTTCCTTTTACAGAAGAGTCCCATCCAAAAGAAGAAGTATTGAACCAAAAATCAGTAAACTGCTCATAAAAACTTTTCAAATATTGCTCACTTCCAATTTTTAGCAGATGTTTGAAATAGTGGAGTGTAAAGAAGAACCCCAAATTAAAGTAAGAGTAATCCTCATCTGGAAGAATAATCAAACACGTGGTTCTGTACCATTTTGATGATTGAGTTCCATAATTTCCTTCAAGAGAAAAAATTACATATTAAAAAAAATCAAATAAATACCTGTTTGATATTCAACGGATTGCAATAGTTTCATATCATTAGCTCTTTCTTTTGGGAAGAATTCATTTAAATCTTGCGTTAGTTCGGCATAAATTGGCTCATTATTATAAAATATCTTTGAAATTTCAAAAGTAGCACCTTTTTCAAAATCTCCATCACTATATCCATCATTAACTCGTTTCGTGATAAATGCTGGAATAATTAAAATTTTCAAACATGTGTCTTTTAAGGCAGAATAGATTTTGTAATCATTTCCTTTCAAATTTTCACACCCAAAAACTAGACTCTCTGATGTATAATCATGTTCCAATAAATAAATTATAGATTTGTAGTAGAGATCGCCTTTCAACCATGAAATCAACTGCTGACTCAGCATTTCTAGATCATTTTCAATGTCTACAATGGGTAATGGTTGGTTGATATCATGGGTCGTGACAATAATATTATAAACTAGACAAGTTCTATATCCACTTGTCAAAGGCATTACTGCATGATCACAATCCGAATAGAATGAAATGAAATGGGCAGAGGTTGAAGCATCTTCGTCTGAATAATCAATTTCCCTTTCACTCGAATTATGTCTAATTTTAAAAGAACCTCCTTCATAGAGGGATGGTAAAATAATTGCCAAGGTGCATGTTTGTTGACATTCCTTTTCTTTGTGAAAATCAAAATGACCTCCTTTCTCGTATAATAATAATTTGTGCAATTTACATGGACTTTGAACCACTTTCTTGTGTTTCTCAATTCCCAATCCACTTTTGATTTTTGAATTCAATAATAAATGCAATTCTTTCTGCCAGACTGGATTAGTAATTCTGAATTGGTGTGGTTCCAATTCGAATGAATTTCTCACTTGATCATGAATTGTTTCCTCACCCTTTCCAAATGGTGATTTCTTCCCAATTCGTATAATTTCATCAGCCTGTTCTTTGTAAATGATTGGCAATGCAATAGGTTTATATTTCTCTACATTCTCTTCAGTAATTATTAATTCAATTCCAGGCACTTTCATCACATCAGGAAGACGATCATAATAATAATAATTTCCTCCAACTGATGTAATATTTGTAAAGGTATTCTGCAGCCTTCCAAAAAGATCCTCCATATTGAAGGAATTATCATGATCGGAATCACTTTCATTTGCTTGATCGGATGAATCTGTGTCATTTACTTCTTCAGTTTTAATTTCATTGGTTGCGTGATGTTCGTTTGTTTCTGCGTGAGAGGATGCAAGAGTTTCATTTTGCTCCATTTTTTGGTGGAAATTTATGCTCTTTCCCGCCAAGATAAACGTTGCCACAGAGAAAGATAAAAAAATGTGGTGATATTATTTGAATGTTTGATAATGTTTAGATGGAGGTGTTTCTGCTTTTTCTCCATTATAAAATACTAAATATTGAAATATTGTTAATCAAATATGATGAAATTAATAGTAACATTTGGAAACTTTGATCATCAGAAAACAAAATGTGATACTAATAGACAACTAGTAGTTGTTGGATAATCAATTTAGAGATCTTCATTTCGGATGGAACAATAACCATCATGATGCATATAAAATTATCATCACATAATTAATTCCAAATCAGTACATTTTCATCGAAATGGATAAAAACAAACGATTAGAACAAAGCAAACTAAAAAATTGAGTCAAAAGGATCATGTCTATTAACACCACTTTCAATCAAAAGACTACTCAAAGTGGAGAACCTCCAATGATGATGAGAATGACAAATAGTAGTACACCACCACTAACACCAAAGAATTGCCTCCCTATTTTCGTCTACAATGATTATGGGAAATTAATTAGAGAGGAACAGCAACAACCTACTGATATTATTACTAATAACAATAATTCAATGATGAGATCTATGCCAACTACCAATAGATGGGAAACAAATCCACAAACACCATTAAGTGTTTCTCCTTTCCAACCACTTTTACCGATTCCAAATTTCTCTCATGCATTCATTGTGGGAAATTTGCCACCAAGTGTGTCAGTGAGGAGAAAGAATAGGAAAATGTCAGAGAAACCAAAAAACAACTCTGCACCAAGTAAAATAATGCATCAATTAGAATTATCAGTATTGAATAATCAGAGAAGAATTGCACCAAAAGGACCTCTTGCTGATATTTCTAATATACAACTTCCTCAACAAGAATCAACAAATAAGAGCAATAACACAACACCTAAAAAACCAAGAATTAGGCAATTAATGTTAACAACTCCCCTTAGAGAAAGCCTTCAATCAAACCAATCGGCCAGAAGCAAATACATTGATGAAGAAGCAAATAATTATTCTATTAATGATAGTCCTGAAACAACAATTATTAAAACCAGCAATACAAAAGATAGTGAGCATAAGGCAGCGATGGCAACTAATTTGGGCTTATCTACTGATGATTTTGAGTGCAAACCATTCGAAACCACAACACTACCTTCCGTCATTGATAAGAATTATCTGGTGGTTGATAAGGAAGGATGTACACAATTAGCACTCCTTCCCAATCACATCCCAACAAGTGTGTGTAAACTTATTGAGGTGAAGTGTAGGAAAGTTTCTAACTTGAGACATGCCTTAAAAATCCAAAAGGCATCATTTTACGTCAATTGGTGGACTAAAAGTCAGCCAATGGGCTATATGTGTAAAGATAACGAATCTGAAATTGGAAAAGTTGTCAATGAGATTGCAGAATTACTCTCTGATCATTGTAGAAATTTATTACGAATGTGCAATGAGAGAGTGTACAAGAAAATTAGTGAGCTGAAGGAAGACAAGTTTTTTGCACCTTGTATTTGTTTTAATATATTGGAACATGATTTGGAGAGCAGAATTACGAAATTTCATCATGATAAAATGGATTATGGAGTTTCAGTTTTATTCTATTTTGGAGACTATAGTCGAGGAAATTTGAATGTTTTGGATGCAGGATCTTCATCAACCATTGTCACACGACCTGGTGATGCTGTAATATTGAGAGGAAATTACTACAAGCATTCTGTGCAAAACATTGAACCTGGGAACAATAAGGCAAGATACAGCATTGTATTTTTTGCTCATTCGACACATTTCCTTAAGAAAAAGTATGAACTCTCCCCTGCAGCTGCTAAGAAGGCATTCTTGGTTGACAATCCTGATTTTGTTTCCATAAAGAAGAGAAAGCAAGCCAGTTCCTCCTCAGATGTGAGTGTAAAGAAATCAAAGAAATCCACTGAAGATAATGTAGAATTCATTCAGACTCACACCTACTTGGGCAATGGTTACAAGTCTGGTCACAAGAATTATCAATATTATGTTAAATTTAATAATAGTGATCAGAAGGAGTGGAAATCTTACGAAAGCTTGCCGAAGCAAGCAGTTGCCTCCTATTGGGTAAAATTCAAAAAGCTCAAATCTTTGAGCAATCAATAAAAGCAATAATTCCAGCGTAATTAAATTTGTGAAAGATTATTTTATTACCTATAATCAACCTAGCTCAATATTAACTTGAGAACTTCATCATTTGATTTATCTGACAGAGTAGTCTTGAAAGTAAGCACTCCATTCAACAGTGAAATTACATAAAGAGTTTTTTCCTGTTCGCCTGTCTCTACAAACATAGAGTTAGATCTTGGATAGATATTAACAGCATTTGGACGTTCAGAGAGTTGTTTCCTAAATGTCCAAACTAGAGTTCCAGATTTGATATCAACACAATAGACCGATAGATAAGTATCACCAAATAAATCTTCAGTTTCCACATCATCCGCCATCTCATCTTCATTGGCAGGTTCTTCCATTGTTTCCTCAGATTCATCCTCAATATCTACTACTTCTTCCTGTTGTTGTTGACGTTCTTTCAATGGCTTATGTACACATGCAAAGTAAATATTGCTTCCGTAGAGATAGTATGATTTGCAAGAAGTCTTGGCAGGTATTTCCAAAGGAACAGACCAAACAATAGATGGTGTTAAAACCTGCTCAACTACCTTCTCACGATTTCTAAAGTGTCTTTCATGTTCTACATTCACAGCAACTGATTTTAAGCATGAACATCCCTTCTTGTAAGGCAAATTGCCAAAAGTTGCCTTCTTTTCATTGGCTTGATAAGGTGAGAGGTAAACAAATCCACCCAAAGACTTTTCTTCATCCTCAAAAATTACAAGAGGCTCTCCTGAGGCAAGATTATTTCTATCCTTGTCAAAACCGGAAAAGATATTCTTCAATTGATCTATATCAAATACACTCCCAGAGGCAAACAGATTGTTTGGAGTGACATGTAAATTGCCTGAGAAGGAATCTCCAACAGTAGTTCCAGTCATAGATAATAGAGAGAAATGACTCTCAGATCCTGTTAGCAGATATATTTGATTGTCATCTGTTACTATTGAGGATATTAATCGATCTACATTAGCAACATCCTTTAAGAGCCCAACTTCGCGTAAAGTCATTCTATCCAGTATATGGACATTATGCTTTTTTGTCTTTACAATGTAAAACTTGTCGATAGGTAAGAGTGATGAGGTAGCCTCTTCTAATTCTTCCTTTGGGAGTTTTACACGAAGTGTTACGAAATGTCTACACACGCCTTTCATATCTAGCAAGGCAATATAATTTGGAAATTCTAATACAATTTTTCTGGTTAAATGATCATAAAATACAAATAAAAGATTATCCTTAAAGAATTCCTTTCTTTCCCTCTCTACAACAGACTGAAATTCATAAGACTCCTCAAATTTTCTGGTATCATTGGCTTCATTTTGAAGCTCAATCATTCTTTGTTGCCATTCAGCACTATTAATTGCTACTTGTTGATTTTTCATAGTGTCATTGAATGTTTGTCTCAATCGTTCCCTTCTTTCCTTGTCCTTGAGGGTCAAAAGCTCCCTCTTGAAAGTGCTAAAGGCCTTATCCTGTTGCAATTTTACCTCCAAAGGTTTGATTTGATTGAATGCATCTTCTGAGAGTGAAAGAACTGTTTGACCAGTTGGAACATCTACCACTTGAAAAGTATCCTTCCCTCTATTTGGATCGAATATAAATACATAATCAGTACCAGTGTAAACTCGTTTTTGTTCAGATCCAGACTTGTTGAAAATCTCAAACCTTTCATGTATGTATGGAGAATGAATTGAAGTCATTTCTTTCAATGAGGCAATTGTATTTGGCAATGTATAAATCACCTTGCTTTGCAAAATATCAAAACATGATTTTCCATCCTTTAAAAAGGTATATCTGTCTCTATTCTTGATACTTCCCTTCAAACACATTTGATTCCAAGACTTTGATACTAATCGACATGTTTGAATTTCCTCCAAGGTAAGAAAAGCCAATGACGTGCTGATACAATCTTCAACAGTCATAGATACAAACTCTGATGAAGGCTTTTCACCCATAACCATAAATTGAAGTTTTCTTCGTTTGAGACTTCTCAGAGTAATATCATTGGTCAAGACTTTTCCAGAGCAAATAATTTTAGTTCTTGATGGTGGTATCCCAAAGTCCTGCTCCAATTCTTTCTTGATGGTTTGTATGCTGGTATTTTCATCCAAGTCTAGAGTACATTTGGTTTTCTTACTCAGAATGTTGAAAGATACATTCACTATACTATTATTATTATTGGAAATCATGATTCTCTTATTAATTTGAACTTGTTGAAGATGTATGATGTACAAGAAAAAATCAATCGATTCCGAAAACTACACTTTCAAAATATGATCAATTTTTAAGCCTGAGCAAATGATGAAACTCTATTCCCAAGCCTTCTTCGCTTTTTTTTGTTTGTTCTATTTTTGCTTCAAAATTTGCTGCTCTTGGTCTTTGAACAAAACATTGTTCTTGAAGCAAATTTTTCATCAACATAAGCTCTCATATGTAACAATAACTTTGTCCTAACTACCTCCTCTCGGAACACCAAATAATATTATCATCCAAATACCATCCATTAGGAGTCAATAATTTTGAAAGAAGATTAAATTCTTGATGATTTTTTTCAAGCTCCAAAAAATGGCTCCTTCCTTCTCGCCCACACCAAATGGCAAAACAATAATTTCAGCACAGCAACAGCTGCAGTCGGAGTCTTCATTTCGTGATGAATGTGTTTGTGGAGAGAATGTTGAATGGCTTGGTTGATTTATCTACATCTTCTATTGTACCACTTATTGAATCTTCTTCATCATCTTTGAAAGGGAATCAAATCAATAATAATCAGGACTATGTATTGATAGTATTAATGCAAACTTTGATAATTCATCCATTACACCAACAAAAGCCATCATTAACATGTCGATATGGGGATTTGAGGATATTCTCTTCTTGTTTATTTCATTAATTTGTTCTCTTGTTCTCATTAGATCATTCATGAGAAGGAGGAAAAAGCAACAACAACGAGAAACATCATCCACAACAATAGCAACTACAAATAATGTACATGAAACCTCTGGTTTATCATCAATAATAACAAAACCAAGTCCAGTCGATATGATGGCAGGAACAGCTACTAAAAAACCAAAAATCACACGACACTACCAAGATGGACACTCCTTTCCACATACTGCCTCTATTATCATCATGATCATCATTCTCTGTTTATCATACAGTACTATTCTCACTATACAGTGCATCTACATGGGCCAAGCTGCTTACAATATGATGAATGAAGATTCCTATCACAGCAAGGAAATAATTTTAGGATTTGATGCTTCAGTGAGAGGTCTCTTCTCTATTGCCTATCTTGCCCAACTTGTTCTCTCACTTAATTACTTTACAATTTTGTACAAGTTTTCATCAAGGCACTTGGCTCACAAAATTGTTTTTGCAGCTATTGGATTGTTGGGCTGTTTGAACTTGTCCCTCAATGTAGTTTCTCACTTGTTCAAAATTCTCTACACTTATTTTAATATCAAGTTTGCAGGAAGTGGACCTGCTACATTATTGGTTGAACAAATTTCCATCCTAGTTTCTGCCTCAACATCAATATTTTTATCACTAATTATTGCACTTGCAGCAGTTTTGTTCGCATTTGTTAATAATCCTAATAATATGAGGAGATTAAGATCTAGATTAATTCTTTTTATTTTCCTGCATCAATTTGTTTGGATTATTTATGAAACTTATAGAATTATTTCACAATTTGATATATTATTTGGAATTCAATTGGTATCATGGCCAGATTTAATAATGCAATCAATAATGTATCTCCTCTTGATTACCTATGTATTGATAGTGGTGATAACAATTGCACTTTTCAATAGAGGAAATGAACATCAAGCTCTTCTTTCTACTGAATGGATGGCACTTATTGAGGATGAGGATGATGCTGAACCAACCATTTTCGATTTCCAAGCCAAATCCAGAGCTATTCATGCTCGCCCTAACATGGATCAAATTCCAACTCACTCCCTCTCCCCTCACTCATTCAATAATATGAGTGAAAGTACCTATGGAGCTATGGGTTATAACAGTATGGTTGGTAGTTTACCGATCGGTATGAGAAAGGCAACACCAAACACTAGCTTGGGTTTTGAAGCATCCATGTATTCCACCAATCCAGTTAATGCCCAATCTAGTGCCAATAATAATAGACATTCTGGAAACAATCAAGGACGTCTCAATACCTCCTCATCCATTATTTACAATCGTTCCGACAATGTACCAATTCTCAAAGAAGAAGAACCTCCAAAAGACACCATTTACTCCTCCAGTCTTACTTCTAACAATTCATCATCCTCCTGGACACACAAACTCAACTAGAGTTGTACAACCATAATATATTAAAAATAAACAGTACAATTCCCAAATCAAGATTTATTTAAACAATGATTAGTAATTTCCAACAACAACTGGTATGTTATGCAACACCGAATTTGCTTAAACATTGTTACAATAACAAGTGCAATTTCCAAAAAGCAAGTTTCATGAATTTGAGAGAAATATAAAAATATTTTGTTGAACAAACCACTGAACTTTAAAACTGAAAAAAATGTTCAAAGGTTACTCTTCCATTCAAAATCACTTTCTCAAGGACGTTGATTCCTATCCACTCCAAACACAATACGATCCACAGGTACCATGGATCGTAACAGAAAAGATTCACGGATCAAACTTTAGTTTTGTAGTGAGTCTTGTAAAGGATGATGCTGCATCAATTGATGATAATAATTTACAAATTCAGGTGGCAAAACGTACGGAAATTTTGGCAGATAATGATCCGTCTTATTATCCAAAGGCTGTTCGATCAGTTCGTGAATTATATGATGAAAAGATGAAATTGTTATTTAAGAATTTGGCTCTTGATTTGGAAAAGAAGAGAAATGTAAAACTTGTTAGTTTGAGTGTTTTTGGTGAATTATTTGGTGGTAATTATCCACATAAGGATGTAAAGAATGTTGGTGATAGAGCTCCGATTCAGAGACATGTGTATTATTGTACAGATTTTGATTTTTATGTATTTGATATCTTTGTTTTTACAAAGAGTGATGATCCTAATGAAAAGAGATTGAATTATTTCCTTTCCTATGATGATATGGTGGAACAAGTGAAAAAAACTGGTTTGGATTGTTATGCAAGAGAATTATTTAGAGGTAAATTGGAAGAATGCTTGAATTATGACAGTGTATTTGATTCTGTCATTCCTTCCACAATCTATGGTTTACCAGACATGCCTCATCACACCAATATTTGTGAAGGTATCATTATTAAGCCACTTATTGATATGAGGACTGATAAAAATGATAGAATGGTTATCAAGAAGAAGAATGATAACTTTATGGAAAAAATTGGTCAAAAAGACAAGGTCAGAAAGGAAAGACTAGTAAAACAAAATACTGGTAAGAAATTCATTGATGATAAATCAGAACAAGCTATGAGTGATGTCCTCTCCTACATGAATGAAAATAGACTGGAAGGTAACATTTCAAAACTAGGTGACATTTTCAATTTCCCAAAAATTAGGGAAAGTTGCGTCTATTTACTTGCCCAAGATACTTTGAAGGACTATAGAGAGGAGAATTCTGAAGTGTGGGATCAACTTCCTAAGGAAGATCGTAAAGCAATCTCTGGTGCCTTACCTGCAATTGCTAAACGTTTTGTTGAGGAATATGTCAGTAAGAATAAACAAAATTAATCTTACTTTCATTAAGGTCATTTATTCCAACTTGATTATCACTATTGTTGCGATGGTATTGGGTAGGAAAATGGGTTGTTAGTGGAAAGGTCAGTAAGGTAAATGCATCTATTTAGAGAAAATTCTTTAGGTTGTTTTTATTTACATTAATATAAATTCTTTAAAAGTCTTTAGTGAAAATCATTACAATAATTGACATTGTCTATTCTTTCTCGATAACAATTCTTGTTGTTTCTTTTCCTTATTTTCAAAATATAAACGAATCACTTGATCAAAAACATTCTTCACTCCAGCACCTGTCTTTGCCGAACATTCAACATATTTGGCTGCCTTGACATCTGCTCTGAGTTTTTCTCCCATTTCTTGTGAAATGACAGTTTTTCCTCTTTCTTTCAGTTTTTGTAAAATAGTTTCGTCTTCCCTCAGATCTGTTTGTGTTCCTATCAGAAGGATTGGCACATCCTTGCAGTGGTGGCGCACTTCTGGACACCATTTGAGTTTAACATTTTCATAACTAGCTGGGATGACTGTACTGAAACACATGAGGAAGGTTTGTGTTCCTGGATACGAAAGTGGACGAATCGAATCAAAACTTTCTTGACCAGCCGAATCCCACAATCCCAAATTGACAATATTTCCATCAACCTTTACACTGCAACTATAATTATCAAAAACAGTTGGTAAATATTCCTCAGTAAATTTATCATTGGCATAGACGTATAATAGACATGTCTTTCCTACTGCACCATCACCTACGGTAACGCACTTGATATGAGTAATGGAAGTCATTTTGTTGTTGTTCATTTCTTTTTGTCTTTGAACTCTAATTCGTTTAGTTTCGTTTTGAATCTAATGCTGCTAAAAGTGAAGAAACCTCACCAACAAGAGGAACAGAGAATATATCGAACACGGAACAAGATAGGAATGACCTTATCACTCTTTCAAAATCCTCAACAAACTAATTGGTAGGGAAATATACTAAACCATATTAGAAAAAAAAAGAGACAAGACTATTACGCACTTGATTGCAATATGCAAGACATCTGAGTGTTTCTATCTGTTGTAGTTTTTGCATTTTCAAGGAACTTGGAATTTACTTTCGAATCACTTTACAATATGATTCTTCTGTAAACAAATATTTACACTATTTATTCTTTTTAAATGTTGATTTGACTTGATTATTCCCCTCCTTATATCTGTAAACAGTTATTTTAATATTGGTTTCAGAGAAGAGTTCACAAAGAATTTCCTTCACCTTCTCCCATTCCAACTTATCCAAACCAATTCCTATTTGTGGCATTGCTAAATTGGTGATATTAAACCTCAGCATGTGTTCCTTCATGTGGGCAAGACTGGATTTTAATGATTCGTAGGTTGGCACATGGAAATATCGTTCCTTAGTTACCAAATAACTTTCATGAAAAATTTTAAAGAATTTCATGTGTTAAATTTCCATATTTCAAGATAAAACATACTAGATCATCATTTCCTCATTAGGAACATACAGTGTGGCCATTTCTCCAATTTTAGCACCCTGTTCTTTCAATCCATCCACACATCCATATTTTTCCTTGAAAATAACTGCAATTCCTGCTCCCATATTCAAATCAACACTCACACAATGACACATGCTTTTGGAAATTTTCAAAGTGGAATCTCTCGATTATCGGAAAGAGGTACTTGTGAGGGGACTGTTTCTTTCCAATCGGAGCTCTTCAACGAGGTGAATAAATCACCATCCATTTCAGTGATGAGAAATTCATGGGAATGATTGGTCTCGAGATCTAGTTGTGGTGAATGATCTTGTTTCATTTTTTTAAAGTAAATTTGGATTTTGCATTCACACAAAGTTTTCAAAATGAAATTGTAATGTTATTGGAAATAAATTAGTGGAATATTTTCTGGAACTTGTTTAGTCGAAACTGTAACATGTTTATTCACTGAAACAATGGATGGACACATCAGTTAGGTAGGCCAGTTGAGGATAAAGAGAAAATTGAATAAATGACTTGTACCTTTTCATCAATTCCACAATGGTCAAATCTTCCAAAGATGCCAAATCTGTACTTGTTAATGAAATAAATGGTCGATGTCTTTGATTAGAATCTACAAATATTAAATTTCTCAAACTCAACTTGGGATAGAGTTCATCAATGATTTGTTCCAATTTTTTTGGACTTTTAAATTTGGTTAGAATATCTACATAGTGAGGGGATGACAATGCAAATGCGGTAAGGTACTTGTAGATGAATGGATCTTTTAGTCTACTTCTGTAATTATCGAATATCTGGTTGATGGAATGTCTGAAATATTGATTAAACATGGAAATGTAGTTTTGCTCCTCTTTTTGACCTTTGTCCATTAGACAGCAAATGACTTGATTAAGGACAATTCTCAATTCTCGTGGATAAACTTGGGAAATATTGGTTGTAAATTCAACCAAGATTTTGTCTAGTAAATTCTTTGAGTTTTGATAATGTGAATCTGTGAGATATCTTGGATAATATATAATCACTGCTTCCTTTCCTTCCTTAATCATATTGAAACATAGCTGGTATGATTTTATAATTGTATGGGTGGTGGTAGTGTGATTGGAAAGTTGTGCTTTCAGAATGTAGAAAATAGCTGAGAGGAATGGGCTATGATTTTCAATTTTGTGTTCATTAAAGTAACATTCCATACAGCATTTGACTAGTATTTCAAGTTTACCAATTTTTGGAATCATGTTGGTGGCTATAAAAGATCCAATTGAAGTATAGGGTATCAAAATGAAAGCCTTAAATGCTATGGATTCTAAAATATTTCTTTCAGTACTCTGACTTGGGTTGAACAAGATCAATTCGTCAGTCTTATCATAAAATAATTGTTTTTCACGTACTGATCTCATATATATTTCATGCAAACTAGCATGTTTGAGTAGTTCATTAAAAAGATCCAATTCTTTGCTCTCAATAATTTCATGTTTAGAAAGTCTAAGTTTGAGCTTGTCTTCCTTACTGAATGTCCTATTGACGAGCAAAATCATGTCATTGTAATATGTGAAAAGATTTTCCGAGGTTGGTTGTTTCAGAGCTGAAATGAAACTTGCAGTGACAGCATGCAGAATTATGTAAAAATTTCGAGACATTCCTAAACAATTATAGTGTGTATGTGATGTGATACTGACTTTCATCTTTCTTGAAAAACATTCGAAAATTTTCTGTGCATATGTTGATTGAAGTTCTCTATTACCAATAGAAATCAAATAGTTCATTACAATATCTAATGTGAATACGGACCCATAGTGTTCATATTTGTGTAGAAACTCTCCACTCTTTGCAGATTTACAAAAGAAGTACTTTGTAAATATATGAAGCAAAATTTCAAATAGATCCATTTCAGTATTTGGTAAATGATCTTCCTTGCTCAAGTCAAATTTGATTGAATCCATCACATCATAAACTTTACTAAAATTCACATCAACATCTTGTAATTTCAATGAAATAGATGCAGTCTTATAGAAATTCGTCTTTAAATACTGATATAATACATATTGAACATATGAATTTTCCATTTTCGAATTGAACTCAACAATCCAATCTTGTGAAACTCCACACTTTTCAAAATCAATCACCAAATAAGCATAAAACAAGTATAAAACAATTGCATTAGCAATCGAAATCCAAAACGAAACCAATTTCCTTCTCTTCCTAATTTCCTCCACATCATTCAATAATATCCTATCCTCCCTAATCATGAAAATCAACTCATCCACAACAATCATCAATTTCTCAACTCTCTTCATCATGAATTCTTCTTCATCATTTCGAATATCGGACTTTGGAAAAGCCTTTGTGATTTGCTTTCTAAAGAAAATATTTCCTTCCTTAGGATCACGAAATAAATTATTTCCAATTAATTCCTTGATAATTCTGGCTGAAATTTCATCAAAGGAATTCTCTCCATCTTCTTCTTCTTCTTCTTCATTGATTAATAATAATTTTTCCCATTCAAAGGTAATTTTACAATAATTGTAGTGTGATTTTTCGTTAATAGTTTCATCGGAATGATGATTTGATATGAAGTTAAAGAGTGATTGAATTATTTCTTGATCATCAAAAAATGTTTCCAACTCGTCTATGAAGTGAAAATTGGAGGTTATCATTGTTGTGATCAAAATTTTTGATTTTTTTTGAATTTTTTAAATATTATTGAAAATTACTTTTTGGTGAGGGAGACCATTTATAGGAGTATTGGGTTTACAACACACTACCTAACAGCATAAATAGTTATCAGATATTCTATAATAACAAGATCTTTACATAACAAAATTGGAAGAAATGCATTTCATCTCCAAAACTAAACCAAACTAAACATTAGAATCACTGATTGTAAACTTCTTACAGTATTTTCTTACATTCCAATTCCCATTTAGAACGTTTGCTGTTCTTCCTTACGAAATCCTTGACGGCAAGACAAATCGCATCACAACTCGAGATAATCTAAAGAAATTCCCATCCGGTTTGGTTTTTCTAGAGTTCCTCAACGATAACCTCTCTCGTAATCAAATATTTGATTTTTCTTGAAGTTTTCCTTTCCCTCATACATTTACAAATAACCCCCAACACTATCTTGCACATCATTTATCCATCACAACAACAATAATCACGCATTTTGTATTTTAGTCTTTGTTCCGTTGGAATCAGTGCAGGACTCAGTTTTCTGTTGATTTCTTGCTCATTTTTGTTAAGAAATAAGAGAATAGAACTTGCAAATTTCATTTGCTCAAACCAAAAACTAAAAAAAAAGTCATCGCAACAACAAGTTTGCGAATTCAAAATATTAAAACTCTCTCTAACGTGTTTTTGGCATTTTTCAATTAAACTCAGCAAAATGTCAACAATCAAATCATCAAGTAATAACTATTGTATAAATGTGTTGATGGTAATGATCATGATTATCATTTCTACCATCATCACATTAGCCGATTGTCAAACAAGTATTAGTATTCCTTTTGATACAACAATTACAAATGTCTCTCCAAGAATAAGTATTCCTCAGAATTCAGAAGCATACAAGGTAGAAAATTGGGTTGCCTATGGTATTTATCTTGGTATTGTTTTCCTTGTTATTCTGGCAATAGGTGTTATATTCTACTTTGTTGCTATTTGCTTCTTTTGCTTTAGATTGTGTGGTTTATGTGGTGGTTGTAAGCCAAAGGTAAGTAATTCATGTTGTAAATTCATGCATTATGAACAATTGTTGTTGATACATATCAATTAACCTCCTTCCGAATCCTCCTAATCAACAATTATTATTTATTCGAAACTATCAATAATAATATTCTAATGCCTGATTTGGAAATTGGATAACTATGAAACTTTGTGTCGAATTGAATCATTGTAGAAAAAAGGATCTTCTCGTCCATATAGAAAGAAGGACATGTTAATCCCAGCTATATTGACCATGATTATGTATATTGTTATTTTGGTCTTGGGTATTTTGGGAATAATCTTCTCTGCATTATTCTCTGTAAATGTTCGTACATTGGTGAAAGAGACCAGAAGTGTAATTTCAGGTGTTAATGGTACAATTAATGGTGTTTCTAGTTTGGGAACTAGTGCTGAATCAAATATTCCAATTTTGGTCAATGGATTTAGCTCAATTTTGACAGATGCTGAGCAATTTGCCACTCCAATTAATAATATGACCAACACTGTTCAATCTGGTATTAATGCCATGGTGTTTATCAATAGTACAACTGCTCCTAAGATTTATGCAGATGTTGAAAATGTTAGAGCTGATTTGAGAATTTTGTACAATAATAGTCGTTTGAGTGGTGTTCCAAATCCAGATACTGCCATTCCAAATGTTCAGTCACAAGTTGAAGCTGGTATTAATACTGGTGTTTCTTATCTTGAACAAGGTAAGACCACTATTGCTGGTGCCAAGACAACCTTAGATAACACCATCTCTACAACTCGTTCAACCATCAACTCAACTGTCTATGATACTGTCAAGGGAAGTGTTATTAACACTTTGAATTCAGTCACTAGCCAAATTTCTGGTATTAACAACATGATTAATCAATATGCTCCTTCCACTACTATTGATGAAGCTCAAACTATTATTTATAGTGTTGAAAATGCAAGAATTTCTCTCGTTACCATCTTTTTCGTATGGTGTGCCTTTTTGTACATTTTTGCATTGCTTGGTATTTGCTGTAAAAAGGCCATTCTTGTGGAAATTACTTCATGTTGTACTTGTGCCACTGCTTGGTTATTCTTTTTGGTTGCTTCTCTCCAAATTCCAATCTTTATTCTGGTTAATGATTTGTGTAAGACTGCTCCAGGTACTGTCTTGTATATGTCTGATGATGTTGGTGGTCCAGTTCTCGCTAGCACTGGTTTCAATATCACTGTCAATGCCTCTGTTATCATTCAAAGAGTTGCCAACTGTTCTGGAGATCAAAACTTTATCACTAGTGCTTTGGGTAATGATTATTTGACTTCATTGGGTCTTTCAAGCATGTTATCATCTGCAACTGGATCTATCAAGGGACAACTTGATAGTTTTAACATTTCTTCAACTGTTGATAGTGCCAAAGATTTGATTTTACAAGCTAATATTACAAACATCAAGACAGACTACTCTGCTGACGTATTTGATGCACAAACCAAGTTGAATACGGCCATAGCCCAATTATCAAGCATTGAAAGTTACAGCGGATTTTCAATGAAAAATGTTACAAATGCATTGGATGAATTGAATGCATACACTACTCAATACGGATATTATTATACATTGGCAAACATTACCTTGCTTGATCCTGACTCCAGTCCATTCAACGTTACTGAAACTTCTCGAAACAAAACTCGTGACGAAAAGGATCAAGTCTTGACATTATTACAAATCTATAATGAGACAATGACTGAAGTGAATGCTGTCAATGCCACTCTTAACAGTGTTAAGACTGGTCTCAGTACTTTATACAATGATTTTGTTCTCCTTTCTTCTGAAATTGCTCCAGTCAAGGCATTGCCAACTACTCTTGTTGATCAATTAACATCATTGGCAAATTCTGTAATAGCATTTGTGAATGGATTGAAAACAAGTATTGACAGTTTAGTTATATCAGTGCTGACAAGCTACATTAACGCAACACTAAAAGATTCACTAGGATGTGCATATGTGGGAACCTATGTCAGTACCATCAACTCTACAGTTTGTTATGGAATGACCAATCAAACTTTCTTAACTGGTCTCTTCTCCATCATGATTGGTGTAGCAATGATTATTCTGTTCTTCATTCTCATTATTCTTGGTAAGAGAATTAGATATCAAGCTCGTAAGGGAGAAGACACTGGTACCGATACTGTCGAAATGGATATGCATCACTAAGAATATATAAATATTCAATCTGTATAAACTAGTTACAAAATACTACCTCCAACTCATGGAAAAGTTTTGAGTACTAAGCATTTTTTCAAAGATCTCAACATTAATAAAAAATAGAACGAAACTCTAAAGGATCGTCACAATTAAACTGGACTCTGAAACGTAACACCTTCAACCTTTTCAACAATCTTCTTATTGTTCAAGATTGTGAATAAAGTTCCCTTGTCCAAACGTGATTGAATAATCTTCGTCAAATTCATTGTAATTTAAATAGAAAGCAAATTGATCTGCTATGAGAATCAAAAAGAAATAAACAACGACATGCTAGCAGCAGTATTATCAACTTTAACCGTCGTCGGCTTAAAATCCTCGAGTGAAAGAAAACCAACAATTGCATTACCAGATTGTGCAAGTCATCATTTGGATACAGATGGAGCTCAAAGACAGCAACAACGTTACCATCATGAAGTCATGCTGACGATGAAGGCAACAACAACTGCTTGTGGTCATAGAATGGGAAGTAGGAGGTGTCTAGGAAGATATTCTCCAATACCAACCAGTTTGTTGGATTGTACATTGGGATGTAGGGATATTGTGATGGAGATTATGAAGTTTATTAGTGATGAGGAATTACTTGATCATTTGATGAGATATTTGGTGAGTTTTCCTGATTTGGTAAATGTGGAAAATTGTCTTCCTATTGTAATGCAAAGAAGAGTTTGGTATTGTAACAATCAATTGCACATGGACTTTTTGAGTGAATGTGTTCAAAATGTTCCAACCATGAACAATACTGAACTAATCTTGGGGTTTTCTCAATTTCCACCACAATTCTCTTCCTTCATTGAAAAGTTCTGTTTCGTTCATTTAAATAACATTTCAACTACAAAAAGACAATTGATTGAGTTGATGAATGCCACTACAAGCAAGATCCAACGCTTAAAGTTTACAAATTTTAAATTCAAAGATCCTGAAACTGAATTACCATCCACAAGAACTTTCAACATTTCACCAAATTTGAAAACGCTTTCGTTTAATATTGATTGGTCAACCATTTTCCAATTTTGTAAAAAGAATAGTGAAACTAGTACACTTCAATTTTCATCATTAAATTCAGAGTTAAAGAAAGAAATTGAGAACCCAATAGTTCTCTTTCCAACCATTTGGATTTAAATTCTTCCAACATTGATGAATTGGGCTTTAATGATTCAGTTAGCGTTAGTGATAAATTGCTAATTTCTCTAATTGGGCCCAAGTTGACCAGACTCTCACTAGCGAGACCATTATTGAACCTTTCTGAAATTGCTCCAAATCTTGAATATTGTGAGATGAACATCTTCCCAGAACATCCAATAGAAACAACCACTCTCTGTGTCAAATACCCTTTACTGTGGTATTCTCAAATCTTCCATCTCAAAAAGTTAAGAAAATCATTATTGTGAAATTGTTAACTTTTGCAGAAAAAGAAGAGAAGAAAAATTTGAGATTTTTATTGTCTAGAATGTTAGTTTGCTATCCTAATTGTGAAGAGTTGATTATTCCAGAGTCTTACTTGAAGTTGGTAAATGAATCTGACTTGAATGAAGAAGAAATTCAGAGCTCATTGAAGAGGATTATTATCAAACATTCCAATTCCACGCAACCATCCAAGTATGGAACACTTAAATTTGCATTGCAAGGTTTCTTCTCAAAGGCAACTATATCATTTGATGAAATTAGAAAGGATGAACTCCAATTCGCAACTCTTCCTTCCAGCAATAGAACTATCATAGTTGACTGTTATGAAGATGTACTTTTCAAAAAAATTGAAAGTACTGAAAAGCATTTCAAAGTTATGGACAATTCTCTCATTAAGAATCGTATTAGAAACATGAAGATTGAATTCGCTCAATGCATTATTTCTAACAACTATTCAAAATTTGCAATCATTGATAATTCCTTGAATATGTTAGAAGGATTGAAGCGTAACAAAGAGCTCATGCTCCAAACAATTCATCAAGCCATTGAAAACTATCATGATATCTTTACCAATGACCAATTATATCAAGAAATTACTGAAAGATTTGATGCTTGCTTATCAACCATTGAAGGAGAATACTTTAGCGAATTTCACTTCTCTAAATATTATAGTGAATTGGAAACTCTCTTCCACCAAATGGTTCAAGTCATTGAGGATAATGGCTATCCATCAAAAGTTCTATTCAATGAACAATGGTTCAACGAGCAAATTGTTGAGCTGTATGGTTATCAAAGTGAAGAAGTTCAAGTTTACGAAGACTCACAGGAAGAAATGGAGAAGGCAATCTTTGCTTTAATGTTAGATGAAGAAGAAACAGTGGATATTGAAATTGATGATTGTGAAATGGAGTAATATGATTAACAAAATTAGTTTTTCTAATTATTTGCGTAGTTTCGGATCTCCCCCATGATTTCATTGGTAAAGTTTATTAATTATTATCCTATTGGAAAATCCAGACGAAATCAAGACAATCAAGATTGAAGAAGTAAAGAAATAAAATTAAACTCAATTCAGTTATTTTCCAGTACTTTTACAACAGATGTAATTTATGATGTTAGAGTCCTTTCAAAACCTCAATAACAAAATTTCAATTTTCAATTATGAATTCCCTCAAAACCTTTCTAACCAATTTTTCCCGCCTTTTTTTTGAAAATCATTGAGGTTCCATGATGAGGCTTTGCGGGAGCGCCAAATATTTGCACTCTTAAAAAAAATGAAGCAAGGCTCCAGGCTCAGTGAGGCCATACAACTCTTCTTTAAAGATGGTGCTGTTCATGCGAATAGGCAGGATATTGCCATGATCGATATTGTTAATTCAACCTTTCATTCGATAAAAAGGTTGTTTTTAAGCCAGAATAAAATCAAACACTTGCACGGCATGAGCCAATTTAAGGATTTGAGGATACTTTCACTGTCTTATAATTATATAGAAGATTTTAGGGAATTAAAGTACATTCCGGCATCGGTAGAGAATTTATCTCTAGAAGGGAATCCGATATCAAACCATCCTAATTACCGACTAAATGTTATTGAAAATATACCACAATTGAAAATACTAGATACAAAACCGATTAAGGATTCGGAGAGAAAGGATATTCATGAAGCCAATCAATTGGCTGATTATATTCCTAAATTGTTGTTTGCCTTGGACAAACTCTGTTCCAAGACTTACAAGGACCTTGTAATGCTTGGAGCACAGGTAGAACAGTACAGAAAATATGGCAATCTCTCTCCGAACAATGTAGAAAATGAATTTGAATTTAGTTTTCCATCTTATATACCCAAGAATGGAGAATATAAGCGATGTGTCAAGAGAATACCTCCACTCTCTGATGTTAAGGATACTAGGATAACTGTTGAGGGTGTAAGAAATTTAGCAAGAAATATGTTCGATGAAACTCTGATAAACTCCACTCTTGACGAATGCAACAATGTTGCAGAATTGGAATTGGATCGTTTCAAATTGGAACTAAAGGAATCGATTGTAAAACAATATAAGGAAGTTAAAAAGTATGCAAATGCTGTTGCATGCTTGGAAAAGGAACAAAAATTTGTTGTATATTCTGGAGATCAAACACAATTGTACATATTTATCAAGTGCATGGTTCAAGTTGCCAATCAATTATGTAAGTATAATTGATAATAATAATAATAACCAATAATCAAGTTGAAAGAGAAAATGAACGAGAACGATTGATGACCTATTTGAAATATTGTGAAGCAAACATGCCAAAGCCAGTAGTGAAAGAAGGAACCAACAAAACTCCAACTCCAATTCTTCAACCAACACTAGACAAACCTAAAGTAGAACGCTCTGAAAAGGAACAAACCTGTACAAGTCAAATCAGTAAACCACAAGATGAAACCCCTAGGTATCAAAGAAATGATTCATCGAATGGTTCAATAGAAGATGACGATACAGTGGTGATTTCAGAAGATCAACTCACGAGCCCAGAAAAGAGCAGGACGATAAGCGTGACTACTGCTCCTGATTCACTCCTTGAAGATAATGCCTTTTTCCTTACCAAATCCACGGCCCTTCACTATAAGAAATGGAACAAGCTATTCTCAAAAGCAAAAACTAGTATTAGTGTACAGGAATGTGGTGGTGATGAACAGGAAGCTGAGAGGAGGGCAGATGAATACAGAAATCAAAAGCTAAAATCAAAAGTTCTAGATTCTCTCAAATACTACAAAGATAAGAAACAAGAATATAGAGCTCATTATGAGAAAAAGCGAAAATTGAAAAATATCAAAGCTAGGTCTTTTTATGTCAAATCTTTGCAGAGCAAAGCTTTTACTGCACTAGTTCAAAACACTCAAAGAAGACAAAACTTTAAGCGAGCAATAAGAATTCTAAGAAAGGTAAGATACGAGCTGATAATGAAGAAGTTCTTCGACTCCTGGAGATCTCTCCTTCTAAGGTGTAGTGATATTAGACCTCTCACTGCACCACCAAAACCACAGGCATTGTACGATAGTGATAAGGAGAAGCCAACAACACGAGAAGAATCAAGTAAGAATAAGTATTATAGGAGAAAAGATAGGCCGCAATCTGCTGGGAATGCTCTGACAAAACAGAAAGACAAGGAAAATGAGGCAGAACAAAATGGATACAAGCAAAAACATCGATATAAGGAAAAAACTGAAGTAGATGGTCCAGTTTATGTTAAGAAGGAAAAGAGGAGGCGAAAAACAGTTGTAATGTTGTCGGTGGCTAGTAATTTCTAAGTAAATACTTAATAGTTCACAGAATTTTTATTCTTCAGATTCTTGTCCTCCTCCTATTGGTTGATCTGATTTTTTCTTATCAGGCTTTTGAGCTGCAGAAGGATGTTGAGCTAATTCTTCTGGAACAGTATTCTTAGTAGACTCGAGCATTTTCTTCAAATCATACATGATTTCAGTATCATCTTTTGTGAGGAAAGAAACAGCCCTACCTGTTCTACCAGCACGACCAGTTCTACCAATTCTGTGAGTGTAAGCAGAGATGGTTTTTGGAAGAGAATAGTTTACAACCAATGTCACACCACTAATATCAATACCTCTACCCAAAACATCAGTTGCCACTATAACATCAAATTTACCTGATTTGAATGCCTCAAGAGCAGAATTACGTGCCTCTTGTGATTTGTTACCATGAATAGATGTTGATCTGAATCCTGCATTTGATACAAACTTGGCAATCGCATCAACTTCCTTCTTCAAATTACAAAATACAATAACAGGTGGATCTGCATCATATAAGAGTTCCAATAATTTGTCTCTCTTGGCATTTTCATGTTTGATCCACATGACTTCTTGTTCAATACGTTCAACTGCCCTACCAACTTCACCTACAGCCACAGTAACTCTCTTTTTGAGATATTTCATGGCAATGTTCTCAACTTCTGGAGGCATGGTTGCACTAAATAACATGGTTTGTCTTTGAATATGGGTTGGCATATTTTCCAAAATTGTATTTACATCCTTTTCAAAATTCATTTCAATCATTTTGTCTGCTTCATCCAAAACTATAAAATGACATTGATTGAGAACAACAATTGAGTTATTCAAGCAGTCAATGAGACGACCTGGTGTGGCCACTAGAATTTCACATCCTCCTCTAATTAATCTACTTTGTTTTTCAATACTGACACCACCAATAATTGCCTGCACTCTAAATTCGAATTGTCTGGCATATTTAGTGGCTTCTCTCTCGATTTGTTCAGCCAATTCACGAGTTGGTACTAGAATCAGGCCATACGGACCATCTTTAGCAATCTCGTCATTCATTCTAGGTAATTTAGCAATTTGACAACACATTGGAATGATATACGATGCTGTCTTACCGGAACCTGTTTCAGCAAGCCCAACAAGATCGATACCATTCATGGCAATAGGAATACATTGTTTTTGTACAGCTGTTGGCTCTTTAAACTTTAAATCTGTAATGGCATTAATAATTTCTAGTGGAAGTAGTGTTGTTTCATCCCAAGATCTTAGTGGAGGTGGAACCCTTCCTCCCTTAACAACGATATCAAAGTCCTCTCTGAAAATTCTCCAATCTCTGTCAGTCATTTCATTAACTGATTTCTCAGTCCAATTTCTTTCATCCTCAATTTTATCTTTACGAATCTTTTTCTTTTGATTATTTTTCACAGTAGAATGAGAAGAGGAGATTATTGAATTCTTATCAGTTGTGTCATCCTTTTCATCCCACTCAAAGGAAATTTTAGTTTTTTCATTGGTTCTTTGCATTCTCTTTTTGGTTGCCTTTTTTTCTGTATAACTCGATTTAATTTCATCAATTTCACTTTTATCCATCAATTCCAAAGGATCAATAATATTAATCGATTGCAAATTAGAAAATTGACTAGTTTTTGTTTGTTCTTCCTTCTTTTCATCGGTTTGTTTGATTCTACTGGAAATGTCAATTTTTCTCTCCTTTTTAGAGATAAAAACTGGCTTATCCTCATCCTCATTATTGTTTTTCTTTTCCAATTCCTCTATTGTTGGAGGTAATGTTCTTTTCAATCGATTGATAGTCTCCTCCGTTGAAGATGACGACGATATATTATCATGTTTGATCAGTGATTCAGTCACTCCATTGTTAGTATTAGTGCCATTATTACTATTAGAAATTTGTCCATTACTCTCACCATTCACAGATTTGGTTGATGATGTTCCTGTTACTGATGATGAATTAGGAACTACCGAAGACAATTGTTTCGAAGGAGGATTCGTTGAACCCGGATTGTTCATCAACTTTTGCAGTAGCAATCTATTCATTTTTTTATTTATTATTATATTGATCAGTACTAATTTAAATTATTAGTATTGTTATTGTTTGCTACAGGTTAAGTTGTTAATTAATGAAGAATTGGAGAGTGAGTCATTTGTGAGTGGCACAGAACAGTATGCAACCTTACAATTGCAATCTTCCGAAGGAATATTAACTCCCTCTGGAATGTTTCGTTATTATACATTAAATTCTGTAAAGTCAGCATGACCACTTATTCAAGGAGTGATTCGACACATTTTCTCACTCTCTTCCTATATTCCTTCTTATCATTGACAAATAATTTAGCAGCTTCTGGATTGGCTGGAGAATCTGGATTAGGATCTTCTAATAAAGATAAGATACTAGTGAGAATCGAATCGACTGTATAAATTGGTGACCATTTGTCCTGTACAATATCCAAACAGATAGAACCATCCTTATAAACATTTGGATGGAAAATTTTGCTTGTAAATTTAACTTTTGGTGGTTTTGAAGGATAATCAGTTGGGAATGTTAATCGGAGGAAGAAGATACCACCTTCCCAGATTGAATCCATAGGACTGTAAGCTTGTTTGTAATTTTCCAAATTTCAAAAAAACATACCCTGTAATGGTTGCGTTCCAAACATACAGATCATTATCACTTTCAGGGCTTGCTGTAATTCCTTCTGGTGGATCCTTTTGTATTTGTTGAAGATCGGATAAGAGACGAAGTTTGCTACTACTTCCACTATTGCTCATATTTTTATTTTTAAATTTAAAAAATTAATACGTTATAAAAATAGTTTCAAAGGCTTCTTTGATTTTTTACTTCCGTAAGAAGATCAATCCTCAATAACAACCTGCTTGTTTTTGCTATTATGAGCAAACGATAATGATTCTTCTTAATAATTTTTAAATAATATCTTATAATTTAATGAGGAGAATTAATGTCGGAATGTAGAACAGTAGAACATTATTTTGAATCTCATGTGGGATAAAATCATTTCCTCATTCGTTGTTGTCATCAAAGGGAGCTGTTCCTTTCACTCTGATGCACTCTGTACTCTACAGCTCGTACACAACATTATCACCAAAATAGGCCGGTAAGGTTTAGGCTGTGTGGGGTGATTCGAGTTAACGTTGTGAGAGACCACAAGCATTTAACAACACAACGATACTATTAACTTCCTTGTGTGATTTCGACTTGTCGCTGTCAATGTTTAAATTAATTCAAAAAAAACATCTAACAACCATTATTTAAAGAGAGCAATTTTGTAGGATGCGTGCTCTTCAAGTTTTGTTTTGCATAGCCTTGTTGATGGTGATGCTAGTAGATAATTCTTATTCCATTTACTCTAACTCTGCTTCTGTTTGTTCATGCTCTGGGAGTTGCCCATCCAGTTTTGGACAATTGACATATGATACTACCAATTCTGTGTTCTATACTAGAGGAGATACCAGTATTTATTCCTGCTCTAAAACACAAACCACAGGTAACAGTATTTCCAGTCTTGTTGGTAGTGTTCCATCGGTTGGTGATAATGTGGTTTTTACCACAGTACAAAGCAAAGGGGTTGTAATTTATGATCAATATAATGACGGGACAGAACAAGTTGTGACTTATTACATTGATGATACCTCCAGCGTAATCGATAATATTACCTTTACACCTGGTGCAGTAAACCTCAAATCTGGAGATGGTAAGTTTTTTTAAAATGTTAATAACAATGTTGACATTTGACAATCAAAGTAATCTTGCTTTCCGATAGTACCAACAATGAAATCAATTCTATTCAGATTGGAATTGGTACCCCAACCTTGTTATTTTCTGCCAATGCCCCTGTAAAGGATGTGGTTTTTTCTACAGATATCTTGTTTGTAGGTCTGGAAAATCAAGTAGTTCTCTATAATCCTACTACTTTATTAAATATTGATACAACATTTTCAGGAGAAACTTTTGTTAGCATTCTTTATATGAGTGGTGTTGTGAATGATAAGGTATGTTTTGAAATGATGTGTTATTACAATAATGTATTAGATTTATCTTGTGGACAGTATCTCTGCTTCCAGTTTTGCAATTAGAAGAATATCTTTTTCTGGATCACATGAAACAGCAACTATTAAAACTATTTATACAACCACTTCTTCCATTAGTGGTATTTATGCAGTTAGTGATTCTGAAGTTTATTTCATAGAAGGCACGGAAATTAGAAAGTTACAATTCGATTGCACTGCCGGAGAAGTAGCACCAATTTGTGAAAATTGCCCAACAGGCTACAGTTCTAGCTCACCTTTTGCAAGTTGTTTCCCTGTTTGCACAGGTGATTGTAATAATAATGGAGTATGTGTTGCTCCTGAGGTTTGCTCCTGTAATGCAGGTTTTAATGGAAGCAAGTGTGAAAACACAATTCCATTTTGTGGAGGTATTGCTGGAAACGAAACCAATGTTTGTAATAGTAGAGGTGTTTGTGTTTCCACTAATTTATGCGAATGTTATGACAGTAATAGTTATGGTGGAAACTTGTGCGAAACTGTAAAATGTTTTGGAAAGCTCAGTACAGATATTTTATCTGTTTGCAGTGGTAATGGAACTTGTGATGCAGTTGACTTTTGTAATTGTGATGCTACTCACGGAGGAAGTAATTGTGATATTGTGAAATGTAATGGAACCTTGGCAAATGAGACTTCAGTTTGTTATGGTCATGGTAAATGCATTAATGTAGATCTTTGTGACTGTAATTCAACTCACTGGGGTGGTGTATTTTGTGAAACACCAAAATGTAATGGAATTCTAGCAACAGATACAAATGTTTGTAATTATCAAGGAGTTTGTTCAGGAGCTGACTTGTGTGCTTGTAATTCAACATATGGCGGTCAATTCTGTGAAATTCCAAAATGTAATGGAACAATGCAAGGTGATAATTCAGTTTGCTCAGGACATGGTTCATGTGTTGGTGTTGACCTTTGTAATTGTAATTCAACTCACTGGGGAGGTAAATTCTGTGAAATTCCAAAATGTTTTGGAGTATTAGCCAATGAATCTAATGTTTGTTCAGGACATGGTTCGTGTATTGGTGCTGATTTGTGTTCCTGTAATTCCACATATTGGGGAGACGAGAACTGTCAAACAGCAAAATGTAATGGTATTTTAGCAACAGATGCAAGTGCTTGTAATTATCAAGGAGTTTGTTCAGGAGCTGACTTGTGTGTTTGTAATTCAACATATGGCGGTCAATTTTGCCAAGTACCTAGATGCAATGGAACAATGCAAGGTGATAATTCAGTATGTTCAGGACATGGTTCTTGTGTTGGTGTTGACAAATGTAATTGTAATTCAACATCACTGGGGAGGTCAATTCTGTGAAATTCCAAAGTGTTTTGGAGTATTAGCCAATGAATCTAATGTTTGTTCAGGACATGGTTCGTGTATTGGTGCTGATTTGTGTTCCTGTAATTCCACATATTGGGGAGATGAAAATTGTCAAACAGCAAAATGTAATGGTATTTTAGCTACTCAAACAAATAGTGTTTGTTATGGACATGGTTCTTGTGTAGATGCCGATGTTTGTAACTGTAATTCCACATATTGGGGTGGAGAATTCTGCAAATATCCAAAATGTTTTGGAATCTTATCCACAGAAGCAAATGCTTGTTCGGCACCAAACCAAGGTTTATGTGTTGATGCAGACACTTGTGCTTGTAACTCAACTTATTGGGGAGATGAAAAGTGCCAAACATTCAAGTGTAACAATATTCTTTCCACGTCAGACTCTGTTTGTTATGGTCAAGGAGTGTGTGTAGCTGTAGATACTTGCGTTTGTAACTCAACATATGGAGGCCAATTTTGTCAAACACCAAAATGTAATGGTACTTTGGCCGGGGATAACTTAGTATGTTCAGGACATGGTTCTTGTGATGGAGTTGACAAATGTAATTGTAATTCAACATATTGGGGAGGTCAATTCTGTGAAATTCCAAAATGTTTTGGAGTATTAGCCAATGAATCTAATGTTTGTTCAGGACATGGTTCATGTATTGGTGCTGATTTGTGTTCCTGTAATTCCACATATTGGGGAGATGAAAATTGTCAAACAGCAAAATGTAATGGTATTCTGTCAACACAAACAAGTACTGTTTGCTACGGTCATGGTTCTTGTGTAGATGCCGATGTTTGTAATTGTAATTCCACATATTGGGGTGGAGAATTCTGCAAATATCCAAAATGTTTTGGAATCTTATCTACCGATTCTTCAACTTGTTCATTCCATGGCTTGTGTATTGATGCTGATTTGTGTTCATGTAACTCAACCCATTGGGGAGGTGAAAAGTGTGACATTCCAAAATGTAATGGAATTTTAGCAACAGATACAAATGTTTGTAATTATCAAGGAGTTTGTTCAGGAGCTGACTTGTGTGTTTGTAACTCAACATATGGAGGCCAATTTTGTCAAACACCAAAATGTAATGGTACTTTAGCAGGTGATAGTTCAGTATGTTCAGGACATGGTTCATGTGACGGAGTTGACAAATGTACTTGCAACTCGACATATTGGGGAGGTCAATTCTGTCAAACTCCAAAATGTGATGGTATCTTAGCTTCCAATACTTCGACTTGTAATGGACAAGGTTCCTGTATCAATGCTGATGTTTGTATTTGTAATGATTACAATCTTTGGGAAGGTAAATTCTGCCAAGTACCAATGTGTTACGGTAAACCACAAGGTGGATCTTCCACATGTAATAATGGAAATGGTACTTGTACATCTCCAAATCACTGTTCCTGTAACTCTGGATATGTAGGCCCAGAATGTGAATATCCAGTTTGTTTCAATGTACCTAGCAATGACTCTTCAGTGTGTAACAATCGAAACGGTACATGTATTTCACCTGATAAGTGTGCTTGTGAAAGTGGGTGGACTGGCGATAGTTGTCAAACACCAATCTGTTTCTCAATTTTGGGTAACTCTTCAGCTGTTTGTAGTCAAAGAGGTAGTTGTGTAGCTCCAAATTTTTGTGTTTGTAAGGATCATTATTATGGAGACGCATGTCAAAGAACTACTTGTTATGGTATTGCTGATGATTCTAGTTCAACATGTTTTGGTCACGGTTCTTGTAGTGATTACAATACTTGTAATTGTTCATCAGGTTATGGTCCAGACAATTATTGTGAGCATCCAATATGTTATGGTTATTTAGCAAATGATACTAGAGTTTGTAACAATTCACGTGGTGTCTGTTTGAGTCCTGACGAATGTAGACCTTTGGACCCTGTATGTTTCGAAAAGGCAAAGAACGACAGTAATGTTTGCAGTGGTCATGGTAAATGTGTTGATTGGGATTATTGTGTTTGTAACACTTCAGATTATTATGGAGATCAATGTCAATATTGGAAATGTTTTACAAAGAATTACAACGCCTCAAATGTTTGTAATAACGGAAACGGTACCTGCTCATCTGTTAATAATTGTGTTTGCAACAGTGGATGGTATGGAAATGAATGTACAGTTCCAATGTGTAATGGAATTCTTGGTAATTCATCCCTCGTTTGTAACAATGGAAATGGTACCTGCTCCAAACCAGGTGCATGTCAATGTAATACTGGATATACAGGATCTGATTGTTCCATTCCAATTTGTTATGACAAATTAGCAAGTGACACAAGTAATGTTTGTTCAGGAAAGGGTTCTTGTGTTGCTAAGGATACTTGCTCTTGTCAAAACAAGTATACAGGTTATGAATGTCAATATGCCACATGTTATGGAGTTTCATCCAATTCTACAAGTGTCTGTAGTGGTAATGGTACATGTAACGGAGTTGATTCTTGTAATTGTTTATATGGTTATGGAGATTCTCAATGTAATGTTTTCAAATGTTCCAATATTTTGGCTACTAGTAATAGCGTGTGTAGTGGAAGAGGTAAATGTTATGGAATTGATAAGTGTCAATGTGATACTGGTTACTATGGTCCTAATTGTCAATATACCACTTGTAATGGTATTGCTGCTAACGACACTTCTGTATGTAATAGCAATGGTACCTGTACTGCTTATGAAACTTGTTCTTGCTCTGCTGATTGGTATGGCAAAAATTGTGACATTACTAAGTGTTACAATATCTTCTCAAATGATACAAGTGTTTGCAGTAGTAAGGGTAAATGTATCCTCAAGGACAAGTGTGTCTGTACAGACATTAATTATGGTGGTTCTCAATGTGCCGATCCATACTGTTTTGGTTATTTGGCCGGAACTGTTGGAGTTTGTAGTGGAAATGGTCAATGTTTGGGAGTTAACTCTTGTAATTGTAATACTGGTTTCCTTGCCTCAAAGTGTCAATTCAAAACAATTAGTGGTATCTCTCTCACGTTCAATGCCTCTGCTGATTATGCCAATGAAACTCTCACCACCAAGGCAACTTTGTCAATTACTGACTCTTCATTCAGTACCTATTATGCTTCTACTAGCTTGAATGCTACATTCTCATTTGTTTTCAATGGAGTTACATCAACATTCGACAAGATTCTCCCAGCCGGATCCAACAATGTTGAATTCATTCTTCCATTCTTCTACACTCAAAAAGGAACTGTTACCAGCTCTGTAACTCTCAAATTCACTGAAAGTACCACAACCATTACTGCAGGTCAAGCAACTGGTTCATCTTTAACCATTCAACAAAGAGTAATACCAACACCAACACCTACACCTATCAAATCATCACCAAAACCACAAGTTTCTCCAGCCAAATCCACCAACACTGTCAATCCAAAGGCCTCCACTTCAACAACCACTAAGAGTGATTCCAATGTTGGAGGTGCCATTGCAGCTGGAGTCATTGTTCCATTAGTTGTAATTGGTGGAGGTGGTATCACTGCTGCCATCATTGCTGTTGTTGTCATTATGAAGAAGAAGGCCGCCACAGCAGCTGCCAGAGAACTTACCTATGCCACTCACTACGATGTTGAATTGGCTGAAGGTTACTGATCGGATCTTTAGATTCCTTAATTCTGAAATAAAAAAATATTCTAACATTTCAAAAATATTGAATATTTGATAAACTGTGAACCTAAGAAATCTCAAATATGGCAATTAATTAAATTTCACCTTTTTAGTTTACTAATATTAAGACAATAAACGAAAACATTTAAAATAAATAATTGAATAAAAATGCCAGAAGCTGCTGTCCTTTATCAATACCTCAAAAAGCATTCATCACTCTCCGTGTTGGTGGCCGTAGCATCACTCTCCTATTTGACCATTAGTGAAGTTTTAACCCGATACTTTAACTTGTCTTCGATGACAAATTCATCTTCATGTCCAAATAATAGTATATTGGGTAATTCACTTTCCGAATATTTAAAACAAGATAAAGAACATGTTCATATTGTAGGAGGAGGAATTTCTGGTTTATTGATGGGATTTATGTGTAAGGAATTGAAAATTCCCTTCACAATTTATGAAGCCAATGAAAATTCGTGTGGTGGCTTGTTGGGAAGTGAAAGAATTGCATTCAATCATGATGAAGAGTGGATGATTGCGGAGAAAGCAGCAAATGGTGTAATGTGGACTCCTCAAGTGGAATTGTTGTGTGAAAGGATTGGATTGATGGAAAGAGTTTTGTCAACCAAGAAGGAGGCGAAAGCAAGGTTTTTTGTTAGGAATGGAAAGTTGACTCAATTTCCTATCAGTTATTTGTCAGTGTTTAATTTGTTGACTTGGAGAATGTGGAAATTGCCAGTGAATAGCTCATTCCAAAGTTTGGATGATTATTTTGGATTTTATTTTGGTGAGGAAATTAAGAATCAATTTTTGGAACCTGCATTTGCTGGAATTTTTGGAACGACTCTGAATAATTTATCAGTTTTTGGCACAACTGAAATATTTCCAAAATTATTGAGTCAATCTTTGAGTTTTCCAATTTCGTTGGTGAAAAACGTAATTTCTGAAGTGTGGAATGGAATATTTGGAAGAAAACAAATGAAATCTTCAAATAGGAGAGGTACGCACAGTTTCCAATGTGGTGTTCAAGATTTGATTGACCATTTAGTTCGCCACTTGGGTACAAACAATATCAAGTTTGGATGTGAAATTAAGGATTTATCTCATTTCCCAAGTGGTCAGAGAGTAATTTTAACAACGCCTGCCTATCAGACATTGAATATTCTTCAAAGTAATCTCTCTACCACTGAAAATGGTAGAGAATTGATTGAATTATTATCTAAAATTAGATATACTCCAATAGGTACATGTACTGTGATTGTGGAAAGAAGCAAGTGTCCAAAATTAGAGAAAGGGTTTGGCTGTCTCATTCCTAGAAATGAAGGAATGCACATTTTGGGAGTCCTTTTCAATTCATCTATTTTTGAGAATAGAGTTTCACATGATGAGAGATTTGCCAGTCTTACTTGTATCATGCAAGATAATGAAAAAAGTGGAAAACTCTCTGATGAAGAGTTATTGGAAAATATTGTTTCTAAAGAGTTGAGTTTATTATTCATGAACTCAAAGGAGGAAAACATTTCCATTGTAAAGAGCTCAATGAAGAGGTGGAAGTATGGAATTCCAGTTTATGACCATCATCTTTACAAGTCTTGGAGCTCAATTCATTCCATCATGAAACAAGATTTACCTAATGTTAATTTATTTGGAAACTATACGGGACAGATTTCTATTCGTGGTATGATTGGACAAGCTGTTGAGCTTTTGACTAGTTTGGAAAATAGAAAGCATTAGAGTTTTGGTGGAATACCTCTACTGGATTGTGGTCTTTGTCGGGATGGTGTTGAGAGGGAGATGAGTTTTCTTGAGAGAAGTGGTGTTCTAGTTGGATCCATAGTATTGGATGGCAGTGTCTTGTTTTGCTTTTGTACACCTAAGGATGAGAGAGGTGGTGTTTCTGGCGTTGGTGCTGTTACTTTCCTCTTGAGGAGTGGTTTATCTTTGAGTTGTGACCTATTTGGGAGACCAAGATCGTTTGCTTGATTTTCAACAAATGCTGCTTCTGTATTGTTGGACGATTGTTGTACTTCACTTGTGGATGACCTAGAAGAGGATGGAAGAATACTTTTTGAATTTGTGAGCGAGTTAATAGAAGATTGTTTTGATCCTAGTTGAGGAGTTGCTCTAGGTTGAAGGACAGAACGATTGGTGGAATTATTACTTGGTTGAGGGGTCTTATTTGGTAATATAGATTTACCCTTCATTGGTGTTTTTGGATCTATATTTTCATTCATTGATAATCTGGCATTGTTGGAAAGTCTCGTATTTGTCATGTCAGAAAAACCTGAAGGAGATGATGGTGCTTGGTTCATAATTATGGAGAGACTCTCATTGAGATTTTGATTTGGAGAAGCTCTGATTGGACTCACACTTGGCAGTTTCGGTGAGGCAGATCTTAATTTTTCTGCCATGTTAGATGATGAACGTCTACCTGAATTGAAATCTTCCTTTTGATGATAATTAGTTGAACTCATTCTGGAAGAACTCTTTGTAGAGAGAGGTGACATTGAAGCAGCCACATGCTGATAATCACCAGAACCACCAATACCATTACTCATTCTCTGTTGCTGCATTCTTGAATTCATCATTGAATTGCCATTTCCTCTATTATTATTATTTACATAGGGAGTCATTGGTACTTCTCCCATCACTATTGCATGTTGATGATAATTCAAGCCTTTGTTTTGATGATCTTCATAGACAGGCTCTGCTCCATTATATTGTTGCTGATTATTAAACTCTGGAATCATCATTGAATTGACCAAGCCTCCTTGATGATGAAGATGAAATTGATTCGGAATTGGATAACTAGGAGTTGGATTCTTCTTTTGATTATTGAGCATTTGAATTGTTTCCTTAAGGCTTTGATTTTCACTTTTTAATTGTCTAATAACATGTTCATAGTGAGAGTGTTGGAATTTGATTATTTCCTCCATCTTTGCAAGAGGCTCTTGGAAAACATTTCGATATTTAGAACTGACAAATTCGTATATATTCTTTGGAATGTGCTAGATATATATTATCAATATTATCAATTAATAATGAATAACCAACTCATTGGTTGATTAATTACATACCGATGCATCCATCAACGAAATAGCCTTACATTGTGTACGACAAACTTGACACTGAACATTTGATTGAGGTAAGGAGGAGGATGCTAAATGTTGTTGTTGTTGTTGTAGAATACAAGCCTCACATATAAAGTGTCCACATTCGAGAAAGTAGAATCCAATCGATCCAGCATCCCTCAAACAACTCAAACACTTGGGGATAAATCCTGCTGCTGATGGTGTTGAAGAAGACATTTTTTTTTAGAGTTGTTGTTGTTTTGTGTTTTCCTTAGTAATAGCCTTGTTGATTATGCTCAATCTGAGAATAGTTTAGTTTCCACATATTTTGATAGTAATCATTAGGAAAATTATATAGCTTTTATTCTATACAATCATGAATTTAGTTTGACATCATTAATCTACAAAAGTCCTCTATTGAAATTGAATTTTTCCATTTCATCATCATTATCATCATTATAATTTTAAAATTCAAATCAACAATTTGTGATCGGAATAAAATTAATATCACATCACAAAATAACATAATCAATAATCATCATAAACATTAAACACCAATTATTATTATTATAGTAATGATGATGATGAACAACAAACAACATACCATACTTAATTTGACCATCACCATTAGTATCAGCTTCTCTAATAAAATCTTCAGCTTCCTCCTCATTAAACTTTTCACCCATCGATGTGAGAATGTGTCTCAATTCTGCAGCACTAATAATTCCATCATTGTCTCTGTCGAATACTTTGAAGGCTTCTTTAATTTCATCCTCAGAATCATTGTCAGTCATCTTCTTTTGCATTAAAACTAAAAATTCCTTGAAATCAATAGTACCATTATTGTTAGAATCAACTTGTTTGATCATGTCATCTAATTCACCTTGTGATGGATTGAGACCGAGGGCTCTCATGACTGTGCCAAGTTCTTTGGTCACGATGGTACCATCAGAGTCAGAATCAAAGAGAGAGAAAGCTTCCTTGTATTCTTGAATTTGTTCGTCAGTTAATCTATCAACCATTTTTTTTTAAATTATACATTTTATATAATTGTTGACAAGTGACTGATGAGTAACTCACTTGCTATTGATGACATTTTAACTTGAAAAAAGATAATTGTCAATTTTACAACTTTATGCATTTTCTCAAAAATATCTGAGAATGATAATTCACATTTTCAGTTTAATTTTCAATACTAGTTTACAAAATCAATTTCGAACTTGTTTAATTTTAAAAAAAATGTCATTAAATCAAGCAGAAATTGCCATCATTTCACGAAGGGTTCGAGAGGCCATTGAATTGCTCTTCAGTGATTGCAGTCTTCCACGTGATACCTTTCTCAAAGAAAGAATTGCAGAAAACAAGGATGGTTGTAAGTTTCGTTTAGTTTCTCTCTCGGAAATTCTAAACTCTTTCCTGAAGATGTCGATCTCGAGACCATTACACAATTTAACAGAATTCAACAAATTACCACCGATATGAATTTGATAATCAAAGCTCTTTCCAAGAGTTTCATGTTACAATTCGATTCTCAAAATACCAAAATCAGAAGAAGAGTTGCCTTACCTCCCTCCATCCAAACCACGCACACAAGAACCTTATTTGTTAAGAGATTTCCCCTCAATGAATCAATAGTAACACCTGAAAAAATTAAGCAATGTTTCGATGCCTATGGGAAGGTCGTTTACGTTGGGCTGAACAGAGAACAACACTCTGAAAAATTTACGGGAAGCGCGTTTGTTGAATTTGATTCGGAGGTGGTGGTTGAAAAGTTGACCTTAAAGAGTGTTGTGGTAAAGTATAGTAAGGATGATGAGGAGGGATTGTTATTGAGGAAGGGAAGTGAGAGTCAGCAGAGAAGATAGTTGAATGTTGTAATAGAAAAAGAAAAAAATTAATTTTTTAAATAGTATTTACAAAATATTAAATATTATTATTTAAATACGCCAATAATGGTTGGAAAAGTGAGGCAATGAATCAAAACACCAAATTCTGATCTTTGCAAGCCAAAAGAATCTTGAAAAAAATTACAACATTAATTCTTCCGCCATCACCTTCAAAATTTATTTATTAAAATTATAAACATCATCATGATGAGAATATCAATTATTAACAAACAGCAACAGCAACCCTACACCATCATCCTTCTCTGCTCAATTTTTATAATACTCTTCTCTTTTGCCAATTGTTCAAGAGATGAAAGTCTTGTTTCTTCTTCTTCGGAAGACAAGGTTGTTCATCCCTCACATTTAATGGCCCTTTCTTTTAGTTTAATAGCAGGAATATCGACTTTTATTGGAGGCTTTATTATTATTTGCATGGGAAAACCATCGGATGGAAAGATTGGCTACATGATGGGATTTGCTAGTGGAGTCATGATGTTTGTGTCGTTTTTTCATCTCATTCCTGAGAGTATTGAGGATATTGGAGTGATACCTTCGATTATTTCATTCATTATTGGATCTGTCTTGTTTATTGGAATTAGTAAAGTGTTATTGGGTGATTCGGATCAAGAAGATTTCATATTGAAACATCATGAAGATGATAATTTGAATCAATCATCTTCAACACTTTCATTGGAAGCTAGAAAGGATTTGAAACAAAATGATGGTAATAGTAGCAGAAGTAGTGGAGGAAATAGTAGCTCAGATGAGAGTGATTCTGATTCATTGAAAAAGAAGGAAGTAGTTGATGTGAAAAAACCAGCCAATGTTACAACCAATAGAAAGAGATTGTATCATACTGCTATTATTGTCACTTTGGGACTTTCATTACATAATCTTCCTGAAGGAATGGCTGTTTATACCAGTACTTTGACCACTTACAAATTAGGATTAATGATTGCTCTTGCTATTGGATTGCATAATGTTCCTGAAGGTATGGCAGTGGCTATTGCTGTCTATGCTGCAACCAATTCAATTTATCAATCACTCAAGTATAGTTTAATTTCTGGTTTGTGTGAACCACTTGGAGCTGCTCTCTTTGGTGCAATGATTTATCTTGGATTTTTACCTCATTACATTGTGTTTTACATGTTGGCTGGTTGTGGAGGTATTATGGTCATTATCTGTTTTACAGAGCTCATACCTACAAGTTTGGAATATTTGGAGAATGGTCATTCACACATGTCTTCTGTTTTGCATTGTATATTTGCAAATGCTTTGGGCATGCTTGTTATTTATTTGTGTAGCTTATTTATTGAACAATATGAACATTAATTTCAGAGATGGAATTGAAATTGGATAGGCAGATTCTTCTTATTAGGAGGTTATGGCATCTCTTCTTGGGAAATTATCTCTAGTATTAAATAGTTCACAAATATCTCCACTTCTCAAACTAGTAGATTTGATTAACATAAACTTGTTACTGTACAATTTTTATCCTAGTGAATTCAATCATCCAATTGTTGTTCTGTTTGTAGCTGGTGAGGTTGCATCTCAAAAACAGCAGAATTAGGTGTAGGTATTGATTCACCAACACTTGCAGTTTCAATTTCTAGCGTATTGATGGAGTTGATAGTTGATGGAGAATTTGTTAAATTCTCTTTCATTGATAATCTCTTCTTAGTGGCCATTGGATTTTCTGCGTTGGAATTGACATTCTTCATTACGTTCTTTACCATCTTTTTCATTTCACTCAATGGACCAAATAATATACACAACCCAACAACAAAACACCAAGTTGCCAGGGCTTTACCAATCAATGAAATGACTTGGAAATAAACAGAAGTATTGGAAACTTCACCAACAAATGATACCAACTCCATAATACATAAAAAGACAGCAATCAATGCAACTAGTGTAACAATGATAATAATTCTTCTAATGGCCTTATTGGTAGTTTTCTGAAGAAAATCACCTGAATTTTCAGAGCTAGATTTCAAATGTCTAACAAGTTGAACAGTTGTCCAAATCATGTAACCTAAAGATGACAAGACACAACCAATGAAAATAACAGTTTCAAGAGAATAGAAGAAAATAATAGCTGCCTGACTTGATGGATTTGCTGTTTCACTCTTTGTTATTTGATCTACCAAAACTGTCACACAATAGCCAACAATGACACTTCCCAAAATAATAGGTGTTGTAAAAATCAATCCCAACAATATTTTGTACATTCTATTCGAAATGTATCTCAATTTCATACTTGTTTCCGCACTATGTGAAATAATTCACACAAACCATTCAACAACCAATGAACTACTTACAATATATAACCCACAAACAGGAATTGAACAACCAGCCACCAATCATTCAATGCCCATCCACAATAAATCAGTGCATTGATCACTCTGACATGAAGTGGCTTTTGAGCACTCACAAATGTATCAACAGGAAATGCTGCCATGTTCAATATTCTCAATCCAAACACTATTATCAAAATAACAACACTAGGCAATAGAATGGAGAATAGAATAACCTTGTTTCTAGAATAGGGGCTCTTTTGATTATTATTATCTGTTAACTCTTGTTGATTCTTTGTGTCCATTGATGAAGCTCTGCTATGCTTTCCTCCTCTTTTCTGTCTTGTAAAGCAACACAACAAGATTAGGATAACTGGTAAAAGAACCACAAACGAAACCATCTGAATGGCAGTCACAGAAATCTCACCAATAACCTGTGCCTGTGGTACCGAAGATGATGTTGTAGAATTGGTCGAAACCACTGCTGAACCAAGCAAATTAACAATCTCGCGTAATACATCACCAGTTGCCACATGTTGAGGCATGTTAATATAATGGGCCATGATTACGACTGTTTTTTTATGAATGAACCAACATCAAATTTCATAACCACCATGAAAGAAATTCTAAGAATCGAAGGGATTTTTAGGAGAAAATCTCAGCTGTCTGACAGCTACCACATACCCAATAGATCTTTCTCATTCTCTTTAGGCCAACTATGAATGAATTTTGTTGGTGATGTTGTATTAAATATCTCCTGTTATTCAGTAATAATTTTAGCACCTTGCAAATTGGTAAGTGATTTGCCAGATTAAAGTGGGATGTATGTTAGTGTATGTATTGGTTGGTATGATGTCATTATAATTTGTCAATGCATGTCGTTAATTTGGTGTTTGTCATTCTGAGTTTGGTTTCGAATATAAATATGTTATCGAGTCCACTACAGCTGTTTAGTTTACTACAACGTGAAGCTATCCTTGTTCTAATATGAGCACGATAATAATTCGTGAGAGTAATAATGGCCTAATACAGTTATTATAATTAATCCATATAATCTGAACAATACGAAAGTACCATACTCTCTAGGGTGCCTCTATGTTTATCCTGGGGACTATGATTAGCATGTTTTAAATAGTGTTTCAATGCTTTCCATTTCAAAACCAATTGAAAGAATGATTTTGCTTCCTTATCACTCCTTATTGGCTCCAAATATTCTAAATATGGTGTAATGTTTAACTCTGATTGAGCTCTCCAACTGTTCAATTGAGTATTGAAACTGAAACCCTTCTCTTGCTCGGTTGAGTTTGGCCAATAATAAACAACTATTAGGAAATCATGTCGACCATACTGTTTGGTAAATTTTTCTAAGCATAACATTTCCCTCGATCCATTGGAGGTATATAAATTAATGAACATTACACATTGAGTATTCGATCCATGTTCTGGTTTGTAATCATCCATTGATATTCCAAAGTTTACCAAATATTTCGCATTATTCCTCTTGCATTTCACATTGATTGGTTTTCCTTCTGTGCCAAATAAGAGCTGTTTCACAACATTCTCATCATCTGGATTTTTAAAGTAAAAAAATGATTCTTCCTTTGGAATATTTGATGATGAATAACTCTTTTCACAAACCTCAAAACATGAGTCAATTGACCTCCAAGTCTTGTTAAATATGAAAATCATTGCCATATCTCTCCAGTTCTTGGCATTGATAAATTCTAGTGAGAATGGTTGATACTTTTGTACATGCAGTACCAATCTCTTTGGTGACATTCGAAACCAAAACCAAGGATCTCCCAACCAATAATGATACACCAATTTACAACTCGCTGAAAAATTACAACAATCACGAATGCTCAAAAAGGACAATATTATTGGAATGATATCAGAATTAATCAATCCCAATTCATGACTCAATAGTGTTGAATGTGACTGATCAAATTGTTGTGCATATTCTTCATGTCTTTCATACCATCCTATTAAAATTCAATATTTGTTAATTATCATCAAAAGTTTCATATATTTTCATATGTGTGCAATTGATAAATCAATCATGAAAAACAATTGATTAATAAACAAACCTCTCCTGTATTGAATAAATTCCATTGGGAGTGAAAAAACCCTCTCATCAATCTCCTCTTCTTCATCACTATCATCCGAATCATCATTTCTTTTTATTATTCTTTGTAAAATTGTTTTCCTTCTCGGAGGCTGTTGTTGATGATGATCACTACTACCAGAATAAGAGGCTGAATTAGAAGATGATGCAACGGCTCCTCTAGAAGATGAAGCTGTTGTTGTTGCTGATCGATTTCTTCTATTTATGAATGTTGAAAAGAGTGTTCTTCTGCGAAATGTTGGATTTTCATTGGTAGTGGAAGTACGACTGTTTGAATTTGAGGGTGGTGGAATGGAGCTAGGTTGTTGTCCCATTTTTTTTGATTCAGAGTTCTGGATAGTTCAGGTAGAATTTCGAAAAGTATTTCGAATAAGGAAATATTGTAATGCCACTACAAATTCTAACAATTCTTGAAAATCGAATGCTAAAGAAAAATTGAACTTGTAAAGTTCGCAATGTTTTTGTCATTTAGATTTACAAAAATTATCTTCCTTTTGGTCCATCATATGCTTCTAATCAACAAAAGGACACCGCCACCATTTCGCTTAATCATTTTTATTATTAATTTTAATATTATTATTATTAATATTTTATTAAAAGAATCCATGCAGAATTGAATTGAATGACATTTACAGCGAATGTACGATCTTTGCAAAGATCGAATTTGGCGGGAGTGCTCCTTTTACATCTCATTACGTTCAGAGAGACAAGAAAATCATTCAAAAAAATTAAAAGTAACAACAACAGCAGTTTTACTGGTTTTCACTCAAAGTTGAAGAGAAACACACACAATAATGGGTAATAAGGCTGTGAAACAATTAGGAGATGTTCCAAATGGTGATTTGGATTTGTTATCCTCCACATCTTTTAGAGAGGATTTATTTGATCAATTTCCGACTGTGATTAGCAAGTTGGAGCTTGGTGTGCAAGAATTTGAACAATTTATTAAATTGTGTGATGATACTGGATCTCTTTATAAATCAATTGCTAAAAAGTTTTCAGTGAATAAGAAAACAGAGGCGTATGTGTTTGTTCAATCTCATGTTTAAAGTTTTTAATAATTTAGAAGATTACCAACAAATGTTGTGGAAAAACTAACTGCTGGTTTGGAATCAATTGCATCGGGATACTTGACTTCTATCAAGGAAATGGATAAATTGGAATTAGATGCTGATGAAGTAAAGAAGGAATTGAATAATTATATTAGTATGGCAAAGAAGGAAGAGAAACTTCTCAGTTCTAAACTAGTTGCTGTACGAAAGGAAGAAGAAAAAATCAGAGATAAATTCTTTGATGAGAAATTGTTTATTCAAGAATCAAAATCAAATCTACTCATTAATTTAAAGGATTTAACTGAGAAAAAGATACTTGATATTAATAAGAAGATTCAAATATCTGAAGAAAATGTCATTAAACTTGAAAAGGAAGCTGATGTGATCAAGAGAAAGGTGAAGGAGGTTAGCAGTGAATACGATCTCAAACTCAGAAATATTCTTTCACACTTGGAATTTATTGATAGAAAGAGATTTAGATACATGAAGGATTTAACAAAACGATTTTCACAAATTCAAACTAATACTGCCAAGATGGTTATTGAACAACACGGAGTTGTTGATACAAAGATTGAACTTCTCAACGAAGAGAATGAATTTAACGAGTATATTACATCCGTAAAATCAATCAAACCAACATCCAACATTATTTCAAAAGATTCTGAACAAAAATTACTTGTCAGAATTGCTTCTCAAAGTTGGGACTTTATGAAATCAGCATCAGGCACTGTAAAGAAGACCTTTGAATCTGGAGAAAAGTTTACAGATTCTTTATTCCCTCCAAAAAACATCTCAATAGATCCAGAAATGGAAGATTCAGTTCTTTGGATGAGAGCTGTCGATTTACTTGGCCCATTTAAAATCATTAGCCCTGAAACTGTTCTGGCCTATGATATCAAACCACAAAAATCAATTACTGGATATGAATGGTTGACAAGTGCTTTGGAATTCATTGCATCCAAGCCAGCACTTATTGAAAGAATATTTGTTGTCAAGACTCCTAATGATTTGGGAATTTTAGAGCTAAATATGTGCATTGGAGGCGAATTTTATAAGATTACCATTGATGATTTCTTCCCAGCAAGCAGAGATGGAAATCCATTGTACTCCTCAACAAAGAGCAAAGACCTTTGGGCTATGGCTATTGAAAAAGGAGTTGCTAAGGTTTGTGGAACATACAAGAGAATGGCATCATCTTCATTCACAATTGGTGATGCATTTGAATTATTGACAGGTTGTCCAAGCTTTTACCAACCAGTTGGTATTTCCAACACCAACCACTTGTGGAAGCCAATTTCTAACTTTACTCAAAGCAGAAATATTACTTGCTGTTTAACTCTTCCTTTTTCTGAAACTACAGCCACTTCAATTGGTTTACACCCAGTTTATCCATATTATTTAGTGGGATGCTTGGAAATGAACGGAAAGAAAATTGTTAAATTGAAATGTACTAGAGGACCAGCAGAGTGGAAGGGTGATTATTCTGAATCAGATAGAGTCAACTGGACTCCAGAATACAGAAATGCACTCGGTGTGGATCAATCAGCACAAGATGGATACTTCTTTATGCCATTCTCAGATTTTTGCAAGTATTTTGATAGTATGTCATCTTTCAAATATGATCCACTTTTAGCCAGATTCCAACATAGAATTCCATACCCAAGCCCTTCTGATTCAAGCCCTCCAACCAATACAGTCACAGAAGTTTCCATTGAAACAGATCAAAAGGAAGTTTACTTTGGTCTCCACCAAAAACATGACAGATTCAAGGGTTCTCCAGCTAGATCTGCCATGGGTTTCATTGTTGTTAGAAAGCAAGGTAGTAAGATTGTTGGTGCCGTTAGATTATCCACAAATCCTTGTAATTATTCTGAAGGATTATCTTTAAGAGCTGGAGATTATCAAATTATTCCAATTGTTGCACAAAATGCTATTTCTGTAGATGTGTTTGGATCTGGAAATGCACCAAATCTTACAGTTGTTGTTCATGCTAGAGGTAATGTTAGAATGAAAACTGCTGAGAAGGTATCTATCAAGATGACTCCAATTCAAAAATCAATGGTTGAGCAATTCTTGTCTGGAGTTATTCCAAAGAGTCCTTCCCTTATTATGGAAGAAGCTAAGTCTGCTCCACAATCTCCATCCGTTGTTGGTAACTTTACACCATTACAGGAAGAAATAACTGAAGCAGATAACTTTTTGAATCAAGAAATCACTCCAGAAGTTACTGCAACTCAAACAATTGATGAATCACTCCAAGAAGAAGACTCAACACAAGTCATTGAGAAGGAAGAACTACAAGCTGAACAAACCGTAGAAGAACCACACGTAGAAGAAACAACCGATTTGGCTCAAGTAAAGGAAGACGATAATGTTATTCCCTCTGACGACCAAGAGCACTTTGAAGAATTTGAATAAATAAACCAATATCTGATCTTTCTTTCAGTAACGAATCGTATGATGATTGGAACAATAACATAAGAGAGGATTAAATAATAAATAGTGGTGATTAATAATTTATTTGAGGATAGTGTTGAGTTGCTCAGCAAGCTTTGAAGGGAAAAATCTCTTTGGTATTTCCAAAGAGTTGATCTTACCATGACCATCAAGCATATCAAATTCAAAAACATTAGCTTGGAGTGGCTTCTTGGATCCTAAATCAGTGAAATAGTTAAAGTCAACTAGAGGTTTGGATAAAACATTGTCCAGTGTTGGAATCTTCTTGCCAATGAGTTCTTCAATTTCGCGTTGAGAGAAGGTGGTATTTGAATACTCATCTGTTTCATAATTAGAATAGATATAGGCAATTTGTTGGACTGAAAGTTCTGGACAAATCTCTTGTCTTGTACCTTCATCTTCAAGCAATTGCTTTTGAGCAATAACACAAATATCAGCTGCTTGTCTAGAAAGTGTAAAGTAAACTTGCAACTTTTCTTCATCAAAGTCCTCATTGTCATGGAATTGTTTTCTCAAAGATTGAACAACATTCTTAGAGTTGAACCAATTTTCAAGGAAGGCAACACTCATCTTAACTGAAAGACCCTTGGAGGCAGAAGCATCCTTGATAAAGTGATTGAATATAATTGAATCCAAACACATGGCAACATTTTCAAAAATGTGATTAACAACACGTTTGTCCAGCTTTTGTTGTTCAACACGTTGGTAGATTTCAGTAAGAAGTGAAATACACAATCTCATATCTGGACCACCATCTGTTGATTTGGATGAAGCTTGTTTTGGATTGAACACCGCCTTCACTAATCTGTCCTTCAAAAATTGGACAATCTTGGAACAGAGATTGAGATAGGCTCTAGCAAGAATATCAGTAAGAGCATCAGTAAATTCTTGCATGTCGGCAACATAAACTTCATCATCCTCAAGTACAGAGTATACTGGTGGTTCGGCCAAAATACGTTCTTCTTCCTTTGCCAAAATTGCTTGAACAGTGACACCTTCCATTGTTTCGAATGAGTGATGAACTTGATTTTCGTTTCCACTTGATTGATAGAGGTTCAAAAGTCTGTATAATACATTAACCCAATACATCATCATCTCCTCATCTCTGGCATATCTATCTACAACGTAGGACAGAGCCTTGATAATATTTGTACAGAAGAATTTACTCGATTCTGGAGAGAACTTTAGAGTTGAGAGGAATAAAACCTTGGTTGGAGTTGGAACTTTAGAGCTTCCCAAATAGTCACTAGGTTGACTGTAGATGATTGCAGATTCAATAATGAACTTCTCTACATCAGAATTTTGCAATGATGATATTTGCTCTTTCAATTTCTTGGTTTCTTGTTCATTACCTGTCTTTGACTGTTTAAAATAATAATAATAAAAATATTGGTTAGTAAGTTGAATAAAAATAAATAGAAAAGTGATAATTTGTTATCAGTTAGTTTTTAAGTTAGAAAAGTGTGAGTGTAAGTGTAAAAGTTAGAAATGATATTTGCCTTTTGGTTTTCATCAAATTGTTTTTGAACTTTTTCAAGTCTTCTCTTGTCTTGCTCCAATTCATCAATTTGTTCTTCCAATTCGGTTATTCTGTTCTTTCCCTTCTTTAATTTGTTTTCCAATTCCGAGAATTTATCATCCATGTCCATAACTTTTTGGTTTAATTCCTCATTTTCTTCCTTCAACTTTTCAATTTCCTCCTCAAGTGCAAACTTTGACTTTTTATCCTCATTAACAGAATTCTATAATAATTAATAAGTTAGTACATAAAAATTCAAATTAAATAAAAAAACATAGTGAGAATTGTGGGTGATGTGTTAGTGTAAAAGTGTGTGTGATATTTGCCTTTTGTTGTTGTTCAATTTCTTCAATTCTTTCCTCAAGTTCTCTGATCAAAGTATCCTTCTCCTTGAGCTCATCTTCAGTATTCTTACTCTTTTCACTACTACCCTTCTTCAATTTTGCAATTTGATTACCAAGCTCATCAACTTCTTCTTGAAGTTGATTACGTTCTTTTTCTATCTTGGACAATTTAGAATCAACACTGTCTAGATCTTGTTCCAACTCTTCAATCTTTGAATCCTTTTGGCTATTGTCATCTTCCAACACTTGAAGTTGTCCAGAAAGCTTCTTGCATTCCATGGCTTGCTTTTTAGAATCTTCTTCAGCCTTTGCGACTTGTTGTCTGAGAGTTTCAAGTTCCTCAACCTTTGAATCAATAAGTTCATTCAATTTTATCACTTGGGTTTCACTCTCTGTAAGCTTCTTTTCTGTATCACCTAGTTTCTTTTCCGTTTCTCCAAGCTTCTTTTCGAGAGTTGTTTTTTGCTTCTTGACAATATCATCCATGGAAGCAGAATTCTTTGACAAACTTTCAATTTCTAAAATTTTTTCAGATAGGTCTTTTTCCTTTTCTTTGATCTTTTCTTCCAATTGCTGATTCTTGCTCTTGATAGTGGTAATCTCAATATCTAGATTCTTTCTCTCTTCTCTTAATGATTCGACAAGTTTGTTCAAATCCACTTCAGTTGACTATTTAAAGGTCATATGATATAAATTGTTAGTATGTTGTTTAAAATAAATGTGAAAAAAAAATGTGACATCACAGTTAGTACAAGTTAGTTCGCACCCAATAAAAAATCTAGCCTTTGGCTTTCATTCTTAAAGGGACAAATTGTTAGTTCTGGTTAGATACTTAAAGTTTTTGAAAAATATCCCGCACTCTTTGCAGAGATTGAGTGTGTAGTGTAAGATATGTACCTTTAGTTTTCTTGCCTCGGAATTAATATCAGAAACCTCATTAAATGTTTCTAAAACAGTAGAGAAGTGGCGACTAGCTTCTTGTTTCAGTTCCCCAATCGTGTTTTTCAAATGTGTAATTTCCTCAAGCAACAATTCTTCCACTTGCTTGCTAGCTTCTTTCAATTTCTTGCATTCTTCTTTCAAGTCTTCAACTTGTTGTTTGTAGCTCTCAATATCCTTATCTTTTTCTTCGCAGCTCTTCTCTATTTGTTTGGTTTCACTAATAGCAGCTTCTAGCTCTGAGGTAACATCTTCTACCTTCTTCTTATAAGATTCAAGGGATTGGTTGAGGTTCTCTAACTCTTGAGTAAGGTTTCTGTTCTTCTCTTCAACTTTTGAACATTTTTCTTGGTATTCTGAAAGCTTGTTTTCGATTTGAATAACAACTTCGTCAGTGTGTTGAGATGATTGCTTCTTGACATCTTCCACTCTTTCTTTAAGTTCAGAAATTTCTTTTTGGAGAGAATCTTGCATTTCTGCCTTGCTCTTTTCTGAGGATTGCCATTTTTGGGTGGCCTTTTCAACATCTTGTGAGTGTGCATTCTTTTCCTTCTTTAATTCATCCTTAAGACGTTCAACCTCATCAGTAACCTTCTTCAAATCTAATGCGAGTGCTTCCTTTCCTGATTTCAGCATTGACATCTTTGTTGAATATTCATTATCCTTGGAGAGGTATTCCTGTTTGAGGTTTTCCATTTGTTTCTTGAGAGATTCCTTTTCCTTGGTAGCAGCTTCCTCTTGTTTGTTGCGAGTTTCTATGGATTGTGTCAATTGAATGTTCAAAGCTGATATCTTGGATGCCAAGTCATCTCTTTCCTTCTTGATATCTTGTAAATTTCTTTCCAATGATTCATTCTTTTCCTGTATCATAGTATTGGTATTTTGAATTTGTACAATATTGGAGGTTAATACTTCGGATACAGCAGAAATCTCTTCCTTAACTTCATTTTCTAATGTTTGCTTAGCCTTCATAATACTCTCATCAGAAATACCGTTTCTCATATTTTCAACAATATCAGAAAATGAGTCAGAGTGAGTAAGAATGCTTGAAAGCTCATCACTATTACCCAATTGGGTTGCTGTTTGAAGAAGGGTGTTTTGAATCTTAGTCTTGAGTGTTCTAAACTCCAAAAGACAAGAAAGAAGTAGCTCTCTATGCTTAGTTGCAGAAGATATTTCCTTACTTTGTTGAGAAACCAATTCAGCCAAACCCTTTCTTTCTTCCTTCAATCTATTAATGTCTGTTTCAAGTTCTTCAATTTCTACCTTTCTCTTTGTCTCTTTGGAACTAAATTCTTTCTTTAGCTGATCAATCTCATTTTCATAACGAGTTTTGCTTTCTGACAAGTCTTTTTCATTGGTTACCTTAAATATATGAAGTTAGGAATTATTCTATATCTCAATTATAAAAATGAACTTAACAGGGTGAGACTCTTTTCAGTTAGTTAGGTGTGAGTGTAATTAGTGTCAAGTGTACGTGTCGTGTGGGTTGATGTTTATACTTTACCTTTTGTGATTTCATATCTTCTTGAAGTTTTTCATTTTCTCTCTTCATTTTATCCATTTGCTTCTTGTCTGCAATGAGTTGTTCCTCATATTCCTTAGCTTGTTCTCTCATATTCTTGATTTCTTCTTCCAAATTTTGAACCTTTTCGTCATATTCGTATGAGAGGGATTGTTTTTGCTTTGAAGATGATGCACGACCATTTTCATTTTCTTCTTCAAGGTCCTTGATTCTATCCTTCAACTTTTTAATTTCTGTTTCATTCTTTTGAGCTTGCTTTTGCTTTAATTGAAGTTCAAAGAGCTTGCTATCAACTTCTTGTTGAGATTCCTGAGCCTTGTCTCTTTGTTTTATCAAATCTTCATTTTCTCTTTGGAGATTTTTAAGTTTTTCAACAGCTGAATCTCTTTCTTTTTGAACCTTTTTAAGCTATTAAATGTCAATATTCTCAATCTTTGTACACCAACTTACCAAATTAGTCTTGTCATTTTCTTTGAGAGTCTTGACTTGTTTCAAGAGCAATTTTACCTTTCTCTTGAGGTGATTAATTTGTCTTTCAAATTCAGCAGTATCTACATGTGATGAAACTTGAGCAGATTCATCAGTTTCAGTGTGCTGATTATTTTCTTCATCCTCATCTTCGGTTCCCTTTTCAACTTGTTCATCCTCTTCTTCTGGTTCTTCATCGTGGTGTTCCTCAGGATGTTCTTCTTCGTCCTTTATTTGCTCTTCGATATCTCTTTCAATATCCTCTTCATTTACTTCAACTTCAGGTTCATGATGATCCTCTTCGTCATAATTATGTTCCTCATGATCATTATAGTCGTGCTCTTCGTGTTCTTCCTCATCCTTATCCTCACCAATATCCTACAAATTGATTGTTAACAATTACTACAATAATTAAACATACTTGATTTGTTCCTTCATCTTCATCGACTTCATCATTACCTCCAGTATAAGTACTAACAGCAGTAAAATCATCATCACTTAATTTTGTTACAATCATACAAGTTCTAGTAGAATACTTACTTTGGATTTTGATCCTTTAAACATTTAGAATTGATAACAAGTTTCAATTTGGCCTTGCTACTATCCTTTGTTGGCATGTCTATTTCCTTTGTGGATGTCTTTTCAGAATCTTCATCTACAAACAATGCCAAATCCAAAGTTTCCTTCACAAGTGTATTTGTTTTTCCATTCTTTCCTTTCTCTTCCAATGTGATTTGAAGATCTTTCTTTTGGAATTTACCCTTTTTAAAATAGAGAGTTCCATTGAATTTAAATGTTCTATTCCAAATAATACGGGTACCTTCAATCTTGTTAAATTCGGTTTCACCCTTTCTCTTTTTTCCTCTTTTCCAAAATATCTATTATTGTGATTGTATCATAAAACGTTGATGATATTATAATGATGATGACAGCGTTGTTGATGTTTGATAAGGAATTTAATGATGATGGGTATTATCATAGTGATGATATTTAAATATTATGATGAAAATAATAAACATACAGCATAGGTACATTCATCCTTCTTCTTTTCCTTCACTTCGGTCAAGTGATCAATAGAAAGGTTAAATTGAAACTTGAAAGCCTCCCTATTCGTAACCTGTTGGGCTACTTTGCTTTGTAACTTTTTAAACATGATTAAATACTACTAAACACTATGGAGCAAGGTAGATTTCAATCTGATAATAAATTAATGAATGATGTACAGGAGAGATTGATAATCTTCTACTACCGTTGGTTGCTAATTAATTTTTTTTAAATATTTTTTAAAAATGCAAAATTATCCACCAAGAATAGCCAAGTGACCAATTGCTTCTGGTAGACAAAATGCAACGGTCATCATGCGTACTGTGAAATTTAAAAAATCAAGCGCCAAATGATTCTCTTTGCCCAATTGACAGTTTACTTTTTTATTCTGTACAGTTATTTATTATGGATGTTGTGAGGTTTCATTAAGAATTAATACCGCTTTTTATCATTTAAATTTGTAATGTTAATGATATCATTGAATATTCGTCTAGACTCTGTTATTGAGTTATTTTTCAACTAATGGTATTAAGAAATGGTTTGGTATTTTACAATCGAAATAGGTTTCAGTCATTCTGATTTTTCTGAGTTTTTCAAACTTTTCTCGTTTAGGAAAAAAGCAAAATCCGTTCTGTTTAGCAGCAATTTCGCTTATTGTTTCATCTTTACGATGCAATGGAGCATGATATAATAAAAATCCATTCTTTTTAACCAATTCCATTACAATATTTCGATTTTTTAAAATTAAAAAATTCATTTCTTCTCTTCCAATTTTCACATTTGGATTACGGACTTTCCATAGCCTTTCGTCATTGGTCAACCTATCTGAAGCTCCAAAAAAAGACCCTTTATATTTGACTGCTGCCTCAACAACCTCAATATCGTTCTTTAGTTCGCTTGCCTCAATAAGAACACTTTTTAAAATTGAATCATTTTTCAATAATCGAATAATGAATTGCTTGTCTCTCTTCAGAGTTGGATCTAAGAGTCTCATAAAATTCTGACAATTATTGTTATTTTCCAAAAGGGATTCAATAAATTCTTTGTCATGTTGTAACTCATTAGAGGCAAATAGGAAAGCCTTACACTCTTTCTTTACAGCATGTGTTACGATAGATTTGTCATTAATCAACACATCAGATGCAGCTTCCAAAGCTGAAGGAAAATTTGATATGGCTTCCCATACAATTTCATAATCATTTCTGTAAATATAGGGACAATAACAAAGCACGCCCCCTGATTTTCTCACAGTTTGCAAAACCAAATCTCTGTCAATACTATCCTCTTTCATCTTTGGAAAAATATACTCTATTCCATTGACGGCCAATTGTAACATCTCTCTAACAAATAGATCATCATTCTTTAACTCTTCAGATGCATACATCATTGCACTTCCATGGATTAATATTGATCTTTTTACAATTTCTCTATGATTTCGGAATTCAGGTTTGATAAATTCAATAATATTTGCAAATAAAGAACATTCCAAAATAAAGTCAACATCTTGCTTCAGATCATCGGTTGCATATTTAAATTGATATCGATTTTTTTTCACACAATTCAAAACCAATTCTCTATTGGATTTTAGCTCATCAGGGAATGATTCTAGACATGAGAAATGTTTCAAAATTTCAATGTCATTATGAAATTCTTTGGGTAAAAGGTGTTTTAGATCGGTCGAATTCATTCTTGCTATCATCTCTTTATGCGTGAAAAACAATCTATCACTTGCCAATTCATCTAAATAGGGTAGTAATGTCTCTCCGATTTTTACTTGGTAAGGCTCAATATTAGAAAGGACGAATTCTCTATTATTTCTCAATTCTTTTGACGCAAATTGAAACATGTTTGGAAAAATCATACAACAATCTTTCACAATTTGTGGATTGTTTTTAACATGAAAAGGTGAATCTTCACATAGCTGAAAATAATATTCCAATCTGAGGTTATATTCTAAATACCAATAAAAAAACTTTTGTGCTATTGGATTTTTCTTGCCATTAGAAATTACAAACTCAAAAACTTCTTTATCATCAGTAAATTCGAGAGGCAAAAATTTGAATCTGTCTGGGTTCTCAAAATGTAAACGTCTGTTTTCGAGATAAAGAAGAAATCCTTTTTGTTGAGTTTGAAATTTTCGGATTAAAAGTTTGACTTGATGAGAAATGCAATGATCAAAATCTATCAGATAGAGAGTGGTGTGATGTGTGCTTCCAGACATTTTTTAGTGGTTGACTGTTCAGTTCGTGAAAGTTAAGTAACCTCCATTTACAGAGTATTATTCTAAACAAGATATTCAATAAATATTCACATCAAAAGTTACATTGTTGATAATTAGTAAAAGGAAATATTCATCTTGGCAAGTTGCCTTGGTGCAATATAGGAATAGTAAATCCACTTTTCTAAGAATTGAGGTTTTTTGTGTCTATACTTTACAATGAAAGGATGTTGGAGAAGACTTGTCGCACTTGGTCTTTCTTTTCTATTGACTCTTAATGTAGAATAAATAAAATCTTTGAACTCGTCAGATGCACCTTCGAGAGGGAATGGAGCATCAGTTGATTTTTCCAAAAAGTTTAACATGTCCCATATTGAGGCGTTAGCACTTAAAACAAATGGAAATACTCCTAGAAATGCTTCAGCAATAGTTAAACCAAATGACCAAATATCTGAATCGTAAGAATGTGGTTGACCTCTAATTCTCTCGATCGACATGTATGCATGGGTTCCACAGTATGTTTCAAATTTACAGGTTTGTTGGAGATTTTGCAAGTACTTTTGTGATCTTTCTAGACCAGCCATTCCAAAGTCTGCAATGCAAACCTCTCCTGTATTGTGGACCAAAACATTGGCAGGTTTCTTTTAACCATTATTAATCATCAAGATTCAATAAACTTACAATATCTCGATGAACAATTTTCTTTACAGTGTGCAAATATTCCAACCCTAAAAGCAATTGTTCACAAATCCTCGAAAGAATACTCTCTGGTATTCTGCCTGAAACAGCTAAAACATCTTCCAAAGATCCACAATCTTAAACAGTTACAAATAGAGCTAGTTCAATTACATACCCATAAATTTCAGTATCATTAAAATACAGCCTTGTCTATAATAGGCGTCATATAGAGTCATTACATAGGGACAGTCGCTGAAATAAACAAGTAAATGAATCATTGACATTTTCAAAAACTTACTTGTTATACAGTGCTTTAAATTCTGAGACAATTAACTTGGGTTTTTGATCGTTTAAATCTACAGTAATTTTCTTCATTGCATAAATTTGTTTCGTCTTTTTATGCATTACTTTATAGACTGTTGAGGAGGCTCCCTTTCCTAATTTACAAACTTCCTCAAGATCCTCATAAATCATGTGTTCAGTATTTACAAAAGACATGGATGATGAAACGTTATTAGAAGGTGATGAAGAGGTAGAATAATCCATGCTAGTCCTAAATTGTTCTGATGCAATACTTCCACCACTCGATGGAGATGACTGCAAAAAGGGAGTATGCAATTTTGAAATGGTAGATTGATGAATACCATCTTGACCAATCACAATTTGATCTCCAAATCTAAATGTTCCATCATTTCTATTAGTTTATAGTTTTTGATCCAATTCATGATGATATTGTGACGATTAAATAATAATATTTAATAATTCAAAATACTATTATATACTGTACATTTTAACTGCTTCATCCACATATTTCTCCTCAGCAATTTTAATTATTTCCGTTGGAATAGTCGTATCTGGTTGTTCCGATGGTGTTGTTACATTTCCCAATATTAAATTTGTAGGTTTGTTTTTTCTAGGCTTTTTTGATTTGTTACTTGATGATGGTGAAGATGAAATAGATGGTGAGGAAACATTCGATGAACTCGAGTAATCTTCATCATCCAAATTCATTCCACTCAATGAGGTTGTTATATTGGTGAGGTTGCAACCTTCTTCTCCCATTATTTCTTCTCAATTTTGTTGTTGTTGTTGTGGTGGAATTTGTTGTGGTTGTATTGCTGTTGGCTAAGAAGAGAAAAAAATTCGTGATAATGATGACTACAGCAACCTCTTGATGGTGATCAAAGAACTAATTCAAGCAAAGAAGAAGTAGTGAAGAAAAATAGTAGTACTGCTCGGATGGAGAGAATGATGTGTTTCTGATTATCTCTATGGTGAGAATTTTTTTGATTTAAAGAAGAGACTTGATCTTTGTCAACTATCATCGGTTACATTCCGTTCTTTCCTTTCTATTGGTTGGCATTACGTTTTATTTTACTCTCAATTAATATTACAAATTTTAAATTTAATTATCATGTGATGAAATTTTCAGTGCATACAATCATGGTTGCATTTGGATTGATTTCAAGTCATTACGGTATTTAAAGCCTTAAATTTGAAAAATCGAAAAGTCCATGCAAGGTTTTAATGCTGAACTTGGAGGTTGCCATCTTTGAAGAAAAGTTGGAGAGACACTTTCACTTACAGCACTTTAATGATAAGACAATGTTTTGTAACAGCACTATATCAAGCCAAACAGGTAATAATGTCTATTTGGAATTGATTTTGTTGCATTTTACCGTTGACAGTTAGTTGATTGAATTTTGCATTGTTGTGTTCTTTGAACAAAACACCGTTCCCATCAATCACTTAATAGTACCAAAATTGACATTGATTTCACGATTGTGGAGCTACTAAGGTTTGACATGACGAGGGAATTGAACAGTTACCCGAACAGCATACAATTTCAGTGTCTGGCTTTTAACAAACACAAAAAACAAAAATCAAAAAAACATGGTTACTGGAGGCAATCTTTCAGTATCTTGCTTTAAACAAGATGTAAAATCAGTTAGAGGCCTCATTGTCCTTCTCTTGTTGATTCTCTGTTTGACAACAATTGAGAAATGTTGTGGATATTACTACACAATGAATACTGTTGGTACCTTCACTTCTGGAACCACCTTGTATCAAATGGACAAGTCCAAATTCTTCGCTAACAGATTCTACGTAGCAACAAGTGGAGGTCTTCAGTATTTCACTGTATCAAGTGGTGTGGCAAATCCAAGTAATTCTTATGTGTATAGTGGTGGGTTTCAAACTACCAGTATGGCAAATGTTGTTGTCAGAAGTACATCATCAAGTAAAGATGATGTTTTTTCTGGTACCATTAACACCTCCACTTGGAGGTATGGTTCAATAGCCAGTTCAACCACTACTGGTAATTCACTCACCAGTTGTGGCGTTATTGTTGCTGGTGTAAAACTCGATGCAAGCTCTACAACTTTTTCTGTGATTGGCAATGGTGTTGTGGGTACATTAACAATGACAACAGGTGGTAGTGCATCTTGTTCTGCAGTTACCTCATTTACAGGAGTTTCTGGCACAAGTACCACGCCATCTACTGATGGCACAGGTAGCGCAGCTACTGTTTACTCTAGTGGTACTCATGACATTACCAAAAATTCAACATCTGGTGTAAGTATGAGAAAATTCAATTAATTAGATCTAACAACTGGCAGGTTTATTATTTTACTGAGGATTCAAAGATTAGAAAGGTTGTTTCAACTACTATCACAACTCTGGTAGGAGGAACTACTGGTACAGTGACAGATGGTACTCTCTCCTCTGCTACAGTTAAAAATCCAAGTTTCATGTCCATCTTGGGTGCAGGTGTAAGTTTTATTGCATTGTTATGATATATTAAACTGTTAACAGCTTGTATTTTCGGATACTGGTAGTAATAGAATTAGAGTTTTGGATACAGCCAATGAAGAAGTTGTTACTATTGCTGGTGGTGGCTCAACTACCCCATCAGGTACTGCTTCACTATCTGGTGCAGCAACAGGTTTTTCTTTAACTAGCCCAAGAGGCATTTATGTGGACACTGATGACAGTATTTATTTTGTTGAAGGAATTTATGTTAGAAAGCTTGTCTATTCTTGTGAAGCAAATGAAATTTATCAAGCAGGCTCATTCCCACCATGTGCTTGTAATACTACTGCTGGTTATGTGAGATCTGGAACTTCTTGCGTACCTACCTGTTCCAATTGTAATGTCAATCAAACATGTACTGGTCCAGAAACTTGTTCTTGTAAGAGTGGATATTCAGGAACAGATTGTTCTGCTTTTACCTGTTTTGGTGTAGCTCAAGATTCTACATCTGTTTGTAATTCTAAAGGATATTGTGTTGCACCTGACACGTGTATATGTAGTGATACCTCCACTTTCTTTGGGTCAAATTGTAATGTGACTTATTGTAATTCTATTCCATCAACGAGTGGTAGTGTTTGTTCAGGACATGGAAGTTGTACTGATTATAATACTTGTACTTGTAGTGATACCAATTCATGGACAGGATCTGATTGTGGAACACCTGTATGTGCAGTTGTGAGTGGAGGTGTTTGTTCTGGAAGAGGTAGTTGTACAGCTCCAAATATTTGCACTTGTAATGAACCATCAAAATATGGTGGATCTTCATGTGAAATTCCAAAATGTAATGGAACACTTCAAGGCAATTCTGGTGTTTGCAATGGAAGAGGTTCTTGTATTGATGTTGATACTTGTCAATGCACTGTTCCAACCTCTTGGGGTGGTTCATTCTGTGAAAAACCATACTGCTCTGGAATTTTACAAGGTGCAGCTGGTGTTTGTTCAAATAGAGGAGTTTGTTCATCTCCTGATTCTTGTGTTTGTAATGAACAAACAAAGTATGGTGGTTCAAATTGTCAACTTGTCAAATGTGGAGGTTATTTGGAAACAGACTCTGCTGTTTGTAACAAGAATGGTTCATGTATTGCTGTTGATACTTGTTCCTGTAATTCAAATTATGGTGGTTCAGATTGTCAATATCCAAAGTGTAATGGCATTGCTTCGAATAGTGGTAGTGTTTGTAATTCACAAGGATCATGTGTTGCACCAAATGTTTGTGTCTGTAATTCAAATTATGCTGGACCATTATGCGAATATCCAAAATGTAATGGCGTAGCTTCCAATGATGCAAGTGTTTGCAATTCGAATGGAACTTGTACTGGTGTTAATACTTGTGTTTGTAATGTTAACTATACAGGATCATATTGTCAATATCCAAAATGTAATGGAATATCTTCCAATGATGCAAGTGTTTGTAATAACAAAGGTGGTAATTGTATTGCACCAAATGTTTGTTCATGTAATTCAAGTTATACTGGTCAATTCTGTCAATTCCCAAAGTGTAATGGTATTGGATCCAATGATGCAAGTGTTTGTAATGCAAATGGTACTTGTATTGGAATTAATGTTTGTTCATGCAATTCAAATTATGCTGGTCCATATTGTCAATATCCAAAATGTAATGGTATTGCTTCAAATAGTGGTAGTGTTTGTAATTCACAAGGATCATGTGTTGCACCAAATGTTTGCGCCTGTAATTCAAATTATGCTGGTACATATTGTGATAAACCAAGATGTGGAACCTTTTATAAGGGAGATGCTTCTGTTTGTAATTCGAGAGGTAGTTGTGATGCTGTTGATAGTTGTACTTGTAGTGATACATCTTCTTGGGGTGGTAATTTGTGTCAATATCCAAAATGTAATGGTGTTCTTTCAAATATTGGAACTGTTTGTAGCAGTAGAGGTACTTGTCAATCTCCAAACAATTGTTCATGCACTGATCCAAATTCATATGGTGGTTCATATTGTGAAAAAGCAAAATGTTATGGAATTCTTCAAGGAGATTCAAATGTTTGCAGTGGACATGGTACTTGTAGTGGTGTGAATCAATGTTCATGCAGTGCTGGATATGGAGGTGAACAATGTCAATATCCAAAATGTTTCAATATTTTGAGTAATGAAACAACAGTTTGTAACAATAGAAACGGTACTTGTACTGCACCTGACACTTGTTCATGTAATAATGGATGGACTGGAAGCAAGTGTGATGTTGCCATTTGTTTTTCAATTCTCTCCAATTCAACAAGTGTTTGTTCAAACAAGAGAGGTAATTGTGTCACACCAGATAATTGTGTTTGTAAAAGTCAATATTCAGGTTCTCAATGTGAATATACCACTTGTTCTGGAATAAGATCAGATCAACATCGACAGTATGTTATGGAAATGGTCAATGTATTGATTATTTACTTGTAATTGTACAACTGGTTATGGACCATCCAATGTATGTCAATATCCAATTTGTGGTGGTTATTTAGCAAATGATACCAGAGTTTGTAACAATTCAAGAGGTGTTTGTTCCAAACCAAATACATGTAGACCATTAGATCCCGTATGTTATGGTAAAGCTCAGAATAATTCAATGGTTTGCAGTGGAAATGGAGCATGTGTTGATTGGGATTATTGTGAATGTAAAACTGGTTTCAATGGAAATGAATGTCAAAATTGGGAATGTTATGGAAAGAATTATACCAACTCAAATGTTTGTAACAATAGAAATGGTACCTGTTCATCTGTGAATAATTGTGTTTGCAACAGTGGATGGTATGGAAATGAATGTACAGTTCCAATGTGTAATGGAATTCTTGCTAATTCATCTCTCATTTGTAACAATAGAAATGGTACCTGCTCCAAACCAGGTGCATGTCAATGTAATACTGGATACACAGGACCTGATTGCTCCATTCCAATTTGTTATGGAAAATTAGGCAAGTGACACAAGTAATGTTTGTTCAGGAAGAGCAGAATGTATTGGTTATAACAAGTGTAATTGTGACACTTCCAAGTATAGTGGTTCACAATGTGAATATTTCAAATGTTTTGGTATTCCATCAAATGATGCTTCAGTTTGCAGCAGAAACGGAACATGCTCTGGAGTGAATCAATGTTCTTGTAATTATGGTTATGGTTCTTCAAATTGTGACATTTTCACATGTTCAAACGTTCTTGCCACCGATTCGAGTGTTTGCACTGGAAAGGGTGTATGTTATGGAATTGACAAGTGTTCATGTGATTCAGGATATTTTGGATCAAATTGTGAAATTATCTCCTGTTATGGAATTCCAAAGTCCAACAATACTGTATGTGGAGGAGTTGGTGAATGTTCACAACTTGATACATGTGTTTGTGGAAGCAATTATAGAGGATCAATGTGTGAATTATCTTACACCTCTTCATCTCAAGCAACACTTCAATTCAATAATACGAATGAATATGTGAATGAACAATTCACAAGCATGGCCACTTTGACAATTAATAATCCTCTCTTCGGTCAATATTATTTGAGAAGAAGTGTTCAAGTTGTTGTTTCATTTGAAATTAATTCACAATTCAGTTATTCTGAAACACTTTATATTGAAAATGGAGTTTCATCTGTTTCATTAATGGTGAAATCGTTGAGTCAAACTGGTACATTGAAAGCATCTGCTCAATTAATTGATAATAGTACATTAATTTCCATTTCAGATAGCATTCAATCTTCAAATAGCATTACAATTCAAAATAGACCTATTGTTGTTCCATCCACAACGACATCCACAATCAAACCAACAACCTCTGCACAAACAAGTAGAGCTGTTATCGATACAGGAAGTAATGGTGGAGCCATTGCAGCTGGTATCATTGTTCCAGTGGCAGTTATTGGAATTGGAGGTGGTGTCACTGCAGCCATTGTCACAGCAGTTGTTTTGTTAAAGAAGAAGGCTGCTGCAGCTGCTGCCAAAGAAATTACACATGCTCAACACGTCAATGTTGAACTAGCTGAAGGTTTCTAATCTTGTTGATAAAAATTCATTACTGCTTTCTCCAAAATATTTTCAATGAAGTCATAAAGTTGATTTCCAAAACCAATAACTTACATCTTGTATTAAACCTTTATCTTGTTAGAGTTGGCAACATAATGATTTTTCATATTTATTTGGATGTTGTTTTGTAAACACACTTGTCGAATCAATCCATTGATTTTTGACAAGATCAACACAGTAGTAGCCCGATTAGTCCCTCCATTTTCCATTATAAAAAAAATGCAACAACAACAACCTCGCTCAATGATGACATTCATCTTCCATTTCATAATGACAATATGTGTCGTCGTCGTATCATTGATGTTGAATCAAAGTGGTGGTGTAAACGGAGCAGTGTATCAAGTGAGTGATGCGGTTACTTTGTGGAATACCTTTTCTAAACTACAGGCTGGTATGTACAAGACTCATGACCTATTACATATTATTTAACATGGAATGTGCTTGATGATCGGTTATTATTATGGTTGGTGTTGTTTCACATATTGTGTGTGTGGCGCTTGTAATCTTTGTTACTTACATGATTTGCATGCTTTTCATAATATCCATGATTGTGTATTTTAAATTTGACTGTGCTCCATATGTTTGGCCAACTTGACAATACTTTTGTGTGAAATTGTGTGTGTGAAATGGATGGGTTGTTTGGTGTTTTGATGCTTTTGGTGTTGGTTTTTTTTGCAGGTGATGAAATGGTTATTAGACAAGGAACTTATTCTACATCAACTGGTGGATCCTATTATAGACAATTTACATTGAAAGGAACTGAAAGTCAACCAATTAGAGTTTATGCTTTGAAAAACGAAACTGTGGAAATTAAGGGAGATGCAGCTGGTAGTCAAAATATTCTCAATTTTGATGTTGAATATTTTGTGATGGATAATATTGGGTTCTCACAAGGTAGTCGTGGATTGAGATTTTTAAATTCGAAACATTCAGTTTATTCTAATTTGAGAGTTAAAAACACAGGAGATGTTGGTATTGCCATGAATGACGGAAATGCTATTTATCAAAACAATACTTTAAGATATAATGAAGTTTCGTATACTGGAGGAACTGGTGAATGTTTCTATTTGGGTTGTAACAATGCTGATTGCAAATTCATTTTCAATTTATTGGAAAATAACTATTGCCACCACACATCTACCACCTCCCAAGGAGATGGTATTGAAATCAAAGCTGGAAGTTATGGAAATCTTGTCAGAAACAATGTCATTCATGATGGAAAGTATCCAGGCATTACCTTGTACAGCACTTATGTGTCTGGTGGTGATGCAGCTGTTGGTATTGCTAATCCAAATATTATTGAAGGAAATATCATTTGGACAGTCGTTGATAATGGTATACAAGTGACAGGTAATGCAATTATTAGAAATAACATTATTTATAATGCAGGTGCTAGTGGAATTGCCATTCAAGTCAATCAAGGAACTGTCGAAAATGTCAAAGTATTGCACAATACAGTTGTCAAAGCAGGTGCTGCTTGTATTAGAGTGACAAATTCAGGACCAGGAATTGTCATTGCTAATAATGCTGCCTATTGTGAAGCTACCAATTCAATTTATATTGCTGCTGCATTGCCTGCTGATGGTGTCATTTCAAGAAATGTCATTCAGGGATCGACTAATGTTCAAGTTGCGAATGGAACTCTCAATATTGGTAAATTCACAACTGATTTCCAAAGTACTAGCGCCTTGCCATATAATGTTTTCCCAGTTACTTCCAGTAATGTGCTTGGAAAGGCAGATTCAAAGTATGCAACCACTTATGATTTCAATTTTAATACTAGAAATGGACCAACTTATGACTGTGGTGCTTATCAAGCTAATGGAGCTACTTCAAATCCTGGTTGGATTCCAAAAGCTGGATTCAAGACAACCACAGCTCCTACACCTAATACATCTACTAAGACTAATGGTGCTGCTGTTGGAAGCTTTGTGTCAACTCTTGCACTTGTTTTCGTTGCACTTGTGGTAATGTTTACTTTGAATTAATTGAATAAAAATGTTTAAACAAATCTGTTTCTGTTCTTTTTATCTTTTATTTCTTTTTACATTAAATTTTCAACACCACACCGATTTAAACACTGTTGAAAGGCCAAAGTCCTTCTCTGATATTATCCAGTACCATTGTTATTTTAATGGTTGAGGGCATTACAACAATAACATATATATAAGAACTTGTGGTTCATTATGTAATTCGGAATTTAAATAGTTTACTGTATTTACAAATCTAATGTTGCAGGTAATCATGATGAACACGACCAGCAGGCATGATCATGTCAACCTTAAAGTTAAAGGCACCAACAACTTGCTTGACAGGGAGATCACTAATTGGAGCGTTAACGTGAGGAATGAGTGCAAGCTTAGCATCTCCCTTATAGGCACTAGTTACATTTAGGTTGGCATGTTCCATTCTAACCAATTGAACAATAGCTGGATCACCACGAACGTCAGGAATATGCTTTAAGAATAATTGAGGAGTGGACAAGTAGGAAACGACATCTTCGAAAGCCATTCTTTCATACTTGTAGGACATTGTACCAGTTGCAACTCTGCAACCATTGCAATCCAATGTACCCTTCAAAGTATCTTGAGTTGGAGCGAATGTAATACCATCACAGAACTTTTGAGGTAAACCAAGACATTCTCTACCATATGTAATTGGAGATGAAGAATCCAAGAAACTCATAGTGTTAAAGTGGATAGAGTTACCTTCGTTATCAGTACATGGAACAATCAAGTCAACCTTGTAATAACTACCAATACCAGTACCATGAGTATTGACGAATTGAAGAATTACAATATTGTCTTCATTTGGAGTGAGTTGATCTGGAATCTTTTCCAACAAAGATTCTCTATCTGTTACATATTTGATAACCATGTATTCTCTGTCTTGGAGCTTTGAAGCAGATGGCTTATAGGATGGACATGTTACTGGCATTGCCAATGACTCTTCTGTAATTTTCTTTTCGGTAAAGATTGATCTGTATTGACCTGGTTGGACAAACATTTGGTGGAATTTTTGAGAAACAGCCTTATTTTCTTCAGTTGGTTCGAGATAATCATGCAAAACATTACCGTATGGCAACAAGATATCAGCCATCATGTGTTTACCTTGAATAACCTTCTTGACAGGCAAATCAGCAACTGGTGCATTAACATTTTCAACCAAGTGCAATCTAGCTGGACCTTCAAAGGCAAAATGCAACTTTTTAACTTGCAAGTTATATGAAACAATTTGGGCAATCTTTGGCTTGAAATCAACATCAGGAATAATCTTCAAATTAATATTGGTCTTTCCCATTGATTTCAAAACAGTATCATGATCAAGTTCAGTGTGTTTGTAAGCCATTGTACCTTGAGCAACAGTTTCTCCCTTATATTTCATAACACCAACAACTGTATCTTGAATACATTTCATGGATGGGTGAGCATGTTTTTTCTAATTATATGACACAATTAATATTTCCATTTTGCTTCCGAGATTTAAAACTTACAGGAAAACCCCAAATTTCACGACCTTAATATTTACAAGTTATTGACACAAATTAGATAATTGTTGAAATACTACTTACCAGCAGCAATTGGTGGTTCAATATCCAAATACATTTGGAGAGTAAGATTAACTGATTCTCCATTATAAGTGCAAGGAATGACAATACCTGATTCGGAATACTAACAATTAATTCATCATATATATTAAATTCTCAAAATCATTAATATCACTTACAGATCCGAAACCAGAAGAGTCTGGCATGTTAATCCTTTAAAGAAGTTAATATCATTTCTGTAATTAAAAACACATACCATTCATACAATACATGACTATTTTCATTAGGGACAAGTGGTTCTGGAACCAAAGCACGAAGAGCTTCGGCATCAGTTTCATACGTAACAATAAAGTATTCTCTGTTCTTGAAAAAGTATGGTCCTAATATCAATATTATTGTAACCGATGAAAATATATGAAATAACAATGATGAATGATAACAAAGATGACAAACTTACCTCTCGGATAAGAAGGAGACATAATAGGAGTAGAAGGTAATCCCAAAATCATATCCTTGGTAAATTTACCCTTCTCTTTACCTGGTTTAATAATTGATTTGAATGCTCTAGCAAAAACTGAAGGTGAAACTCTCATTGTGTTTACTTGTTCGTTTTTTTTTTCAGTGTGTTGGAAATTAAGAAAACTAGTCCTCACTTAGTTTTTGATCTCGGAGGTTGCAGCCTGGTGGTGAGGTGGTTAAATGATTCGTTGTTATTATTGCAAGAGTTGGATATTATGCACTGCAGTAGAATTTGCCTGATAAGGAACAGTGGAAACATTTGAAAAAAAGCGAGAATTTTTCGCGTTTTTTTGTGATTCTCGCCATTTACAGTAGAACTTACTAAGAGGGTGTTGAATAATTCAATGTTCGTTGTAATTGTTATGGTGATTGACCTCCATTAATTCAATATCATCTTTCAGATAGACTCTCACATTTTATTTTACGTATCCACTCTGGTTGGCTTAAAGAAGAATCTAACCATCTATTATAAAATTCATTAATGTCAAATTTTAAAAACACATTAAGCTAACTTAAAATAACACAATTTAAAACGAATGGGGACCAGTGGGAATCATACCACTAGACCATGGTCCCTTACATCAATAATGTGACTGTAAGACATGTAATCTGTTTCCATTTTTGTTTGAAACAAACAAGGGTGTTGTGGGGTTAATTAATTTTTTGGCTGGCAAGTTGATGTACAATCATGTTGACATTTTGTTATGAAATTGAAAAGCTTAAATAAAATTTGTTGTTTGTTGCAGATGGGATTCATTGAAGAATGGATTTTTTGCTGTTTTTTTAACTTATTGGAAGAGGTTGAACATTTAATGATACAATGATTGAGTTTATTATTCACATTTGTTTTAATATAAATAGAGATACAATGATATATAATTAGTGTTCATATAAAGTGGCGAGATTAGAAATAACTTGTTGCTTAACTTGTTCACTTTCAACTGCGAGGACAATCTTTCTAAAGACCTTCTTTTTCTTCTTCTTTTGATTGTTGAGGGATTTCAAATTTTCTTCAACTGAAACTTCTTCATCTTCTGTTGGAGCTGATGAAGCAGCTTGTTGACGAGTCTTTTCAGTTTCGGCCAAATACTTGGTGAGAGCTTTACCAAAAGCAACACCCAATTTAGAGGAGGAAACTTCATCGTCCTTCTTTAACTTTTTAAAGAATAATTCTTCACACAATGGAAGACCTAGACTACCAACAGTATCTTGTTTCAAAGCTTGAATCAATGCAGAAACATAGGTTTCAACCAATGAATCCAAACTAGCATCAATACCTTCTTCTTCCTTATAGGCAACAGCAGTAGCATTGAAGAGATATCTATCAAATTCAGGATCAGCCTTTTCTTCTTCAGTCAATTCAACTGTAGAGACAGAGTGTTGAAGAGCTCCCTTTCCTTGATTGGCTTGTTGGAGTTTCTTTTCAGTGGACTTTTCAGGTTCCTTGACTTCAATACGTGGTCTTTCAGCAGATTGCAATCCTTCAAATTTACGAAGAGTAATCAATACATCGAGAATGGCATCAACAAAGAGGCCCTTAACACCTTGTGGATTAACAACAATGTTAACCAACTTCTTTTCTTCAATGTGCTTAGTGGAACATAATCCTAAATATTGGAAGAATTCCTTAGCAATTTCCAAGTTTGCCTTTGGATTGGCTCCATCAGAAAGAATGTGAGCAATCTTGAACTTGTCACCAACAACTTCCAATTCACCAACATAGAGCAATTTCTTGCCCTCTTTTTGAACAATAAAGTATTGACCTCTATCATTATAGAATCCATAAACTGAATCAGTATCAAAAGAGAAGCTATGTTTCATCAATTCTTCATAGGATAACATGAGTAAATTTTCTGGAACTACTTGCCAAGCACCTTGTTCCATTTCTTCCTTTCTCTTTTGTAACTTTTTAAATCTGGAATATCTTTCCAAATCAGCTTCTCTTTCTTCCTTTGTCTTTTTACCTCTTGAACGAACATCAAGTTTAAGCTTTTTCAAATCATTAGCTTTGAGGAATTGTTCATCATCTTCAGTCAATTCTTTTGGCTTTCTTCTAACCTTAATTTGTCTAACATTAGACAATTTTGAAACCAATTCCTTCTCCGATTCCAAACTAGCAACTTGCTTATTTTGATTTGGAGTCAATTGTTTAATATGTTCCCAAACCTTCTCAATCACAATGGTTTGTTTGTACAATTTTCTACAATCAATACCACGAGATTTGAACAAGACTTTTTCAGAGGCTGTTGTTGGTTGATCTTCTTCATTATTGGCGCCAGAATTTGATGCCTGTTGATTGAGTGCGTAGGTAGCTGAATTGGCTCCGTGTGTAGAGGCATCGTGACGAGCGTACAATTGATTCAACAAGGCTTCCCATACCACTTCGTGATGGACAATGGTAGAGATACGGAATCGACGACATGTAAGTTCAATGCTCAGGGCAATGTCACGTGCTGAGAGGAAGGAGAAGATGTTGGCGAGAACGTGATCATTGGATCCACTTTCTGTGATTGGACTTTAAAAGTTGGATCGAATTGAATAATCAATATAATTATTTTGTTGTTTATATATTATTATTATTATTATCATCATCATCATTAAACAATTAATAATAATAACAAATAAAAATTATATTATTAATATTAATTAGTTAATTAGTTAATGATTATTATAAAACTCACGTAAAAACACCCAAATCTTTAGGTTTCGAAACTTTAAACTTTTCTTCACCTGCATCTCTTTCAATGACCATAGTAATGGTTTGATTATTCTTTACTGATAAATCCCACAAGGAAATCTCATTGGATGTTAATTCTACATTGTTAAAATAACAAATCACTTTATCTGTTGGTGTCAAGTTGGTATGTTGATGGACAAGACGTTTAATGTCAGCGATTGAGGTTGAGTTTTCAACATCATCAAATTTTAGTGAATCTGCAATGTTGGCACCTAAGAGTCTGATGAAGAGTCTCATTTTGTGTGGAGTATATTGCAGGTTGTTGTTGTGGATTTTTTTTTTGTGTAAAGTCGTTACAGTTTGTCGAGTTGAAAGATGACAGCGAAATGATGGTTGTCAAAAGAGGAATTTTTTGATTACAGAAGAACTTTTTGATGCTTGAAGAACCTGAATGGCAACACCTCATTTGACTCTCAATTTTTATGTATTTAATATTAATAGGTGATTATTCTAAATGTTTATTCGAAAGTGGGTGTGAAAACTATGAGAGAAAGGTCAATAACAATTTCTGATTCCAACAATCAAGTTTCACATATATTCCAAGTTCTTTCGATTACTTTATTCGAAACCAATCAACAAACAAGCTCAACTGGAAGATTTTGAAATTCAACTTTCCGCTGCTTTCACCCATCACCACTCAACAAAAAATGACTCGATTCAAAAGATTTTCAATCTTTGGCTCAGGATCAAAGAGAAACACAACCCGAGGTTCGTATATCACTAATTTCCATTCGCTCATGACGAATTAATTGCTTCATCTCTATTCATCATCATTAATTTCTCAACAATATTTCATTCCGATGATGATAATATATTTTTTATGATGAAATAATATTTTGCTGATTCTGATTTTTTTAATGATGATGAATAATATTAATAATAATAATTAATTACAGATTTGTTGTCGGATGAAGAAAGATGGGCACAAGAAGAGGAAGAAAAGAAGAAACTCCTTCAAGTATCATTAATACAAAACGAAGAGATGAAGAAGGATGTTGAAACATTGTTGGACAACAAGATGAGAAATTGGGTGAATGCAACTGAAAAGAATAGATTGTATCAATCGATAGTGGTCGATAGTTTGAGTGAGGAAGAAAAGAATCATGTCAATTATTGTCGATCCAAGTATTTGAAATTGAAAAATCAGATACAAATTGGAAATGAAACAATTACAATACTGACACAGAATAGGACTGTGAGTGAGAGATTTTTCTACATGTTTTTCAATCCAAGTATTTTAGAGATACCTGTAGATTGGAAGGTTGGATTAAAACCATTCATGAAGATTAGATTATTGTTCACACCAGTTCAGGTTGGAGAGGTGACTAATTTTCATGCCTTGCTGTTGGTTGGATGTTGGTGTTTGGAGTGGGATAAATCATCTTCTCTGGTGATTGTTAAACAGTTGGATATTACTAGAGTGTATTTTGCTATTGATTTGGAGAGATTGACAAGTGAACAAGCTATTCATGAGTGCTTTAATAAGATTTCACAAGAGTGTTGTTTGTGGAATGGATCTAAGGAGTTCAATGCTAAATCTTGTAATAATCAACATTGTAAGTATATTGTGATGAACTTGTTTTAAAATGAATGAATATCTAATATGAATATATTCATAGTCATTCTTGCCTTGTTGGATAAATTGAAAATTTCACACAACTTGAAAGGATTATCAAAGATTTATTTTGACACATTGCTGGAAAATGGATCAAGTGCAATGACATTGAAATTATCGGATGAACTGAAAGAACTACTCAAGATTGATTCAATTACATTTAATACACATCAAGAATTGGACCAATTTACAAAAACAATACACGATTCGAATCCGTACTATTTTTCACAATACATTTCTGATGAATTGTTGTTGAAATGCTTTGATGAACAATTTTGGTATCTGAGAGATGCCAATGCCAACAATACAAATGCTCCACTGATGGAAAATGAAGAATGTCAATGCTACTTTAACAAGAATCAAACTAATTATAACGAGTATGTCAATAAGGGAAAGACTGTAAATAATGTCTTTTGTTCAAGAAGTTTAATTCCACCAATGCCACTCAGATTTTAATAAATTATTATTATTAACTAAAACATTCTTTGTGATAGAGATCAATAAATATATTGAGAAATATTCATCATAACAGACTCACAAGTTTTATTTCATTGACAAAATTGGTTTCAAAATTGTTCCTTCACTTATTGCTTGTAGGTATCAACTGGCTTCTTATAGGTATCGACTGGCTTCTTGTAAGTGTCAACCTTCTTTGGTGGCTTATAAGTATCGGTCTTCTTTGGTGGCTTGTAGGTATCAACCTTAGTACAAACTCTCTTCTTCTTAGCACAGACACTCTTATCAGCGTGCTTTCTACAGACTCTCTTACCTCCAACAAAGTTGTACTTGACACAGATCTTTTGACCTGGTGACTTCTTGACACAATGCTTCTTGAATGATCTCTTAATACATCTTGGCTTCAATGTCTTGTATTGAGTACAATATGGCTTGGCAACATAGTCACAACAGAACTTATCTTCTTTGTAAGCCTTACAAACTCTAACCTTTTCTTTGAGATCACAGAATTTGCTTGGAGTCCACTTGGTACAGAACTTGGTCTTTTGCTTGGCAACGCAATACTTTCTTTGGACAACCTTAACACATTTCTTTTCATAACCAATCTTCTTGGCAAACTTGACGTTTTCATATTTGGTACAGGTCTTCTTCTTGGCATATTCAACACAAATGGTACGATGCTTCTTTTCCAAAACTTGCTTATAGTAATGATCGATCCAACCCTTGTAATGTTTCTTACTGACTGGAACCCATTTAGCAACAGTTCTTGAGAGTTTCTTATATTTGGCACAATATTGATGAACAGAGTATTTGGCACATCTCTTCTTATGGAAATACTTAATCTTTGGAACGTAGGTTTCAGCAGCACATCTTGATGACTTGTCATACTTGGTACAAATGAAATGATAAGCATATTCATCACAAGCATTATTCTTTCCGTGGTGTTTGCACAATTCCTTCCATTCATATTTGGCACAAATCTTGTGCTTAGTAACCTTTGAACAGAATTGCTTATAACCGTGACCCAAACAAATCTTTTCAGCTTTGCTGTACTTGTCACACTTGTGAGTCTTCTTATATTCCAAACATTTACCCTTTCCAACAGTCTTCCAATCGCAGCACTCTTTCTTGGTACCAACCCATTCATAATCAACACATTTACCTTGGATAGTCTTGTAGTGAGTACACTTGTTGTAGCAATACTCTTGATGATCAGAATAGGTATCAACCTTCTTGGAAGGAGCAGGAGCTGGGTTTGCAAGAACCATACTTGCTGCCAATACACTCAAAACGATTGCAATGATTATACTTGTTTTCATTTTGTTTTTTTGATGTTTGTTCTGGATGAGTTGGTGTTTGACTTTTTATACGAAATTCAATGAAAGAATGAAGAAGCAAACAAGTGTCGACTATCAATACAAATACGTGTTTTGTGAAATTATGCTATTGATTCATATTTGTAACTTTTCGTGAATGTTTGAGTTATTCCCTAAAATGGTTAGAAAGGTGAAGTACAATATTAAAATATTAATTTTCTAAAAATTTCTAAAATCCTCCATAATTCGTTTGAACCGTTTCCTCCAATCATTCCCATCATTAAATTACAAAATCTACTCTCAATAATCTTAATAAATAGATGAACTTTAAATTTCTAATATGGCCATATTAATTGTCAATAAAAACGAAATAGAAATTACCTACTATTCAAAGTTTTTTCTATCACAGTGTACCAACTTTTCCACAGCATCGGGTCTTTCTCTACAGTAGAGTCCTAACTTGAAAATTTCATTAGAGGCTCTTAATAAACCATCTGAGTGAAATTGATCTCTAGTTAAAGTATTTCGTTCCATTACATAATTCTTCATTGGCTTGTAATATTCGAGCTTGTGTACTTGGAGTCTACAAATTGGACAAGAATTATTTACAAGAATCTTATCAAATGAGAAAATTTCAGGTTTTTGAGTGAAAAATCCAGAGTCATCCTCATCTCCAATCATCTCTTCGTCTTCCATCTTCTCTGCAAATTCTGAAACACAACCAGAACAAAAGCAGACGTGATGACAAGGAATACATCTGTATTCACATGGATTATCTCTACAAATGACACAATTTTCACTAGCAAGATTGAAATCATCCTCTAAAATGGTCACTGCTCTAGTACTGCTATCATTTTCAACTTGTGAATTATTTCCTTGATTCGTTAATGAGGGTAATAGCTATGGTTGAATTGTTCCAATTATTATTTGATATTTCATTTCAAAATCATTCCAAAACATACATTTACAACTTTTGCCAATTCATTTTCCAAATATTCCTTATACTTTTTCAATTGTGAAAGATTCATTCGTGATATATTATTGGCCACTCGTGTGATCCTCTGATTTCCCAATGTAGTAATTAATAGTTCAATACTATTCATTGTTCTCCTCTCTCTATCAATCTGATCCAATGTCTTGTACAAATGAATTAGGTGATATCTAACCTGATAGCAAGAGACAATCATCAGAATGGCATACAGAGTATTTCGGAGGGAATCTTCAAAATAAATTCCATTAATTGCAATATAATACACAATAAACCAAGTATGTGGAACCACAAAGTACAAGCAACAGGCAGTCAGTGGCGTAATCAATTTATAAAAGGCCATTCCCACATATCCCATCAATCCATAAATTACAACTCTATCCAATGCAACTTCCGATAATCTCTTACCCATTTGCTCACTCATAAACAGAACATTAGCACCACCATTAATTGATTGATAATTATCATCAGCAGCAGCACCACTACTACCACTACTACTATTACCAACACTACCATTCATCATTAAATTATTTTCCAATGATGTCGACGGTGGTGAGGATGATGTAAGAAAAAGCGAGGGAACATTAAAAAAATATACAGCAATCATGTAGAACAAGATGGAACGCACTACTGGATTGGTGAGGAAGGTTATTGTGGGGATTGCTACTCGAAGTATACTTCTAGAAGATTCCGATCGATTTGATGCAACTATGCGTCCTAATAATTGATCCATTTTTTAATTAGATAATATATTATTGTGCTGAAATAATTGAATTATATATTATTATTAATTTATTATATTTAATATGCTATATAATTGAGTTTAGTTCGAATAATTTATTGCTCAGTTATAATTTGCTGTGAATCCAATAATCAAAATTTTTATGGTATGACTTCTTCATAAGGAGTTTGTGTTAAATCATAATAACACATGATGATTGTAAAATTCATCTTTCCAAAAGATCAATTTTTAACTGAAGGATCTCCAAATCCTCCATGACTGGAGTACATGCGCATTTTCAAGAGTGACACTTGTCATGCACTAAAAACCAAGAGGAAAAACCCTTTCTTTATTGAGAATGCTAAGGTGTTAGTGCATTTAACCAGAGCAATAGGGCAAAGAAAGAAACGGTTCATAGGATAAGCACACAAAAAAAAACAATATGAAACTAGTGAGCTTTCCCTATCATTTGTTGATTGCTGCTTGTGTAGTGTTACTTCTTGGCAAAGTTAGTGCATGGAGATATTCTGTGAAAACTCTTGCTACAGGTCTAGGCAGTATTTCTCAAATTGTTGGCTCTCCAAAATATATTTATGTTACACTTGGCTCCAGTTCAAAGAAGATTTATGCCTACGATAGACAATTATTGGCCACTCAGTCTGTACAAACATTGCAACAAGTCCACGATATAACAGCATCATCAAACAATATTGGTTATATTGCTTATCATGGCAATGATTCGAATGACGCTGAAGTGATATCAGTAGCTGGCAATAATTTTCCAAACAATGTGGGTTTGTACTGGTTTACATGCTCATCAACCTGTTCCACTCCAACACCCTTCTCTTATAATATAAGGGTCTCAGGAATTAGATCCCTAGGAATTGAGAACTCAACTCCCAAACTTTACATAACAAGACAAACAGCAATTTACACTGGCACTCCTTCAGCAAATGCTATTGTATCAACAACTGGAACAATCAATTTTAAAGCTTTCAATGATGTTGATTATATTGGCAATACAGTAAGTTTTAATTATTTTGCAAATAGGTAACATTGGTTTAGGTTTATTTTACTGACTCAGGTGGAAACCTAAAAATTGCAACAAGTTCAACACCATTAATCAGTGTAGGCACATTTAGTGATGGTGCCAGTGGTACTGCTCGTTTATCTTCAGGCACAACATTCATCTCTGCACAGTTCAATAAGGTATGTAGTTATGAACAATATGTTGTTGGAATAATTTTAAAAGATTTTTATCTCAGACACTGGAAACAGTAGAATTAGACTTTATGATATTGCTACAGGAATTACAACTACAATAGCTGGTGATCCTTCTAAATCAACAGCTGGAACAACAACTTTCAGTTTATCCGACGTACCAACTAATTACAAATTCACACCAACAGGTATTTGGATTGATAACTCTAATGGTATCATTTATTTTGCAGACACCAGTACCTTGAGAGCTTTAGTTCCAACTTGTAACAGTACTACAGAAGATCAATCTTCAACTTACCCTTTCTGTACTTGTAAAACTGGATATTCATTGGTAAATGGAGATTGTGTTGCATCCACTAGTTGTTCTCCAGGATTGTGTAATGACAATCAAACATGTACTGGCCCAGAAACTTGTTCTTGTAAGAGTGGATATTATGGAACAAATTGTGATAATTATGACTGTTATGGAACTCAGAAGGATAATCTTTCTGTATGTAATGGAAAAGGTGTTTGCGTTTCTCCAAACACGTGTATTTGCACCAATGCAAACTATGATGGCTTTAATTGTAATATTACAACTTGTAATTCTATTCCATCAACGAGTGGTAGTGTTTGTTCTGGACATGGAAGTTGTACTGATTATAATACTTGTGCTTGTAGTGATACCAATTCATGGACAGGATCTGATTGTGGAACACCTGTATGTGCAGCTGTGAGTGGAGGTGTTTGTTCTGGAAGAGGTAGTTGTACAGCTCCAAATATTTGTACTTGTAATGAACCATCAAAATATGGTGGATCTTCATGTGAAATTCCAAAATGTAATGGAACACTTCAAGGCAATTCTGGTGTTTGCAATGGAAGAGGTTCTTGTATTGATGTTGATACTTGTCAATGCACTGTTCCAACCTCTTGGGGTGGTTCATTCTGTGAAAAACCATACTGCTCTGGAATTTTACAAGGTGCAGCTGGTGTTTGTTCAAATAGAGGTGTTTGTTCATCTCCTGATTCTTGTGTTTGTAATGAACAAACAAAGTATGGTGGTTCAAATTGTCAACTTGTTAAATGTGGAGGTTATTTAGAAACAGACTCTGCTGTTTGTAACAAGAATGGTTCATGTATTGCTGTTGATACTTGTTCCTGTAATTCAAATTATGATGGCCAATTTTGTCAATATCCAAAATGTAATGGCATTGCTTCAAATAGTGGTAGTGTTTGTAATTCACAAGGATCATGTGTTGCACCAAATGTCTGCTCTTGTTTCACAAATTATGCTGGACCATTATGCGAATATCCAAAATGTAATGGCGTAGCTTCCAATGATGCAAGTGTTTGTAGCTCGAATGGTACCTGTACTGGTGTTAATACTTGTGTTTGTAATGTTAACTATACAGGATCATATTGTCAATATCCAAAATGTAATGGAATATCTTCAAACGATGCAAGTGTCTGTAATAACAAAGGTGGTAATTGTATTGCACCAAATGTTTGTTCATGTAATTCAAGTTATACTGGTCAATTCTGTCAATTCCCAAAGTGTAATGGTATTGGATCCAATGATGCAAGTGTTTGTAGTGCAAATGGTACTTGTATTGGAATTAATATTTGTTCATGCAATTCAAATTATGCTGGTCCATATTGTCAGTATCCAAAATGTAATGGCATTGCTTCAAATAGTGGTAGTGTTTGTAATTCACAAGGATCATGTGTTGCACCAAATGTTTGCGCCTGTAATTCAAATTATGGTGGTACATATTGTGATAAACCAAGATGTGGAACCTTTTACAAGGGAGATGCTTCTGTTTGTAATTCGAGAGGTAGTTGTGATGCTGTTGATAGTTGTACTTGTAGTGATACTTCTTCTTGGGGTGGCAATTTGTGTCAATATCCAAAATGTAATGGTGTTCTTTCAAATATTGGAACTGTTTGTAGCAGTAGAGGTACTTGTCAATCTCCAAACAATTGTTCATGCACTGATCCAAATTCATATGGTGGTTCATATTGTGAAAAAGCAAAATGTTATGGAATTCTTCAAGGAGATTCAAATGTTTGTAGTGGACATGGTACTTGTAGTGGTGTGAATCAATGTTCATGTAGTGCTGGATATGGAGGTGAACAATGTCAATATCCAAAATGTTTCAATATTTTGAGTAATGAAACAACAGTTTGTAACAATAGAAACGGTACTTGTACTGCTCCTGACACTTGTTCATGTAAAAATGGATGGACTGGAAGCAAGTGTGATGTTGCCATTTGTTATTCAATTCTCTCCAATTCAACAAGTGTTTGTTCAAACAAGAGAGGTAATTGTGTCACACCAGATAATTGTGTTTGTAAAAGTCAATATTCAGGTTCTCAATGTGAATATACCACTTGTTCTGGAATAAGATCAGATCAAACATCGACAGTATGTTATGGAAATGGTCAATGTATTGATTATAATACTTGTAATTGTACAACTGGTTATGGACCATCCAATGTATGTCAATATCCAATTTGTGGTGGTTATTTAGCAAATGATGCCAGAGTTTGTAACAATTCAAGAGGTGTTTGTTCCAAACCAAATACATGTAGACCATTAGATCCCGTATGTTATGGTAAAGCTCAGAATAATTCAATGGTTTGCAGTGGAAATGGAGCATGCGTTGATTGGGATTATTGTGAATGTAAAACTGGTTTCAATGGAAATGAATGTCAAAATTGGGAATGTTATGGAAAGAATTATACCAACTCAAATGTCTGTAACAATGGAAATGGTACCTGTTCATCTGTGAATAATTGTGTTTGTAACAGTGGATGGTATGGAAACGAATGTACAGTTCCAATGTGTAATGGAATTCTTGGCAATTCATCTCTCGTTTGTAACAATAGAAATGGTACCTGCTCCAAACCAGGTGCATGTCAATGTAATACTGGATACACAGGACCTGATTGCTCCATTCCAATTTGTTATGGAAAATTAGGCACTGATACAAGTAATGTTTGTTCAGGAAGAGCAGAATGTATTGGTTATAACAAGTGTAATTGTGACACTTCCAAGTATAGTGGTTCACAATGTGAATATTTCAAATGTTTTGGTATTCCATCAAATGATGCTTCAGTTTGCAGCAGAAACGGAACATGCTCTGGAGTGAATCAATGTTCTTGTAATTATGGTTATGGTTCTTCAAATTGTGACACTTTCACATGTTCAAATGTTCTTGCCACCAATTCAAGTGTTTGCAGTGGAAAGGGTGTATGTTATGGAATTGACAAGTGTTCATGTGATTCAGGATATTTCAGTACCAATTGCGAGCTATTTTCTTGTTATGGAATTCCAAAGTCCAACAATACTGTATGTGGAGGAGTTGGTGAATGTTCACAACTTGATACATGTGTTTGTGGAAGCAATTATAGAGGATCAATGTGTGAATTATCTTACACCTCTTCATCTCAAGCAACACTTCAATTCAATAATACGAATGAATATGTGAATGAACAATTCACAAGCATGGCCACTTTGACAATTAATAATCCTCTCTTCGGTCAATATTATTTGAGAAGAAGTGTTCAAGTTGTTGTTTCATTCCAAATTAATTCACAATTCAGTTATTCTGAAACACTTTATATTGAAAATGGAGTTTCATCTGTTTCATTAATGGTGAAATCATTGAGTCAAACTGGTACATTGAAAGCATCTGCTCAATTAATTGATAATAGTACATTGATTTCCATTTCAGATAGTATTCAATCTTCAAATAGCATTACAATTCAAAATAGACCTATTGTTGTTCCATCCACAAAGACATCCACAACCAAACCAACAACCTCTGCACAAACAAGTAGAGCTGTTATCGATACAGGAAGTAATGGTGGAGCCATTGCAGCTGGTATCATTGTTCCAGTGGCAGTTATTGGAATTGGAGGTGGTGTCACTGCAGCCATTGTCACAGCAGTTGTTTTATTAAAGAAGAAGGCTGCTGCAGCTGCTGCCAAAGAAATTGCACATGCCCAACACGTCAATGTTGAACTAGCTGAAGGTTTCTAATTGTTCATTATGATAGTTTGTCAATAATAAACTTTAAATTTTGATGTTTAGTGAAATGATGCTCAATTATTTAAATGGTTCGTAATTGTCTCTCCTAACAAAATAGAAACTACAACCAAATCACAGGGCATCACAACACAAAATAAAATGCAAGATGATAACATTGAGGGCTTTACTCTAGATTCGTCCCTCATCGACGATTCTCCTCTCATTGAAGAATACCTTTCAAACTTTAGTTCAACAACCATCGTTTCAGAAGAAGATCACTCTCCACCTACATTATCTTATTATTCCTCCTTCCAGAAACAAACACCTTCACCTGCTCTGATAACAGCAACCAATATTCCAACAACCAATACTACAATAAGCTCTTCAACCGATCCAACTTCTCCAAAGAGGATTCCCTCACTCCGAGAAAAACTTCAAGTACTCGTCGATAAGGCTCATGAAAAGAAAAAGTCGAGCAACAATCTTCTCGAAGAAGAAGATGGTGCCATCCCCTCCTCTCCTCCATCACAGATGATTTCAACAGTTCCTTCTAAAGTTGAGCCATTAATTGTTGCCTCGAATTTATCAATTGAAAAAACAACCGACACTATCATTGAGGCTAATAATATTGAGAGGGAAAATGATTTGATGGCTGAACAAGTTGAAGACCCAACAACTGCAAACACTAAGCAAGATAATACTCAAAAGCCTCTGTATAATAGAAAAAGCAACAAACAAGACTATGAGCTGCAACAAGCCATTCAGAAGGAACTAGCCACATCAGCAGCAAAAATGGCGGCAAACCTCCCTCCAAAATCAAAGCCTGAATTAAATAGAGCAAAAGAATTGAAAAAAATGGATGAACAATATCACTTTGAAGGATACAAAAATATTGAGGAATCACAACACTATCATAATGATGATGATGAGGAGGAACAAGAAGATTTAAATGATAGCATCCATAGGGATGAAGATGAGGAGTTTCATAATCAATTAAATGCTGATATTTCCCTTATTGAGGAAGATAAGAAGGACGATACACAATATAATTCATTTACTGTAGAAGAGGAAAAGCTTGAATTGAGCGATGAAGAAGGGGATTTAACAGGAAGAGCAATGGAAGACTTGACAGTCTCGAAATTAGAAGCCTCCACAACTTCGGTCGATCAATCTCTCACCTTATCCTCCTTAACAACACCAGTAAGAACATCTTCTCCACTAAACCAAAGAGCCCGACCAAATTCTTCAATGAGAAGCAGTACTCCTAGTTATATGAACTCCACAAGAGCTTCAATCTCTAAGGAGATTTCGAGAGCATCAGTAGATTTGAGATGTAAGTAGTGTTGACCATTCATTAACAATGTTCTTCTTTCTAAATAGCCTCGGCATCAGACATGAGGATGAGATTCGGAATGATTAACTATCAACAAAGACCACCACCAGCCAACAGATCACCTTCTCCAAATATTGTGCAAAAGAGAAGAGTTACACCAAGAAAAGAAAGAATTTATAATATAGTACCAGCATTACATTTTGAAGACATTTCGGTAACAACAGGTTTGGGAGTAAGTACATGAATTCTTTGAAAATGATAATTATCATTTAGACAATATCTGTTCCGAACTATAGACTCACCTCTCTTAAAGGCTTGGGAGTTAAAAGAGATTTGAAAATCTTGTACCTTCAAAACAATTACCTTGCCTCATTCAATCACCTCGAAACTCAACCTAATTTAGAAGTACTTTATGTGGCAAACAATTGTATTAGCTCTTTCTTTGGATTCAAAACTCAACCAAAATTGACCTTAATCAGTCTCGAAGGAAATCCTATTACCAAACACCCTCATTACAGACTGATGACTTTAATTGTTTGTGGAAGCCAATTAAAAAAGATCGATGGTGAAATGGTTCAATACAAAGAAAGAGAATTCGTGAAACACTATCTTTCAGCTAATGAAAGGGCTGTAGAAGCCATACGTTCTGGATGGCTAATGGATCCAAAACCAAGAACAAACGAAGAATTCCAAGATATAATCCGAGGTCTCTTACTTCAAAACTTTGATGACAGAGAAAGCATCAGAAACACTCAATCATTTAAAGATTTAGTAAGTGGAGCACTAGCAAAAACTACACCAGCTGTAGATTTGAACGATTTTGAAGAGAAGAAAAAGATTCAACACAAAGAAGAAATCCAATCACCAGATTTATCCCATGGAAGTAGTGGAGGATTCAATTCAGCTTTCCTAACAAATTATATCAACGAAATTAAGCAACTTAAAGGACAACTGGAGAAGAAGGCAGAGGAATTGAAAGAAGAGAAACAAAAATATAAGGACTTGAAAGAGAGCAGCATAGGAATTGATGAATTGAATCTCCTAGACAAAACAATCATATCAAATATCGCAGTCTCTCTCAATTCGACAGAAGAAATTGTGGAAAATGTGACCATTGCTTTCACCTTGGATACAATGGAAATTTCAACAACTGAGGAAATTTTGAGAGATATTGAGTACGAGGCAGTTACACGAACAAGCTTATTGGTTGATGAACAAAAGCTTTTCAGAGTACACATCAGAATGAACACCAGTGAATTGTTGGATATCATAACATCAGATAAGAAACAATCACTCTCGATATACAAGATACTTCACATGAAAGTTGCTCATGCCAATAAGCAAAAGAAGCTGAGACAACAGGCAAACAAATAAATATTCAAGCTACTGCTGTTTATCTGTAATGACAATATTCTCAGAAACTCTCAAAATCGATTTGGCTATTTCAATAGCATTCTCTAAAATGGCCATTTTGGTGAAAACAGAATCAAATATTCCAAGTTTTAGCATATCATCTTCGTCAGGATTGTTGTTAGAAATTAAATCCTCGAAATCTTCCAAACTAATGACTTGTCTTGCTGGAATACCAATATGAGGAGATTTTGTGTTCCTTTGCTTTTTGGTGATAAGCTGTAGAGTTTTTTCAATTGGTAAATTTGAATTCAAGCACAAAGTTTCTGGAACTATCCTCAAAGCCTTTATAAAGGCATCCACTCCAGAGTGGTTCAAACTAACATTGAGAAACTCTTTAGAATAGAGTTCTTCGAGTTTCCACATTGTGTAAATTTCAAACGATCCTCCACCAGTTAGAAAGATTGGATCATCCTTCAAATCCTTTGCTCTCAACTCCTCAAATGTTACCATTGCTGTGAATAGGGCATCTTGGGCATGTCTGACAAACTCCTCACACTGCTCACTCGTACTTGCCCTTATAATAGCTGTGCAGGTTGTTTGCATGTTGGTAAAGAATTCCTCACTTGCCTTTATCATTGTACATTTGGAATAAGAAGAGTTCACACCACCACTAATATGAAAAGTATTCACACTCTCAATCATACCCAGATAAAGTTTCTCGTCCAATTTAAAATATTCAAAATCACTCTGCAATTCCTCAATAGATTGTAAATACCGAATGTTAAATGTTTTACAAGCAAAATCACAAACTTCATGTCCTGAATTTGCCAAGCATAAAATTCCAAAATTTTGCAAGTAATGCGAAACTAAATCGTGCACATGGCCCGAGCATAGAACTATATTAGCACCAAAATTTTTAATGCATTCTGCCATACTTTTGAATACCATTTCTTCATCAATCTGTGGTGCTCAATAATTCCATATTGTCCAATTAACATACCTTCCAATTTTCCAATGCCTCAATTGTATCCAAAATAGCATAATGCTTTGTTTTAGTCCTTTGCCTTTGCAGTGAATTTTTAATAACCAGTAATTTGTAAGGTGTATCTTTTTTCAATTCCTCTATATTTGTAGTCGAAACTTGTGAAAGAATCAAAGTTTTGGGCAGATATTCCACTTTTCCAAATAATCCAGGAATTTGTATTAATTTAATATCATCCATATTGAAAAGATAATTATCTTTCATGACACTATCAAAATTTCAAAAACATCCACAATCAAAAAACACTAACCTCTTGATAGATCCTGTCAATAAATCTGACAAGTAATGTCCATTAATATGTACCGATGTTTTTGAAGATAAAGCACAATTCACAACACTCTTCACCAACATTTCCTGTTCATTTTCCAATTTTACTAAGGCTTCCTTCATTATCACAGATTTAATAATTTCCAAACATGTATCGTATCCATCCAATATATTTCCAATCGGAAAGCCTTCCTTAACATGTTTCATATATCCATTCTCACTATGAACATTAATATTCTAATTATATTCTTCTCCTTACATTAATGAACATGCAATCAAGGCTGTTGAAGTTGTTCCATCTCCAATCAAGCGATCCAAAGATAGTACCGATTCAACAAGTAATTTAGCAGCAGGCTGTTGAACACTCAATTGTTTTAATATAAAAGCTCCATCCTGACTCACAACCACTCTAAAAAATCATCATCATCGGAATCATCAATAATTATTCGGAATTTAAATTTTACCTTTTTTGTGGAGTGACTATCAACTTGGATCTTGCGTTAGGTCCTAGTGATGATGTAAGAATGTCCTTCAGGGCTACAATGGCCATCACATTTTCATGGAGAGATGAAATTTCTCTTCCCAGTTGTCGATTCATTTTTTTTTTAAATGTTTTTTACAAAAAGTTGTTTATTATTATGATTAAGTTTAGAATTGAAAATTTAAATATATTTGAATGGAATGCAGAAGAAATATGTGGATAAATTAATATTCATCATCTTCGTTTTGAGTTGATTTGTGAATATTTAAATTTCCATTTCTGCTGAATGTGAAATTTTGTTGTTCTCCTCTTATGGTAGGTTTGGAATGTGTTTCCAACAAAATGTCATCTGATTTAATTTCATTTTTTGATTCTTCCTGTTCTTTTTGTAATTTTTCTAAGAATTCCAAATGTTTTCTTTGTCTTGGATTAAGTGGGAGGGGTCTTGAGATTCGTTCAACTTTTCTTTCCTCATTCGAAAGGTCATTTCTTCTACTTTTCTTTGAAACGAGCCCTTCACCATCACTCTCTGAAAAGTGTTCATTCGAAACAACTTCTTCTTCGTTTCTTTCCTCTGTTTCGTCCTCTTTCTCTTTCGATTCGTCTTCATCACTGGAAAAGAATGGAGCTCCTTCCAATGCCTTCTTCTTTTCCTTCAATTTCTTCAATCGTTTGCTTCTCTCCTTCTCCACCTTCTTCTCATACAATTTCATAAAATGTTTATCTTTCAACATTTCCTCTTCCAGAACTGAAATTTCAGTTTTGGAAATTTTAATCTTGTAACAATCAATGAAAAGTCCAACAATGGTCGATACGAAAAATAAAACCATCGAAACAATCAGTACAATACTAGTAATGTCCTTCTTGAATACCAAATCAGTATAATTCTCAAAGAAAGAGCTCGATCTCTCAAATCTCCACTGATTTCCCAGACAAATCATTCCATTCGAAAAGTTTCTGCTCCCCTCTTCGCATTGATAACAGTGGTGATGAATGCACTCCAGGTCTCCTTCCAGCCACAGGGAATTACCCAAATCACTGGTTGTTTCCATTGTTTCCTCATTGGAATTATCGGCACAGACCCATTTAGAGAGGAGAATATTTCTGGAACAGTTGGCAGCCCATTTTGGATGCTCTGTGATGAGAACACATTGTTTCAAACTCTCGGAGCAATACTCACCCACAGAGCAATCGGGATGAATTGGAAAATTTGGATATTGATGTGGAGGAATCGAACGACATGAAGAAGAGCTTGCTAATGTTGGTGTGAATGAATTTACAATTGTGATGAAGAAGAAAATAATGATGTATAAGAGGGGTGATGATTGGTTGGTTTTCCGTACGGAATTATCTGTTGAAAACATGGTTGATACTATGGAATGATTAAGGTACAATTTTTTTTTAAGGAAATTTCCTATTTTGTAAATTTTTAGTTTACAAATAAATGAATGTATTTTATAGAAAATCATTTTCCTCTAAGGCACAAGGTGCTGCGTCTTCGGCAATGTGAATATGAGACTTTCCTCCAGGTCCATTCAGTTGCATCTTATTTCCACAAATTGTTGATGTCTTGGTTGATTCCAAAACAATGGCATTTCTGGTGTGTCCACTAAAGACACTTCTCTCAATTCTCATAGAGGCCTCACCTTTGCAGAGAATGGCATTTCCATCATTCTTTTGAAAGAGACTTTTGGTTACTTCACACAGAGTGTCATCTTCGAGTCGCATTCCATGAAGTTTGTTAAATTCCACGTGGCACTCGGTCATGATTAATTTGGGAGGATCACAAATTGGTTTCTTACTACCAGTCGATGGCAGTGGCGGTGGAGGTGGTTGAGTGTTTGATTCAATTGATGCTGTCGAAGGAGTTGTAGAAACTGCTGCATCAGTTGTGTTTTTCACAGGTGGAATGTATAATCTATTCTTTACAGTAACACCAACTCCATAACTTGCTCTCAAATGGACATGTTGCAGAGTGCATGATCCTGAAACAATTTCCAAACACGACGCCGATTCATAAAATAAAATACTATCCCTAGCAGCATTCTGTGTGAGTGTGACATGTTCAAATTTGACACTTCCCCCACCATCCAATAAACGTTGTTTTTCCAATTGTTGAATTGTTAAATTCTCATTAAAAGAGTCCACTCTCAAAATTGATTTTGAGCTATCCGAAGAGGCAATATGTACAAGTGATGAATCTGGATAAACTCCACGAATGGTGAGTGGTTTCTTAATGACAACTGTTTCAGGAACTTTGTAAATTCCACTTCTCAAAACAACATGGTCTCCCTCCTTTGCAAAATCAACAGCTCTCTGTATATCATGAAAAGTACAATCTTCACTAAAATCTGGATCAACTACATGAAGTCTGTAATCTGAATTCCTAACAGATGAATCATTAATTTCCTTTATCCAATTGCTTTGGTCATTTTCATCCTCACAAGCAAGATAATAAGTACGATGAGGTGAAATGATTTTAATACCAAATTTCTTTTTGTAATTCAATTCGGCTGCTTGACAAGTTAATCCCTGAACATTAATCATTCCTTTGGGTTTGGTATCTTTCTGTGATACATAGTAATATAATTTTCCTCTATTTTTTAAATTATTAATAAGTATTGTAGGTTAAAGATGAGAATATAGTATTCGAAACACATACTGATGCAAAATACATAATCTCTCGTGCCATGTTTTAATGGAACCTCCTCGTTTGGTCTATTCATTTCAAATATATTATGAAAATGTATAACGGTTATTATTATTGAAATTGTTCCGAATACAAATTGTTTCGAATAAAACCTACCAGTGTTCCTACAAAGTCGTGGTCTCTCATCAATTCAGAAGCAGATACTTTGGGTGGTTCCTCCACTATCTCCTTCCACTTCTTACCAGCCTTCTTTACTTTATCTTGTGATGACATTTTTTTATTGTTATAACTTTGATGGATGACATTTGCAAAAAGATTGCTAAACAAGTAAACAAGTTGATGAATTAGGTTGTATTATGTTCTGTAGATTTTTAATTCGTTTACTCTGAACTCAAATTTAACTGTAAAAATTCAATCAAACTTTTGTTTTTAAAAAGACTTTGTTGTGGAGACAATTTTTTTACTTTGGTGCGCTCAAAGTGTTCGTTACATTTATATAAAATATTCAAAAAAAATTCATCAAAACAAATGGGAGTATTATATGTAAAATTAATTAAACCTGCTTTTTAATCCCCAGGATTGTAATAGCATATGAAGATGAATACTGGTACCAGGACGATGGGTAACTTAAATGCCATCTAAGTTGAAAGTATCCACGGAACTCTTTTCATATCCATGACCACACAAGAAATCTCGATGAAAGATCTCTTCACATTTTCCGAACAAATTATTCACCCTCTAGAATCAATAATTTTCTGTTTAGCATTATGTAATTTTACAAAGAATTAAATACAAATAAGTGAAAGGAAGGAATGGAAGAAACTTGGATCCCCTCAAAAATATGTGGATCGAGTTGATTGTTTGAAAATTAGAAATTGTTTGTTGAGTTATCAAATTTTTGAGAAGCAATTTCATAATTTGAGAGAATTGGATATTGGAGCTCAATATATTGGAGAGGGAAATGATTCGATAATACTTGGAAATGTTATTAAGTATATTGGAACGATTGAAAATTTGACAAGTTTGAATATTTCAAGAGTTGATTTAGGGAGTAGAAGTGTGACTTTTTTAAAATGTTTGAGAAAATTGACTAGTTTGAATGTAAATAGTTGTAATTTGTCATATCGAATGGCTTAGTAGGTTGCCAAATTTGAGACATCTAGACTTGAGTTATAATAACGAGCTGACCGATGATTGTATTCAACACTTGTTGAGCATGAAACAATTGAAATATTTGTCATTAACAGCGAATGAAATTTCAGATAAGAAAATCAAACAAATGGAGAAACATCTCAAACAACTTTCACAAAATTGACAGACACAGATACAATTAGTAGTTTAATGGTGAGTGGTACGTGCTGTTCTACACATTTCATGATAATAAAGAAATTTCATCGTATTCACATTACCTTCCTTTTCAAAGTTAAAAGCGATGGCCTTTCCTGAGTTATTGGATGAAGGAGAGTTGCCAATCATGTATGATTGTTGATTATTCACTGATACTGGACTATTTACAATAACATCCTTGAAGAAGACATGATTGAGAGCTTGTGAGAAGGAAATTCTCTTCTCTGGATTCCACTGTAAAAATTGATGCAGTAAATCCAGAGCTTCCTTACTTGCTGATGGGAAGACTAAATCGAATGAAATTCCCTCCTCGGCATGATCTATGAATTGTTGAGCGTACCAATCTCTGCATCCATCTGATCCCATAATATCCTCTGGTTTGGCCTTTCCTAGTAAGCTAGTGATGAGATTCAAGTGTTCACTAATTCCACTAATCTCTCTTCCTGTAGAGTTGACTGCAAACAATGGTCTTCTCATTGGTTTAGGTGGTAACATGTACAATAATTCTGCCATGATACATCCCAATCCCCACGAGTCAATACTCGATGATTGAACATTGTATTGCAATATTACTTCTGGAGGTCTGTAATATCTAGTTATTACATATAAAGATTTTGAATTCTTTCCCGGATTATCACTCTCAATATTCGACAAACCAAAATCTGAAATTCTGACATTGACATTATCTCCCTGATAGCTCAATAAAACATTTGCTGGTTTCATATCCCTGTGCAAAACTCCAAATGATTGCATATATTGCATTCCATTCAATAATTGATACATGATTGTTTTTACAAAATCCAAATTAATGGCCTTCTTCTTTTTGTGTAAACTATTCAAAAAAACTTTCAAATCTCCATCTTGCATTAATCCCATTACAATATACAATTCTTTAAAATTATTTAAACAATATTCTCTTTCTCCAGTTCCAACAAACACATCAATCAACTCTACTATATTTGGATGAGGTCTCAGAAATCTCATAATTTTAATTTCTCTCAACATTCTGTATGGAGCTCCATTATTAAAGACATTCTTGATCATTTTAATGGCAACCATCTTGTTTAATTCTTTATCATGACATGCCTTGATAAATTCCAATTAAAAAAACATCAATTAACAAATTAAATATTCGAAACTATTCGAAACTACGTACCACCACAACTCCATATCCACCCTGACCCAAAATCCTCACACATCCAGTCAACTCATCAATTGCTGGTTCATACCTCGTTGGCAGTGTCATTTCAAACTCCAAATCTCCACTTGCCGATTTAATTACATGTCTTGCCACATGTCTGTGATGTTCCGATGGATAATCGAGAATTTTAAAAGGATCTGGTACTGCATTGGAAGATGATATATCAACATCACCTTCATCATCATCAAAATTAAAAACAAATGAATCATCTTCTTCATCTTGCATCATCATACTTTCGTATATGTTTTTTTGAGTGGCATGAGATGATTGTTGTTGTTCATTGACAGAAAGTGAAAGAGGAGGTTGTGGAAAATGATTTTGATGTTGGTTTTGGTTTTGGTTTTGTTGATTGTCTTGCATTTTGGTTGTTTGTTGTTTTTGTGTATTTTCTTTTGGTTGTGTAAATGATGGAAAGGGAGAAGGAGATGGATGGGAACAGAAAATTCGTTTCATTTTTTTTTGAACTTGGAAATTGGCTTATTGATGGGGAAAGTTTTAATTTTTGGAAAGATCTATTTTTGAGAATATAATTTATTTTGGATTTTTTTATTCGAAACTTGGTCGAAACTGTGAACTAGAGTGTACTAGTTCTGTAAATTGGATTGAGGGTTTTCTTCTCTGATATTTTGAAAATTATTTGAATTAAAAAAAAATAAAGGGATGTATTTATTAAATTAGAAAGACTATTCCGATTTAGTAAATTTGTAATTACTCTTGTTCTATCGCACAGTTAGTCAGATAGGTTTGAATTGTTTTCTGTGTTTGGGGATAGAGAAGAGCTTGCAGGCTGAGTGGAGACATTGCTCAAGTCCCAAGCTGTAGAAAATTTGGCAGTCTTGGGCTTGATCATATATCCTCTTTTGTTTCTTAATTGGGAGCAACTATTCCACGTGCTGTTTTTATAGCAGCTTCCAACATATGAGGCAAAAGCACAATATATATCAGTGCTCCATTCAGTCAAGAGTTTGTTGAATTGAAAGTTTGGGTTGTTATGGATTACTCCATTCCAATCCATGTTGATCGTGAGTGGAGAGTGGTCAGGTGGGAGTTTGACTTCAGCAGTGTTGTGTTTGGCGGATGATTCGTTCCATTTCTTGTACAAGAGGGAGAGTTCAGATTTGCACATTATGCATTCGGAGAAGACATGTTCCCATTTGAATTAAAAAAAAATGATTCATTCGAAACTATTCGAAACAAGTGTCACCCTCATTCTCGATCAACAAAATATCGGAAACACTTTATTAAAACAAAAATACCAATTTACAAAATTCAAAAAACTCCAAGAAAACTACATTCCAATAGAATTTCACAATGATCGAGAGTTTATTACAATTTGCATCAGAGAATTGCAGAAATGACAAACAAATTGTCTTGACAGCTGTCAAACAAGATTGTTCCACTTACAAATTCGCTTCTCCTAAATTAAAACTGGATTTTGAGATTTTACTTTCATATCTTGAGAAAAATAGACATTCATTTAAGATGATTGTACCAAATTCAAATAGATGACAAGGAATTTATAATGTCAGCAATCAAAATGGGATTTTCTTTGAAATATGCTTCTGATAGATTGAGGGATGATAAAGAGGTGGTTATGGAAGCAGTTTCGAATGGATATGAATTGTTTAATGTATCTGATAGGTTGAAATCTGACAAGGATGTCGTGTTAAAAGCACAACAAACTTTTGAAAAGGCATATTTGTTAGCACCACAACATTTAAAATATGACTTTGATATTAAGGCAGCAAGATATGAATTTAACACAAGAGGAATTGCCAAATGTCATGACAGAAATCAAATTTTAAGATTAATTGAAACAAAAGGATATTTATTTAGTTATGCCAAACCGAAATTCAAAAATGATAAGGAAATTATTTTAAAATTCATTGAAATTAATGCGTGGCAAGCTGTAGAAAATGCATCACCTCAATTAAAAGATGATTCGGATATAATTAGGAAATCAGTGGAGAACTGTGGATTAACTATTCGATTGGCATCCGAAAGATTGAAAAATAATAAGGAAATTGCACTCATAGCAATGAAGACGAGTGCTTGTAAGGCAATAATGGATATTTCTGATAATCTTAGACAAGACAGAGAGTTTTTAATAGAGGTTGTTTCGTATGGATCTATTCTAAATGAACATTCCTCAATCGAGTTGAAAAGTGACAGGGAATTAAGGAATCGGTAAAATATAGAGGAGTTGATATACAGTTTGCATCCAATGAGTTGAAAAATGATAAGGAGCTAATATTACTTGCTGTCAAAACTCATGCATATGTTGTCAGTTTCATTTCCCGTAATTTCCTCTTTAATTCGGATTTTCTATTGGAATTATTGAAGCTTAATCCAAATATTGTGAAATTCTTGGATGGCCACCATCGAGATTCAGAATTTGTACATTTAGCTACGAAAGGAGATTCTCTAATTTATGCCTCGAATAGATTGAGAAATTTAAAGGAATTTGTTTTCGAATGAATGGTTGTGCACTGAAAGGAATAGGAAGTACCTTGGAGAATGATTCAGAACTTGTCATTGAGGCAGTCAAGCAAAATGGATATTTCACAAACTTTAATTTGTTCAGCTTAAGAATGGAATTGGAATATCCAGAATTACAAAACATTACAAAGTTTTAATTGCCTATTGTTTCAAAATCTTTTTAAATTAAATTGTTAGTGCTGTGTTTCATCTTTGTATTTTGATGATTTTAAATTTGATTTTTTAATATTATTTTTAAATGCTCGTTCATTTGATTGATTCTTAATTGAGCTTTTGGATAAGAAACATAATGATCAGATATTTGAATTCTTTGAACACTATCCAAATTCGCAAGAATGTTAATAAATATTTTACCAGATGGCACTCCATTAACCTTAGTTGAACAATCCAATTCACATTCGAAAGATCGAATATCTCTATAATGAAACGTACTATTCGAAATAAGTTTTCCATTAATTGCTCTCTTTGTTCTCACCACAAATATGCGACTGTTGTCATTGAAAATAAAATCCGTACTTTTCTGTAAAAATCCAAATATAGGAAATAAAGAAAAGAATGCTATCAGGGCAATTAATATTCCAATTGAAAATTCCTGTTGTTCCCCAGATATAAAGATAAACAGCAATACTCCAATAAATAACGATCCAACGAATATAAATATGAGAGGAAATGTTAAATCATCATCTTTGATCATGTAAATTCCCGGCACTTTATCAACTCTCATCCATGTAGGGTGGAATGGGTGCTGCTTGCGACATTTTTTTTATATTTTGAAATTGAAAAAACACGTGTTTAAAATTCTTAAATATTGTAAACAAGTTCATTATTTAAATTTTACAATGAAATTTCTAATATAATACAGTTGATTGGTTATACAGTTTCATAAAAAGTTTCAATGTTGGTGAGTGGAATGAATTCAATGGTTGGAAATTGAGAAAATATTTCCATAAATTCAGGACATGAATCTGGATTATAGTAGAACTTTTCCAAACTTGGAGGGAATGAAAATCCACCATAATCTCTATAACAACTCATGAAATAGTCAGTAAAGGAATATGCAATTGTCAAAGCCTTCAAGTTTGGGAATTTAACAAAGGAAGAAGGAATAGAATACTCAAAACATGCTGTTTCGTCATCTCTGAGAACGAGATCTTTCAAGTCTGGACTAATACCTGAAAGGATATCAAAGCAATTTGCATAGGTTTGAGCATTCATGTCTACATATACCAAATCTTTCATAAATGGAAAGCAAATCTCATTTGCATAGAATGATTTGTAATAGTTTTCATAAATGATTGGAATGATAACTCTCTTTTCCTTCTTTTCAATATAGTACTTGAAGAAGGATGATTTCAACACGTCTTCCATGAAATTCATTGTGGTTTTTGCTTCTTGGACAGGTAGGAATATTTTCTCTCTTAAAGATCTCATTTCCAATTTCTTTTTTTGATTGGCCAAATTATTGACAAGATTTCTTATCGACATTTCAAATATTGGATCATCGAGAACACTTCTCATGAGTAACTCTCTCCAATATTTGTTGGTAGAGGAGATATTAACACGAGTGTAAGTCGGCAAGTAGGAGAATACCAGCTTAGTACAATCTTCATTCAAAAGTCTGTAATTGAATGCTGTAATTAACTTGGTTTTAGGGTCTAACTCTGTAGCTTTTTTGAGGTATTCTTGTTTTAGCTCAAGTTCACCTTTTCTTCCATAGGTTTGAGAGATCATTTGAGCAGTCTCGGCATTTTCTTCCAACTTCATTGCTTGTGAGAAAGCTTCAAGAGCTTCATCAAGCTCGTGGTTGTAGAAGTAGCATAATCCCTTATTGTAAATGTAGTGTCTGAGATTTGGTGAATCTTTTCCATACTGAGCAGCTGTTTCAAAATTCTTTATAGCATCATGATAACAAGCTGCAAAGTAGTATGAACAACCAGCTCTATAATTCAATTCTTCCAATGAAATCAATGAAACTGTTGTCTTTTCTTCCTTTTGAGCAGCCAAATCAACCTTTTCCCCTTTCAGCAAGGACTTGAAATTATTGAAATAAGTTTTGGTATTCTCTGAAAATTCGGTAAATTGTTCCTTCACTTTTTCATGGGAGTGTTTCATTTCAAAATTAATATCAAGAATGTTCTTTTCCAATTCTACTGATTTCTTATCACAATTACCACTTCCAGTCATTGCCTCCTTCAATTCAATACCTTTCTTGAAAGCATGAGCAGATTCTAAATAATCCCCACAATGATACAATGCCACACCATAAACAAAATTCCACACATAGGTCGCATCCAAACTTTCATCCAAATGCAATGCAAGTTTGATATCCTCCAAAGCTCCCTCATATTTCATAGCAGCCAATCTCACCACAGCTCTCTGCACATGCAATCTGGCAACTTGTGGATCTTGTGTAGTGTCGGCCTTGATCTTTCCTTCCAATTTACTCTCGGCAATTAATTGTTTTCGGAATAAAATCTTCTCCTTCAAGTCCTTTGAAATATGACTCACTCCACTCTCAATCTTTTCATTATTCTTTCTGATGCTAACATCAATGGAATGAACCAAATTGATGACCCGAGAAACAGCTAAAATTCCCACTCCTAAAGGAAAGAAGAGAATGAGAAGAGGTCCTGAAATTGGTGAGCCACACATGTTGTTTCTTGACTTTGGATAACGATGATGAATTTGGTGTTTATAATAAACAGGTGTGATAGATATCAAAATCCTGGTTTTCAACGTTTTTTTTTGAAGAAATACTGGAACTATGCATCACCAAGTTCATCACAGTAAAAATTCTGCAAATTAGCATCATATGTACTGTTGTAAATCCAACGTATACATTCACATTACCTCTTTCTTAAATGACCAAAATGGAGAATGCTCAAGGTCTTTTCTTATTGATTGCACTCAAGTAAATCCCTAATACAATTCAGTTTTGAGAAAGGATATGAAGATGAAACATGAAGGATTGTATTGTGGTTGATTAATAAATTTTAATTGAGAGGTAGCTCAATATGAACTTTATCCTTAATAATGAAATATTGAGCAACTTGGAACTTGAGCATCTACTAAACCAAAGTGAGTCTGTTATCACCAGACATATGTGAACAATTTAGTTTAAATCTCAAACAATGAAAGAAAATATTAATCCCATATTCGAACCTATACTAATACCAAAGAGCAAGAAAAAGGTCATCATTGTTCCAGCAATTTCCTTCTCGTTATTCTCTACACACTGAGGAGCAAACATCATCAATAATGAGCACAAGTAACCATTCGAAATTGAGACAAGGAAAATTGAAAAGAGTGGGAAGGCGTCGTAAACATAATCATTATAACCAAATAGGCTAGGTCTATAATAAAATAAAAAGAGTGGTACGAAAAATACTCTCAATAACACTGGAATGGCAATGGTCTTCTTGTTGAAAGCAATAATCCAGTTTGGCATGGTTCTGCCAACAAATTCAAAAATGTTATTACTAGCTGCCATCAAAATTGGAAGCCAATATCTCATTGGTGTAGAGGAATACCAAGTTCTAACTCCAAGAGCTAAACCAGGGAAGAGTGAAATGGTCACCACAAACAGGAGCATTACCAGCAAGCACAAATACCAAATCTTTTTGAAAACAGTCAAAATAGATGCACTATTAGCATTTGAATTGTTACCATCTTCTAATTGTTTCTTCTTTGATAAATTAATATAATATTTACAATATGGATGCCTCACAACATAGATAAAACTCAAAATGCACAACAGGATTATAATAGAGCACACAATAAAGTAACTAGCAGTACTGTGAGTCATTCTCATTAGAGAGACATGCACTCTGTTCTGTTCAATAGTCAACTTGGTAACAATTCTCAAAAAAGAACACAACAATCCAGCAAGACCAGCACCTACCATGACAGCTTGGACGTACATGGAGGGAAGCATAGAGGCCAATCCAAAAATTCCAGATTGTAAAAAGCAATTACACAACGCACAAAACACTATAAAAGTTATTGTAATTATAAATCCAGAAGTTGATTCAGCATTTGAATATCCAATTATAGGAATGCTCAATAAAATCAATAATGTCACAACGTAGGCAGGAAATACTCTAAAATTAAGTGGAATTTTGCCTCCAAATTTAGTAAATACCAACAATCCCAATAAATTAGGAACACTATAAGCCACACTAAAGTACATCATTGCACTTTCTCCATAAATTTTAGTGAAATAATCAGGTGCAGAAATAAAACTATTCCAAGGAAACAATACTCCACATCCTTCAAATTTAATTTTGTATCCAATTATTCCAATTTCAATATCAATCCGAAATATATGCGTGATATAATTCAATTAAAACAAAATAATACAAAATTAATATTAAAACCAATATTCTTATTTTGACAAACAACATACCCTGCAAAACAAATATGAAATACAACAATTTTCCATTCACTTGTGGTTCCGAATCCAAAATAATACTCTTAGCCTGTTCCTTCCTTCTCTCTTCATTCAAATGACCTTCATCATCCATATCCTCCGAATAAGCCATCGAATCCACACTCTGCCCACCATGATGTAATCCCATCATCTTGTTGTTACTCATCAAATGAGGAGCATTATGTTGTTGCTGGTGGTGTTGTATGAGATGATTACTCTCTTCCTCACCTCCTTTTGTATTTGGCGCGAAATTCACAGAGCCTTTGGAAAACATTTTTTCTTCACAGATTCAAAAGAACACACTCTTATTGACCAAGAAGTTTGTTGTTTGTATGATGATGAGGTATTAGACTTCTTCTTTATCCGCTGCTCTTGCTCTTGGAAGAAAAGGATGAAGTTCTGTTTGTTAACGTTGTTGCTTGTTGGGGTTCATGTTTGAGGGAAGAAGTACATTAAAAAATTGGACCCTTTGCTTTTCTGGGATTTGGGTAGCAATGGTGCTTATTTGGGTTACAGTAATTGGTTTATTTACAGTGAATATTTGAAAAGGTCAATTAAATAGTTAAGTGTTTTATGAGCTCTATTGTTGACAATTTATTGTAATGCAGTGAGAGAATTATTCTTGCTTGAGAATACGAAGGAATTAGTGAGAGAAGAAATGAGAAGTACTCCAAATTGACTTCCTTTTTCCCAATAAAACAATTGGGTAGGACATAATAATAGCTGTTAACCATCATCATTAACTTTATTCGAAACAAACTAAATGTTGTAATAAAACTAAAAAAAAAATTCACATCAACAACAAAATACACAATGCAAACATCAAGCACACCTCTGATAGTCAGTAAAATCGCTTGTATTGGTGCCGGGTACGTCGGTGGACCAACAATGACAGTCATTGCCAACAAATGTCATGATATTCAAGTTGTCATCTATGACATGAATCAACACAGAATTGATGAATGGAATAGTGATCATTTGCCAATCTATGAACCTGGCTTGGAAGAATTAGTATTCGAAAGAAGAGGTAAAAATCTTCATTTTACAACTGATTATGCTCAAGTTGTTGATGCTGACATTATTTTCCTTTCGGTTAACACACCAACTAAATATTATGGTGTTGGAAAGGGTAGAGCAGCTGATTTAAAGTATATTGAATCATGTGCTAGACAATTGAGAGATACTATTAAATCAGGAAGAAAGATTATTGTTGAAAAGTCAACTGTACCAATTAGAACATCAATTGCTGTAAAGAGAATTTTGGAGAGTGGTGACAGTCAAGCTCAATTTGATATCTTGTCTAATCCAGAGTTTCTTGCTGAAGGAACTGCTATTTCCGATTTGAATGCTCCTGATAGAGTTTTAATTGGTGGTGAATCTGATTATGCTATTCAAGCATTGTCAAGTGTTTATGCCAGATGGGTTCCAAAGGAAAATATCATTACTACTAATTTGTGGTCTAGTGAATTGAGTAAATTGGTTGCTAATTGCATGCTTGCTCAAAGAATTTCATCAATGAATGCCATTTCTGCATTGTGTGAAAAGACTGGTGCTGATGTTCAACAAGTTTCATATGCAGTTGGTAAGGATACAAGAATTGGTGCTAAATTCTTGCAAGCTTCTGTTGGTTTTGGTGGAAGTTGTTTCCAAAAGGACATTTTGAATTTAGTTTACTTGGCAGAACATTACAATTTACCAGAAGTTGCCAAATACTTTTATGGAATTATTGAAATTAACGATTATCAAAGAGATAGATTTGCCAAGAAGGTCATTCACAAGTTATTTAACACTGTTTCAAATAAGAAGATTTGTATCTTGGGTTTTGCCTTCAAGAAGAATACATCAGACACTAGAGAATCATCAACCATTTACATTTGTAAATCATTGTTGGAAGAAAGAGCTCAAATTTGTATCTATGATCCAAAAGTTACTGAAAATCAAATGAGATACGATTTGAAGAGTTTGATGAATGATTCCTATGGAGGTGATTTCAGTGCCATTTCTGAAACTTCACCAGAAAGTGAACTCGTCTCTAAGAATGTCAAAGTCTTCTCTGATCCATATGAAGCCATGGCTGATGCTCATGCTATTCTCGTTTTAACTGAATGGGATGAATTCAAGACTTATGATTATCAGCGTGTCTTTGATTCCATGAAGAAACCAGCTAATTTGTTTGATGGTAGAAATATTCTCGATAGAGAACAATTGGAACAAATTGGATTTGAAGTTTATCAAATTGGTAAACAAGAAAAGAATCTTGCCGATTGGTAATTTCTCAATAAATTATAATTTTATACTCAAGAATTATTTCAAAATTTTACAAAATTGGAAATTCCAGAATTGGCAAAATTATTTACGCTTGTAAACGTCAACCTTTCTATTCTTTTTGTGATGTTTTCTATTCTTTCTATTCTTTCTGTTCTTTCTGTTCTTTCTATTCTTCTTTCCATAAGTATCAATTCTTCTCTTCTTGTTACTTCTCTTCTTCTTTCCATAAACGTCAATCTTCTTTCTGATAATTCTCTTCTTTCCATGTCTCTTCAAACCTCTTCTCTTTCCATAGGTATCCAAATACTTGTTGAGTTTTCTGTGATTTCTTCTCTTTTTGTGATTTTTAACTCGTTTGAGCTTTCTTTGCTTGTTATTGGTTTTGGCAATGTACAAGGACATGGTTTCTGCTTCCTCTGCTTGAACATTGGAAGTCATGGACAAGGCAATGATAGCCAAGGTTAAGGCAATTAATAGAATTGAAACGAATCTTTTCATTTTTTGTTTTGAGAAGTTTGTTATTATTGATGTTTTGAATTTATACCTTTCGAATGGGTTTTTGAAATTAGTTCTTAATCTTTTTTGGAAAGAAAGCAGACGAGTGAATTAAACATTTTCAGAGTATGTATTGGTTAAAGATATGGATTTAAAAGAGCAATGCATAATATTGTATAAAATCAAGTTCAAAGAAAGAACTCTAAGATTTATCAAAAATTGCAAGTTGCAAAATTCCTTATTTCCCTTCTTCTATGTTTCTAAAAATGCAACATTTAACAATCATGGAATAGAGTGCTACTTTGTGTGCGTGTTTGATATCTGAATTTGTTGTTTCCACATAGAGTGCACCATCCATAATATCAAAGGCCACTTTCTGAGCTTGCTCCTTATTAACACGTCTTCCATTGATGAGATCTGTCTTATTTCCAATAAGGACCACTTCACTATGGTGAGCGTCATAATTCTTTAATTCATTATACCACAATGGGATGTGTTCGAAACTAGTCTCATTGGTCAAATCGAATAATAGAAAGACAACATGAACATTTCGGTAATGCATCCTAGTTAGAGGAGTAAATCTCTCTGGACCATAAACATCCCATATCTGAAAGTCATATCTTTTATCCTGTGAAAATTGATAAGTCTTACTGAAGAAATTTGATCCAATCGTTGGAATATCCACATATTTTCCAAAAGTCTTATTGAAAATGATACAATTAATAAAAGATGTCTTTCCTGAAAAACTGTCTCCACTCATGGAACATTTGAAAGAGTACTGATCATTTCCAAACTTTTGAGGCGTATAAGGATATAGACTTTTCGAAGGATTTGAACTCTGTGTTGATTGACCACTCGGTGCTCCAAAATATGAACCCAAAAATTGAAATATTCCTTTAAAAACTGAATTTCCACATGTAGAGCTTGATTTCTCTTCCTTCTTTGTTTCAACATTCTCCTTCTTTTCATTCGAATGCTCGTCCTTCTTCTTCAAATCTGAAAAGTTTGAAAAGTATCGAGTGATCAATTCCAATTCACTCATCAATTGTTTTACAATTTTTTCATCCAAATCACCATTAACATTGGCCAAGTCAATAACTCCAGGAATATCCAACTTCTCTAAATTAGCTTCAATCCATCGATCAGCCACTTGATAAATGAATTTTCTCAACATTGTTTTTCTGAATTTTCTATTAGAATGGAGAAAATCATCATCATCATGATCGGAATTAATTTTCTCTACTATTTCATTATGATCTGATTTAGTGGATGATTTAAAGGGTGAGGAATTGGATGATTCATATGAATTGAAAGTAAATTCTAGTTCATATTGTTTTGTAATAATTGGCAAGATTAACCTTCGCCAAGATTTACAAACATTTGAGTGGGAAAATATTAAATCTACAGATGGCAGATAGGAAAAAATTTCGTTATTAATTTCCTCTGGTAAAATTTCAAAGAGGTTATGTACTTTGTTAATGATCATTTTTTTTGTAATGATAATATATTAATTAAATATATTTAATATTTAATTGTAAATAATTTAAAAAAAAAATGAATAGAGTCATCATTCGATTGTATGATTTTTTAGACTACTCCAACGAAACATCAAATCCATGCCACTACTATTATACAATGCTAACTGATAAATTAAGGGAGAAAATTCCCTCCTACCACATTGTCCGCTCCCTGCAAGATATTAAACATGAATTAATTTCATATTCACCATCAATGGGACAATTAATATACAATAATATTTTGGAACGTTATTTTAATAATAGAAGTAACATGGATCCACAGAAGAAATCGATGAGATTTTCCTCCATTCAAAGCCATGCATTTGGAATTTTATTTAATAATCGACATGTTGATATCATGAAGCATGATTTGATACTATTCTCGTTCAATGGAACGGGAAAGACGTGGCTTACTTGTTTGTATTGTTTGCAACAAATATTGGCGGGAAAAGTTAGGAGAGTCATTGTAGTTTGTCCAATATTGGAATATTGTCATCAATATGAAGAAAACTTAAAGACAATGATTGGATCTACTACTGATTCACAAGATGTTTTCTCATTCAAAATATTGAATAGTGCAACAGAAACGAAGGAATCAACGAAACATGTTAATATTATCATTAGTAGTTTATCGAGATTGTTGGGATTCATTAGAAGAGGAATTATTGATACAACAGATGTGGATTTAGTTATTGTGGATGATTTCGAATATTCAAAATCGTTGAATTCATTGCAAGATTTCAAATATTTCTTTTCAAGATTTAACAACGCAAGAGCGATTGTTTCAACTGAAGGTGATAAGAAGATAATTCCACCAGTATTGAATAATCCTGCAATACTTTGTAGTATTCCTTTCAGTAATGAAAGTTATTACAATTACATCAATTTTGTTGGAAATCATTGAGCATATCAATATCACTAATCTTTTGATATCTCAAAAATTGGATTTGAAGAACCATTGATTTGTACCTAAAACGAGTATTGGAGTATTGGCATACAGTTATTAGTTTGGTAAGTCTCTCCCTTGTATGCAAGGAGTGGAATCGGATAGCAAGTTGCAATGATTTGTGGGAATTTTACTTTCATTTACTTTCGAATAATCGGAAGGGAAAAACAAAAGTTTCTTCCGATACTATTTCACAAGATGAAAATTTCTGGAAACACAAAATGAGAGATAATTTCACTCAATATGCTTGCAGAGTTTCTAACAAGATTACACTTTATCAAAATTATTTACAAATTTGTGAATTGAAAGGAAATTTCCCTGACAAGTTTTCATCACAATTGACCAGAATGATTCTAGCAAGAATGATGATCAATTCCATTCAATATACAGATGATTTAAACCTTAAACCATTCCAAAAATATTTGGGGTTTAAAGAGCACTTTCATGCAACTACATTTCAAGTTGACTGTGAAAATTAGTGGAATTGATGAGCCACTAATTGTAAGAACCAACTCGTATATTTACAAAGGAGATCTACCCTATTTTAGTTATCATTATTTAGACAATTATTACTTGTACTTTGCTAAGGAAAGTGATGACAAATTAAGGAATGAAATATTTATGAATAATGGAAATTTTACACAAGTTTTGGAAAATAATTGTTCATTCCTTTACATTTTTAATGGAAAGGATAATGAGCCAACAGTTCATGGCCATAATTATCTTGTAGATTCATTTTTAGATTCATTGATTCCCTCTCTGAATCAATTTCAAATTTCACCACTCAAAATAATTCCATTTTGGTGTTTTTTATTTGTCAAAATGATGAATAACCATTGCTGACGGAAAAGAGAAAACATTTAAGGAATTTTACAAATTTTATCCTAATCTAATTTCAAATCCTATATTGTACCACTATTTCTATAAGAAATACTTGGCAAGAGTTGAGTCTGTTCCCAAGCTTATTCTTGCTCGTTTTCGTAACTTTCTTCCAATAAGCAAAAGTGAGGCTAAAGCTGTTGAGATAATTAAATCCAACAATGTGGATTCTATGGTAGTATTGGATAATGGCATGAAGAATGCAATCAAATCTCTCTTTGATTCTTTTAAAAATCTAAAACAGGACAAACCAATTCCAATACCACCACAGATAAATCGTGAAAGAATTGAAGATGAGCAATATTTGAGCATGGCAAGATATTTGGCTGAACTGCATAGAATGGGAAAGTCAAAGGAATATATGAATTGGTATTTGGCACGCAAGTTTAAATATCAAAATTCAGTTTATTGAATGTAAACAAATTCGATTTGAGTTTTACCATTGTTGCTTGTAATCAATGCAAATCTTCCCAAAGTACCATAAACTTGAGTATCATGGGCAACATCAATGTGAATTTCTCTTCTTGGAACAAGAATGTTATCTTGATGGAAACCAATCAAACCAACATCACATGCCATACCATAAAAAGCAGTCTTTCCGTAGGCAGCAATTTGAGATGAACAAACTTTTGGTGGAATACCAAACAATGAATTGGCGTTAATTTCATAACCCAATGTAACTGTGGTATTGGTTACATCGAATCTCAAAGCAGACAATGAACTATCAGCATTCATGCATGAAAGGAAGAATGAGTTAGTATCTCTTGAAATAAGATTTGAGCACTTATCTAATTGGAAATAAATACCATTTTTTCCAACCAATTTGACTGTTGCAATGATACCTCTTTGCAAATTACGTTTTTCAACAATAGAAACAGAATTTCCATAACTCTTATCTGGAATGGCCAAGAAATCCTTTCCTACAGTCAAGAATGCATGTTGTGGAGCAAAGTTAATGTAAAAGTTACTTGGAGTGGCCAATAAAGTAGCACCAGTTTGAGGATGGATTGCAGTAATTCCACTACTGTACAAAATGTACAAAGTTGGTACAGATTGAGAAAGATCATACAAGAATTGACATCCACTTTGAATTCCTGAAAGGTTAATAATCCAATTACCAATACCACTCTTTCTATCAACATTGACAATGAAATTTCCAGAAGCAATAATCAAACCATAATCAGTAAGTACCATTGCATGGATATTGTTATTGGTTTTAGTATCGAATAAAACTTGACTGTTTTGATCATTAGATAAAATAGAAGATCTCAAAACGAATGAAACTCCATTAGTAGTGTTTCTTCTAACAGTATAGTATCCAAAGTTTTCATCCATCACTGGCAAGACATCCATCAATTCATATTCCTTTGGAATTTTAACCTTACTACTACTCATTCCACCATCACGTTCAATACAAACAATAACTTGTCCACCACTTGCTTGATCAACACTCAAACCACAGAAATTCAAAGCATAGACAGGCATTACAATAGAATTTGGGATTAACTTGAGACCATCATACATCTTGATTACATCTCTTTGTAAATCATAGGTTCCGAGATCAGAATTTCTCGATCTACCAGTATTAGCATTGGTTTGAATCCAGCCATCAATTCTACCGAAAACAAGAGCGCTATTCAATAAAACAAAGCAGCACAAGAGGAGTAACTTGGTTCTTATCATGTTCGTTGTGTCGCTTTTTTTTTGAAATTCAAGATTGAACTGGATAAAAGATAACTCACACAAATACTGGATTGTTGGCGCGTTATTTTTTAATTGAATGGTAACCTTCTAAATGAAGTTTGGTTTGTGTAACCGTCATTGTATTGTATTCTTCACCTAGGGTTACCGATATTCCCTCCAAATTACTCCTTCTGCATATTTAATCTTTAACTGTTCTTTAATTTGTAACCCTGAATCAATGTCATTTTTCTTTCTGCTTGTATTGAGTCCGTTTGGCACCATCAAAGGGGTAATTTTATTAAGGCTATGTAAGGAATTAATTCATAATGAATGTGATCGGGTGTGGTATAGTGGTAGCATTCCAGACTGTCACAGACTGGCGACCCGGGTTCAATTTGTTTTGTTAGTGTGTGTTAGTAATAGATGAATGATATCGGTCAATCCTTATTTGGAAATTTCATTCCCGGCATTCGAGATTAATTTTTGACTCTGTCACAATGTATCTGAGTTTTTCTTTTTTCATTACATAAAGATAGACACGTGGTCTACCTTTGATTCAAATTTCAAAGATTCATTTATTAAAACCATCGAGAAAATAATCTCGGATTTTTTAAGATTAAAATTTTCGCAGCTTTATTTAGTGAGCTTAAATGATTATTGATCTAGAGAAGTGTTTCAATAAAAGACAACGCCAACAACCAACACGGTTGATATAAGAGCTACATTGCTAAACAGTGATATTGCTGAGGATAGACGTTCAGATCTGGAAGGTTCTGAAAGAGATTTGAGCACTGGAGGAGGTACAGAACTTGAACTTTTAGGGCTTGCAGATGGTTTGATTCTTTCCTTAATTGAGAGTGGATTCATTGTTTCGAAAGTGGTTGAAATTTGAGTGGAATTGTAATGCAAAGTTGTTTTGGCTGTTAGTGAACCCTTAGGAATTGAAGAAGGAATATTAAATATCATCTTGGAAAGCAATTCATATTGGAATATTTGGGAGGAAATTGATTGACCATTCAATAAGAAATCAACATTAATGTCAATTGTCTTATTCTTATAAAAATCAATGAATTGAGAGTCTTGAATGTTGATGGTTAAAGTTGTGGAGATTTCTCCTACGAAATCATTGGTACTATTGAATGAAATGGTCACGTCTGATTGATTAAAATATCTAAATTGACATTGATTACCAATATAATTTGTTCTGCATTGACAAGTGTCATAATTAACGCAATCTCCATGTGAATTACACACATTGGAATGATCTACAGATGATAAACCAAAGCAATAGGTCAAATTACATGCCAACCCATACCATCTACTCTCATCAAGACATTTGCAATTATCAAATGATTGACAAGTTCCATTTCTAAAATTGCAAACTTGTGAGCTAGCTTGTTCTATTCCAAAACATGATGTGAATTGGCAATCTGATCCATAATAACCATGAACACAATCGCAGCTGTTCACATCTGTGCAATTTCCTTTCCCGCTACATACAGAACTGTCATTTTGCAATATTCCACTACATTTGACAAGCTCACAATTGCTTCCACCATATCCATCACTGCAAGAACAATAATTTACCGCATCACAAGAACCATGTGAGCTACAAACTGTTGTAGAATTAAAAGCTACATGATTACATTTCCAATATTGACATTTCTCTCCAAAATAATTCGAATCACAAATACAATTATCAGTTGACAAGCAAATTCCATTTCCAGAACATGATCTATTATTCATTTTCTCAATTCCAAAGCATAGTGGATTCTTTGGCTTGCAATCATTAGGTGCATAGCAAAATTGGTCTGTATCATTGCATGCATTCGATTCATTGGCAAGAATTCCAAAACAAATTGGAAATTGACAAGTCGTGGCAGGTCCATATCCAGCAGAACAATTACAATTATTATACGAAGGGCAAGATCCATGTCCAAAGCAAACATTTGCATTATCTGAAGCTATGGAATTGCAAGTGGTCTTTTCACAATTGGCTCCAAAATAATCAGTTGAGCATTTACAATTATTTGGAGTCAAGCATTGACCTTTTGAAGAGCAGACTTGAGTATCATTCGAATATTTTCCATGGCAAATAGGAATTTCACATTTAGAACCTATCCATCCAGGGTTACATTGACATGAATCTGGAGAAATACATGTTCCATTTCCATTATTACAAATGGCATTAGTTTGATTCGTAAAAATTCCAAAACATTGAATGAGTTCACATTCTGCACCTCCATACCCATTATTGCAGTGACAGGTATCTACATTTGAACATGTACCTCTTCCTTTACATACTGAACTTGTTTCATTTTGAAGAATTCCAAAACATTTGACAAGTTCACAATTTGATCCTCCATAGTTAGCTTCACATTCACATAAATTCAATGATTTACAAATACCCCTTTTAGAACAAACATGTGTAGTGTTTGTTGACATAATTCCTGCACATTTGAAAATCTGACAATCATTTCCTCCATAACTATTCGAATCATAACATTGACAAGTGTCAGGTGATAGACAGTCACCTCTTCCTAAACACTGGCTAGAATTACCGGCTAGAATACCATTACACTTTGGGATTGAACAAAATCTTCCTCCCCAATGAGTTTCATCATTACATTTGCAAATGTCATCTGCCAAACAATTTCCTCTTCCATTACAAACATTTTCCATGGTCGACAAAGTGCCATTACACTTCAAGATTTGACAGTCATTACCACCAAATGCATACGTATCGAAACATTGACATTGATTTGGGGAAATGCATTGACCTCTGGAATTGCAAACTGTTGGATCTGATGCTGATGTCAAATTACATTTTGGAACGTCACATTTCAATCCATTCCATTGAGATTGATCTCTACAGACACATGTATCATGAGATACACAATCACCTCTTCCTGAACAAACACTGCTTGTTTGATTTGCTATTATTCCAAAACATACTGGAATTTCACATTTCTCACCAACATATCTTGACGTGTTGAAGCATTGACAGGTATTAAGTGCAATACAAGAGCCATTTCCTGAACAAACTGTTTCATCATTTGCTAAAGTACCATTACATTTTGGAATTTCACAATTTTCACCTCCATAATTAGAATTACATTTACAATAATTGTAACGTTCACAAATTCCATTACCATTACATGCAGTAGATGAGTTTGAAAACTTTCCAAAACATGTTGTTACTGTACACTCAGGTCCATAATAATTTTCATTACACATGCATGTATTCACATCAACACATGTTCCATTTCCATGACATGCTAAAAAAGGATATTTGCTTTCAGATGATTTCCCATAACATTCAGGAAGACATGTTCTTCCATCACCACTCAACACATAACCAACACCATCACAATATGGATAAACCTTCTTAATCAATCCAGCAACATCATCAGCAATATAAATCTCATTCTTATTCTCCCTCACAAAAACATTAAAAGGAGAATCCAAGTAACAATTCACTGGATCAGAATTGTCTGGACATCCACTCGAGGAATTTGTACTTCCAGCAATGATTTCCACTTGTCTATTTTGAATCTTTTTAACCTGCTTCAATCCAGGATCAGCAACAAACAATTCATCATGTGCTGTGTAATATAATCCCATTGGATTATTCCATGGAGTGGCTGTGAAATTTGCATCATTGAATGGTGGATACTCTGGATAAGGATTCCAATCTGGAGTGCTAGCACTGAATATGGTGTATGTTTCAGGAAGAACTAATCTCATAATTTTCCCATAATAAATATAGTAAATGTCACCTGTTAGTGGTGATGCAACTATTCCACCATCGGTAGGTGATAAACCACAATTAGTGAACCAGTTAAATGAATTATAATTTGCCAAACTATAGTAACCCACGCAATTGTTACCAACATCCATGAAAAGCAACCAATTGTGAAATTTATCGATGGAAAGCATCTTTCCAAAGTACATGACATCTAGAGGATCCCCTTGTAATAGTTGTTTTTCCATAGTTGAGTGCTCTTATTTTCATACTAAAATATTCAGATAGGTAGACTTTCTCTTGTGCTTCATCAACAGCAATAAAAGGTTGATCTATAAATCTTTCGTTTCGACTAGTTTAGAATAGTTTACTTACTGCCAAGAGGAGCCATAAAAACGCTCAAAGTTCCATTAAAAACAGTTCTAATTAATTTAAATAATTAGTAAACTGTGAAAAATCACTTACAATATCCTATTTTTGTAATAGTTGTTTTCATTGTTGTGTTCTGCAATGAACATGTCTCCATTGGCCAACACATGTACTGCTCGTGGCATGTTCAACGAGCTGACAGCTGTCGTGATTTTGAACTTGACATTTAATGCACTGCACATGCCCAACAAAAGCACGAGGACAAATGCAAATAAAAACGTAAGGTTATTATGCATTTTTTTGTGGAGTCATGAAGATGCAACAACTATTTCACAAGTGCAAAAAAGAATGACATCTGAATGAATACTATCAATTTTAGAGAGTGAAAGTAATGAACTAACGGTTCAATGTTCCATTTCAGACAATATTACAATAATATCACATATTATTCTCATGATTATTGGTTATACAATAGATTATGATTCAGCTTTGGATGAACTTTAAATTATACAATTAGATTAGATCTAATTGGTTTGTTCCATTTGGATTTTGCATATTTTTCTATACGTTTACCAATTGAAATGTTACAAATATCACATACAACAAAACTTTTATCAATTAATAGAACATTATCAACAACACTTTCTTGTTATTAGTCAACATGTTACCACAGTGGAAGGACAGAAGAAGTTTTATGGTTTAGTTTATGTGGATTTTAATAAAAGGTATGTGTTGTATGATAATTTTCTATTATACGATAAACAGTTTAAGGTACCAATCTGCATGTTCACAAATCCCCCATTCACAAACCATGGCTGGTCAGGAATGCCGCAATCATCTATGAACGAGGAAACCTACAACGAAGCATGTTTCCAGTTCGATATCATGCTCAAGATATGTGACTACAGAGTCTTCATCTTGGTTAACCTCAAAGGTCAGATTGACTCAAAAAAGTCGAGTTTATGTAGTCCTACAGAAAAGATCCTGTAGAAGTACAGTCAATGGTTTTATCCAATTTGTTAGAGTGAGGGGATGATATTGGCTTGGAAAGTGTGTCGGGTGGTGAGGGAAAGTTATGGTTCAATTTATGAAGGTGAGAAAAATAGAGAAAAACTAAATTCAAGAAAAAGTTTGAGGTTTGAAGAAGGAGAATTTTAAGATTGAAGAAGGTGTGGTATTAGCTAATATTTGCCATGCATGCTAAGTTACATATAGATAATAGATTACACACAAATTTTACAAATATTGGGTTTGTAACAATTTAAAAGAGTTTATATGTATGAATCAAACTGTGAAGCAGGGGCTTATCAGCCGAATGAAATATGATAAATTTAGTGTATTTTCATTATGAATGTGAAGCAGGGGTTCCCGAGTGGTCAAAGGGGGTAGACTCAAGTTCTACTGCGCAAGCTTCGTGGGTTCAAATCTCACCTTCTGCAGCTTTTATTTCTTTTTCTTTTGCCTTAATGACTTTTCCTTATTTTTAAATTGAAAGATATTTCCCAATATGTCAAGTTCTTGATCTGAAAAAATTGTTTTCTTATCTCTTCTATTTAAAAAGATAATCAACAATGATGACCACTACCAATATTTCCTTTAAAAAATATGTGCTAAAATTCCATTTCGCTTGAAGTCAATCCATGATTGTCATGCACAAGATTTGAGAAAAAGGCAATTTATTACTAAATGTTAAAACTCTTATTGTTTAGGCATTGTATCACAGTAATCTGTATAGAGTGGTATGTCTTCCTTGAGGCCCTTTCTCTTTCTGATAGATTTGATGAGCTTGTGAACTTTAGATTGAGGATCATAAACATTGTCTTCCATAACTTTCCAATGACTGAAACTACATTGAGGGAAAGCTTGTCCTTGAGTCACACCTCTCAACTCTTCTGTTAAACCGAAACTTTCCAGCACAGGTAAAGAACCTGTAATACTAACGAGAGGAGTACCAATTACCATTTCAGTAGATTTGATAACACCTCTCCTATTAGAAATGACACTATAGACAGAACCCATTACTGATTGAGGACATTGAACTTCAACAAGATACATTGGTTCAACTAACTTTGGATCAGCTCTCAATTGACTAGCAGTCATGACACGTGATGTTGCTTGGAGAATTTGACCAGCTCCACGATGGATAGAATCTGCATGAAGATTACAATCATTAAATTTGAATAATACACCTCTCATTGCTTCATCACACAAACCTCCCGAAGAACTGCTTTGTTGGAAACTAGTGACAACATATTGTTGAATTTCATTAATATAGTCAACTGATTTGGTTGCATTAACCAAAATGTTGCTACCCTTGTCAGCTTCAGGCCCAAAGCTCCAAATTCTCTTTGTTATGCTAGGATCCCATTCAAAGTCAATTTCTAAAATCTTGGCTCTCTTATTTTGATCATCCATTGGCAATTGACCTTCCTTAATCATTTCAATTAATTCCTCACTGATTGGTTCAGCTTGCATGTATAAACGATTGTGACCGTTAGCACTTCTGGCCATGACCATATCACCATTCTTATTTGAAACTGTTTCGTGGAAAGTGACAACAGGAGGAGATTTTTTAATTTGAATTCCTCTGGCATATTCTTCTTCTAAATTCTTTAAACAAATTTCCAAATGCAATTCACCTGCTGTTCCTAGAATATGTTGACCACTATCATTTTGCTTACATTCCAATAGAGGATCACTTTGAACGAGACGTTTCAAACCTTCAACAAATCGAGATAAATCAGCTGGATTGGCTGGTTCAACTCCCATTTGAACTACAGGACTCACAGAGTATTTCATATTCTTAATTGGCATACATGCAACTTGTCCTTCTTCTGTCAATGTACATGATTTGATAATGTACTTGTCAAGACCAACAATACCGACGATGGCACCACAAGAAGCTTGAGTTATGCTTTCAGTATTTTTACCAACCATTACTAACAATCTTTGAATGCTTGTATGGAAAACATCTTTCTTAGCAATTGGATCATAGTTAGGACCTAGAATTCTCACCTTAGTTGATTGAGTCAAACTACCAGAGAAAATACGGGCTAAAGCAATAAAACGACCAACATTATTACTCATACTAGAGCTAGTATTAGAGTGCATAGGTACCATCTTACTGACATAAACAACTAGTGGTGCATTCGGATCACATTCCTTAATACCAGTAGCGTATGGATCTGTCAAATCTTCACCGGTGTAGAGATTATCATACCTTACCTTTTGAGCTTCCTTAGGAGAAGGTAAATGGTTGATAATCATTTGAACTAGAGGTTTGTGAGCTGGGAGGAACTTTCTCATGATTGATTTAGCTAAAAGTTTCGGCTCTTTTCTCTTTTCTTCTTTCGTCAGAGGTATAGACAATGCGCTGATGATATTTTCCAAATCTGTTGACAAAATACCTTCACTAGAAATTTCATGTTCTCTAACCAACTTGAAAATCTTGAAAATAGGTTCTAAAATGAATTCACAGAAAGTGTGCTTCAATTGTTCACCACTTGTCGATGAATAAGGTTCAGTGGTAAACTTCTTAGTTGAGTGATCATAATAATTTTCACCCCATAATTTGTTAATAACCTTCTCAACAGGAAGTTTAAACTTCTTGCTATATAATTGAGCGAATTGCTCCAAAGTGAAAGCCCAACCCATCTTACCTGATCCAAAAGCAATGTTACAGTCAACTGGATCAACAGAAACTGACTCATCAGAGTAAGTTGATAATAGAGCATTCACAGACTCGATAATTCTTAAAAAGTTTTGATAACTTTCTTCTTCAGTAAATTGCATTTCTTCAATCAAACGGTCAACCTTGTTAATGAAGAGAACAGGACGAATTCTTTCTTGAAGAGATTGTCTAATTACTGTTTCAGTTTGACCTCTACAACCTTCAGCAGCGTCAACAATCAACACTGCACCATCAGTAATTCTCAAAGCTGTACTAACTTCAGATGAGAAATCAATATGACCTGGACAATCGATCAAATTAACCAAGTGGTGATCATTCTCCTTGTCTGGATTTTCTAATACCATACTCAAACTTGTTGATTTAATGGTAATACCCTTTTCAATTTCATTCTTATCTACGTCGCAAACTCTCTTCTCACCTGCAGCATCTTCATCCACTAAACCAGCTGCTAAAGCCAATTGATCAGTGAGTGTTGATTTACCATGATCAACGTGAGCAATAATACTAATGTTACGAATCTTGTTACTGTCGAGTAAGAGCCTTTCGAGTATTTCTTTACTGAACTTGACCATATTTTAAATCTGTATTTGAATATTGTGCTGAATGAGCTGTTTGTTAATTTGTTTTTTTTGTTTGGTTTGATGGAGTGAGAATACCTTGAGAGCTGTTTAAATAGCTAAATTTGCTTGTTTTCAATTTGAACCTCCACCACAGCTTCACTTTCAGACTTGTGTGTGTTTGAATTTGAACCTGATTCACTTACGAAAATGAACCTCTTCTTCAATTTCAAATATGCACATTCATTTTCATATTCTTGTGTGCTGTTGCTTTGTATAATTTAAAAATAGAGTGGTTCAAATTCGCAAATTCAAGTTAAAATTGATCATGATTGCAATATTAATATTCTTCTTTTTTACAATTAATTAAATATTATTTAATTCTCCTCCGAATCAGAGCCAGAAAACGTTGCAATTTTTTAGTTTATTAATTTTTTCTCGAGAAGCGTGGTGGAAATTAAGCTTTGATCGGAATGACAACAAACTAACACCTTCATCAAAGCATGAATATTTATGATATTATTATTCGCAGTTAACTGCAATTTCAAAATCTCTGAGAATAAGAATCTCATCCACACCAATGAAACTAACGATTTAAAAAAATGTCAAACTTTGTTGATCTGCCATCCGAGTTGCAAATTGAAATATTTTCCATTCTCTCTGTTAAACATTTGAGAAATATTCTTTCAATTAACAAATCAATTCATGAGCAATTGATTCAATCAGAAACATTTTGGAGAACCTTGATCAAGAATTATTCGAAAGTGATCGGAGAAAGTGCTTATGGAGTTGAACAAGCATCACAAGAATTATTCGAAATTGAAAATGTCAAGAAACAGTTAATTGAAATGATAGAAATAAAAAAGAGAAAAACTAAACAATTCCAACAGATGTCTATGGAATTAGAATACATGTTAAGAGAATTAGAAATGGTTCAGAGAGAAATGAATGCACGAAATGAAAGTACTTTGCTATTGGGAGGAAACATCAGTGATCAATTCAAAAATCGAATTGAAAGTTTGAAGCAAAAAGGTGAAAGTGTGAAAAAGGAAAAGGAAGAAATTGCAGAAAAGTTAAAGAAAACGATTATTGATTAAATCCAAGCTCTGCAAATAAAGAAATCTGTGAATAATATGGCAAACAAAACTATCCTCCCATGCCGGGAATTGAACCCGGACCTCCTGGGTGAAAGCCAGGTATCCTAGCCATTGGACTACACGGGAATATATTCAACAGGTAAATGTACCCTTAATGGACTAAAAGGAAAATGCTGTGAGCAAAAAGATTGCTGCTCTACTTAGTTTTTTTTTCACTTAATGATTTAGACGGGAAGCCTGCCGGGAATATGGCGACTGTCCCGCTACAGTCTTTGACTGTATGAACTGTGAGGTACGTCGTCTTTCGAGTCAGTAAGAGAGAGTGATTGGAGGAAGAGGCACTGAGTAAGTTTATTCATTGATTTTTAAATTGATCACCTAGATAAAAAGTATTTTGGTTAAAAAAATTCATAATTGCTTTGATCTCTATGTTTAACAAGTATTACAATCGAATCTAAAGTTACAAGGAAAAGTTTCAGCCACGTTAAAACTCAACTGTTAAATTGATGAACATTGTCTAAACTTTATGAGATAGTCAACAATGAAAATAAGCAATATTGGAATTCCACTGAAATGAAGATTATTTACATGTTAGTTTTTTAATATTTACAATTTGTTGGATAACCAATCCAATCCCTCGAATAAACCAGAACCATTCAAAGCACTACATGGCTGTATGTACCAATCTTGCTTGATTGAATTTAATTGTAGATTCTTTGCAATATCTGTGACATTAGCAGCTCTCGGTAAATCTTGCTTATTAGCCCACACCAATAACTTGGCATTTGACAATGATGGATCCTCCATCACTTTATGCAATGTTTCTGACACTTCTTCAAATCTCTCTCTATCATTCGAATCTACAATGAAAATCACAGCATCTGTTCCATTGTAATAGTGTCTCCACAAGGTTCTAATCATATCCTGACCACCAATGTCAAAAACTCTGAATTGAACTCTCTTGTATTGAATCACTTCGGCATTGAAACCAATGGTAGGTATAGTACTGACATTCTCATCTAATTGTATCTTGTACAGAGTTGAGGTTTTACCAGCTGCATCCAAACCTAGGAAGAGAATTTTGGCTTCCTTTTGTTCGAATAAGGACAAGCCCTTGATCATGTTAGAAAGTAATTGACCCATTTTTGAATTAATTATTGAAGAATGATATAATTGAAGTTTTGTTGTTTTTTTTCAAATTGTTGTTGAGTAATTTTCAGTAATATTCTGCAGTTTTAAAGTGAAATCCACGCAATTCTGTCGTCATCATTTTTTTGTAAACTTGAAAAATGTCGTCAGCAGCAGATAAATATAGATTGTCTTGTAAATTTACCATAGTAGTGTTTGGTGTAGTGACAAAGCTCAAAAAGCTATTGACTCGACAATCACGTGATTATGTGTTAATGTTTCAATTGAAAACATGAAAGAATAAAAGCAAAAGTTAATTTTGTAAAAAGACTACAGCACCACAGGTTCCCAAGTTGTCTCCAACCTCAGTACTGATGTGGCTCGACGATGTTTAACTTCTCAAATCGGACGGGATGAGGTGCATTCATCGTGATATGGCCGTAGCCATCAACAACCATAATTTCTGAAATATAAATCTACTACTAAAAGAAGCTCTACTGTGAATCACAAACATCAATTCCAATAGCTAATATATAAGGTGACTACCAAGAGTTTTTTGGAGTGTATCAATTTATTTCTCACTCCATTTAGACAAGTACTACAAGTCTTCATTGCATAATTTAACTTTAATCAAATTATCATTCAATATCCTTTAGGCTTTAACCAATCTCCGGAGGTTCAATTCATTCAAATCTTCATCAATGTATTTGGTACCAATGATGACAACAACTCAGTAATCATTATCTATGTCCGCAGAAAATAAATGGCTTACATCAGCCATGACTCTTATGTTGCGTTCTTGTTGTTCGCTCCTTCTTGCTGCGGTTCTCTTCCTGTGTGACTCAACAACGATAAATTGTAAATCGAAAAAGACTTTAAAAAAAAATCAAGCCTAGGAGAAGCTACTCACTTTCTATCAACATAGCTTGTAAATTCACACACCCTCTGCTTGTCTGTTCAAACTAGTAATTTTCGTGCGATCAAATCGAAATGCTGATTTATTTGATACTTCCTGTAGCCTTGGCTGCGGTTGTCTTTTTCTACTTGAATTCCAACTCTAAACGTATGTTTTTAATCTCATCGTAGAAGAGAAAAATTAATCTTTTTGTCATCAATAGATCAAAATGTTGTTATCAAGTCTGATTTATTAACAACAAAACCTGTTGCTCCAAAGAAGAAGGATGATAAGAAAAAGGTTGCCAAAGTTGTTCTTGCTGAGGATGATATTGTTGAAGCATCAAATGCCGAAATGACTGAAATTGATGTTGCCGAAATGTATGGATTAAACAAGAAGAAGAAGAAGCCTGTTGTTGAAGTTACCAAGAAGAAGCCTGCTGCCAAGAAGGATACCAAGAAGCAACAACAACAACAAGCTCAACCTGAAACCACTGAAGGTGCTGAAGGTTTTCTCCTTGTTAAAAAGCCAGAATTAACTGGTCGTAAGAAGGAAGACAAGCCAAAGAAGGTTGAAAAGCCAAAGAAGAAGGATGAAAACAAGTCCATCTTTAGAAAGCTTGTTACTGACGATTCTGCTAAACCTGCTGGTGAAAAGAAGGAAGAAGTCGAAGCTGAACCACAAGAAGAAAAGAAGACTGAAAAGAAGGATAAGAAGTCTGAAAAGGTTGAAAAATCTGAAGATAAGAAATCCGAAAAGAAGTCAAAGGAAGAAAAGAGTGGTAAGGACAAGAAGAAGGCTGAAACAAGTGCATCAGTCGATGAAACTGAAAGCCCAGTCACTCCTGTTGTTGTTGAAGAAAAGAAACCAGAAAGAAAGCCAGTCACTGTTGTCAAGGATCCATATGAAACTGTTGATGATTTCTGGGGTGATAATGTTAAACAAGTTCAACCAAAGCCTCCAAGAGAACCAAGAGAAAATAAGGAAAAGAAGGAACCAAGAGAACCAAGAGAACCAAAAGAAAATAAGGAACCAAGAGAACAAAAGGAACCAAAGGAAAAGAAGGCTAGAGAACCAAGAGAACAAAAGGAACAAAGAGAACCAAAGAAGAAGGATATTGTTTTGACAAAGGAAAAGAAGGAACCAAAGGAACAAAAGGCCTCAGTTAAGATCTTTAACCAAGTTGAATCTTCTGCCACATGGAACATTGCCTCTTCTGAATCTCCAGTTTCTGCACCAGAATCTGGAAATTCTGACTTCCCAAAGTTTGGTGAAAAGGTTAAGAAGGTTAAGCCTGCTAAACAACCTGTTGCTTCATCATCAACTGATGTTGCCACTCCAACTGAAGTTGTTGAATCAACTCCAACTGAGGAAGTTAAATCAGAAGAAGAACAACAATAAGGAATTTTAGTTTAAAACTAAGCAATTTTTAATTTTTCACACCACATGTAAATTTATAAATTATATAAATAATTTTGTTAAATATTAAATAATAATAATTATTCAATTTATTTTAATATTTACACAACTGATTGATTGGCTATTAATAAATTGTAAGAAAAAATGAATTCAAATAGTAATACACAATTAATTTCTTCATCGGTTAGAGATCGGGAAATCTACATCAACAATGGTATGCAAATAGCAACTCCAACAGCTATACAACAATTTTCATCATCAGTTCCGAATGATTACTATTTTGAAAAACGATCCTTCTACTCACAAAACAATTCCTCTTCTTCAACACCAACATCGTTAAAAACTGGAGAATTTATTTCAAATGCAGAAGTATTCATTAGTGATTGTCCTCTCATCAATCAAGTAGTCTTTGAAAAGTGGCTTCAGGGAGCTTCTATTGAACAAACATCAAATTTCCTCTTTGAAAAACAACGAGCATCTAGACAAGAATATTTTGCTAAATATTCATTCTTTATTGAAAATTATTTCAAATTAATTATTCATGAAGTTACCTATCAGTACAGAATATTTACAGATTTTCAACCTTATTTACAAAATCCTTCCCTTTTTATGAGTTGTAATACAATTTTACAAGTTGCTCCGAGTGTCAAACAATCACTCATTCAACAATATTTTGATTTTGATGAAAGAGTTTATAGAGAATTGATGGGAAAGAAATTAACTTCAAAACTCAGAAGAGATTTGGAAGAAATTAGTGAAAGATGTAATATTGAAATTATTTCAGTGAGGAGACAATTTGACAATTTGAAAACAATATTTAAATTTATCAAAGCAGCTGCTTCCTCTTCATTGAGTGAATTTATTACTCTTCACAAACACGACAATGGTCAATCAATAATTGCAAGAATCATTCAGGAAAAATTCATGCTTTCTGAAAAGTTAGCAGAGTATGTATTATTAACTTTAAACATTTCAAATATTCACGTTATCTATTCGATAATTTATAACAATAGGAAATATGCAACATTAGTTTTCATGATTTATCAAAGATTTGAACTCAATAAGAAGGTGATGAAGGATTTCAAATTCCAAGATATTTACTTTTTATGTTCACAAATTTTCAAACATTGGACCTATCATACTAAGGGAACTTCTGTCTCCTCTTCTATACCCAATGCCATTCTCAACCATACAAACACATCAAGTGTTGAAGTTTCTACAAGTCCAATAACAATAACTACAAGTATGAATGCTACAGGTGAGGAAGTACAAATTACAATATTCGATTCTCATCAAATAGCAATTGATTTTATGAAATTTAGAGATATCAAGACAATAATATTTTCAGATAAAATCAGACTGAATGAATATATTAAGAGTATAAAGAAGGAATTAGCAGATGATAAGGCATTTACTACTGATGTATTAGAAAGAATTGTAAGTCATTTCAATTTAACCATCTTGTAATCAATATAATAATTATTATAATTGTCTTTATAAATAGGATGAAATTATAATCAACTCTTTAAAATCACTACTACAAATTGGCCAAGGATTAACAAAAGAAATGAGAGACATTTTCACAGATCTGTACGATAAATTCATTGAACCTATTGAGGAGATTAATCTATCAGGTCACCAATTATTCCAATTGTTGGAAGCTGCACGTGAAAGTTTCTTAAAGATCTCAACAGCTAAACCACAGCATATTCAAAAGTATTACCCAACTTTCTCTTTGTACATGATGGTCATTAGGGATATCGTTGTGTACATGTACAAAAAGTTGCATTGAAAACTTTGACAAGTCACAAGTCAACACAAGCTCAGAAAGGTATGAATAACTGGTAAATGTCACCATCACACAACAAAAAAATGCTTGGAAGGCATTTGTTCAGCAAACGCAGTGGCAGTTTTGGAAGAGAGGATGGTGTCATTCTTTCGGGATATCTAGTAAGTTGTCAAATGCCACTTTAAAACCAATAAATTTCTTTAGCACAAGGTAACGTTCAATATTATTATTAAACTTCATCATCCCAACACACTCAACAACATTCTAGACTGGAAATGTGAATAAAATATGGAAAAAGGTATGTGTCCACAACAATATTTATTCACCAATTTTCGAATTCATATTCGAATGTGAACCAATCATGAACAGAGGTATTTTGAACTCAATAACGATCATACACTCTCCTACTACAAGAACAAGGTAACAGGAGGTTCACCCAATAAGAAGGAGGAATTAAAACTTGGCACTTTAACTTTGGATCCAACCAACACGATTGTGGAAATATTTCATGAAAAGGAAAATTCGGAGGAGGTTTCATCACCTTCCACTTCTTCCTCTTTTAATAATTATTCATCATCACCATCGAATGGTTCAATGATGCTTGGAAATGGTTCATTCTTTAGTTCAGCATCATCATCTTCTAGTTCATTGGCAACTTCACAAAATGGAAAGTCGAGTGAAATTGTCGTTTCTCCACAAATTTACGATGTGAAAAAGTTGAAAGAGGAGAAGGAATACATGCTAAACTCTAAAATGATTCAATGTATTTATAGGGAAAGGCAGAGGAAGCAGAGATCATTCAGGAAGGACAGAAAACAAAGTGCATTTTCTAGAATTTCAACGAGATATCAACAAACACCAATTTCAAACTCACAAAATGAAATTCCAGGATCTGTTTCTTATTTAACATCTTCCCAATTGACTACAATGACAACCACTTCATCTACATCTTATTTCTTTTTGAAAAAAGTGAAAAAGTACAAATTTTCAATTACAGTAGGTAATAGTCAGAGTGGAGGAAAGGTCTATAAGGACAGGAAGTATACATTCTATTGTGAAACTGAAGAGGAAAGGGATATGTGGATTAAAGGAATTATTTCATCGATTGAGAAACAAGTTAAAGCTCAAATTAGAAAACCATATACATTCGAATCGATAAGACTTTATTCCAATTTCTTGGCATTTATTGGAGATGAGTCACAGGAAATGATTATTCATGCCTTGAATAATATCAGATCACCAGTTCAAGAATCATTTTTGGTTGCTTGGATGGTTGTTATGGATTGCTTTTCATTTCACAAGGTTTGTACATTAGTTTTGATGATTACAATGATTTGTAATTTACAATAGTCATGTATTGGACTAGTTAAAGCAGCAATTAAGGTCGAACTGGAGCTGACAAAGCATCCAGAAACTCTTTTCAGAAGGTTTGTGTTGTTGGAAATATTAGCATTTCACTAATTGATCAATTAGAAATTCTATATCTACCAAATTAGTTCAATTGTTTTTCAAAATACATGGTCAAGCTTTCCTAAAATCAACACTTCAACAACTCATTGCCAAAATTTGCATTGCCGATGAGTATTTGGAAATAGAGGAGAGTCGTCTGAGAGAATTTTTAAAAAAGGAACTCGATGACATTGATCATCCAGAGAAACCAAATGGAGAAATTATTAATCAAATCATTTCATCGAGACAACAACGTAACAAGACAAGAATTGTTGACATTTCAAAACAATTTTTGAATAGAATCATTTCGAATACAATTAATGAGGGACCATTTGAAATTTGTGAAATATTGGAATTTACCTACGAGGAGAGTAAGAGATTATTCCCAGAGAGTGCAGAAATCGCAGTTGGTGGTTTATTCTTTTTGAGATTTGTCTGTCCTGCAATTATTTCACCCCATTTACAGGGAATTCTCTCATTCCAACCTCAAAGCAACTCCCAGAGAACTCTCACACTCATTACTAAAATCATTCAAAATATTGCCAATCAAGTTTATGAGAATAATACCAAGGAAGAGTACATGGCACTGGTTTCAGAGTTTATTACTCAACACATTGAAAGTACGAAGGAATTTATCAGAGATATCAGTAGCTTGGATCAAGATGCTAAAAAGTTTGAAAAGAATAAGAGACTTACAATGAGGTTTGGTCAGTCCAATTCTGATTTGGAGTTGAATTGTTATCATGTCATTCACGAGTTTTTCAGAACCACTGAGGATGGAAAGAAATTCAACACTCAAAATCCAGAACTTTTCAAATTTTACACCCGAATGTTGGACTCACTCAATGAGGATGTGAAGAGTGAGCTCAATGTAAACAAACCTCAAGAAAAACAACCTCCATCTACACCTCCACCAGAAGTCAAACCTAAAATTCCAAAAGAAACTTCACCTATCGATGCCAGTAAGAGAAGAAGAGGCGCTACCAAGCTGAATCAGGAACCTGCAATGATACCAAGTGAACCAAATATTCCTCGTGTGTTACCAACAACAGCTCCAATAGTTATCAATTTTGATAGAATGAGCATTTCAGAGTCAAGATCGCCAATCGATACACGTAAGAGTGTTTCGAGCAGCTCAGAAGCACTTTCAACCTCTCGAAGAAGAAGAGGCGTTGTACACAATGTGAATGTCTTGAGTCCAGCAGATGATCATTCCAGTAGTCATAGAGAGAGTTTCAGTGTGACAATCGCTCATGAAATTGAAAGTGCAATCTCTCAACAAATTGATTCACCAAGAAAGGTTGACTCACCAAGAAAAGATACTCCAGTAATAACTCAAACGGAGAAAGAACCTACTCAAGAAACTATTGCACAGGAATCACCAAAGAGTGAATCAGAATCAGACGATGATTTCAGTAACACTGGAGATGTTTCACTCCTTCAACAAATGAATAATTCAACCAGGTTGACCACTACTAAAACACAAGATGATGAACTAGAAAAGATTGTAATTCTAACCTCTTTGAATGGAGAAAATACTCCAATGAATGAAAGTGATGAAGCATTCACGGCTGACACTCCAAACGATGCAGATGATAGAGAACTACTTGAACAAATTGTAAACACAACACGAATTACAACAAGTTCAATAGATATCGATTACATTATTAATATGGAAGAAAAGAAGGAATCGGACTCTATTTCAGAATCGTCCAGTGATGATGAAGAGGAAGAAGTTTCTTACAACTTGTTAGAAATATTTGGAAAGGGAGAGGAATTATCTGAGGAAGAGTTTGTCAATCTCATCATTAAATATATTGACGAAAGTGGAAAGGAAATTATGTCTGAATGCCAAAGGGGCTCAGATAGAATTCAATACCTCATTAAGAACAAGTTCATTATTGCCTTAATTGCCTTATTTTCACTTAGATTGAAAACTGATAAGGGTGTTTGGCAATTAGCTTCTAACTTGTGTTCACTTTCTGAAAATGAGAGTTTAATTGAAGTTTCTAATGAATTAATTGGCTCATTTGAACTATTCAAGCAAAGACACTCTGAATTGGATCCTCACCAACAAGAGTACATTTGCTTCTGCTCATTCATTTGTAGAATTATCAATAAGGGAACACTATTCGAAACTCTGACCTATCTACTCAACGTTCAAGAATTGGATTTGATTCTCTCCGAATATTATTCACACGAAAGCGATTACGATAGTGATGGTTATGAATTGGATAATATCGATTTACTTTCATTCCCAATTATTCATACAAAAACTTCACTAATTTCCATTTGTGAACAATTATCATCCTGTTTACAAAAGACAATTTCACACAATTTTGAATTGGACTCTTCATTTGAATCGTGTAATCTTTCTTTCATGTAAAATAAAAAACAAAAATTTATTTGAGAAGCAAGTTAACTTTCGTCTGGTTTAGCCTCAGATCCTGTTAAATATCTTCTGAAGAGAGTGAAAATTCCACATTCCACTCCAACTGCCAACACAACGAAAAGAATCGACCAAAGAAGAAACCTTTCCAGTTGATCCCTTATTTCATTATGCATACAATAAAGACCCATATAGAGAGCTAGCGAATAAAACACAATAAATGAAATATGAAACGTGAGCGCAACAATATTCGAATTCAACAAACTCAACAATTTCTTTCCGTACGGATTTGAAATTCTGCACTCATCCAAGAAGGACATTTGTGCTATTAGAAACTTCATCACACCATGAATTGTAAAGAAGGAGAAGGAGAATAATCGAACCGAATGTATGATTATCCAACTGAGGAGGACCATTAAATTGAATTCTTCGTATTTTCCATTTTTACAATCCAATTTTTTAGTGCACTTTCCACAATCTCTAAATTTGGTTATGCTAATCCATCCCGAAAAATGCATTAATGAAAGAAGAAACAGAAACCAGACTAATCTTTGGAAATGCTCATAGAGTAGAGTCATTTTTTATATTTTGTTTATTTTCATTTTGGAGGAGTTTTGTTAAATTTCCATTTTTGGAGGATTACTTTTTTTGATTGCATTTTCATTCTGCTTTCTCTTTGAGAATAAAAATCAACACCAAATGATACTTTTCAGATTTATTCCTCACAATCTGAATCCAATCTATTGCTTTTATCCTAAACTCAGTTGAAAGTTTAAAAAAAGTTGAAGGGGAAAGTGGCTTCGATCCACTGCCTCAGCATCATCATTGTAGGTGAAGAAACATCGTCCACATGCATGCGTTCTCCCATCTGAACTATTCACCTCCAACCATGAGTACAACCTTCCCAATACTTTGAACTCTGTCTTCTAAATGACCATGGTTTCAGATTGTGGTTTTAGAATTTTCAAAAAAAACTTCCATGTTCACACAACGTCATACCTAATGAATCAAAATCAAGAGCTCAAGAATAAAGAACATTCTTAGGATGAATAAATAGAACCCTATTTGAATGATATGATTAGCAACCAATCAATTGAACTAACAGGATTTATGTACATGGTTGAGATTTCCACAATTTCTTCTTAATATCTATCCATCAAAAAATACTTTCCCTTGATATTAGAAACTCTCTTCTTGACCTCTTTTTTAATATTGGGATCTTTTATCAATGAAAACGATTCTGGATTGCTGCAAACAGCATAGGTCATTAGTTCAACATTGGATAGAAATGATTCGTTCAAAAATTCTAAAACCATTCCATCTTTCTTAATAGCCATTGTTACAATTTCAATATTGTTCTTAATCTTGTCAGATGCATACTGTATAGAAAGTGGTGTATTCGAAATGGCTTCACTCACAACAAGTGGATTTCTTCTGAGCTGTTTCTTCATCTTCTCTAACATGTATCCATCGTGTTTTACAGTTACGAGGGCTATATCAATATCCTTCTTTAAACTGTCGTCAATGTAGATGTAACAACTTGGACTGATGGACATGGCTTGCAACACAAATTGCTTATCCTTTCTAAACTCTTGGTAGGAGTTTTCAAAATGAAATGTATCTCCTTTTTTCATCATTTCTAATATTTGTGATTTTGAGTACATTCTAAACACCATTAATCGGGAATAGAGTTTAGGCAAATGTGTAGATGTGTACAATGCAAGAAGGTATAGACCATCTACTGTTAAATAATCAATTCTACTGGTTGATTCATCTTCGGATTCTTCATCATCACTCAACTCTTCAGCACCAAAGATGGAAACTACAAATTGAACCATATAATCGTTCAATCCAGTAGTCTTTGGAGCAATAAAGTCATTCAGATATGGTTCAAACACTTTATAGTTATGGTTGTTCAAATTATCAAAAATCCATCTGAATTGTTCACTTATTAATTGGTTTTTCTCTTTCAAAAGTTCGGATCCACAATTTCTGTCCAACAGACAAACAACCCCTCCATCACGATCATCAATATTAGCATCAGTAGATTTTCTTTTTAACAAGCTAGTTGGTGATTTGCAAAAGAAAGAAAAAAAGCAACCGGAAAAATCCTGGCTCTGGTTGAGCATTGAAAGATTAGTGTCGGCATTAGAACGTCCATGATCTGTAGAATTTTGTGAAGATTCTACGTTGGATTGGCGCTCTGATTGTTTTATCCTCTTGTTGCAACACACAGGTTCCTCCTTCCCTTGTCTTTTCATATTTTTTTCAAATCAATTGCAAACAATAAAACATGTCATTTTTCAACTTCTTTTCACCAAGAAACCAAAAAAATTTGTTCCTATTATTGAATAACACAAAACCAGTAGCAACACCACACCAATGATAAATCAGCTTCTAACTTTTGAGATGTTAATTGCTTCATTTCACTGATGAATTTGATTCCTTCATCACTAATTTGATTGTCAGCAATATCAAGTAATGTTAATTGTTTCATTTCTCTTATTAATTTGGCTCATTTTTTTACAAATTCGAAATGGGGACTATCAATAATGATTTCGGAAACAATTTTACAAATCAAACTTGTGCTTTACAGCCACAAAACCTATCAAGCCATTGATGATGTTTGTATTGATGGCTTCCAATCTTGCTTTGGGCCGTTTCGAAGGACCTTGTGCAGTTGATTTTTTTATTTTTTCAAAAGTAAAAAAAGCGCGCCACTGCTTCCCTCAAAGGCTTCCATTCTCTCAACAACATGTTATTGTTGTGATGCTTATGTTGTGGCAATAAGCCTTCTCGGAACTGTAAAGTGGTATTTTAAATAATCGTTGGACGAATGAAAAACTGTAATGGATGGAAGTGAACAGATCAAATCACAATCACACAATGAAGAGTTTATCTGTGAAAGAGGGATGGAAAAAGACAAATAGGGTTTGTTGCCTTTTCGCCTCGGTGCACTTTTTCATATGTGACATAGCCTATCTGCCTTGTAGTACGATGATATTAAAATCACATATGAAGCTTTATTGATTCTCGAGTCACTGCGTAGAGCACTTTATTCAATATATTTACAAGGCAAGTGGATGATTCATGTTTGATACCAATTGGTTAAGAGCTTGACAATTAGCTAACCACCTTTGAAAAACGTTCAACAATCATCTAAAAGCCTGACACCCTTAGAGTTTACCAGCTCGGTAATTTGGCTATTTCGGTTAATGCTTATACAAAATTGAAAGTGCCAAAATTAATATGTGAAAAATAATTGGATACCGCTTGCCAGTTGATTGTGATATGCCAAGTTTGAAGTTTGATTGTTGTCTTGACCCTCCACATTGAAAAAAACAAAACACATAGCACCTTGGTAGTAGATAACAATGATGCCAAGATTTTCGGGTTGCACGCTATTAACATTGTTTTTCATTCAAAGTATTGTGTTAATAATACTTTTAACACAAACAACACCAGTTCTCTCATGGTCCTATAGTATGAGAACTGTAGCTTCAGCACCAGATACTATTACTCAAATTGTTGGTGGTAATCAATTTATTTATGCTGCCTTTGGTTCTGATAATATTGTTTATTATAACAGAAGTGATTCAACTCAAATTGATGTCGCTACCATGTTGGCTGCTACTAATACTAATGCTGGTTCTACTTTTAAATATGTCGCTTACCATGGTCAAACTTCTGGAGGAAATGATATCATTTCTGCTGGTACTGTTAGTGGCATCTTTGATAGTGTTGGATTGTATTCATGCGCTATTGATTCACAGAACCTTCCTGCCTCTTTGACGGCCTTTACTGGCACTTCTCCAACAAAATTATTTGGTGTGAGAGGAAAATCATCTAATTCTCCATCAGATCCTCAATTTTATCTCATGACAGATCAAGGAATTATTGAAGCTGATTCATCTAGTTCTTCGCCTGTTGGCTCTGCTTCATTTAGTACTCAAGTTGACTTGGATTTTAATTCTTCCATGGTAAGTTTATTTCTTCTAAAAACGTTGTGATAATCTAATACTTTGATAGATATTTTATTTGGATTCTTCTAGTAATCTTTGGTCGGGTTTGACTAGCAGTACTAAAGTTATTGGCAGCGGACTTAATTTACCAAGATCTTTGAGCTTTGTTGATACTTTTAATCAAGTAAGTGATGAAATAGTACTCATTTCTCTAATTAAATTAGATTTTTATCTCTGATACTGGTAATGGTCGTGTTAAAGTTTTGGATCTATCCTCAAATCAAGTTACCACCATTGCCGGAGGTTCTTCAACTCTTCCACCAAATGACTTTACACTTGTTAGCTCACCAACTAACTATCAAATTACTCCTACTGGTATTTGGGTTGACAAGTCAAATGGATACGTATACATTGCCGATGGAGCATACATAAGAGTTCTCACACCAACTTGTAACACCATTTCTGAGGATGCCTCTTCTTCATATCCTTTCTGTGTCTGCAAATCAGGCTATATTCTCCAAGATGGGGTTTGTGTTGTTAACAACTGTTTGACATGTAACTCAAATCAAACTTGCGTATCAAATGCCTGTGTCTGTAAAAATGGTTATTCTGGAGCTTTATGTTCTGAATACAAGTGTTTTGGTACCCCTAAAGATAATGTTGGAGTATGTAGTAGTAGAGGTTATTGTACTGCACCAGATAATTGTATCTGTACTGACTCTATGAAATACTCAGGCGCTTCATGTAATGTTACTACCTGTAATTCCATCCCATCCTATCAATCTAATGTTTGTTCTGGAAAAGGTCAATGTACTGATTATAACTTGTGTGTATGTACCAACACAACTGAATACGGAGGAGTAAATTGTGAATATTTCAAATGTAATGGACTCAATTCAAATGATGGAAACGTATGCAGTAAGAACGGCACTTGTGTTGGAATTAATTCATGTTCATGCAATTCAAATTATGCTGGTAACAACTGCCAGTACCCTAAGTGTAACGGAATCCCATCAACTGATACTAATAATGTTTGTAATAAGAATGGTACCTGTGTTGCTGTTGATACCTGCAACTGTAATGTTAATTACACTGGTCAATTCTGTCAATATCCAAAATGTAATGGTACAGCTTCAAACGATGCAAGTGTTTGTAACTCCAATGGTGTTTGTAGTGGTGTTAATAATTGTGTCTGTAATTCAAATTATACTGGCCAATACTGTCAATTCCCTAAGTGTAACGGAATTGGCTCAAATGATATTAATGTTTGCTCAAAGAACGGTACCTGTGTTGCTGTTAATACTTGTAATTGTAATGTTAATTATACTGGACCATATTGTCAGTATCCAAAATGTAATGGCACGGCTTCAAATGATATTAATGTGTGCAGTAAGAATGGTAATTGTATCGCTCCAAATGTTTGTTCATGTAATTCAAGCTTTTCTGGCCAATTCTGTCAATATCCAAAATGTAATGGAATCCCATCAACTGATACTAATAATGTTTGTAATAAGAATGGTACCTGTGTTGCTGTTGATACCTGCAACTGTAATGTTAATTACACAGGTCAATTCTGTCAATATCCAAAGTGTAATGGTACAGCTTCAAATGATATTAATGTGTGCAGTAAGAATGGTAATTGTATCGCTCCAAATGTTTGTTCATGTAATTCAAGCTACACTGGTCAATTCTGTCAATATCCAAAATGTAATGGCATTCCATCAAACGATGCTAGTGTTTGTAATTCAAATGGTACCTGTATTGGTGTTAATACTTGTAATTGTAATGCTAATTATACTGGTCAATTCTGTCAATATCCAAAATGTAATGGTACTAGCTTCTAATGATACTAATGTTTGCAGTAAGAAGGTGGTAATTGTATTGCACCAAATGTTTGTTCATGTAATTCAAGCTACACTGGACAATTCTGTCAATTCCCAAAGTGTAATGGTATTGGATCCAATGATGGAAGTGTTTGTAATGCAAATGGTACTTGTATTGGAATTAACATTTGTTCTTGCAATTCGAATTATGCTGGACAATTCTGTCAATATCCAAAATGTAATAGTATTGCTTCGAATAGTGGCAGTGTTTGTAATTCACAAGGATCATGTGTTGCACCAAATGTTTGTGTCTGTAATTCAAATTATACTGGCACTTATTGTGACAAACCAAGATGTGGCATCTATTATAAGGGTGATGCTTCTGCTTGTAATTCGAGAGGTAGTTGTGATGCTGTTGATAGTTGTACTTGTAGTGATACATCTTCTTGGGGTGGCAATTTGTGTCAATATCCAAAATGTAATGCTGTTCTTTCAAATGTTGGAACTGTTTGTAGCAGTAGAGGAACTTGTCAATCTCCAAACAATTGTTCATGCACTGATCCAAGTTCATATGGTGGTTCATATTGTGAAAAAGCAAAATGTTATGGAATTCTTCAAGGAGATTCAAATGTTTGCAGTGGGCATGGTACTTGCAGTGGTGTGAATCAATGTTCATGCAGTGCTGGATATGGAGGTGAACAATGTCAATATCCAAAATGTTTCACTATTTTGAGTAATGAAACAACAGTTTGTAACAATAGAAACGGTACATGTACTGCACCTGATACTTGTTCATGTAACAACGGATGGACTGGAAGCAAGTGTGATGTTGCCATTTGTTTTTCAATTCTCTCCAATTCAACAAAGGTTTGTTCAAACAAGAGAGGTAGTTGTGTCACACCAGATAATTGTGTTTGTAAAAGTCAATATTCAGGTTCTCAATGTGAATATACCACTTGTTCTGGAATAAGATCAGATCAAACATCGACAGTATGTTATGGAAATGGTCAATGTATTGATTATAATACTTGTAATTGTACAACTGGTTATGGACCATCCAATGTATGTCAATATCCAATTTGTGGTGGCTATTTGGCAAATGATACAAGAGTTTGTAACAATTCAAGAGGTGTATGTTTGAGACCAAATGAATGTAGACCATTAGATCCCGTATGTTATGGTAAAGCTCAGAATAATTCAATGGTTTGTAGTGGACATGGTTCATGTATCGATTGGGATTATTGTGAATGTAAAACTGGTTTCAATGGAAATGAATGTCAAAATTGGGAATGTTATGGAAAGAATTATACCAACTCAAATGTTTGTAACAATGGAAATGGTACCTGCTCATCTGTGAATAATTGTGTTTGTAACAGTGGATGGTATGGAAATGAATGTACAGTTCCAATGTGTAATGGAATTCTTGCAAATTCATCCCTAGTTTGTAACAATGGAAATGGTACCTGCTCCAAACCAGGTGCATGCCAATGTAATACTGGATACACAGGATCTGACTGTTCCATTCCAATTTGTTATGGCAAATTAGGCACTGATACAAGTAATGTTTGTTCAGGAAGAGCAGACTGTATTGGTTATAACAAGTGTAATTGTGACACTTCCAAGTATAGTGGTTCACAATGTGAATATTTCAAATGTTTTGGTATTCCGTCAAATGATGCTTCAGTTTGCAGCAGAAACGGAACATGTTCAGGTGTGAATCAATGTTCTTGTAATTATGGTTATGGTTCTTCAAATTGTGACATTTTCACATGTTCAAATGTTCTTGCCACCAATTCAAGTGTTTGCAGTGGAAAGGGTGTATGTTATGGAATTGACAAGTGTTCATGTGATTCAGGATATTTTGGATCAAATTGTGAAATTATCTCCTGTTATGGAATTCCAAAGTCCAACAATACTGTATGTGGTGGAGTTGGTGAATGTTCACAACTTGATACATGTGTTTGTGGAAGCGGTTATAGAGGCTCAATGTGTGAATTATCTTACACCTCTTCATCTCAAGCAACACTTCAATTCAACAATACGAATGAATATGTGAATGAACAATTCACAAGCATGGTCACTTTGACAATTAATAATCCACTCTTCGGCCAATATTATTTGAGAAGAAGTGTTCAAGTTGTTGTTTCATTTGAAATTAATTCACAATTCAGTTATTCTGAAACACTTTATATTGAAAATGGAGTTTCATCTGTTTCATTAATGGTGAAATCGTTGAGTCAAACTGGTACATTGAAAGCATCTGCTCAATTAATTGATAATAGCACATTGATTTCCATTTCAGATAGTATTCAATCTTCAAATAGCATTACAATTCAAAATAGACCTATTGTTGTTCCATCTACAAAGACATCCACAACCAAACCAACAACCTCTGCACAAACAAGTAGAGCTGTTATCGATACAGGAAGTAATGCAGGAGCCATTGCAGCTGGTGTTATTGTTCCAGTGGCAGTTATTGGAATTGGAGGTGGTGTCACTGCAGCCATTGTCACAGCAGTTGTTTTATTAAAGAAGAAGGCTGCTGCAGCTGCTGCCGCAGAAATTTCCCATGCTCAACACGTCAATGTTGAACTTGTTGAAGGTTTCTAATAAATCAAACTTTTCATCAGCTCTCTCAATAATTTATTTCTACCTTGCTCAATTCTTTCCACTATGTGCAACAATGGCAAATTGCCACAATAGAACATTGTAAAGAGATATGAAGATTCATATCTTCCACTAATCAACAACCAACAAACAAACTTAAAGACAATTTTACAATGCAAATCAAATACATACCCAAATCGAACCTTCTAGTAACTTTTCGCTTAACGAACTGTAACATGCATTAGCAAATTACTTCCACACTAGATATCGGCCAAACCAAATCGACATTTACCAAGTTGATAATTGACAAGATCATCTTCTACTCTGGGATCTGTTAAATACATGCTCTCTTGTGGAACATACATTACTTCATAACATAAAAAAATGGTTTCGTCTACTAAGCAATTAACTATTGTTCTGACATTATTGTTTGCTTTTGCAATCATTAACATTTCACATGCTGCTGTTTATCAAGTGAAAGATGCTGTTACTTTGTGGAGTACTTTTGGTAAGCTCCAAGCTGGTAAGTTTCTAATAACAATGTTTGAATCAAATTAACAACCTCTTTGCATGTAATCGTGTCCGTTGGCATGTCAAAAACCTATTCGAAACTTGAATAGGTGACGAAATGATCATTAGACAAGGAACCTATTCCACATCCACAGGTGGATCTTACTATAGACAATTCACATTGAGAGGTACATCCGCATTACCAATCAAAGTTTATGCTTGGAAAAACGAAACTGTCGAAATTAAGGGAGACGCAGCTGCCAGTCAAAATATTCTAAACTTTGATGTTGAATATTTTGTCATGGATAATCTTGGTTTCTCTCAAGGAAGTCGTGGTTTAAGATTTTTAAATTCGAAACATTCAGTTTATTCGAATCTGAGAGTTAAAAACACTGGTGATGTTGGTATCTCCATGAATGATGGAAATGCGCTTTATCAAAACAATACATTCAGATATAATGAAGTTTCGTATACTAGAGGAACTGGTGAATGTTTCTATTTGGGTTGTAATAATGCTGGATGCAAGTTTATTTTCAATTTATTGGAAAATAACTATTGTCATCACACAAGCACTGCAGCCCAAGGAGATGGTATTGAAATCAAGACTGGAAGTTATGGAAATGTTGTTCGAAACAATGTCATTCATGATGGAAACTATCCTGGTATTACCTTATATAGTACTTATTACAATGGTGTAGATAAGGATATTGGCATTGCTAATCCAAATATTATTGAAGGAAATATCATTTGGACTGTCAAAGACAATGGCATACAAGTGACAGGTAATGCCATTATAAGAAATAACATTATTTACAATGCAGGTGCAAGTGGAATTGCCATTCAAACCAATCAAGGAATTGTCGAAAATGTCAAAGTATTGCACAATACAGTTGTCAAAGCAGGTGCTGCTTGTATTAGAGTGACAAATTCAGGTCCAGGAATTTTGATTGCAAATAATGCTGCCTATTGTGAAACAACAAGTTCCGTTTATATTGCCTCAGCATTGCCTGCTGATGGAATTATCTCAAGAAATGTCATTCAGGGCTCGACTAATGTTCAAGTTGTGAATGGAACTCTCAATATTGGTAAATTCACAACTGATTTCCAAGGGAGTAGCGCCTTGCCATATAATGTGTTCCCAGTTGTTTCCAGTAATGTGCTTGGAAAGGCAGATTCAAAGTATGCTACCACTTATGATTTCAATTTTAATACTAGAAATGGGCCAACTTATGATTGTGGTGCTTATCAAGCTAATGGAGCTACTTCAAATCCTGGTTGGATTCCAACAACTGGTTTTAAGAATACTAATGCTCCAACTCCAGTCAATCCTGTAACTCCTGGTGCTTCAAAGACTCCAACTCCAGTCAATCCAGGCACTTCAAAGACAACACCAACCAATCCAGCAAATAGTCCAACTGCAGTTAATTCAAACAAGAGAGTTAACAATGCGAATGTTTTGATGCAAAGTATTGCTGCCATGATTGTTGGTTTGCTTGTATTCATTGCTATTTAAATAAATTTAGTATTATTTAAAAGTCCTCATCCTCACTTCGTTAATGAAAAAGATGATTCACTATTAAATATTAATATTTAATTATCCTAAAATCGTTACATCTATTGATGTTATTGAATAATAATTAATGATGGCAATTTTAATACATTTTCAATTTTATTAGAATAAACCTTAATAAGTTTTAGTCAAGTTTAAAAATCTCTTTCAACAAAATCCAAATTTCTCAACAATAACAATTCTTCTCTCTTCAACTCTGGAATGTTCAATTTGCTGACTGCTGATGAATATTCAGCCAACTTTTCGTGATTAATCTTTTGTTCCTTGCAATAATTAACCAAGAGATCATAGAAAAGAGGTAAATATCTACCACTAGCTCCGTATTGTTCAGTGTGTAATTCAATGGCATTATCCAACAATGAAATAACTTCTTCTGTAGAGGCCTTTTCACCCAAAATTAAAACTTCAGCTTCTCTTCTTAACAGAGATGAATATGAAGGTGAGAAGTAACCATTATTGAATTGAAGCTCCTTAGATTGAGTAATATAATTCAAAGCAGCATCTAATTGACCTCTAGAAATGAAAAGATCAACAAGATAATTGTTAACGAATTGTTTGACTTGAGGTGTTGTTTCTGGATTATCAATCTTGATCATCTTCATGTATGAGTGTATATCTTGAGCAGCATTACGCTTCTTGGTGGCATAAAGAGTGTGATTGAGTAAGATGGTAGAAATTTGTTGAAGGTCCTTTGAGACAGTTGGGAAGTTTCTGGCAATTTGTTGTAAAGATTCAACATAGAGCTTACTGGCTTCATCTAATTGTTTACCTTGAACAGTCAAAATGGAAGCCTTGGAAAGCTTGTACATGACACTGGAAAGAGAACCCAATAATTTAGCATCACGAAGTCTACTATCCAACCAAGAAACCATAGAATCAGCTGAACCTTCATTCTTGATAGAAATATTGTATAAAACTTGAACAAGTGTAAGTTGAGTTTCAACTTCTAATCTATCCAATTGGTTTTCAATCTTCTTATTGATTGGTTCAACACCGAAATATTTATCAAATTCTGGGACTTTTCTTCCAACAACTGGTACTCTAATATCTTGTTCTTGTTCCAATTCATAAATCTTATTAACAACTTCTTCAATAGTATCTTTAGATTTCAGCTTCTTTTGATTTTCCTTGTATTCTTCCAAAGAAATACCAATAGTAGCAGCTTCCTTTTCCTCTCGATCGACTTCTTGTTGTCTCTTTTCGTAGAAAACTTTCATTTCAGAAATCTTGTTCAATAATTCTTCACAAGCAACTTTAGCAACTTCATAATCACCCAAACCAATAGCAGCTCTGATTTTAGATTTGTGAACAGCAAGTGAATAATACAATGGGAAGTTGTGGCTCTTTCCGAAATGTTCCTCTCCTACTAAAACATTGAAAAAGTTGTCGGCCTTTTCACCAATGAGTAATGGTTGGACCAACTTGAACAAACCATTATCAAGAGTAAGTTGTTGAATAGCAAGAACCCATTTTAAGAAGAGGGAGAAACGGGAGTTTAACTTGCTGATATACTCTGCATCATAGGTGATGTTTGTTTCGGTGGTAATTTGTTCAATTTGTTGTTGGAAGGCAGCAATTTCGTTTTGAACGTGAGTTTGAATAGAGTAAAGATAGTAGAGTTGTTCTCTAGTTTTATCGGTGGTTCTCTTTTCCAAAGGTTCAACTTTCATTGCACTTAATTCATTAATTAAATCACCCAAGGACTTGCTACTAAAATCCAAATTTTGTTTAGCGTCCAAACAACGGAATTGTTGATGGAATGGACGAACATCAAGAGCGGAAACAACAAGTCTATTGAAAGCAACTTGTTGAGAACGCGACTTGGATAAGCATCGTGGGGTAGCGAAAAAGAGTTTTTTCATTTTTTTTAATTACAAAGAATTTTTATTTTTTTTTTTTAAAATTCTTTGTTAGTCCTGTTGCTATTCAGTTGTTGGGATTTATTTTCCAATCTAGCTATTTCGATAATTATTTTCCAACTCAATTGATGACAAAAATTTAAAACGTTTAATTTAAATATTTTTGTTTTCGGAAAGATTTATTGTTTAACGGTTTCTTCAGTGAATTTACCCTTGTTGGCTTGGGTGGTTGTGGATCTAGCTTCAGCCTTTCTCTTCAACAAGTTCTTTCTATCCTTATCGAGATGGAGCTTAGTGATTTGTACAGTAGATGGCTTGACTGGGACATCGAAAGTCTTTCCACCGAGCTTATCACCTTGGACACCTTCAACGTAGACAGACCACTTCAATCTGACGACCTTCTTGACCTTACCGACAACACCTCTGAATTTACCCTTCAAGATCTTGACTTCATCACCCTTTCTGATTGGGACGGCACGAACGTTATGTTCATCTCTCAACTTCTTGGTGAGAGGAGCACTCATGATGACTCTTCTAACAGAAGATGGGGCAGTGAAGTGTTGCTTTCTGGCCTTGCTTCTCTTGCTGGAGACAGCGGTGTTAACTTTAACCATTGTGATGTATTTTTTTTTCGAACAAATTTTCAGGTTTACCTTCAGTATGTAATTTTACAATGAAAGCTGCGTCTGCTTGGAAGTGGCAGGAAAAAATTTAAACACCTTCATCAAAAGAATAAACACACAATCCTTGAACGAACCAAATAACATTTTGTTTTCTTCTTTGGGAAATCTTTTAATTTATTTACTATCGCTCGATGATAATTGTTGTTGTTGGTCCAATGAACACTTTGGCTTCATAGTAAAATAGATACCATAGTGATCACTGCAAAACAAGTAATCTTTGGTGATGAAAGATAACCTCTGACTTTCCTCCTCCGAGAACAATAGCTTATTCTTCAATAACTTCTTGATGGAATTAGTTGCAAATAATCGTATAGCAGTGCAGGAGAGCTTAGATTCTGATGTTTTCCATTGTACTACTCGATCCAAACGTAATTGTTTATCAGCATCGGCAGCACTCATCTTTCCTAACATTGGATTTGTCTTACCATCCATTGTGTATCCCTTGTCTCCATTTGCTGTATGAATATCAATCCACAAATCAGAAAATTCCTTAATGTGAGTAATGAAATTGGTCTCAAATGGCATATTCAAGTTAAAATCTCCCAGATAGATCAGCTCATTACATGTATTCTTAGTGAGTTGCTTGGCTAGTTCATATAATTCTGCAACTTGCTTCTTTCTCACTTCAAAACATTCCTTCTTGGCTTTCAAGTGAACTGATCCGAAACAAATTCTAACACATTCTTCTTCTGATGTCTTGTAATCAGCAATTGAAAGAATGACCCTTCTGGAAAAGTTACTTGGGTAAGCAAACTTGTATTTGAGAAATCTGACATTGGTAAATTTGTGTTTCGATAACATGATCAAATTACCATAGGGAAAGACTGTAGAATGGCCAGAATCCTTCTTCTCACCCACTTCAATTTCCGATAAGTAATAGTGATCTCTGACCCATTTCTCACTCATTAGTTTTGCAAGATATTGTGGAGTCATTTCACACAGAGTCAAGACATCCAATTGAAGTTTTTCCAACATTCTGATTTGAACACTGTATCGAATATCACTATACACAATATTATTCTGATAAATATCAAACAAGACATTAAAAGCAGCACACTTTAGCTCCTCGGAATTATATGTTACACTAGTATTGCTCCAATCCTTCTTTTCGTCCCATGTACTTGTCAATTCGTCATAGAAATACGCTGGTATAAATCTGAGATCGGTCTTTTCTGGTAATGTTATTTCATCCACCTTCTTATTATTTTCAGTAGACATCTTTTTCCAATCCTCTCACTAAAATAATGACTATTATTGATACACAATTAAAAGTACTATTGAACTTTGATGTAATTTTTTGTGTTATTTTTATATTTGTTGTTCTTGGGTGAGATGAATTTTGAATGTTGTTTTTAAATTCAAATTCAAATTTGATTTTCTTTCTTCTTGGTGCAACCTGTTATCTTTCTAAAGGAACTGCTGATTAATTATTATATTGAATTTTTGTACTTGTCTATAATATTTCATCATAATATTAGGAATATTATTTGTAGTCTTTTAAATAAAGGCTTGGCTGATGATTCTTGTTTGGTTTATTCTTCATTCTATTTTCTTCCAAACGATCCTTGATTAATATAAAGCCAATAACCACTCCGAAAAGGAGAGTACCCCTCATCCAACGATTGTGAGTAGAAATTTCATTACGCAAATCAGTCATTTTTTAATAATTTGAATTTTAATTGTTTTTTAATATTTTACATGTGAATTGTTGATTTATAAATTTCAAGACTAATTGGAAACTGAGAGTAATTGTTGACGAGAAGTGTTCATTTGGGAAAGAGTGCTAGAATTGAGCGAATGGGATTGATTGAGGAGTGATTCAATACTGAACATGCTCTTTCTCTTTTCTGCATTGTTTCGATTGAGAGATTCGTTTGTTTGATTCCAATTCTTATTGATTGGTTGTGTTGAAGCATTGATTGGACTCATGTGCTCCCAGTGGTTAATGAATTTCTTAGAAAATTGATTAAATTCATCAGAGTTTGCATTTTGAGAGAGACCCTTCATGAGCGATTCAACATTCTTATTAGAAAGATCATTAAATTGCAACATTTCTATTGATTCCTTTTCCACTCTCAAAGACTCTACTCTATGTTCAGTAAATATAAATTTTACGAGTTGCTTTCTAACTCCTTCATACAGAGCCGATAAGTAAACCAAAGCAAATACTATATTCTCCAATGAATTATTCAACTCTTGAATCTTGGAGAGATTTTTCTTCTTTTCTCCTTTCAATAATCTTCTTTCATCAATAAGATCCACAACCTTGCTCTTTACAATTGGTATCAACTTATTCTCCATTGCAATAGCAATGACATCCTTATATCTTTTCGAAAGTATCATCTTCTTCAATGAGGAAATGGTGCTAGCTGGCTCACTTCTCAACTTTTCATAAATTTTACTCAAAGATCTCAGACACTGACAGCAATAATAGGCAGATCTGAATTCAATCTGTGAAATCCAAATTTTGATCAACTCGGTTAAATGTTTTTGATTATACGAAAAGAATGGAATGACATTCTGCATCAAAGTTACAAAATCATTCACTCTCATCGAGTTCTTATCAAAGTTTTGAATAATATGAATTAAATCTGTTGTAATCTTGTTGTAAAAATCTGGATTCAAAAGGAGAGAAATATTGTTATTCTTAATATTGTGAACAATAGTCTTGGTAATGGTTGTAATCTTGGAGCTGGAAACAATTTCACTTGTTTGGAATTTCAGAAATTGATAACTATATGGATCTGAAATCATGGTTGAAAGAATTTCCATATAAGTATTTGTGAAAATTTCTGTAATATTCTTCATATCGACTGATGAATTTGTTTCAATTAATTCATCTAATTGTCTAATTTGACGAACCAAACATTTGAAAAAGTTCCAAAAGTATTCTTCGTGTGAAAGATAGCCACAAGCTTGCTTATCCTTCTTTACACATGTCAATATTGTCATGAGAGCCAATTGTTCTAATTCGATCATGTCAGCATTTCTTAAATCCTTCAAATTGACTTCCTTTCCTTGTCTTTCTGAATGAATTCTTACCATCATTTCACACAACATGTTCAGCAAACCTTCTTCTCTTATAATTTTCACAATTTCTTCTTTTTGTCTCGAGTAGACACATGTGAAATTCAACATCTTTACCGATTCAAGAATGATTAGAATTGGATCGATTGGTTTTCCATTTCTTTCCAATACGAAAGAGAGAACATTCTTTTCATCTTTTAAAAATGTGAACCAATAATCAGCAATGAATGAAACTAAATCTTTGATTTGCTTTCCTCTCACCTCTAGAACATGTCTGTTGTTGTAATCTGAAATTTGCTCTGATAAACTTTGGAATAATCTCTTCAATGTTGGATTGGAAATAATTTCTCTTGATTTGGAGAATGTGGAAAAATCAGGTTTCAAATTTTCCAAATTAAGGAAGTTAACAACTTTAATTTGTTTCTTGCTCATCAACTTCTTCGAGAAACTACTATCATTCTTATTGTTTTTATCTCTATAATCAATTGAATCATGATCCTTATCAAATGAAAAGTTAGTTGAGCAATCAGAGCTTCTATATTTGGTTAAATATTCTCTTGTGCTCATAAATGAATCTTCCACGAGCCTGTACTGTTTCACAGAGATTGGATCCATCATTTTCGAATTTACATGTGCGAAAGAACTCAATCCATAACAAGCTGCATGATAAAGCATCTCACGAGGGGGAATTTCGAATGTGAAATCTTCATCCTCCATGTTATCAACATTGATATCCATTTCGAGAATGTTAATGGATGGATCAGAGAAGATATCTTCATCAAGGGTGGGGTTGTTGAGGTAATCGAATTCTTCATCCATTGAGGAATCTTGAAGTTTAGTTGCATCAATGGAAGCAGAAATGATATCAAACATGGAAACAACTCTATTCGAAAAGACATCTTCGAAAGTGTCAGTAACAAAGTGAAGCTTTCTATTGAATTCATTCCTTTCGTGGGCGTTCAACGTGGTCAAAATCTGCAGAATTGTTTCGTCTGTCAAATAGACGAAATTGTCTCCCTTTACAATATCCCAAATATCACAACCATTCTTTTGTAATTCTTGTTGATCTTCTATTTTCATCTTGTAACCATACTTATCATCTCCAGTGTAAAGATTAATCAACATTGGAAAACCAGTTTGTTTCAATTGACTCAAACATTGATTGAAAACTGTGTTTGAAGTTTTCTTTTCAATGCCAAATGTCATGCAGTGGATAAAGTATGATCTAGAAATGTAGCGAGATGTTAATTGTTCAAAGAGAGTGTCTTCAAAGCTTTCTAATGCATTAGGTAAATAATCTTCACCGAATTGTTGGACGAAATCTCCCAAAAGTAAAGTAAGGACTTTTGAGGTCGTTTTCATCATATCACAAGTGGAGGAAACCATTTCAAGGGGAGTCGAAACAAACATTGAATCGTCATATGTTTTGAAAGCGTTAACACTTTCGTATACTTTCATCACTTGTTCCACCATTTGAACTTGATCCAAACTCAACAAATCCTTAATGAGAATCATTTCATTCTGAGCATTAGATTGGATAGCAATCATATTAAACAACTCTACAAATTGATCTGAAAGATTGTCAGCCTCTGTTTGAGTTGGAAGATCAAAAACAACAATTTCCTTAATTTGGGAACTGGTGTTTTCACATCTTCTTCTCCAGTTGAGTAAAATTGTTTGGATTTGAAGATTGATTCTCTCTTCAATGAATGAAATAACGGATCCATACAGTAAATCAAAGATAAAGTGAACTTGTTGTTGGGAATAGAACAGCGATCTACACTGGTCAACTGGTAAATCTAAAAGGTACGATACAATTTCAAGGTATGATCGTTATCTTCGGATAGGATATCTGTAAAATCAAAGTTATAAATCCACATGCATGCAGATAGAACTCTATAAATGGAATCAGATTCTTGGGATGAAATCCCAAATTTGGAAAAGTAATCTTTCATTTTCTTAACATCCATTTTCAAAAAATTCAAGTCTTTATAGTTGACTTGATGTTTCTGAAACATTTTGTAAGTTTTCAAATCATCCGAAATGAAATGATTCTCCTTTCCATATTCAGATTCACCAGCATTAATCATGAGAAGAAAGATGTGATACAAGGGTGGGTTTCTCTCTATCTGTAACCCCTCTCCACACAGAGTTCCCTCTCTAAATATGGATTTAATAGAGAGTGAGTGAATTCTATTATCCTGATCACATTTCATTGTAACAGTTCTCATGTGAGTTTGTGTGAGAGCTTTCTGATAGAGAATATTCGAAAATATGAGTAAAATGTTGAGAGCTGGACCGACTGTAGATATAATACTGTCCATATATTGCTCTTGTTGACTTCCTTGATTGGAAGAGTGATAGGGAAGTAGTTTCTTATTTAACAATGTCATGACTACTTGTTGTAATGTTACTTGTTTTTCCTTTGAACCTTCACCCAATAATACTATACATTGTTGGTTAATACCATTACTTAATTGAGTATGAAGATAATTTACAACATCTTGACCGTTATTTACAATAGCTGAGGCTTGTTTCTTGTTGATGAATGTCACATCTGGATTTTTGAGAAGGATATTTCTCTTACCAAAATGCATCTAATGTTGATGTGAAATGTATTGTTATTGTGTTATTCTAATGATAGGAGTGATAAAATACTTACTGTGAAAATTTGTGAAGATCTCAATTGATCCATGAATGACTTATTTACAAAATTTGTCCAATTGGCTACAACTTGCGCCAGGGAATGACAGCCAGGACTGGCCCACATGAGATTCTCCCTCTCCAGGTTGTTCAAGGCTGGAGCATCGACTGGATAACACTTGGATGGATCGACTTGAATCTCCTGTCCCCCAAGAATTTCATTACTTGAAATGTTTCTCTCGTTGATAATGACCTGGACGTTCTTGACCTGTCTAACCACTTGTGCCAAGTACAGTTTATCCTTGATTTCAACCCAAACCAATTCGTCTTTCTTGAACATTTTTCTGGTAGGTTCTTTATAAGTTATCTGAGGTGCAGAGCTTGTGCTTGATACTGGAAAGTTTGGTATCAGAGCTGTGATTGGAAGAAAGCTTGGCGAGAAGAGGAAATCATCATTGAATGCAGCAGTGGTTGGAGCTACTTGTTCACCACTTGATGTTGAACTTGTAGTGGAGTGAAGCGATGATGTATCATCTGATTGATTATCATCTTCATATCTATTCTCTAGGAGAGTGATAAATTTTGGAGTGCTCGGTGGAGAAGGAACTTTAGATGAATGATGCATGTTCTTCATTGGGTCTCTCAACTCAATGATTGATTCTTGATTCGATAACATTCAAGAATATACTAGTATTCTATTTTGCAACGTTTTTTGAAATGTTCAATGAGAAAAATCGTTAGGTCAAATTTGATATGGAGACTTTCAGTTGTTTTTTTAAAGAAAACTTTCATGAGACTGAACCAGATTGGTGTAAGTTATGGAAAAAACGTTACGGATTGAAAACAATAACGGTTAGAATCTGAATTTGCAATTGCGATGAATAAGGGAGTTAGGAGGAGTGAAGTTGCTAGAGTCGCAAAGAAAAGAGAATCATTTTGATGTCCCTGCCAAGCTGTCTGGCATGTCCTTAATAAAGGAATTTCCTAAATAAAATTTCTGTTAGTGGCTTAACGAATTAAAATTCTATCTATAAGGAATCGTAGACACTGGGATAATTGTGAGAAGTTGCGAAAGTGAGCATAATTAAGATTATTTTGTAAGGTATCAGTACGATTTCCCTTATGAATACCTTGGACAATGCTCACAAATCTAGTTAAGCCATCTCAAAACAATTAAATTGGTATCTTCTGCCTTTGTGAATTTAATAACTGATAGATTCTTCTCTCCACTTTGGTTTGACTGTAAAGTAGTATTTATATAGATGTATGTACAATAGGATAGACCTATTATATCTTACAAGGTGATCACTATTCGGTTTAAATAATGTCATTCTGTTGTCGTGTTATTTATTTAAACATAGACGCCTGTCCATAACAATGTGAAAAAGAGGCCAAGTCCTAAAATGATCGAAGAGGAGGCAGCCAATGTAATTTCCTTGAAGAAACTTCTGTGTTGCTTTGTTGTAGTTGTTTCATAACTGTTATTTGTGATGGAAATTCCAAAATCATCATAATCAGCATTATCCAATAGTAATTCATCATCAACAATTATTTTAACACGTAAATTTGATAATCAATAATTTCCACACCAGATAATTCCACAATGTGTGATGATTAAATACAAATCCAAATTTCGCAAATAGTTATACAAGCAAAATTAATAATTTGTCGAATTAATTTATATTGAATTGTATCCACAAAGTGATCATCGTCAATTTTTCATCATCAAAACAAAATATAATTAATAATTTTATATACCTCCGGAATCTAGATCCCTCATCAACTTACACCAAAAATAAAGCCATCAATACAAAACCAATAGATGAGAGAACAACAGCCAAGGTTGGGTAGCTGTTTGGATCAACAGGGCTGTGATATTGAAGATTGGAGGACATTTTATTCTTGTTGTTGGATCAAGCAACAATTCCTCTGCTGAAAAAAACTCGCAAAGATTCTTCCCGCTCTTTGGTAGTTTTAATAAGTATTCTTCAGGCTTTGATTTAAGCTTGTGGAGTTGAGAGAGATTTTGGCTTACGTTCAAACGAATAATGAAACTAAGAATTCAATAGATATCAAGGAGAATTGATGAAAGGAAATAGGAGTTGTGTTTCATTATTAATTGAAATAGGAATCTAAATGGAATGTTCAAAAGAAGGAACTGAATTGGATTGTTTTAATAATGGTCAATTTTAAGTTAATGACAACCCCAGCAAATCAATAATCTAATATCACTCAATTCAGCATGCTGGTTTCTAATTTGAAATTATTAAACTATTTATTGAAATTTAAATTGAACTATTTCTAAAGTGAAGGCATTTGTTGACTGATACAGTGCATTCCTCCTCCACCCATGTTAATAGCTTCAGTTGAAATTGCAACAATTACATGATTTGGATATACTCGCTTAAATATTTGAAGAGCTTCTTCATCAGAATCTTTAACGTGTTGGGGAAGACCTTCACGATAATATTTGGAGATGAGAACAGTATTATTACTCACTAAGAAATTCAAATAACTCGAGGCAATAATGTACTTGTAAGTTTGGTCATCATGCATAACAAGTCCATCTTCAAATTCCAATTCCTGTAATGTATCGAAACAGGAGTCACCCTTCTTGAGATCCATAACAATGTGTGGTCCAACTGGAACTTTGATAATTTCGAATGGTTCTCCTTTGAGATTGGTTTGCTTTTTGAGGAGTTCATAGTTTTGCTCGAGTCTCTTTCTATTCTCAACAGAGATACAATCATTCAAGTGAACTGGTACATAGGCAAGGAGAATGGTATTCTCAGTGGCAAATCTAGCCCACTCGTCAATGTGTCCTCCAGTACCATAAGATGCCAATAATTCAGTGCCTGGAATGAGTCCTCGATATGAGCATTGATCTTCAACAAGACCCTCAGTTTCCAACCAGATGATCTTTTCAGCACTTTTACCAAAAACTCTCTTCATTTCATGCTCGATTTGTTCTCTATTTTCAATATTGTTATCCTTATTTCTTTGCATTTCAACATGTTCGACCATCATCATGACACCATTTCCATTGTACTCTCTGTCACCACCTTCACTGATGAGGTGAGAACGTACAACTGGAATATTTAACTTGTTAGCAACCTTCTATCAA